ATTTTAAAATCGTATAATAACTCTGTTCACTCTAGTATAGGGTTTGCCCCCAGTCAAGTGGATGTGGATGAAGCGCGCATCATACGCCAAGATATGATAGGCGAGCCACAGGCAAAGAAGCCTATGTTTCAGGTTGGGGATCACATGCGAATTGCCAAGAGGAAGCAAACATTCGAAAAAGGATACGAGACCAATTACACTGAAGAAATTTTTAAAATTGTACAAGTTAAAAAACGGCAAAACCACTATATTTATGCTTTAGAGTACTTGGGAAAAAATTGCGAAAAAAATTATCGAGACTTCTATACCAGTGAACTGTCAAAATTTATTATGACCGACCGACCGTTTCATCTTATATCGCGCATATTAATGGATAGAACGTACAAGGGAAAACAGCGATACCTAATACGGTGGTACGGTTACGGCCCTGCCTACGACTCTTGGGAAAACAAAGAAGACCTAAAATGAGTTTTTATATGACACTACCGTCTTCCGCATCTCACAATATTTATTCTGAAAATCGTTGTGGAAAATTCACAACTTTGATAGCCAAAGGCATCGATCTTGACGGAAGCTGGAAAGTCGGTCTTTCCGAAATAGTTTTACCACCGATGCGTCTCCGATTTACTGAGGGTTTGACAGTGCTTGTTAAAACCACGACTACCCCGAGACACAGTTGGGATATAAACAAAGACTCATACAACGACGAAAATCAACTGATTCGGAAAATAAACTTTCTGCTGCGTAATAAGGACACCATCTTTGGACATATTGACGTGACTGGTAGCTCTACACAACTGGTGGTAAATCCAGATTCCGAGCTCACGTTTCAAGGATCAGAGTACACGAGGGCGCCGGGTTTATTGCAAGGGTACTCTTATGCCGGTGCCGGCGGGGAAACGTACCAGTTACGGCCGGGCAAACAGAGTCGTGTTGTGCATGTTTACTGCGACAAAATTAAGCACGGGTTTGTCGGTGATGCAATGGTACCGTTGCTACGAACAATCGCTACCGTCGCCAGTTCCTATACTGAGACTGCATTAATTTACGAAAATCCGTATTACGTGCCACTTGCCAAACACACCTTTCAAACCATCGAATTAAAACTCGCAGATGATTTAGGGACAGAAGTATCGTTTCATCCCGGTACCACGATAATAAAATTACATTTTCGACCCAAAAAACGCTGAAAAAATAGTACCTCAAGAGCACAAATTTGATGAAAATCGTTATTTGCAAGCTTTCAGCCGACAACATGGGTTTGGTATGGCGGTATACCGCGGCGCCCCCATGACCGGTGCAGGGTTTTGGGGGAAAGTTATCGGTTCTGCTAAGGGAATTTTCAGCAAAGCCGCACCTCATATAAGTTGATAACAAAGGCTCAGCCTCATAGGAAAAATATGGCCCATAAAGCTGTCGAGTCGGCAATTGACAAGGCCGTTAAGCATGTTAGTGACAAGCTGAAACAACAGCAGGGATCGGGTATTAAGAGCCGAAAACGACGCAAAGTAGTCTCTACAGAACGACAACTTGCAATTGACGCACTTAAAGACAAACTAAAATGGCTCTTATTGAAAGCGATCCTGAACCTTTTATGCTCCTAGAGAGCCATTAATTTTATCTTCCGGCGACTCTTACCTAAAGGTGGAATACGCGTGATCATGATATCGGGCCAACACAAGCACCATCGGACACACCTGGCGATTATGTTTTTACCATTGCGCCGTGTCAAACTGAACTTATTAGTTTGGCGGATGTTCGATTTTATTGTGATCTGTACGTAACTGACTCTAAAGGGGACTGCCCACGGATGATGCCTGCTTGACAACCGTAATATTTTGGATAGTTTATTTGAACAGGTAATTGTCACCCTGTGTGGTCGCAATATTTCTGACAGTAGCTCCATGTACCATTTGCGGGGGTACATTGAGAATCTTCTAGGCTACACTAAGCGAGCGCAGGCTTCACAATTACAACTGTCTGGATTTGCCATGGATACGTTACTGTGGAAGCAAGATCCATATTACGAAGCCAAAGTTAACAATGAAAGGATCTTTTTTAGCAAAGGGGCAGAGCTTAGACGAATGTGGCTACGAGCTTGCCGCCCATTGCAATTAACTGGAAAGCTGCATAGTGATCTGTTTCAACAGGACAAACCCCTGATACCGGGTGTCGAGTTGAGTATTGAACTGGTGCGCAATAAAAACAGTCTAGTCTTTATGACAGATAGCGATTTATCAAAAACAAAATCTGTAATTATCAAAAACCCTCGCTTAAAAATTATAAAATACGAGCCGTCGCCCGATTTTCTAGCAGTTAGTTTCAACAAATGCAAAGTACCACATTGAACGTGTTGCCATGCAACATTTACAAAAAAACACGCCATTAAAAAAAATAAAACAATCGACAACATTAGATCAAAAAGAAATACTGTATGCGATTCACGATAACAAAAAATATGCTTACGAACTGTGAAGTAAATGGGCAATGTTGCCCAAGAGGCTCGGAGCCGCGAAACGTCAACTTTCTTGCGCACGACTTTCTCCGCGTCATCCTAGTTTTCATAGACGACGAAGCCGAACCGCTGCGGACCAATGCTAGCGTCCGACAGCCACAGGTCAATGACTTTCACATCCTTCCCATCCACGCGCTTACAGCTGTCGCGGATCATCCAATCAGCGACGGCATTGTTGGTGAGTCCGCGCAGGTCCAGGTAGACGCGATCCCCCACGGACTTCTCATCCCACCGTGGTGGACCGGAACCCGCCTACACAAGCCAAGAGGGCGGAAATCAGTATAATCAGCTCTTGTTTCTTTAACTGCTCTTAAAACGTGTAAAGTGAAGTTTGAGCAAAGCGTGCGTATCAGCCACATTCATGATAACCACCGCGTAGCACAACTAATACCCAACACCGGAACACCAATTATCAATAAATTACTACATCACTGAATTATCATGATGGAAAGAAAATGAACAAAAAATCGGTATTTAGCGTGGATAAATTTCAAATTTAATTATTCTGACCGGAAAAATCCGTAATTAAATCCCAAAAAGTTAGCTGAATAAATATAAACTTATAATGCGTGCCGATAAAAATTTTTAAAAAAATAAAAGCTGGATTTATTAGCGAACTCACCGCTGCCGCCGCCCACTCCACATCCTCCACCGCCGCGGCCGCCGTAGCCTCTTCCGCCGCCACTACTTCCGTCGTCCAGGCAGCTGCGCGAGATGTGGCCTGACTGGCTGCACTTGTAGCAGGAAAAGCCGCCGCCACCGCCGTATCCTCCACGATGTCCCCCGCCGCTGTGCTGGCCACGCGGTCACGCGGCTTGGGCAAGGCCACACGCAGCTCGGATCCGCCCAGCTCCTGTCCGCTGACGTTGCTGATGGCGCTCTTCGCGTCGCTCTAGTCTTTGGACTTCTCATCCGGGTCGGCGCACCCTGGAAGCCGCCGCCTCGGCGGAACGAACGTCCGCTACCTGAATAGTCGCTATCCATGGCTGAAATGCCTTGGGCTTCTACACACAAGCGTTGCACACAATAAACATGCTGCTTAAATCGCCAGTAGAATTGAAAAAGAACAGGCAAGGGAGAAAACATTGGGGAAATCCCATTACACGGCGGCGACCCAAGCGGTATTCTATGTATTCATTTCAGGTGGAAATTCGGCAAATCGCTACAGTTTTACGGAAAACTTCGATGGATTAATTATCTCGCAACAGTCCATGAATTTTCTCATACAAAATCAGCCAGAGAATGTCAATACAGGAACAAGGAAATCGGTTTTCCGCGCAGGACCCACACGAATCACCGCGGCGGTCTACGCAGCAATCTAGCGTAAAATAAATTCTATAAACTTAAAAATCACGTACCTGAGATGGAATGGGACGCAAACTGGTACTTCACGCAAACAAGAATCACTGAAACACCACGAAGCAGCCGATGGACGCTGCCTGGAACCCCGAAAACACCACGAACCCGCTTCTCCCATTGAGACAGCCATCGCTTTTCCGACTGGCAATTAAGCTTCAAAACAATGCAGCGTGCTGCGCGGCGATGACGTCGTCTCAGCCGCAGTGATTTCTAGACGCACGCAGGCAACACGCTATAAGCGGCACGGCAGTAGCATGCGTGCACGTGTACAGTGCGGCAGCTTGTACGAGTAGCGTGGCATGATAACAGCAGCAGCCAATCACAAGGCTGGTAATACCGTAAGTACAGTACATCTTATCGATTTTTATCAGCTTCTTTTCGGAAACAGCCGACTCGCATGTTTTGGAATGCGGTCATTGCTCTGTGCGGCATTGCGCAATCCAGCGCTACCCTGGGCAGGAAAAAGATAACAAAAACCGATTGGACAATCTGCGGAATTGCTTATTTCCCTTTATCTGCATGTTAAATGGCTGGGCATGGTCACTGACATCGCGATACTGTGCGATATGGAAATATGAATACAATCAACAACAACAATGGTCATGGTTGTTTTTTTAACGGTGAAATTTCTATCCTTTCATTTAGTGTGTACCAACGCTGGCTTTTTTATTCTATGAAGTGGCTATTGCCGGATAACAGTAAAAATATAATCAAAATTTATTATCGGCAAAATGACATCGACGTGAACCGCAAATTAATTGATGTAAAATTGGCTATTGATCTCGTTGTAAGTGCGCTGTCATTCTAATTTTTAAGTGCCATACTGGCACGCCTAGTAAAAAATAGGATTTAACTGCAAATTCACAAATCCGTGTCGCATCGTTTTTGTTAACAGCCGTTAAACAGTAGGGCAGAGAAAAGATCAAAAATTCTTGTCAAAAAAAACGTCTCCACACACCGAAACAAAATGGGTAGCTGGTGGCGGGCACAGAAATCCACAACAACTCCACCATCACTTGCGCAGCAAAAAAACCCGAGAAAGTAAACTGAAGATGAAACGACAAACCACTCTGCACCCGCTCAGCACCACCCGACAGAGGAAACTTTCAATACTGTCGCCCGCCGTTCAGGTGGCGGTCTTGGCGCCCTTGCCGGGGCTGTTGGGGCCCTTGGAGGCCTTGCGCTCGCGCGGCCCCTCCCCCCGCTCCAGGGGCAGGGGGCCGGCGGCCGGGGCGGGGTGCGGCCCGCGGACGGGCAGCGTGTTGTTGCCCATGCAGTGGAAGATGCCGCCGCGCGACTGAATGGCCACCATGATAATCCACTCCTGCTCTACCAGCTCAACCATTTTAATCCACTACAACACACCAAACAACTCCCTGAATTATACCGCTTTTTTCCCAACTTTTTCCCGTATTGTTGTCCACTACACATCCACCAATACATCGCAGTTATTTTTTCACTCTTTCTTCCATAATTTTCATTTATTTATTTGCATTCTTTTTTATTCTTGGCAATTTTATTTACTTACATTTTTTCATTCTAGTTTTTATTTTAAAAGCCTTTTGCATTTGAGTTATTTACTGGTTTTACAATTTTTTAAATTACCTTTTTATCTACGAGTACCTACTTACGTTACGAGTACATCTGCGTTATTTATTACGCATTTTTTTACCCAGACGTGTGTTTTCATTTCCGTTTTTTATTTATTTACATTTCCCTTTATTTTGCTGGCATTTTTAAATTATTAGCATTTTAATGTTTCTCACTTAAAGAATTTTTACTGGCGCCTCCTTATTAATACCCATTTTTCAATAATATTTTCTTATTCTATACAAGAGGATAAATAACAATTAACCGGCCTGTCACCAGTGCGGCGGCCCTCTTGCCTACAGTGCGCAGCGTCTCCCGACCGATCTCGGCCTTCTTGATGCGCTCCCAGGAGGGATGTTTGGGGCAGTTCTTTTTAAATAACGAGCAGAAGCGCCGCTCCCCGTCGGCGTCCTCGTCGCTTAGCGGGTAGCCGCACACCTCGTGCTCATCCACGGCCTCCTTGAAGTGCTCCGGACAGATGACCTTCAGGCGCTTGCAGTACCGTCAGTACGTCATCGTTTTGGGGTTCAGCGTGTCGCAGAAGATGTTGGACTAGGTGGCCGTGATGAAGGCCGACCCGTACGACGTCTGGTTCTCCAGCTGTTCACCCAGAAAGCATTCACGAACTGAATTTATTTTGAGTTATTTTTAACTGATTTTTATTATCATTTTGATTTTCTTTCACAATTATTGGCTCCGTAACAAGAAACCAGCCACCGATAAACTACTTCAAATTACCCCAAAAAACTAATATTAATTATTGGGGTGCATACGGTTACAACTTACAACCAACGCTACGACTTGTGCAATAATAAATTCACAATTAATACAACATGAACCGGGAAAAAATGCAGAATAATAATTAACAGCCTCGGGCACAACAAATGCCAATTAATAAGTACGTAATTGCAAATTATAAACTGCAATTCCGATAAAATATTATTGTTGACCGAAAGTGCTCCTGCACCATTAATGATTATTGACTAATTGCTAGCCTCACCATAGTTAAAAAATATTTCAAATAAATTTACAATACATTAATTCATGAAATAAAATTACTGCTAAAAGCGAATCAACACATCAATGTTCTACAGTACGAATTAATCTGTGAAGCAGGCGTGTCGGGTGGTGGGTTTTACCTTGCTGGAGCAGGCCTCGAAGTGCTTGAGGGCGGTGCGGATGGAGACGAGGCGGCCGCAAGTGATGCAGATGAGGGAGGTGTCCTGCGTGCCCTTGACGGCGTCCTCCTCCGACTCCTGGTCGGCGGCCGGCGGCGTGCGCTTCCCTAGCCGCATCCCCAGCCTCCAGGTGGGCCTTGCGCGCCTGCAGCTTCTCCAGCATCACCTTGCAGTCGGCCAGCTTCTTGAGGATGCCGTCCATGTCCTTCTGGTTCAGCAGGGTGGCCGCGTACGTGTGCTGGCCCAACTGCTCCAGACGCTGCGGCATGATCGTCATCAAACGCCTGTGCAAAATTCCCAGTGAACATTTCTTCATCTACACGCTAAAATAACATTGTGCACTGAAGAGAAAAACTGTAAATAAAATTATTCACCAAACAGAACCACGTTTGCATTTATTTTTTATTGAATTTAGATTAAAGACGGCACCGTTCAAATAAATTCAATAAACAAAGTCCAATTTATTTGGCTTATTTAGAATTTAACTGGTGTTTATTTCATTCAAATTTACCGTAATTAAATAAATCTAATTTCATTCAAACTCAAATCAGTTCGATTCTTTTCTTTTAGTTGACAGTAATCAAAATCGAATTGTAAAAAATGCGTAACGCCTGGCCGCCAGAGATCGTCCAGAGAGTCGTCCTTCGGCAAAAAGTAAAAAGTTAGAAAGAAGTCCTCATTTTGTGAACATTGATTTTCGACCTTGTGCTCCCCCGAAATTTTTTTTAAAAAGTAGAGCGTGTCCTGCTCAGCAGGTATAAAAACCCTCGATTTATTCCATTAGGAATCACATTAGTGTGAGGTGAACCTATGCTGGATACTTTTTTATTAATTGATCTTGAAGTGTGTTTTCGTTTTTACGCTTAACCGTGTGTCACCGTGCTAGTGACCTTTCCAATATTCAGTTTTATTTTACAGTATTTCGCCTTTGTTAAAAGTTATCCGTGGTAGGTCTTATAAATATTTCAGTATACATCTTGATTTTTCTGGTCAAATAAATTTTATTTTAGAAATAACGTTTTTTTCTGCAGATAACATTACAGCTTTCAAGTTTCAAAGCAAGTGACTCTGGATTATGCGTGTGAAAAATCGTGATGCTTGTAGGCGACGTGGAACATCTGGCGCGTATGTAGAAAACTTCACCGCCTGATACACGTGTACGCAAGAGTACAGCCTTCAAAGCATCCGCTGAAGTTCTTCGCCTGCGTTTGAAAGCCCACGCTGGGAATCGGGAGGCCGCCCTTTTAGCTTCCACTGTCAACAATGTGGCCGTACGTTGCTATAACTTAAATATTACCATTTCTTAACTGAATAGTTACGCTGGGCGTATGCTAATCAGTAGACCATTCAGTTATGAAATGGTAATATTTAAGTTATTACAACGCACGGCCACATTGTTGACTCTTAGAAATCGGTGGGGAAGTACATTCCAGTTGGCCTTGAGAAGCGCGTCGACAAACCATCCGATTCGGATAGCGAATCGGAATCTGCTGTTTCCGTGTCCTCGGATGCCTCCGTGTCATCGCAGTCTGACTCTTCAGACGACTCCGATTACCTGGAGGACACCACTGGGAAGAAGGGATATAACCCTTTCATCCTCCATGAAGCCAAGGAGAAGGGTCCGTGGAAGAAGCGTCAGCGAGTGGACGACGAAGAGTCCGGCCAGCAGCGCAACAAGCGGCGTGAGCTTGATAAATAGCCGTTATTTTTGTTGTGTGATGCCTACATGTTATACAAGCATTGTGTGAATTGAATGAATGAACAAAATAAATAAAAACATGTAAATTAAATTATTAAAATTCTGGTAGCCGATCACACACTGCAAAACTAACTACAATAGGTAGTTACTCCTGCTATAACCTGTTGACACACCACCAGAACACCGGTACAGCAGGCAGCCAGCGTTTGGCAGGAGATCATCAGGCCGGCGCCAGACAGTAGGACACCGCTAGCCGCTAGCCGGTAAACACCGCTAGCCGGTAAACGAAGCAGCACAGTAGCCAGACTAGCGTTACTGTCTCGGCTCAGTCTCAGAAAGGGGGGCGGGCCAATAAGACAGAGGGGCGGAGTCAGCCAATCAGAGTGTCTGCTATCTTAGCTGGTACACTACTGTCCCGGCAGCCAAAAATGCTTCCGTACTCGATCTGCAGCGCGCGCCGTTCAGGACATTGGAAATCAATGATCAGGCCCTTCTCAGCCACGTTGATAACGCGGCCGTGCTGCAACAACCCGTCGATGTGCACGCCGACTGGGTTCCACGCGTACACGGCGTGCTTGTTGTCTCCATACACCAGCATTATTAACAGTAAGCACGTGTTGCTGTGTGTTTGTAGCGTGTACTGGCACCGGTGGCACGGTTGCGAAATCCATGCTGCGATTGCCGCAGATTAAACGGTATTCCGATGGACGCAAACAGCAAAAATCCTTAAAAGCCTGGAACTGAATTTTAGAACACTTTTGGAAGCAGACAAATCTCTTACATCCGAATACACATAGTAAGCATTTCAGCGGTGGAACGCAAACACAAACACAACCCAAAACAATCCGCCTATGATATCGATGGCCTTGGTAAGTGGAACTGTTGACTTGTTTTACAAGTTGTGAACACTATCGCTTCCGGCAACAGCACGTGTAAATTGTAAACATGGTTGCCGTGGCTTATTTTTATTGTAAGCCCTAAACAACTACTATAAACGCCGACTACATTGGTTGGTTGGTACCGCCAAATAAGGCGCCAATGGCAAAATGTTCGGCTCCGAGGTCGTAAAATAAACTGTGTCGACAGAGCTCTTGCACTGCTACTCGTACTGCTACCCACTCCTACTCGTTATTTAACAACGTTTTCTCTTTTTGATTCCGGCAACATAACGTTATAGCTTCATCAGCAGTTCCTCCTTCGCGCCTACAGATGATTCACACGCACACTATTTATACAAAGAGTGATCAGCAACTGCAGGCATGGCGAAGACATAGAAGTACTATACGCATAGCGGTCATTTGAAAGGCGACCATGTTTATGAACTTTATTGTTAAACTTGTATTGTGCATGATGCGTTTTATTACAACTTGTTTAACTGCGTGAGTGTGCATGGACGAGCACGATATGACTTTGGCCATAGCGTTTGACAATCTAAGAGGCTGTTCACATGTTTTATTGTCATCGTTAAAGTTACCAAAATTTCTAGAAGAGTTGCAGTGATATAAAATCGCAGATATTCTTCTGTGTATGATATCGATCATTCCAGCGATCGGCCTACCATTTCCTGTTGCTAATTGTTATGATTTCCATCTAAATGCTATGCGACTGTATTCGTATCTGGTTGGAAGATACATCTTTGCACCGTTAGCCTTTGAAACTCTCGGACCGTGGGGAAAGTCGGCCACCGCTTTAGTAAAAGAAATCAGCAAGCGACTCCAGTCGCAGACAGGTGAACCTCGTTCTCATGAGTTCCTTCGCCAACGATTATCGCTAGAATTTTAACGAGGCAATGCCGCGTGCGTACTCGGAACAATGGAAGGATCGGCAGCATTAAACGAGATTTTGTTGCTTTGAATTGTGATTAACTATTGTTGATCTGTTTTGTACCCGCATTTTATGAAATAAAGCGTACATGAGTGTTATTTTTGCTTGTTATAGTTATTCAATCATTCATTCATGTATCAGGAGCAGACAACCCGGTAAACGGGACTTCAATGTCTGGTCGGTAAAGAAAACAGCTAACTATTACCAAGGAGATTATTAAAACAGATCAACAGTTTTCAGAGCGAACTTAAAAAAGCTGACACCGCTAACATTGAGTATCTCTGTATTAACTTTTTGAATCCGCTCAAAAACATTCTTTAACCGCGTGGCAAGTATAACTATAACAAGCACATAACAAGCACAAATAACAATCTGCTGACGGAAAGCGAAACTTATGGTTCTTAATTAATTAAGAACTATAACTTTCGCTTTCCGTCAGCACAGTACGAACATATTACAACGCAGTCATTTACGGCACTGGCCCATTTTTAACTATAATGCACAATACCGTTCATAATTTTCTGATAATTCAAATTTAAACAACAATCGTGGTAACCGCTAACGGAAAACTGGCTGTCTCGTGGCATTGTACAACTTGTTTGAGTCGTTTTAAAAACTTCCCTGGAATGCGACACTGAGCGGGAACTTTGCACTGTTACGACGTTGAGGGTTGAGGGAGAACAGTGGCCAGTGCGGCTGGCTGTCGGCGGAACAGCAATCAAATGGCAAGTTACCTCCGGCATTTCTTTATCATCGTCGCAAGTTGCGGCAGGCATTGGTGCAGGATCACCGCAGTCAGTTGTGTCAGCTATGTAACGTCTAGATGGGCCAGAGTGGATGCTGTTAACTTCTGATCGCGGTAGCGATTCAAGGGCGCTGATCCGCACTCTGGAAATCCCGAAGAACCTCGTCGAACCAAATACGCGTTTAAACTAATTTCTAACAATTGAGTATGATAGCAGCGCGTCGCAAGAATGCTACCTGCAAGCGCTATTTTATAGGCTAGTGACTTTAAAACACATTATTATGCGCTCAGTTCAACAGATGTGGTCGCCACTTGATTTTCATCAGCCACCATTCAGTTTGGCTACTATAGTTGCAATAATAATATTAAACAAGGAAATTTACGCTCCTTCAGTCACGTAGCGGCCTCGCGGAGTAATTAACAGCCAAAACAGTGCTATGCAAACAGAGCAAACAATCACCTTATATTCGCCATCCCAGTTTTTGGATTTTTACAGCGGGTTAAAACCTTGCTGCCGATAGGTTCGAAAATTATTCCTTCGCTGTTAAACATTGGGTCAATTTGGGTGGATTAACATGCCCTTCAAAAGTCGAGCTTGGCAAAGTGCAATAAATTCTTAACGCAGATTGGGTAATTCCTTTTTCTGGCACCGCGACATTTCGCCGCCGACAACTCGTCCCAGGACTTTTGGTCGCAGACATTTCGCCGCAAGGTCATCTCGCCTCGCGACGTTTCGTCGCGGGACATTTAGTCGGCTGAACATCACGCCTCGAGACATTTCGCCGCCATGCCGTTTAGACGTCGATACATTTCGCCGCGAGGCTGTTTAGACGAAAAGTCCCCTTTAGAAGACAATCAGGCCACTTGAAACAGTCAAGGAACATCTAAAAATAATTCAGGAACACTGAAGAAAAAAGTCTAAGAAACCTAAGAAACCCAAGAAAATTAAAGAAACCTAAGAAATCTAAGAAATCTAAGAAACCTAAGAAATCTTAGAAATCTAAGAAACCTAAGAAGCCTAAGAAACCTAAGATACCCAAGATAACCAAGGTACCCAAGATACCCAAGATACCCAAGATACCCAAGAAACCTAAGAAACCTAAGAAACCTAAGAAACCTAAGAAACCTGAAAAAACTGAGAAAACCATCCAAGAAACCCGGAAACTAAAGCGGGTCGAATTCTTTTGCGGCGAAGTGTCCGCGACCAGACGTCTTGCGTCAAAAGTCGCAAAGTAAGAATGTCTCTATGCAAATTGTCCCAGACCGAAGTGTCCCAGCGTCAAAATGTCCCGCGGCGAAATGTTCGCGGCGAAAAGTCGCGCGTCGAATTTAATTGCGGCGAAATGTCACACTCCCAAATGTCCGGGTGCGGCTTTTTCTTTCCTTTCACAATTTTTTTTGACATCTCAAGACTTCTGTGACTGGTCATTTTTGTGGTTTAATAATCGAACTGTTGCTCTAAAGCAGACATACAAAACGGGCGGCCCTACAAACTTCCTGGCAACAATAAGATTAAAAGCTGATTATCATAATTACTAAAACTTTCATGCAGTTGCTCCACTCCTGCAGATTTGCATGGGGATACGCGGCAGTAGCCTGTATGTGGCGATCGCGTCGCGCTTTCAGTCGGAAATGCGTCAAGTGCCACTTTCAAAAGCCGCCAACTTGCATTTTAGCCAGCAAATTTCTCGGAGCACAGTCCTTGAAACCGACCCGTGGTATACAGGCGACATCAGATTTCGGTGAAGACGCGATATGCTAGTGCTGAGGCAGCGGATCGGCATTGGGGACGAATGGTACATAAAGCCGGTACATCTACACGAGCTAGAGCTCAGGCTATCAACAGTTGATGTACAATTTGCTTCTCAACCCTTTATTGTTTTTCGCTCTTGGGTGCTTTGCTGGAATCGCAAAGCATCGAAGATTCCAGCAAAGCACTCAAGAGCGAAAAACAATACTCCGGGCAGGTGACTTTCCGTGACTGATTTAAATGTCTTGTCAACTGTCGTCATAATAATGAAAAGGCTATGGTAACCCCGCCCCCCAATTAACATTATTGTCCCTGCCCCCAAATGCAACACTGCCCTGGGGGCAGTTCTTCATAAAAAACACCCCGTTATAACATCCGAAGCCGGTGGAACTGTGCCTGTATTTTATTCAGAGATTTTACTGTAGTTCCTTCTTATCTCGGCGTGGTCACCGCCTATTCTCTCAGAAAGATTTCATCTGTTGGTTTGAAGACAGTATTCGTTGTAGGAATACTTAGAAAATATTATCAGTTTCATCGGCCGTGCACCAGTGGGCGTGGCCAAAAACCAATTTTGAGGAGATCCCCATCCTAAGTACTGGAAATGCATTCATTATACTGTTTGCCATCGAAATTTGAAACTATATTTCGGTATGTTCCGAGAACAGTGTTCGTTACAGTTATTACTGCAGGTTTTTTCCGAATTTATTTTTGAATTGCTGGCTTCAGTGTAAACACTACTGTAGGAAATCTTGCCACTTATCGGGCTATCTGTGAAGTATGAAATACGTACAGGAGGCTGGAGTTCAGCACACATCAAATAGCATTATAAAACAGCAACAGAACAACTGCTGAATATTAAGCCAATAAATAACAACACGACATAAACATTTTAAATTGTTAAACCAGTTGTTTAAAACGAGAAAACAATGCTTGTTGGCGACCGGCGAGCGCCCCTGCATTCACGAATTAAGTGGCACAGACACACATTATTCATTACTTTCATTACTGCCGCTGTCTGCGAAGTCTCCCGAGCCAGCATTCCTATTTCGCCGTACGCTTTCGCTCAGGGCGGCTGCTGTCAGTGTAGTCAGCTTGCTGGCATCCAGATCGGCGAGGGTGGCCGTCGTCCACTTGCGACCACGGTATTCCGTGCCGGAACGCGGATCCGCGCGCTGATAAGAGTTGAGCGCCTGCAAAATATCATGCTGTCACTGTTTTGCCGCCCATTGTTAATGTCGCAACAAAGTGTTGGTCAAGGGACTAGCCCAACATAACTGAAGGTCAACGAGACAGAAGATATGGCAGTGTTCCTTTACGGGCTTGGACTTATTCAATAAACAACCATTTGCAAAAATTACACACTCAAGATGGAACAGGAGTATCTGCAAGCCGTTATGGCAGTCTTTAAAAGTTTACATTCCCATCCTTTTAAGGGAAGTGACCCGGAGCATGGTATAAAATTCGTGTAAATGCATGAAAACTTGTGAGTTTCGCGCACTTTCAAACACTTTTTGCTTTGTTTAATGACATTCTGTAGTCAGATGATTTCAGTATACATTGGCGCCAAAACCGTTTTTGTACGCTCGATAACCGGTTGGGGAGTTATGGCCGTAAGAAAATTCCAAAATTCCACTCAGGTGTATCTGTACCAAAAGTCTTACTAGGTACTGATCTTCATTTTGCATGTAAATGCGCACATGCATGAGGATCGCTTTTACACGGAACCACTGTTCTGGTATTTCTTTCAAATTTTAAATCAGTTTTAAAGTTTTTGAAAATTCAAGTTAAAATTTAAAAAAATGGTGTGTTTCTGGTTCGGTGAAAAACGATCTTCCTACTTATGTGCATTTAGAGCTACGGGTAGAATTTGAAAAAGATCGGTGCATAACTGCATATAATTAGATTTTTGGTGCACCTGAATACATAAAAACGTTTTGAAATTTTCTTACAACCATACCTCCCGAACCGGTTATTGCGCGAACAAACGGTTTTTACGCTAATGTATACAAACAGTCTGGCTATAGAAGGTCATAAAGCAAAAGCAAAAACGTGTCTTTAAGTGCACTGTGCGCGGAATTTAAAGTTTTCGTGCATGCACACGAATTTGGTGCCATGTATCGGGTAACTTCCATAAATGCTAATTTACCAGCTCGCGATGGCTGTTATGTGAACTATGTAGCTATTAAGTCAAATAAAATGGATAAAGTCTTACATTTACAAGGTGTCGTTGAATGTCCTCGCTGCGTTGGTTCTGAATGCAGTCAGCAATCCACTCCGCCACGGCCGGTCGATCGAGCGGTTGCGTGAGATTCAGACTCTTCTCCACAACCTGCCACAGCTCCCGCCGCATCGCTTCGCTCGACTGGCTACCGAAGGAATGCTGCGTGACCAGTATGCCTTTAAGAATGTAATCATAGACACGGCACTTCTTCAGCACCATCCGCTCGTACGCCACAAAGTCGTGGGTCATGGCTACGACGTCCCCCGTGACCTGCTTCATGCTCTCGCACATCTCCCCGAATTCACAGTCGTAGAACACCAGCGCCGCCAGACGGTGACCGTTCAGCAGATGACGGATCAGTCCGGCGGATTTTGTGCATTCTTCGCCGATCATTTGGTTGATAACCACCACTTTCGTGGTGCTGTTGAGGCATTTCAGCAGACAGCTGATTAACCAGTACAGGCCGTCATCCTCGAATTCTCCGTCAGTGTATTCGGCTTCCCCGCCGGATACGCGGACATCGGGGAAGTAGGTATCCGTGGTGAGAAGGGTGTTCCATGCGTGACACACACGGCGACAGCGCAGGCGCCCGATGGAATCCAGCGAGTGGAAGATCTCCACCAGCAGCTCAGGGGGCAACGGTAGCCTTCGCAGCTGACGCTGACCGCTTACTTTGCGCTTTTTCTTCGGTGTGGTGATCGCGCCCTGCCAACGCATCCATTCCCCTGTCTGCGGTAGGTAACCGCTATCGATGTCATCACGCGCCTCGTCAAACTCGAACTTCTACCAACATATGACCAACTTATTTATTATTAGGATGGGTTGCAGTTACTGCCACGGAGGTCAATTTCGTTGTACGGCAGTTCTCTTCTGCTTCCGTACATATCGTGATTTTCTTACGCCTTTTACTAAAGAAAACCGTGTGTGGGAGGCGCTATATGAGCCGTAAAAAATTGCTGACCGATATATTATTTGTTCACCCAACGTGCTGGCCGGCAGTTTGTTTGTCGGCAAAGTTACCAATTTTCTTGTGAACCCGTTTCTTAGTAACTAAGATACGGTTTCAACCGAGCTTTAGTCGAAGAGCTACCGAGTAGCTCTTCGACTTCGATTAAAAAATTGAGAATTATATGACAAGAAGAGTAGCTGCTAATCTTCTTGTCATATAATTCTCAATTTTTTTAATCAGCACTTGCGTGGAAAAGCTTTCTTTCTGGAAAGATATTTCAAAACGCAGCAGAACGCGATGTTTCAAAATTGTTCGAAATTAAGCCGCAACACGCCACTCCGGGCGGTCCCAACTGAGTCACGTACAAAGAAGTCTAAAATTCGTTCCCTCAAATTATTTAATTTGAGATCTTCATGAAATTCCAGTGCATTCATTTGAGAAAGGAATTTATACAGGGACAATTAAGCCGCAAGCCTTTTCGCGATACCCGTGCTGAAACGACTTTAAAGGCTACAACCGAGGCGCCTCTCCAGGAAACAAAAAAATCTGCGAGTTTTAAAGGGAAAAACCCGCACTAATTCACCTGTTACTGCGAGTATAATGAACGGCGACAACATATGAGCTTCGCAATGAATACGCACCGCACTCTCGGCATCCAGGGGGGTAGCCGTCCGACACTGCAAGTAAAGAAACGTCTGGCTGAGCAGCGACTTGCACACGACTGCGTGCTCGTCCTTCAATCGGTATTTGAAGAGCTCCCCGAGCCGCTGCGACCCGTCGGCCCAGTAGGCACCGGGCAGAGGACACGAGCGGATGACAAAGTCCCCGGGCGCCACACGCAGCATCCCTTCCAGATCCTCCTTCGTGGGCGGTGCGCGCAGTTGCGGCCAGTGCACCAGCTCCCGGACGGGGCCGTGGGGCCGCTGCACCTCCACGCACTGCGCTCCGTCGTAGTCGCAATCCCCGAGGGAGACGACCTGCCCCGGGTACCACACCCAGGCGCCGTCGGTTCGCGGCAGCAGCACCAGCATGTCGTCCTTCCAGTTGTCCTTATATTGGCCGTTGAAGATGCGTCCGTACTCGACGAACTGGGCGCGCTGTGTGGCGCAACCGAAATCAATGATCAGACCGCCCTCCGCCACGTTGATCACGTGGCCGTGCTGCAGGAGCCCGTCGACGAGGACGTCCACGGCGTTCCACGCCGTCACATCGTCTTTGAAAACAAGCATGACGCAGTGCAGTGCGATTACTGGCAGTCGTTAAAAGAGGGTGCTGGCAGCGCGAAGTCTTTCCAAATCGCGTAAGACACTGAAACACAGTTTCTTCTGAACAGTTTTCCTTCTGCTTACAGCTTACTGATTATAAATTTATAACTTCCAAATAAAATGTGAGATTGTCACTCTTACGGTGAGTCTTACCAGGTAGTAATGAACTGTTGATAAAAGTTAAAATAATGTATGACTCAGCAGTCAGCAGTTTGCGTTCGATTCTGCATTGATTTCATATTCAGCTGCAACTGAATTATGGGAACGCAGAGTGGCGAGCCGAGGTTTTGGATGCGTAGCGCGCCCAGTCCCTGGCAGATACTGATTTCCTTGGGGCTGAACTGCTCACAAGCTGCAGAGCTGCTCGTATTTCGTTGATTCAGTTTGTCCCATAGCTCGACTAACGAAAAGAAAGAAATTACAGGGTGCCAAGCCAAGTCCGGACAGTTGCGTAAAATGAATTTAAAAATATTCCCCTACGTCCTTATGTGTCCATCTTTTCACTTTTCTCGTACAGCTTTTTATTGCGGATCGAGCAAAGACAAGACCAAAATGGTTTGATATGGCGGTAAGGAGCCAGGTGTTGATTAGGGGGATGCGGTTTCCTCCTGATACCGGCACCTCTAAGAAATGCTCCAGGTGATGTTTTTGCGCCCGCGATATACAGTAGAAGAAAGCCAACATGTCCGGGCGTGATACACACAAAACGTTTGCAGCTGTCACGGTGTCACCTGTGCTCCGGCCTGTGCCTTTCAAAACAGAAATTTATAATATAAAATCGATGTTTCCTGCGAATTATTTTTACGGTTTGCCCCGAGGTGAATTAAGTACTTCTGTATTTAAAGTATGTGTTTTTTTGTATTTGCACTGTAATTACTTTCTGCTCCAAGGAATTTTTCTGTCTGGCCGGACTTTTAGCGCAGGAACGGCGGCGTCATTCATTGGAGTACAAGCCGGGTGATTAATTTCTTGCCTAAAGATACAGATAGTAAGCAATAAGAGCGATGTTGGCGGTCAGTATGACGGCATTAGCCACTACTTCATACAGTTACTGAAATGACAAAATTCAATACAATTCACGAATTTTAATGATTTTTTGTCTTTATGTTAGTTGAAGGCATGGGCGTTCTGTATACTACAGATAGCAGCCGGTAAAAAAAACGGCAAACTGACTGCACATGATTTAAACCGCTTCCGAGATATTGCTCGGCGATAGTTAACCGGTAGTTCAACCAGTACAGAATACGCGTACGGTTCTGTCAACTTCTTTGCGTGCAACTGATGCAAGCAAGTGAAAATAACTCACACACATGGATTGATCGTGGAAATACATCGTTAACACCGAATCACCGATCAATACGGTACTGAAAAACCGCATGTACACAGTATAAATGCAGTATACACTATACAGCCACACTGCATTTTAATGCATGCTCATATCGATGAGAAGCCATATCGATGAGACGAACAGCATGCCCACGCTTCCGCTGGCGGCTCCTCTTCACAAGTCCCATACACAATATTTTATGAAGCAGCAAACAGCGCTGATTGAATAAGATGGAGTGATTTATTTTCCTGCTTTACTCAGAAATCTTAGGCTTCCTCCTGATTTAACCCTGGACGTTTTATCTTGTTTTTAAACTAAACACTGTGATACCGTGCTTATCAAAAATCCCTCTAACTAAACGCTCATGGATAAGCTGGTTGGATTTGTGAAGTCGCTTTTCAAACGGAAGTCATCCCATGGAATACAGGAACCAAAACAACGCTCATGGGAGGTACCCTACACTACAGAATTCACCGTCAATCCGGAGAACAGCTTCGCTGTCAATATGTTCACAGCGCTCATAGCCCATTCCCGCGGCATTGACGAGAATCTGGCGGTGTGTCCGTGCGCCATTCAAGCTACTCTGACGGCGATCCTCCCAATTGTCAATGAGCAGATCCGCATGGAACTCACCAAAATAATCTGCTCCAGCGGCCGAACGTTAGATGCTTTACAAGCATCACTGGATGCAGCCAGTACTAACGGCGCTTTGAATATGGTTAATGCTGTTTTCTACAGCGATAGGTACCAGCTACTCTCATTGCGGAAAGAAGACCTTCGCACCGTTAACGACAGCCGATCTTGTCCATCAGGAACGTTGTCGACCAAAATGGAATATTTGGTAACGTCGCTCCAAAATATTCCAAAAGAAGGCATCAACCTGTCGAAAAGTGAAGACGGTGAAGCTGTACGCGAGGCAGCACCACCGCATCCACAACTTCAACTAGCCAGCATCTGCCAGTTTACCGGCGCCTTTGAGCGGCCGTTGTTTCGCGGTGGACCGGGAACGTTCACCTGCCCCGGCAGTGTGCAGAAGACGGTGGATTTTATGTTCTGCAAGTACACGCTCGGGGTGCGTTACCACAACGTCAGCGTTACGTGTGACAACGCCGAGGAGAACGATCCGCAGATGATCATCCTCAACGTGGAGGGCCGACAGTCCAGCGTGATGCTGCTCTTACCACCGCCGAAAAGCGGCGAGACGATAGGTTCGCTGGAAGAGCGGCTGACGGTGGAGCGACTGCTGCGCTGGCGCGAGAAGAGCAGCGAGTTACCGCTGCACATTCTTATCCCGAAATTCCGCATCACCTGCAGTATTGACCTGCAGCCGGTGCTCACCGCGATGGGAATGGGTCTGTTGTATGAAGAGCCAACGGCAGAAAGCGTCGACCACGTGCTGCATCCGTCAGGAAACGGCTCACCGATCGGTGAATTCAGACAGCAAATTGTCTTAGGTACGTCAATTCTTCGGTTTTTGTCATATTTCGGTCACTTCAAGTGTACGTGTTTTATATTTGGGTTACCCGGTGTTACAGTTACCAGACAAACAAAAGACCAAAAATGATTTGTTTTCATAGTAAAAACTTCGCTCATGAATTTCGAAACATATAACTTAAATAAATGTTCTTAAAAAACCACCAGCAAAGAACGAAGAACAGGAACTAAACCGGGACCGCTCTTCCACGTTTGAAAATTTCAGAATTTCATGTTCCAACATTTTCAAATTTGTTTGACGGCCAGTAAAAAACAAATCAAAAAGCACATTGTGTGATCAGCAGATATTCATGTAGCGCGCCACATGGGGGTGGTGAAAGCGATCGGTTGGCAAAATATGGAAAGTTATGCTTAAAGAGTTAAAGTGACCGAAATATGAGAAAAATCGAAGTACCCCGTGTCCAAGTACCAAATGGTGAACGACAGTATATGCAAGTTATTCGCAGTATATAGGTGCGTTATGCATGCGTAATGCATAAATTAGCATCGTCGACAGTAAGTTGCACTGTACTAAAAGAAATATTTTTTTTGAATTTCTCATTATCTCGTAGTAGGTACAAGGAGTTTCGACAAAATTGTCATATCTACAGGATTTATTATTGTTTTGCGGCTTGAACACCTTCTGACTAATTTGCCGGTTTGCTCTGCAGACGTCAGTGAGTACGGCGTTGCGACTTCACCGTTTAGATGGGATCGCATGACGCCAATGATTGCAGTAGCCGGTCCAGATTTCGTGGTAGACAGACCATTCATAGTGATCATCTGGAACGAGATCGCCAATGTTCCTCTTCTGATTGCACGCGTGACGGATCCCGCTTCATCCTTGTATTAGTTTGCAGGCAGTAAAGTGTTATTGTTAGTCCGAATTTCGGATAAACATCTGTGCTCATCGTGTATTGCTTCACTATGACCAGAAACCGCGAAAGTTTTACTGCATTTACTACCCAGTATGTTATACGGTCACAATCGTTAAAATCATAAGCTCTGTTTCTTTTATTAATTGCATTCTACTGCGATGCGATCAATACCATTATGCATTCAACGAGATGACAAGAGACACACTGCTGATTCCATGCAGCAGATTGTGTTCGGTTTATCAGTCACAAGCTTTGTATAACAGTTAAAAGCCATCCCAACTAATACTTCACAAGTACACATAAAAACTTTTTACTGGAAAATAAGAAGTGACCGCTTCCGCACTTTGCTCACACTGTCTAATTTTATCATTGCGTTTGACTGCTGGCTTATATCAAAAACACACGCGCGGAAAGCCTACCCGTAGCATTAGCATTAATGTCATGTATTGTCATGTGTAGGAATCGTATCTTTATTGTATCGTAATGGTCAGGAAAACAACTGAAAGGAAACTGAGGAATCGTAACTAGAGAACCGGGAAAACACAAGAGAAGTTGCTAAGAAGACAAGGACAAAGGACAGAAATAGGAAAGTATTAGAAGGACAATAAACACGTGAACTCAGTATACTACATTCCCTTCCCTCGCCCAAAAAGAGCTGGGTTGAACCATTGCATCAGAACCATATATTTAGCAGCATACAAACCATAGAACCATAGCAACAAGAACCACGGCAACAGAACCATATAGTTAGTGAACTCTGAACCACTGAGACGAAGCGTCGTAGGAACCGGAACTGGAATCACAGTATGTCGTATGGAGGACGCGGTGCGTAATCCGTAATGTAGTTATTCGTAGCGACGTCGGATTTCTTCTGTGAGCGGCATGCCTTTGCTATATGACCTTTCTTCCCACAGTTATGGCATACGTGTTTCCTGTAGAAACAGCGCTCGCGCATGTGATCGGTTGATCCACAGGAATCGCATCTTCGCTTAGGGGAACTGGAATCGGAATCGGACTCGTTTTGATTGCTGGTGGGTGGCTTGTGGCTTCCATTTGCACTGGATTGACCACTGGAATTGGATGTCTTTTGCTTGACAACCGTTGACCTTCTGCTAGCTGTGACTTTCATCACAGTTTCACGGTCTTGGCTGGACGTACTGGCCGTAGCTTCTTCAATGCCGGTTTCCATCTTCCTGGCGGCGTTCAGGGTCTCTTCGTGGGTCTGGTATTCGTTTATCAGTAGGTGACGGCGGACGGAATCCGATTGGATGCCGTTTATGAAGACGGCGCTGAGCATCGGGTCGATGATGTCAGCGGGAAACTTGCATACGGTACTCCTGTACCGTAACCTGCTGGAGTATGCCGCCAGCGATTCGTCCTTCCCTTGGACAGTTCGGAACAGGTGTGCCCACTCCGCGACCTTGAATGTGTACTTGTTGTACACTGTATCCAATTTGGCCAGCAGCATTTCTATGGTGAGTTTCTTGTCCGTGATGGCAGTCGGCCTGCACATCGAGACAAGCATCTCGAATGGCTTGACCTCCAGCGAGTTCAGAAGCAGCCCTTTCTGCTTCTCCACGGGGATGTCGGCGAATTCGATATAGCTGTGGAGGTTTTCTTTCCACATATCCCACTGCATCGACTCGGGATTAAACCGTAGGATGGGATGAGTTTCTGGTGTCGCCATATTCGAACGAATTAAGAAGCGAACTAGCGCTGTTAAGCCGTATATAAAGAACTCGTACACTTCAATGATAGAGATCTACAGTATTACACAAGCTTCACGCCATTGTCATGTATTGTCATGTGTAGGAATCGTATCTTTATTGTATCGTAATGGTCAGGAAAACAACTGAAAGGAAACTGAGGAATCGTAACTAGAGAACCGGGAAAACACAAGAGAAGTTGCAAAGAAGACAAGGACAAAGGACAGAAATAGGAAAGTATTAGAAGGACAATAAACACGTGAACTCAGTATACTACAATTAAGGTAGCGAGCATAGCTTACATAGAGTTTATTGAATAAACGTCATTCCATACACTCATGCTTTGGTTCGGCGTAATGTACATAGGTGCTGGTCATCATTAACCTTTATAACACACTGTACACATGTCACATAGTTGCGCGGCAGGGTGTAAAACCTGGCAGTGGTACCTGCCAATGGCACTGCCAGTGGCATGGCATGCGATAAAAACTGGAGACTCTGGCAAGTGGCAAGCGATAAAAGCTGGCAGATGCCACAAACAATATGGCGGTAGAAACAGCCAGACGTAACCTCGAAGCTGTTGCTGTTGGTGCACTGAACTTTATCGCAACTTTCAAGTCGGACCACATGTACGGCGGCCTGCAAGTGCAGTCTGGTAACAAAGGTCACTCGTACCAGACGTTGTCCAGAAGCCAAACACGGGGTACCGGTCATGAGCTTAACAATAATGAAATCACTTCAGAGCTCTAAGGTATGCATAGCTCAAATTTTACTGAAGTTTCTTTACCTACTCAGAGTAGTGCTATTTTTCTGTTGCACGCAAACAGCACAACAGGATGTCTGGTAAAAATTTGCAACAAAAACTATAAAATTTATAATTTTTTGTTGCAGATTTTTTAATAACTAAATATTTCAGTACACAATTAGTTACATTTACAGAAACAACCGAAACAGAAACAACAACAACGAAACAGATAGATAAAATACAAGATACATTGCATACTTCTATAGCGCACTGACACCCATATCATCAATAATTCAAACTTACACATACACCCGCCAAGACAGCAACATCCCGCCAGATACCTCATAAGAATTTTGCCACAATCCACAGAGCAATAAACAATGGTAGTTGATCTTTAGTACGTCTTCACAATCAGCTCCATTACAAAGTGCTACCCGGTGACTTTCGCAAGTGTCAAGATTGCTGCGGCATCCATACCGAAATTAGAACTGCTTGTGCATAATCAAATACTACTGAAAACTACCAATACTACTACGTAGTAACTATTCAGATCAGTTACTACTAATGTCATAACTAACACCTTTTCGTACAGTGGGTTATATGCAAATCGGATAAGGCTCACTGTACGAAATAGTGCCAAGTTGACACGACGACACAGTAACCATAACACACTAACGCTGCTTCCTAATTCGGCTGCGCTGCGCGAAGCTTTTTTGTATCAGGTACGGCTAATATCATATTATTTATACAAATTCTGTGTACAAACGAAACAATTAGCTAGGATACTATAATAAAATAACATAATTTCGTATTTCCGCAAAAACCTGGAAATACGTAAACATACCCAAACGTCAGTTCATAATTCGCCGTCTGTGAGCGGTAAACCGCTTTTAAAGGTAACACATTAAAGTATACAGCACGCTACAACATACTGCAACGATGCAATCATATATTAGCATTTAGCGTTAAAGTGAGAGAACTGCCGTTTAGGATTTCAGTTTACGCGAACAGTTTACAAAAAAAGCAAACAATTGAACCAAACAAAATGTTCACACTGCGCGCTTGTAGCGCTCTCATAACATGTTTTGGCTGGAAGTACTGTAACATTATCGCTTATAATGGTGTCGGCCAGTTACCGGCAACGTGATGTTTGGATGTGGAGCTTTGTTAGCATGAAAAACGCGACGCGTCGAGTGCGTGCATACTGCCTGCTTCATTTTATACAGCCGCCGAAGAGCAGTCTTCATGTTTGTGTTACTATTACTGCTGCTTGTGAGTTGCTGATTGTTTGCTGAATATGAAGGCGAAAATAAAGCACGCTATAAAAGATCCAGACAAGCAATAATCCCACTACTAAGCCGTGTAGCGTTAACGTATTACGGTATAAGTGGGTCAGTAAACTCAGTATCATGACACTGTTCCACGTATACCTATCTGCAGAAGGTAATAAGCCAGCGACAATTATTAGTGATGCCTTCGAGAAATTTAACGGTTTATCAATTAAAAGCGCAACATTGTCCGGGCGGAGGTACGTACAGCGTTCGTGTTTGTTTTGTAGTAGTACAGTAAAATCTCTCTGTGGAATACAGGCACGGTTATAATATTATCAGTCTCGTATTTAATGCCGGATGCATTTTATAAAGGACAACTGCCCACAGAGGCCCTGGTATATTTTAGATCGGGGCGGGAGAAAGTAGCAGTATTTTGTAATTGTAACATTAAGACAGTAGCAAGTGTCTGTAGCGCATTACAAATTTAAATTACAGTATTTAATTAGAATTTCACAAGTTTCATTTAGAGTTAATTTTAACTATAATAAAATTAGTATTTCAAGGTTGATAAAATCAGAACACTCCATCGAGATACAGTACTTTTACATAAGTACTGTAATCACATACGAAATTACTTTTTCACACACAACGTGGAAGTTGCTCGCAGTTATTTACGGTATATGATCGCATCCGGTATCTCTATTGCATTGCAAGATATAGTTGGTTTCGCTTTAAGTCTTCGAATACTTCACCATATTGTAGCAATAGGAATTACACTGTACAGCAAATGGTAGTGTTAATAGCCTTGGTTTACTTTTTATGGGTTGTTTTCTTGGAGATCGGAACCCTTACTTCCCATACGTTCTGCAGACCGAACCAACGGGTTAGAATTTTCTGGAAATTAGTGTTGCTGCAGCTCCCTCCGAGCCTTACTAATTATGCTCCGGTGAATTTGACCCGCACTTTCCGCGCTCACGCGTTTCTTAAGCTTATCAGTCTGCTTTGCTCGCTGAAGCTTGCTTTAAATACTTGCTCCTCTAGCAAAAATCTTACATCGTGCTGCTTAACCGCAACTGGAAGAGCGTGCCTTCCAGCCCGTGTGATCGTTAAACAGCTTCCGGTCAGCATCGCTAGCCTTTCTGTCGTGTTCTCTTGCTCGCATGCTTTTTGACAGGTTTCGGCTACTACTGCGGATATATGTTACCATTTAACAGTCTAGGAAGGCAATGATATTTACCGGTTAAAAGTACTCGTAATAATTTGTTATCACGGCACTACACTTTCCCTCACACCGACAGATCGCGATAAGCTGACAGTAAGGTGGATTATTCGACCCGCCTACTGTTAACCGGTAAGTACTATGCTCACTTCTATTTAAATTTTCGGTAGAGTAGCAATTTCTGAAGATTTACCTAAATTATCAAAAAGGTAGTACGTACGTACTAAGTGAAATCAAATTAGTACCATGCCAAGTATGCGGCAGATCGGCAATGCGATTCAGGACACAAAGACAACAGGTATCTTATGTTTTACTGGAATATTTAAGTCGTAGGTCACTCCACTAAAGCTTAAAATTACCGTTGTCTTTATGCCTCGAATTCCGATCATCGCAGCTCACGACCAACATCCCGTGCTCGGCTTCTGGATAATACCTGGCGCGCTGATCTTTGTAATCAAGCAATTTGAAAGACGTGTTATACTTTACTTCCCACTTTCACGCTGTTAGATATGCGCAGTTACGACATCCGCACCTGGCTGTACCCACCACTATATTGTTTGTGGCATCTGCCAGCTTTTATCGCTTGCCAGTTGCCAGAGTCTCCAGTTTTTATCGCATGCCATGCCACTGGCAGGTGCCACTGCCAGGTTTTACACCCTGCCTAGTTGCGCACAGGTATTGAACTCCTAAGTCTCCCTTATGTCGTGACACAGACACTTCCCACCGCGGTAATGCGTGAACCAACGCAGATTCACACTCGGCCGGGTCACGATTCAGGAAGCGTCTGTAAGCATCCGAAGGGGGTGAATCAAGCGACTTAATTATTTGCCTCGATCATCCTCCTTAGAGTGCACCCGTCTCGTTTACAGTTGGCCCCAGGCCAAGCGAGCAATCTTACGGACGATCCAGTCGATTCGAAGCAACTCCACAGTGAAACTGTAGACGCAGAACACCGGTGTTTCATTGCACTTGAATTTTAGTGCGCTGTTTCCACATCATTGGGAGTTCTCATATTATGGCAAGGGCGACGGCGTACACATCTACTTCTTTGAAATTACTACACCCGAAAATGTAAAGGTAGCGGTAAAGCGCTTTCCTTTTAGCTGTACACCTCCACTACGGATGGGAGGTTTCCCAATGCCAGCAAAAATCAAGGCAAGATCTGGTCCAGCACACCAAATGTTCGTGGCCGTTGTGACCTGGTTGTCCGCTAGGGTTACCGTTTTAGAGATACTGACAAGGGTGGATATAGCAAAACCGTTCAGGCGGACCTTTGGAGGTAGGCTAACACTTTTGCCGGTCACAAATACGGTCGGTTGTTCAGGGTAAGCAGCCTATAAATAAACCGTTTCCTGTAGAAGTATTTTTTCTGAATTCTCGCTGGGCAGCAGCCGACGAATGGCTGGTTGAACACTGTTAGGCGAGGACTATTATGGTCAATTATTGAGGGAAAGCACGTCGCAGAAAACGGGCTCTCCGCGCATGCACAAGTTGTGTTTTGTCTAGTTCAGTTTAGGCTTTTAGGGGAGCCAGCGGCGGAAGTTCCGTGTCCATGGACAGCAAGCTACTGATTGACTTACTGTGTATTAACTACAGTAAGAATTAACTGGAAAAATAAAAGCACAATAATTTTTGTGTTGACACCAGATAGTGATCGAGTAAGCTGACTCAGCTCGACCGAGCCTCTATATATGGGTGAATAATCCAAGCAGAAGCGTGGATATCGTGTACAAAAATCGTTACGCGAGACTGCAAACCATGACTGTCTTGCTGGGTGTGTTCCCCGTTGGAAAGGAGACTGGAAACCGGATGAAATTAGATAGATTTCTATTTCCAGTCATGATTCAGGATTTGTCTCTCTAATTAGTAACTTGCATTACCGGTGTCCGGTGTACGCTTCAACCGCCTATGTCGGCGGTCAGGCGTAGATATGTTACCTTTAATGAATATCGATGTCTACAGTATGAGGTTGATTTATCCATTCTTGATTCTTATGTATTTTCTGCCATATCTCTCCTTGTACGCGGTACGATTAAAAGTTATTATTCTGGGACGCCCCCTGTTTCCACATATTGAAAATTTATGGGATATGGAAGAGCGCTGTCTGCGACTTCTGTAAGTGCAGCAAATTAAGTGTTTTGGAGAGATTCAGCGATTTGTTGATATCTTCTTAAGTTTGGGTTCGTCAACAGTTTCTGGGTCGCTAATTTGTCGCTGACGGGGGCTAAATTTTTTTCGTCGGATTCCCAAACTCAGTCGACCGGGTTTTTAAAGTTGGAACTGGAACGTGAGATAAAGAGACATAGGTGCAAGTAAACTTGCCGAGTGACATTCGATCCTGGGACATCATACTCACCAGTCATCACAGATTCACAAGCAGAATCGCGCAATGCTGATCTACGGCGACGACGGACACCGGGTCCACGCGTGGAACGCCGTGGACGTTCTCCTTGACGGCCAACTGCAGCACGGTGACGTGATCAACGTGGCGCCGGGCGGTCTCATCATCGATTTCCAGTGTGCTGCTCGGCGCGCGGAGTTCGTCGCGTACGGCCGCATCTTCCACTGTGACGACAAGAGCTTCAAGGCAGCGACACAGGATTCGCAGGTATGACGGAGAGTCCAGTACGATGGGAATAAATTATTCCGAATATTTACCGTGATAATCTAAGAATCTGACTGCATCTCGGACGCTAAATTAATTTCTTAACTCCGACGACTGCCAAACTCAGAATTAGTAGCAGTACGTGTAGAAAGTATTGCCAAATGAGACTTATATACGCGCAGGCATATCCGTGTAGAAACCAAAACTCTACAGTAAATAATAGAGAACATTTTAGAAAGTAAAAGGATTAGTAACAAGTATGAGTAAAGCCATAACGTGCGTACTAACCGCTACGAGTATTCCGTCAGGTGCTGCTGCGCCGTCACCCGGACGGCGCGTGGATCTGGTATCCAGGCATGTTCCTCTGGCTACCGCTGACCTTCGAGTATGAAGAGGCGCATTACGTGGAGGTGCAGCGGCCGTCGGGCGCCGTCCAGGAGCTGGTCCCCTTGCGGCAAGTCCGCGCACCGCCCTCGGACGCTGCGCTGGAGGAGCGGTGCGTGAAAGACGGGGATTTCGTCATCCGCTGTTATGCGCTGCCCGCGGAATACGGGGTCGAGTGGACTCCGCTGTTGGATGTCATCTTCAAGTATGGACTGCAGCAACTGCACAGGGTGCGCAGCACGTCCCTCGTCAACCAAACGCTCGTCTATTTGCAACGTCGGGATCAGACTCCCTTGAGCGCTGAGCAAGTGGTAAGTTCGCTGTTATCAAATCAGTTTTTCCGTTTGAGCACAGTACTTTCTCTATTAACACAGTAATCTCACTGATATTTCAGATAATTTTAAATAAATTACTACGTAGGTAATTTTGTTACTGTCATAATCTGGGGGGTTTACGAAATTTATTTCATAAAATACAGGTACGATACACTGAACACAGATCAAAATCTCATTTAACGCTATCGCTATCTGGGGGGTTAATTTTTTAAAATTACCTAACATGAAACCACTATTTTTTCCATAAATACAGTAGTAGTTACTGTCTTATAATTATTCCACTAATTTGACAGTAAGTATCGAGTTTTTGCAGTCGGTTTACTCTAAAAAGTGCTTTTTAGCCGTTTGCGTTAGTCCTGGTCCTCTTGTTATATTTCCATGTTTCAGAAGTCTGCTACTTTTTTCCACAATAATTAATTTTTTAACCAGTTAAGCGAATATGAAGCAGGAGCGTAAATGTATAAACATCATTAATAAGAATAAAAATCCTAAAATAGTGAAATCATAGTAAAACCGTCGTCGTTGTACTGTATATCACTGTATATGTACAGTAGAAAACCAATAAAAACCAAAACTGGATTAATTCGACCAGACTTGACGTTCTTTTGGGGTTATCTGCTCTTGTGTCGTAATAATAATAGTAATAATAATAATTATAATAATATAAGGGGAAGGCTCCGCACACCACGTTTCACCACCAAAGTCTCCGCACACCACGAAACACCACCGCCAGGCTCCGCACACCACTTTTTATTATTTTTTTAATTTTTTTACAAAAACCACCGAAATCTCTGGACACCACCAAGGGCAGAGTGCACACCACCACAGTCTCTGCACACCGCTATTTAAAAAAGAATTAATTAATTGTTGTTACGGGCGGAAAAAAGACAGCTCCTTCGTCTCACGGTCTGGCTTCTCTTTTTTGATACCACTCGTTCGCCTCCGCTTCCGTTATAGTAGCAAATTTTTCGGTTTTACAAACTTGCCGAACGCAAGTTGTTTTTGTTTGCGGATGGTTGCTTGCCGCAACCACATGTTTTTTGCTGTGCTTACCTACTTAAGAAGTGCTTACTTACTTTTTGCTGTGCTTACTTAAGAACTTTCTGTGCTTGCTTACTTGCATTACGCATACCGTATAGTAAAGATTTGCCTTGCGCTATATTGAAACCCAAAACATTGTAATTTAGATAAAACGTACATATATACGACCGAGCACTGTATGTTTTCCAAACTACGAGTATAAGGGGGTGTCCCGAGACTGACGATATTTTAAATATACATGGTGGTGCGCAAAAATGGTGGCCCGAGACAAAACGTGGTGCGAACAGTGGTGTGCGCAGCCTGGTGGTGGTGAAAGGTGGTGTGCGGAGACTTTGGTGGTAAAACGTGGTGTGCGCAGCTTTCTCCATAATATAATTCCGGCAATAGCACTAGCGTCTAATACGTTAACGCTGGTGCTTGCAGGAAAAGCTTTACACCGTGTCCAAGAAATTGGAGAATGACGAGATCGCATCGCAGGCGCAGCGCACTATTAGTCCCGCGCCAGTGAGCGCCTCCCAAGATAAATCACCGACATCAGACAATAATGGATGCGGGCTGTCCTTGCCCCCTGAGCTGCTGGTGGAGATCTTCCAGGCGCTGGACTCAATCGAACGCGTGCGCTGCCAGCGTGTATGTGCACTGTGGCACACGCTGCTCACCACCGTATCCCACTTCCCCGGGGTGCGAGTATCCGGCAAGGAAACCGACTACGGACCGGCACTGTATTTTTCCCATGACCGCCTGTACTGGATCGTGGCGTGTTTCCTCAAATGCTTGAGCCCCGCCACCCGGCGGGTGGTTGTCACCCAGCTGGAATCGCTGCAGTGCAGCCAAGTGGCCACGTTAATCAAGCACGTGGTGAAGACGCATCCCATCTCGCTATTGATGTTTGTGAACTGCAGTTTAGGCGATGCGAAGTTCCTGATCAAGGACATCGTGGACGGTGTGGCGCGGATACTGGCGCGGTGCTCCGGTTGCGGCAGTGTGGTGGTGAGGAACTGCAGTCTGCATGATCACAACCTGCAGGCCGCGGTGGCCTACCATGTCTTCCGGGAGCGGGCGTTGGCGTCGATGAAACTGCAGCTGTGGGATCTCTTCGAGAAGAATTTGATCCTGACCAAGCCGGTCGATCGACCGGCCCTAGCCGCGTGGATTGCCGACTGCATCGCGCAGCAACGCATGGACGAACTGCGATTTCAAATTGTGAAGGTAAGGCTGCCATTTGCTCCTTGTCGAGTTCCTTAAGCGAAGTACGCCCGGTACATGGTGCCAGATTTGTGAACATTTGCGAAAGTTTCTGTTTCGTGTGCTCCCAGACGCTCTGTTTTACGACATTCTGCAGCCAGATGTTTTGTATAGATACGCGGGAAAATAGTTTGTGTACGCAACAGCCGGTTCGAGTGTTATGGCTGTAAGAAAATTTCAAAAGTTTAAATGCATTCAGGTGTACCAGAAGTCGCATTATTGACCGATCTTCTTTAAATTGTGCACATAAAACCATTTAAGTCCGAAGATCGTTTTTTACACCGAACCGGACTGGAAGCATTTTTTTCCTCTTTTAAAATAACTTCTAAATTTTTTTAAATTTGTTTTAAATGTGGAAAAATGTAAACATCGTGGTTCAGTGTAAAAACGATCTTCAGGTGTATGACTGTGCGTTTACATGCAAAATTTAAAGAAGATCGGTCCATAATGACTCTTAGTCCACTTGAACGCATTTAAGCTTTTTGGAATTTCCATACAGCTATAATACGAGTACCTGAACCGAATGTTGCGCTCATAAACGGTGTTCACGCCAATGTTTGCTAAACACCTGGATACAGAATGTCATAAAACAAATCCAAAAAGTGTTTTTTGAATGCGTGAAAGTGGAATTTTTCGTGTATATCCACGAATTTGGTGCCATGTCCCGGGTCACTTCCCTTAAGAAGAGTTAACTGTAATCTCAGCAAGTCTGTTATAATCCTTCGAAGAGCTGCGTGATTTTGAAATATTTTTGTTGGTTCTTTGTAATGTTGAAATACTGCAGTCCAGTTCGTGCTGGTATTCTACTCAGCGCGATGCTTTGCAGGGCCTGATTCTGTACCAGAGCGTGGATCCCCGCCCCTCCACCGCCTACCGCACGCGGAACTGGACCACGTCGACTCTCGCCGAGGTGGATGTCAACCAGCTGACCACACTGACGGCGGCGGCGTTGAGCGAAGGCGTGGATCCGATTCCCGACTTTAGACTGCGAGAAATCAAGCTAGAAGACATCCGGGATAATAAGCACGATCCGGATTTTTACTTGAGACCGACGCCGTACACTGCGCGTCGCGGAAACGCTTTATAAGCGTCATTGGAATTTATCTACCGACAGTGGTTTGAAGGGATGATACAGCCGATCCGCTGCTCGAAATTATTGTCACGGTGTCAGTTAGAACCACCAGTGATGCCAGCTTACTTAATTATAGAAGTTTTCCTGTTTATGGACTAGTATGGAGTGATTGTTGGGCTGGAGCGTTAGCACCCTCTGATATTCCGTTTTCTGTCTTCAGTTTTTTTAATTTCTTATCATTTGTTTTCTTTACTGGAATAAACCAAACATTTAGAGATTTAAGGAACAAAACAAAGTAAAACAACACAGAATAAATTTACAAATAAACTAAATATTATTATGAAAGTCCATTAAATTTTTTATCCGGTCTTTTATTTTTAAAGTTCTCGTCATTGCAGCCGCGCATTCAACAACTAGAGTTAACAACAGCTGTTTAAAACGGTTTCGGCAGAACGACGAACGTCGGCAAGCGAATTTGCCGAAGAGCGAACTCTCGGTATTGATTTATCAGTCAGTAATTCCGGTCACGTCACTAAACACTGGGCTGGTGGAACCACTACCACCACAATACCCGGCTCGAATGCACCTGGAAGTGCCACACTGCTTGTGCGTAAAGCCGTTGAGTGAGCATGTTCTCTTTATATGGCTACAAGCAATACTACAGGAGTTACTACTAACTAAACTGTGACTGCTTTTAATACCAATAGCGCGATAACAATATCAAGCTCTAGTTACTGTTAAACAAAACACAAGCAATTGTTTAGCGACAAGCGTTGTTGTCCCATATTGTAGATTCAGAGGACAGTCACTACCAATGACACAATGACATTCGCGAATCGCGAGTACGTACATAAACCTAATGTACATAAACCAAACCTGAACTGAGTTACTTATTAATACACAGTAAGGGAAGTCTATTGCTTTTTGCAACGGAACGGTTGTACGTACCCTCTATGCTCCAGACAGCGGAGAAGGCATAGCTAAGATATTTACTGTAATTAACCATACCGGTCCAAATTACTGGTGCTATATTCGAATTTAAACAAATCGGTAATCGCTTAGGGAAAAAATTTGTCGTTTCTTGGCCCTGTATACTGTATAGAGCGTGTTCTCCTGTAATGCGACACTGAGCAGGAAGTTTGTACTGCGACGATGTTGCGGTTTGACGGAATGCAGTGGCCACTGCGGCTGGCTGTCGGCATCAGCAATCAAACGGCAAGTTGCCATCGGCGTTTCTTTATCAGTGCCGCCGTCAACGATGTCAGCTGTGCAGCGTCCACACGGGCCAGAGTGGACGCTGTCCACTTCTGATCGCGGTAAGGCGTGGAGGACCGCGGATCCGCACTCTGGTAGTCCCGAAGAACCTATGTAGTTGAATCAATTACGCGGTTAAACTAATTATTTTTAACTATCAAGTAGTGTGTTAGCGCTGCCAGCTAGCGTTGCTGGGGAGGCTAGCCGCTAGTGCATATAAAAACCTAAGGGTAAAAAGTTACCCTTAGGTTTCACCGTTAACGGAGTTTGGTCACTGTAGTGCGATAATAATAATAACAATCTGTTCTACTCGCTCGGTTACTCGAATATTGAATGATTAAGTATTCGGGAAGTTTCTGAGTGTTTGGTTTCGAAAACTGTATTCCGCTCACGGAGTCCTGGACGTGTTCGCACGCCACAGACTGTGGTTACGGGCTTATAGCTGGTTATCGAGTGCGTTGTCGCGGTGCGACTTCCGCATAGCAAGTCAGTACGCACCTGCAAAATCAGTGCAATATTATCATCGTTGCGCTGGTGCGCCACACAGTCAGCGATCATCTGGGCGACGGCCGGTCGATCCAGTGGCTGCTGCAGAATCAAACTACTCTCCAAGAGATCCCACATTTCCACCTCCAGCTGCTCCTGCGACTGAACACTAAAGGCGTGCTGCGATACAACCGCCTGCAGCAGAGAATCGCACAAGCGGCATTTTCTCCACACCATTCGCACGCAGCAACCGTCCACCGCCAGCTGAGCCGCGTCGCTGATAACGGACTCGGCCCAACCAAAGGACTGACCAAGATCGCACTCGGAGAGCACGAGCAGTGGCAGACGGCGGAAGGCCTGACGAATGTGGGCGATGAACTCAGCCAGCTGTTGGCAGTTGGACGCATCGAACTTGCGAAGAACGACTGTGTTGATGGTACTATCGAGGCATTTCAGCAAGCACGCTGCTGGCCAATAAACGCCGCGATCGGTGAAGTACATACCATCATAATCCGCATGATCTCCGGATACGCGCACGTCGCGAAAGTATGATTCCGTTGTAAGAATGCCGTTCCACAGCCAACAGACACGTCGACAGCGGACGCGGTCGATGGAGTCCAGCGATTGATACACCTCCACCAATAGCTCAACCGGCAAGGGTAATCCACTTTCCAATATCTTTCGCTTCTTATTCGGCCTGGGCTCGCTGCTAATCGCTACTGAACCAAGTCCTTGTTGCCATCCCAGTGGGAGGTCTTCATCACCACTCTTGTTCGCCCTCCTCACCAGCATGTAGATAAGGTGCTTAAATAAATAACATACTTGCATCAGCACAACAGTTTTCTATTACTGCTAAATTTTTTTAACCACTCCGTTCGTAAAAAAACTTCGAAAACCATAAGAGCGTAAGAAAACAAAGGTAAAAATTAATAAGGAAAAATAAGAAAGCATAATAAAAACGAAAAGAAAACATCAGATAACTAAGGTTTAGCTAAACACTAGTTAAACGGTTTAGGTGAACTCTAGCTCGACGTCGTGACTGTCGACGAAGTTTTGTCGACAAAATGGAGGGTCACCAAATTAAGCAGTAACGGAAATTAAACCAAATTCGAACTTGGCAGCAAAAGTAGTGAACGGGGTCATGACACCCGGAAGCCATTTAATTCGGAAAACATTCGTTTCGGAAATCATCCATTCGGAAAGCGAACATTCCGGAAACAATAAAGAAACCAGAACAAGATAACGAACACTTAAAAAATGATAACAGCGCAAGACGAATAACCTAAGAATAACCTAGGAATAAGCTAAGAAACCTGAAAATACCTAAGAAACCTACTAAAACTTACGAATTGCTATGTGACGTGCAGTCACGTATGTAGACAGTTGCGTTCACCGGTAAACAAGTGTTTATGTAACTGTTGTGAACTATCTTCACGTAGTAATCTGTGTCTAAAGACGTCTGTTTTCAATGCTTATTTCTCAGCGTTCTGCTGAAGTTGTGTTTGAGCGATTTAGTATCCAACATGAGCGTGTACTGTAAAAATCATTAATGGGACGTATTCACCGTTACCTATAATGTAGGAGAAACGTTCATTTATCAGAATAACCTAAGAAAAAATGTGAAAAACCTAAAAAACTTAAGAAAACTAATAAAACACAGGATTATAAGAGAACATAAATACGGAAGAAAAGTTTTCTTAGATTCAACCTAAGAAACCTATTAAACTTCAGAAACCTGATGAAACAGCGGCGGTGTATTCTTTAATAATACGACTGCTCGCTACCTAGCCAACCATATAACTGAACCGTAAACACAAAACCAACACTGGACATTCCTATCCCGTTGCTACGGCGCATTATCTGTAGGACATCATTCCAGATTCACGAGACACTCGTACAACCTTTGTACGAGTAGATTCATATACAGTTCTAATGCGGTGGTTATTATCTACATCAGTGCACCGAGCGAGCGCCATAGCATTTTAATATGGTATTGGATTTGTAAAATTGGAAAAGCGTGACGTGCACTCTTCGTGGCGTCAGACAAATTTTATGCTCTTGACGAAGGCTTAATAGTGGCATCTCGCTGCGCTCGATGCAAACAGTTACACATTGCCGCTACCGAGCCAACAATACAGCTTAACTCTAACACAACAACAACGCTGGGCATAACTATCCCGTTGCAACGGCGCATTGCCCGTAGGACATCTTCCAGATTCACGAGATACACGTACAACCTTTGTACAAGTACGTACGTACGTACACTACACTAAGCAACCTAAGAAACCCAAAAAAATCTCAGAAACCTAAGAATTCTAAAAAAACATATATGTTATTGTTCCTATATAGGAACAATAACATAAGAAAGGAGCATAAGAAACCAAAGCAAAAGCATAACATAAGCAAAAGCATAAGAAAGCCGAGGAAACGCTTTCTGGTCATTTAAATGCACGGTGTACGGTTTCCGAAATGAATGGTTTCCGAAATGAATAAATACCGTAGAGTAGTGATTGGCTATTTTTGGTACTGAAGTACAGTATACATTATCCGACAGCACCAGAGCATAGTCCACCTGCGGTGAAACTGGAGATTCACTAGTAGCAAAGTGAGCAAACCTACCGCTGATTCAGATGACACTGGATAGCGATCATCTTGACGCTGCAGATAATTAAGCGTCTGGTTCTCCACCGAGATATAAAGCGCGCGGTATTGTCGCAGCAATTCGCAGCGAAAGATCGCCGCGCCTCTTTGCGACACGCCCTCCCAGTGGGGCACGTCCAGCCGGCATGAACGCACAACAAAATCCCCCGGGCCCACTCGCCACTGCTCCAAATCCTCCGCTGAGGGCACTGGACGTACGTGATACCTTGGCAGCAGTTCCTTGTCAGTCCCTTGTGGACCAGGCACTTCCACACATTCAGCATAGTCAAGGGCAACATCCTCCACCCGGCTACCCGCGTACCACATCCACGCGAAGTCCGGACGGCGAGGCAGCAGTACCTGTACCTCTCGTCTCGGGATTTCTATGTTACTCTTGCAGTGGAAGATGCGTCCGTATTCGATGAAGATGGCGCGCTGTGCTGCACAGCGGAAATCAATGATCAGACCGTTATGCGCCACGTTGATGACGTCGCCGTGCTGCAGATGACCGTCCACCAGAACGTCCACGGCGTTCCACGCGTACACCGACTCCTCGTTTCCGTAAACCAGCATTATGCTTTTTCTCCAAGTGCGTGTTACGGCACTACGCCAGTAGGCTCAGTAATGCGATCAGTACAGTCGCCAGTGTATGATTAAGGCTGCTGTCTGGTGCAAGATTCATCCACAAGAAGCTATAGTAGCAAATAAATAATAGCAGTAAGGTCAAATAAAGCCTCTTGGGTAAAGGAGAAAAGCGCCTCGATCTCTCTTATGAACTCTGCAAGTGCAATTTAGTAGTAACTGCGATTTCTAAACATGTCACTATGTCAGTCAGTCTGAGCGGCAGTGTCTACTATCTAGTCTATCTACTACGAAGGCGCCAGGCTTACGTTTTTGTTACCTAGCAACTTTGACAATGCGAATCCGGCTGCATGATTTGCCCATGTCTGGAAGTATACCCTAATATTTATAGTCTATTAGCTAATACCAATAATTTGTTGTTGTTAACGTTAATTGCGATGTTGAAGAACCGTGACCGATAATTTAATAAAGCAATAAAAATTACCCAAAAATTAATAATTTGTTGTTATTAACTGGTGATTACCGTATGTACTATGTATCTCACTTATTTGGCTTATTAGCCATAAATCGAGTAAAAAAAACAACTAGTACCAAAATCATACGTCATATGGCCAAGACAAATATGTAATCGTGTGTCCGAATTCGACAAAAAAGCAACGCAGGAACAAGCGTATGCGACTGCACAATAAAGAAACAACATGCCCGCAATCTGGTCGATCCAATCACTCGTCGGGAGCCAGGCTTTCACTAAGCGCGGCTGCCGTTACGCGGCTCAACTTGCTGACATCCAGCTGCTGCAGCACCTCGTCCACGGTCCATTCCCGGTGGCGGTAGTGCGTGGACTCACGCGGGTCCACGCTCTGATAATTCTTTAGACCCTACACAAAATCCGCTGACCGGTTAATCAACGGCAGACGTATAACGAATGAAATTGTATTTTCAACCCAAAGGAAGACATCTTATGCGTATAAATCACCAGCACCGGATTCGAACAGAGAAGCGACTGTTTGTGCAGCCTACGTTAAAACGAAGATCTACACCCATTGTACCTTGATGACCTCCTTCTTGATTCGTTTGCGGCGCTTCTTGGCGATACACTCAGTCACCCACTGTATATCCAGTGGCTTCTTGAGAGCAAGATTTTTCTCAAAGAGATCCCACAGCTGTTGTTCCACCTCGGCATCGGACTGCCCGTCAAACGCGCATTGTACCCCTTCCGCCTTCAAACTTTCATCGTCCATCCGGCAGTTCTTCATCACAATCCTCTCCGCCGCCGCAAACATCTCCACCATTTCCTTGATAATCACCCCAATGGGATAACTGAAGACCCAGTCGTTGATAAACCGGCACCGGTCCAACACCAGCATCGGGAGACGGACACCACCGCGCAGATGCTTGATAATGAGGAGAGTGCGCTGGCATTCCACCCGATCCATATGTCGGAACACCACCACCCGCGTGCGGCTGCTAACGCATTTCAACACACCGGCCACCACCCAGAACATGGGGTACAGGTCGTTCTTATTATAATCCGCCTTCAGCCCCGACAGGCAGACATCGGGGAAGTAGGCCTCCGTGGTGATAAGCGTGTTCCACAGGTAGCTGACACGGCGACAGCGCATACGGTCCATGGTGTTGAGAGACTGCAGGATCTCTGTATGCAGCATCGCCGGTAACGCGCCCAACGCCACGGTCAGTTGAGCGGCGGGTGTCGGTGTCTTGCGTTCTCTCGTCGCTGCATGGGAAAGAACGCTCGGCGTGGAGATTGGATGGAGTGCGGCGTCTTTTTTAGCGTCTTTTTTGGCCGCAGCATATGATTGTTCCTGCCATGATGAAAGGCCCATGCTCAAACTCGGACTTGGACTCGGACTTGGGCTACTAAAACTTGGACTTGGACTTCACTTGGACTCTAAAACTTGGACTTCACTTGGACTCTAAAACTTGGACTTCACTTGCTTGGACTCTAAAACTTGGACTTTATGACTTGGACTTGGAATTAGGCGTTTCTTATGTTTCTTATGTCTTCTTACGTTTCTTCATGTTTTCTTAGGTTTCTCAGGTTTAATAGGTGTTCTTAGGTTTCTTTGGTGTTCTTTGGTTTTTTAGGTCTTTTAGGTTTCTTAGGTTTCTCGGGTTTCTTAGGTGTTCTTAGGGTTCTTTGGTGTTCTTTGGTTTTTTAGGTCTTTTAGGTTTCTTAGGTTTCTCAGGTTTCTTAGGCTTCTCAGGTCTCTTAGGTTTCTTAAGTGTTCTTAGGTTTCTGTGGTGTTCTTCGGTGTTTTAGATCTTTAGGTTTCTTAGGTTTTTTAGGTGTTCTTAATTTTTTTTAGGTATCTTAGGTTTCTCAGGTTTCTTAAGTTTCTCAGGTTTTTTAGGTCTCTTAGGTTTCTTAGGTTCCCAAGGCTTCTTAGGTTTCTTAGGTTTCTCAGAATACCAAAGAATACCTAGATAACCTAAGAAATGTTAGTCACCTCAGAAACCTAAGAACACCCAACAAACCTAAGAAACCTATGAAGACCAAAGAAACCGAAAAAACCTAAGAAAGCTAAGAAACCTAAAAAACCTAAGAAACCTGAGAAACCTGAGAAAACCTGAAGAAATGTAAGGAGACATGAGAAACGTCTCAATCCAAGTCTAAGTCATAAAGTCCAAGTTTTAGAGTCCAAGTGAGGTCCGAGTTTTAGAGTCCAAGTGAAGTCCGAGTTTTAGAGTCCAAGTGAGGTCCAAGTTTTAGAGTTCAAGCGAAGTCCGAGTTTTAGAGTCCAAGTGAAGTCCGAGTTTTAGAGTCCAAGTGAAGTCCAAGTCCAAGTTTTAGTAATCCAAGTCCGAGTCCAAGTCCGAGTTTGAGCGCGGGCCATGATGAAAGATTCACATTGTCGTTATTACTCGTATCGAACAACAGTAGCCAAACAGGCCAAACTCTATATGGGCGACTTTTAAGTTTTTAAGGCTATTGGAAATTGTTTTTGGTATTTTGAAAATTTTATACGTTTTTTGGTTTGATTTTATGAGATAAAAGTTACTCATCTGGGAATGTACCAAAGGTTAGAAAAGGATAGTAATTCTAAAAGGGCTAAGTCTATTTAGCCACAGCATTTCCCAGTGCGGCGAAACAGCAGCAGGCTATTTTGCCGCACACTGCGCTAAAACAGCCTTGCGGTATTTTGCAGCAGTGTGGATGGCAGAATAGCAATCGGCTATTTTACCGCACCATGCGTTACCAGGCCTAACAAATCTAAGGAACTCAGACATAATCTTTGTTTTTCCTATGTCACTAAGAAAAACCAAAAATTACCTAAGAGGCTAAGAATAATCTATGAAACTTAAAACAGACCATCGAAAACCAGACTGCGGCAAAGTAACAAGCGACTATTGTTGGCTAAATAGTGAAAGACTATTTTCGACCGCTTATTAAAATAGTCACTTCGTTTTCATTTCATATTTACGTAGTCCATTTCTTCATAAGCCTTTTAAGAATCAACTAACCCCATAAACACTTGGATACTCCTATTTTATTTGAAATTTTTTAAATCTTTGATTTATTAATTCTTAATAATCAGTTATTCCTTTCATCATGAAGTTGTGTTATTATGATGACTTCATAGGGCTACCAAAATTAGCGAATTAGAATGAAAACCTACGTACCACAGCAGCAGCGTCCAGTGGAGCGGCCGTCTGGCACTGCAGATACAGCAGCGTCTGGCTGAGGATGGCGGTGCAGCGCACTTTATGCTTATGGCCCAACCAGAATCGAAACATCCCCGCCACGAAAGCCGACGCCTCGGACCAGTAGCCCACCGGCAGGGGGCAACATCGGACAACAAAATCCTTCTCCACAATCTGCCGCCGCGCTGGCTGATCGATTGCGCGCACCTGCTCTTCCAGCATCAGCTCAGTAACAACACCGTGGGGCAGCTGCACTTGCGCCAGCATCGAATCACCCGTTGCATCACAACAGAAACCATACAACCCCATCACTTTCCCTGGATACCACACCCACGGAGCACGAGGAGTAGCGCGCAGTAATACTTGCGCATCGGCTCCCTCTGCTGGTTCGGGAAAGGGAGTTTTACTCTGGTAATCCCAGTATATGGGGCTCTGGTACTGTTTACCACCGCTGCCCTGGAAGATCGTCCCGAATGCGACGAAGGTGGAGCGCTGGCCAGGACACCCGAAATCGATGATCAGGCCCTTTTCCACCACGTTGACGACGTGGCCGAGCTGCAGCTGGCCGTCAACGCGGACGTCCACGGCGTTCCAGTCCGCAATGTTGTTGGCGTGGATGAACATCTCCGAGTTTTAGTGCTGACGTGAATTTGATATGGTAGCTATTCCCAGAGATGAAATTACTGCAACAGGTCCTGGACCTTCTTGAAAGTACTGTGCTTATGACTTTTAGTAGTTACTAGTTAGTACTCAGTGACTCACAGAATTTGGAAAAACCAGATAAAGTGACTGATGGTTCTTGATGTACTATTACTAGTATTATAACAAGCAGTGCAACTGTTGCGAGTGCAGCAAGTGTATTTCCGTCGCCCGGACGTAGCTGTCGTACCGGGCGATTGCAGTAGGCGCTACCATCCGCTTCGTACGCCCTTGTTGACTGGAAATATTATGTCTTATCATACTCTTATGGTTAGATTTTGGATCATCAGGATGACGCCTGCGCGAGGAAGTAGACTACCGCAAAAAATTAACATAACAACGAAAAACTTTAAACAAACAGGACACACTGCCGTTACGGTAAATCGTGGTGATCTACAGTATATGAACAAATTTCGTCAGGATCAATCACGATGCCATCACTGAGAGGTGAGAGCGACTACCGTGACGCGGTTCAGCTTACTGACATCCAGCTGCTGCAGCACGCTGTTCACCGTCTTCCGGTAGTGCGTGGACACGCGCGGATCTACGCTCTGGTAAATGTCTACGATCTACAAGTTACAACCGGGTCATGCAGTGGTCTCTCGCTGGACAGAGATATTACTGAAGAATGGACGGTTTGATACGGATGCGATTGTGAGTGATACTGAGTTTGTGCTTACGCCGATAATTTTTTCTCAGTTTCCTCGTCTTTGGTTGGCTACACAATCCGCCACCCACGGTGAATCCAGCGGCTTCTTAAGGACAAGGTTCTTCTCAAAGAGATCCCACAGCTGCGCCTCCACCACGGCATCCGACTGGCCGCCAACCGCGCACTGCACAGTGCACACCTTCCGCCTGCAGCTGGCAGAGGCACATCGTCCATCCGAAGCTTTTTCACCACAACCCTCTCCGCCACCGCAAACGTCTCCACCATGCCTTCGACAACCCCATGCTGTCGAGCCAAACATCCAAATCTCTCCGAATGAAAAATCAACAAGTCTTGGCCATGTGCATGCAGTGCCAATATCTCGCCGTTGACGCAGCACACCAGAATTAATCTAATCCACGTTGGTAAATCATGCAGATACCTTCTCACCACCGACGCCCACTTCCTCGACGTCTGCCTGTCCGGGCTTTGGGCTGAGAACGATCTGTACCCCATATTCTGGGTCGTGTCCTGTGTGTTAAAATGCGTGAATATCCGCACACGGATGGTGGTAATCCGACATCTGGATCTGGAGCAATGCTAGCGCAGTCTCATCGTTATCAAGAATCTGCGTCACTGCGTGGTAGCGTCTGTCTCCCGGCGCTGATGTTCGACCAGTGCCGGTTCTGTAGTGACTACGGCTGGCCAGACGTCCATGCTGTATGAGATGACCTTTGAGCTTTGATGTTGGCGCATTGATAGAGTGACCCTTTGGGACTGTTTTGATGTTGTGGGTTTCGTCCCTTTATTAACATCTTCCAATATTATTAAAGCTATCGTTTGTGGCGTAACGCCACTGGCGTTGCATTTCTGTGAAGCGCAGGCATTGCGCTTACACTGGCGTTTCATTCCGAACTAGAGGAAATTCTGAAATCTTAGGAGATGTGTTTAATGCAGAAATTATGTAATAAGTCGGTGCAAAATCGATCTTCCTGTATAAACGACATTTTTATTTACGAAATTTGAAGAAGATCAGTCTGTAAAACGAAAACGCTGGGTACAAGTACTCGTACATCTTTTTGAGTTTACGCTTTTTCGAATCGAATGCCATTTGAACGGTTCTTAACCATAGCTCCGCTACCAGGTGCTACGCGCATAAAATGATTTTTATACCAACTTGGAAAAAAATTTGGCTTCTAAATGTCAGAGGAAGCATCGGACCAGAATCTGTCCGTCCAAATCATTCATCAGGATCGATCACGACGCCTTCGCTTAGTGCCACCGTCGCCACGCGGTTTAGTTTACCGACATCCAACTCCTTCAGCGCATCGTCCACCGTCCACTGTCGGCTGCGGTAGTGCGTGGACACACGCGGATCCACGCTCTGGTAAATGTCGAGGACCTACAAGTTTCAACCGAGTCAGTGGTCACTCGCTGGATAGAGGATATTGCAGAAACATGGTAATGAAGGCCGTAGTGATTTGACTCATGACTGTAATGTCGCGACGTAAAAGTAATAAAGATATCACCTTTCGAAACATGGACAGTTTGATACGGATGCGATTTAGAGTGAGGTACTGTTTTAAAGCTTACGCCGATTATTTTCTTCTCAATTTGTTCACGACTCTGATTGGCTATGCATTCCGTCACCCACTGCACGTCCAGCGGCTTCTTGAGAACGAGATTCTCCTCCAACAGATCCCACAGCTGCGTCTCCAGCAGCGCTTCCGGCTGCGCGCTGAACGCTTTCAGGGCGACATCCGCCTGCAGATTCCCATCGTCCAGGCGGCAATTGTTGCACACCACGCGGTCAGCGGCCGCAAACGCACCCACCGTGTTCTTGATAATCTCCCCCATATACTCACGATGGTTCTCGCCGTCCTCATCACGATTAAACTGACACCGATCGAACACCAGCGTGGGTAGGCGAACGGCATGGCGCAGCTTGGTAATCAGTAGTGCGGTGCTCTGGCATTCGAACAGCTGCAGATGGCGAATGACCACCGTCCGTGTGCGAATACCCAGGCATTTGATCATACAGGCCACCAGCCAGTGCATGGGATACCGGCCGTACTGGATATAACCCGCCTTACGCCCGGACATGCAGACATCCGGGAAGTAGGCGTCGCTGGTGAGAAGAGTGTTCCACAGGGAACTGACCCGTCGGCAGCGCACTCGCTCCATGGTATCCAGGGTCTGCAGGATTTCTGTCTGCAGTATCATTGGCAGCGAGGCCAACGACCGGGTCAAGCCCTTCGAGGCAGGCGTCTTGCGCTGCTTCTCCGCAGAATTTGCCATTACCCTCGAAGTGGGAAAAAGCTGTATGGTCGCGTTGTTGCTAACAACAACCTTGGCCGTAGCGTACGACTGTTCCTGCCAAAATCAAGATGTGCTGTCAACAAATAACCCAATTAACGATTCCACTTTATTAAAAAACGTGTAGAGTGCTTCCTGCAATGCGAAACTGTTACCAGCCACACAGCCCCATGTGAGCTAACTGAAGATACAGCAGAGCTGCGCAAACAGGTTCATTAGCCACAAAAAGATCAGGGAGAATTAACAGGCCCGCCAGAAGGGGGGGGGGCGCACCGGTTTCCAGTCTTAGTGATCTAACAATTGTAAGGCTTTGAAAGTTTCTAGAAGTTTCTTTTAATTTGGATGTTTATGCGAATGTGGCTATATAAGCGCCAAGCTTGCCAACGCTAGCTGGTACACTCTGGTTTAGTCCACTGGAAGTCATCTAGCAGTCACTTGCGTCTCGTAAATAAGGTCTCAAAATCCCCATCGAGATTTCTACATCAGACTCAGCTAGATACAGTGTCCGGGGCAGCATACAGAGTTCTTTTAACGTAACAAAACATACCACCGTAGCGGCCTCCAGTGGAGCGGCCGTCTGACGCTGGAGATACAGCAGCGTTTGGCTGAGGATCGCCGTGCACAGCACCTCATGCTGACTGTGCAGGTGGAATTTGAATTTCTCCGTCAGGGATGCCGACGCCTCGGGCCAGTAGCCCGCTGGCAAGGGACAGCAGCGAATAACAAAGTCCTTCTCCACAATTTCCCGTCGCCCTGTCTGATCGGCGTCTCGCACCTGCTCCTCCGGCAGCAGCTCCGTGACGATGTCCCCGTGCGGTAACGGCACCTGCACCAGCACCGCATCATCGCAACAGAACCCGGACAGGAACACGGCTTTCCCCGGGTACCACAACCAGGCGGCGTGGGGAGTGGAACGCAGCAGGACCAGCGCGTCCTCGCCATCCGCTGGATCGCACCATGGCGTCTCACTGTCCGCCTCGTAGTATGCCACGTTGGTGAACGTGTACCGCCGACCGCTGTATGCGTCCAAGATGCGCCCATATTTAACACACACGGAGCGCTGCGCCGTGCACCCGAAATCGATGATCAGGCCGTCCTCCACGATGTTAATGACGTGACCGTGCTGCAGCTGGTCCTCGTCGACGCGGACGTCCACGGCGTTCCACGCACCCGCATTGTCTTCGTGGATAAACATTCTTCATTCCAATCAGCGCAGTGCGGGCGCTTGGCGGTGATCCTATACCGACGAATACCGTAACCGTTATTCTGAGCGATCCGGCTACTAAACCGTGATGTGGACGTCCTTAGAAATGTTATGCTTTTGAAAACTGAGGAAATATCACATCAGTTTCTAGTACTAACAAGTTTCTGGTATACTGATAGTCACGAACCCAGATCTAAAACGGTAGAACCCACTTCACCATCCAAGAAATGACGACCGCGTGCACACTGCACACATGCAGTTTTGTTGCTAGTAGATACGTAGCCGGCGTTCCGGGCGGTGGCCATAGCTGCTACAGAGTATCAGATTCCAAAAGTTTAGATCACTCAGATCAGCACTTGCTTTTGTACAAGTATACATTTTGATCCTCCTAAGTTTGAACGGCATAAATATTCTGCACTTGAAGTGTTCCAGTGTGCAAAGTTCTATATCTCGAAATTCGAATCTGCCTTTTTTGGCTTCTGTGCTTTGGCGTCGACCAGAGTCGCACTCCACCTCCCCTTGGCCGAGCAGGCAGCCAGATCACGTCTGTACAGTCGCGAATTTCACCATGTTTATTTACGGACCCGAGGCCGGGGCCGTGGACGCCTGGAACGCCGTGGATGTCCTGGTTGACGGTGTGCTGCAGCACGGCCGCGTGATCAACGTAGTGGAGAAGGGCTTGATCGTCGATTTCGATTGCGAGACACAGCGGGCGCAGTTCGTCGAGTACGGACGCATTTTCCACTTGACTGAACCGCGTGATGATTTGAATCTAAAAGGAGGCGAGAATGTCCAGGCTCTCGTGCGCGCCGCCCCCGATGGTCCGTGGCAGTGGTTCCCGGGTAGGGTGGCCCGCGACGGGGGCCTTGACTTTTGCGTCCAAGCGTACATCGTGGAGGCGCAACTACCACACGGCGCCATCACGGAGCTGCTGCCCCGGCAACAAGTGCGTTTTGTGCCCTCCAACAACGAGTTAGACAGCCGGCGGATTCAGCCCACGGATTTTCAGATCCGTTCCTGCCTCTTGTCAGCCGTCTGGTTCAACGCGTCGCGTGCGCTCCTAGATGCCTGTCGACTGCATCTGCAGCGAAAGCGGTCCGTCTGGTGGACCAAGATGAGCCACGGGGGGCTGTGGTATGTGCAGCGATCCGCAGATGCTCCGCTGCAACCGCCGGAACTGGTATGTGGCTCTTGTCGTTCGTTAACTCTCATTCTATTTCGTTAACTCTTAAACAAGCTATGCCATGGGGCTGAGTTTCTCCGCTAATACGGATCTTGTTGTCTATAAGGATTCTGCGAGTATGTGCGATGTGTAACATGTTTTTACGCTGTTGCCAAGTGTGCCAGTGCATGAGTCTAAATCTCTACCCGTAACAATACTTGCTGTTTTGATTCTTCTGTAGCGGATTCTGGTAATGAGCCTGTGCTGTGTTCGGCAAGGTTAAAATTCCCATGCCGTATATTTAAAAGTTAAAACAACAGGCTTCTGGGTTTAGTACGTGAGCAGCACGGTGATGAAACCTTTTCAACTGCAGGAAGCGGTGTGCATGGAGGGGTTGAAGAAGCATGAAGGGAAAATTGCACAGCAACCACTCAGTGCGGCTGCTACGCCGTCAGGGAAAAGGCAGCGCACCGCCAGGGACAGGGGACTGCCCTTAGCCGTTGAGCTACTGGTTGAGACCTTCCAGTCGCTGCATTCGATTGATCGCACGCGTCACCGACGCGTCTGCGCCCTGTGGAACCAACTTCTCACCACCGAAGCTTACTTCCCCGTTGTGCGTATCTCCTGCCAGCCCGCGGACTGCCCGTTGTCCTGGACGAATCCCCGCTTCTGGACGCATGCCGTCCTGCTGCACTGCGTTAACCGCCGCACGACAACGATCGTTCTGACGCACATGGATTTATTAGGCGACGGCGAATACGCGGCCAGCATGATTCCCCACATGGCCGGCCGTATCCCGAGGCTGGTGCTGTATCAGTGTTTCTGGTCGTACCCCGGGTGCACTGTACGGGACATTTTGGCCCATCATAGTCCTCTCATGAAAGTCTGCAGTACTGCGGAGCGCGTGGTATGGTCACAGTGCCGCGTTCGCGAAAAGCATCTTAATGTACTAGCTGTCTCGCAGCATTCGCATGGCTGCCAGCCAGAAGAACAACTGCGAATGCAGCTGTGGGATCTCTTTGAGAAGCATTTGATTGTGGACGAACCGGTCGATCGGAATGCGGTGTCGGAGTGGATGAAACAGTGCGCCCAGTACGGCTTCCGCTTCTCCACGACGCTGGTAAAGGTATAAGACGATAGGCGGGTTCATTATAGTTTGTTAGGGTGCCGTACTGGTCCCGGTGGATCAGACTTCGAAGTCGCATTAACCGGGCTAGTCTGCTCTTGATGTATGAATGTACGTGCATTGCAGGCGCTTCACGATTACCAGAGCGCGGATCCGCGTCCCTCCAACTGCTATCGTTGTCGTCGGTGGACGCCCTCCGATGTCGAGGGACTAGACATCTACAGTTTATCCCCGCTGGCGGCGACGGCTTTGCACCGCGTCATGATGGAAACGCGAAACGACACTGATAAGTTTACTGGATAATGCTTCTCTCTGTATATATATGTCAAGTAATATACGAGTGTCCGGACTATGAAGTATTCGTATGAACTACCAAAGTTGCATCACCTGCATGGTGGGGTTTAGATTGCCTGTTCATATTTGTCCATGTTAAGGTTTAATTGAAGAAGCTTTGTCAGTATTGTATCCAATTTACTTGGCATTTATGGGCACTGGGCAGCGCCTCTAGTACACAAATGGCGGAAGTGGAATACAGTTTGTTGTGTTCATTAAAAAAATGTTCAAGTGCAACATACATACTGCTAGTATCCTGCTAGCTATGAATTAGTGACTGAATTAAATGATTTCCCGATTGAACCAGAATGGAGTCAGCTTTCCACGTCGCGTTTTATTCGCACATGGAAGCATAACTGCCGACACTGTATTCGCCATCAGTTACATCATAAATTATGTAACAACTTTATTCAGTATGTTTAAGAAAAAGGCAACGCCTTGCGTTCACATCATCTAAAAAAATCAGTTACATCACCACAGGGATTAAGGCTCATGAATAGCTCATACTCCATATTCCATTCCAGATTAGATTCTGTCAAGGAACACTTCAAATAAAGTACGTACTTCTATACAACCAGTTTGTCTATACACCACGATCCACAGTCACCACTGCACGTCGTAAAACCCGTCGGTGGTTCTCCACAATACAAGCATCTTTATAATCACCCTTGTGACTGTATATGAATAAAGTTAAACACAAGATTGGGACTGCACAATAAACAAAAAGGCACTGTTCCAGCGAACTACTGGTCTGGCTGCAGGACTTCACTGAAGACGGCCGCCGTCACGCGGCTCAGGTTACTGACATCCAGCTGCTGGATCACGTCGTCCACCGTCCACTGCCAGTCGCGGTAGTGCGTGGATTCACGGGGATCGGCGCTCTGATAAGTTTCCAGCCCCTGCAATCAGGTAGTGGTTAAGCGACTTCGCTTATATTTGATTGCTTTACTGAATAAGCGAGCACTCCAATATCCTTATCCTTTGAAGAACATCAAAATTTATGCTAGGCTAGTCAAGTCACCGCACAATGTCCATGCCAGTACTGCTTACATAGATAATTTTTCTCTGAATTTCGTCGCGATTCTGGTTGGCAATGCAGTCCACCACCCACTGGACATCCAGTGGCTTCTTGAGGACGAGATTCTTCTCCACGAGATCCCACAGCTGTGTCTCCAGCAGCGCTTCCGGCTGCGCACTGACCGTGTACTGCCCGTTGACACCAGCGTCAAGAAACATATCGCTGATGCGGCATTGCTTTACCAGCACGCGCTCCGCAGTCCCACAGGTCAGCACCAAGTTCCAGATAATATCCCCGACAGACTCACGGAACATGCTCTCTTTGTCTTGACAGAACTGGCACTGGTCGAACACCAGCTGCGGCAGGCGGACGTCAGTCCCGCGGATGCGGCGAATAAGTGCCACGATGCGGGAGCAATCTCCCAGATTCAAATGGCGAAACACCACCGTCCGCGGACGGTTGTTCAGACATTTCAGCACGCAGGCCACCACCCAGAACATGGGCTGCCGGCAGTACTGAATATAGTCCGCCGGCAGCCCGGATACACACACATCCTGGAAGTTGGCCTCCGTGGTGAGAATACTATTCCATAGGGGACAGACTCTTCGACAGCGGACCCGCTCTAGGCTGTTCAGTGACTGGAGGATCTCCACCAACAGCTCGGGTGGCAGCGACAGGCCTCGGCGCTGACGGCCAGCTGTCTTGCGCTGTTTCTTTGCTGCATTCGCAATTTCACTCGATGTGGGAAACACATGTAGTGTCGCGTGGTTGTTGACGATTTTTTTTGCCGTAGAGTAAGAATATTCCTGTCAGTCGAAAAAGGATGTTGAAAATTTATCTAAATAGTAAATACACTCAAAAAATAGAAAACAATTACAATCGATCGATGTGATACTTCGATGTTTATCGCATTCCAGACACATTAACACTTAGGAATTCGAAAAAACAGCGTATTCTTTGCGTTGTTCCACATTAATAAACATGGTAAATTTTATTGATGTCGTCTACCAGCTTGTATAGAAGCATTTATTATCACATAATGTCACGTAATGAATTTTTGTCCATGTAGGACAATGCAGGAGATACCAATGACTTCAGTGTCCGGTACGCAAATCCATATTGTGAAAATGTCCGAAATACCAAAAACGCCGAAGTAAGTATTGCAAAAAATTATAGCGCGGCAAGATACGTGAGTATTTCAAAGTTTTAGCAAAAGCTTTATTAGCTAATTTCCTTGTCAAAGACTCGCATTCTTACTACTTTCATGATTGTCTCAAATTGGTGCATGGCTGCGGAACTAACACTAAAAACATGAAAGAAAATATTTTTAAAACGTACCACTCCGGCAGCGTCCAGTGAAGGGGCAGTCTGGCACTGCAGATACAGCAGCGTCTGGCTGAGGATGGCGGTGCAGCGAATTTCATGCTGATGGCGCAGTTGAAATTTGAACGTCTCCGCCAGATAGTTCGACGCCTCGGACCAGTAGTCCGTGGGCAAAGGGCAGCAGCGGATAACGAAGTTCTTCTCCACAATCGGCCGCCGCGATGACTGAACCACTCCACGCACCTGCTCCTCAGGCAACAGCTCACGGACTACGCCGTGTGGCAGCTGTACCTAGGGTGACAGTAAAATTCAGACAGTTCTGGGGCGCTTCTGAAATGATTTGAAGTGAAACTGGAAATGTTATTTTGCGGCTCATTTTTCGAATATTTTTCTGTCATAAACAAGAAATTTAAATGAAACCTTATTGGTTACTGATCACGTAAATTATAGTTTTTCCAACAGCGATGTTTTATTAATCGGCAATTGATTTCATGTGTTTTTCATCAAATAAAAAATTATGTACTAATAAAAAGTATGTATTACTGGAAAAAAGCTAAAATTATTTAAATTTTTCATATCAAACCGTTTTAGAAATGGTCAAAGTCCGGTTGGTTCTGACATAATATGATTTGAAGCTTGACAAGTGAAAAATGAAACGTTAAAATTGTGAGTGTCACTTGTCAGCAATCCGTTGTCAAGTTGACATGGTGAGCGTTAATTCACCTGCACCAACACCACATTATGATTGAAGAAACCCCATTTCCCCAGCACCTTCCCGGGATGCCACGTCCAGGCCGCGCTGGACATGGCGCGCAGCAGCACCTGGGCATCGGGTGCGTTGGCGGGATCGGGCAACGGCGTGTCACTGCCGTAGAGCTCGGGGTAAGCCGTGGTCTGGTCGTAGGGCTCATGCGGGCCGCTGCGCTCCCAAATGCGCCCGTATTCCACAAACACGGAGCGCTGCGCATCCAAGTCGAAATCAATGATCAGGCCACCTTCCACGACGTTCATGACGTGCCCGTGCTGCAGTTGGCCGTCCACGAGGACGTCCACGGAGTTCCACGCGAACGCGTCTCCGTGTAGAAACATTTCACAGTTGATATTTGAAGAGTTTATTTCGAAGATGTTGTTGTAGTGTAATGCGTCTACGACGTGGTCGAGTTGTTCGGTCCACAGAATAGGGAGAAACCAGAAAAATTACTAAGGACATTTATTTTAATTGTGTAAATGAAACTCAAAATATACTTCTTCACTTCACGCAAGTCGCAACCTAAAACGTGCAAATTTTCAATTTTCCGTTGTACATAAGCCGTCGTTACGGGCGGTAGCAACATTCGCTCACTGCACACCAAGAACAGGCGCCTAAAAATTAGTTGCTGACAAAGCTGGCACCCGGTGGAAGGGCGGCAACATCCACTCCGTTCGCTGCACGTGACGGTTATGTGAATGAACAAGCGCGTTCGTTCATGAAAACTGGCAGTTGGCAACTGTTGTGTGTGTGCCTGTGTGGTCGATTGCACAACAGCCACGCGCTTACTCGCATGACTCACGCGTTATTTACTTAACCAACGTTACAGACGCTGCATTTGTGGTACGATATCAGATTCCACTGGAATAATCGCAGCGTTACAATCGTCTACAAGATTTCTAACTTGTTCCAATGTTCCCTGTGATAACGATAAAATTTTATTGATCCCTTTCTTTATCCTAACAATCGCCTGTTTATTATTATGCAACCCCCGTCAAACGCTGAAAACTGGTAATTCTGGTTTTTACGCCTTCTCGCAACCGACGTTGTATTTCATCAGAACAACGGGGATTGGTGGATTACGGAGGCCGTGGCTGGTGCGTTCAACCGCCATGTGATTTCCGCTCTTTTCGCTTGATTTCTAATCCGCGATGTTGGACACCGAGACCTGCTCCAGCGGGGGGTCCCCCGCGGCCCCCTGGACGCGGGAGGGGAGCTGTTCCGCGGACGGGGCGGGCAGCTGGCTGACGAGCTGTTCCGGAGTGTGGTGTGTTTTTGTTTACGTGCCGCTGCTGATCCTGACGGGATGGGTTATGTGGTGGGTGGCCCGCGGGATGACGATCCTCTGGATCAGGATCCGCGGGAAGGTGTCACTGGGGCTGAAGAACGATCCGGCGGAGGAGCCGCCTGTCAGTGGACCCAGTAAGGAGGAGGCGCGGGAAGGACGGCGGGAGGCCCGGGTGGCGGGCGGCAGCGGCGGGATGGGGAAGAAGTTCCCGAAAAAGGAGAAGGTACGCTGATTTCACAGATGAACATTTTAGAAGATAATTTGTAATAATGAAAATTAAAAAAACAAATAACTGTAATTTTGTGAATTTTGGAGTACTGAATTCGGAATTTATCATTCTCTAGAAACCCAAATAATTTGAGTATTTGATATTTCGATTTTTTACAAATCAATAATCTAGCAATTAATGGAAGTTATTACTGAGTTAGTGCATAAAATAATCAGATTGATACTGGATTTGTTTACGTCATTAATTTTGGTAAAATTATGGAGATTTACAGATACAAACTGGATTTTTTGATTTATTGTTTAACGTTTTATACTTATCCTGTTATCCAATAATTAATATAAAAATGTATGATATTTTAAAATGTACAGTGATCAGTAATCAGTAATGAAAAATAAAACTTTAATAGCAATAATTATAGGAAAATAAAATACGAAATTGTCAAAAATGATAGAAAAATAGGAAATGAATACCGTAATTAAAAAATATCGCATATAATTTATTTGGGTAACTGGATGAGACATGCGGGGAGGCGAGAAAATTCCCTGTGTGAACTGTGATTTTTGACCTGATCCAGTGTTGTGGCTGCGCGGGTTGTTGCTGATTTTTTGGACTTTGAGATGACATGAATAATCGTCCGCGCGGGTTAGCGTGTATATTATTTTAATAGTTCTTGCAGAATAATTATACGGATATTAGCGGTGTAATAAGCAGCAGATTGTTGTGTCATGGTCCTCATGGATGTGTATTTAGCCGGTGATGCGTCGGCGTAAATGCGATAACAATTATGCCGATTGTGTGCGTATTCCAGTGAAATTTATGAAAATTTACATTTTATTTGTTGAAAGTGTTTACCGGGGTTTGGCGATCGCTGTACAATGTACATCGGACTTCTTACTTTGCACGAACTTAATGAAGTATTGATGCAGTGGATTATTTACCGACTCCGCACTGTCATATGCATTATTTTCGTAATGCCTTGCGGCTTGCGGTGCAGTATCGAAGTATTGTTTTTTCAAGAGCAACGGCACATTCGCTTTGTAGCTGTTTTCCCACAGTCAGTTTTGAAAATGACACGAATTTGGTGTGGTAATTCTTGCACCGCTGCCACCGGCACCATCCATCGCGAGTTATGGCTTTTTCCTTTTTTGTGAACATTTTTTAGCTTTTTTTTCCCGCCCTATGTTTACAGCACGGTAGCAAGTTGAAGGGCAAATTAAAATTGCAGTGGATAAAAATTACCGAAAAAAATAAAAATGAAATTTAATAAATAGGCTGGGGAGTAAAAATTAAGGAAACTTTGAAAAATTATCTGGAAATTTGTTTAAAAAGTTCAGTTAATAATAAGTGCTGTGACGTTATGTTATTAAATTGTCGTAATCGGTAATCTGTAGAATTTTTTTTTGTAGAATAATTTGTTTGGATTTTTTATAATCGCTAAACCTGATTGTTATGTTACGTTTTTGAAAATCGATCTAGATATTCTGCGTTCTTTTTGTAAATATCCGTAATAAATGTCGTGTGAAGAACTCTGCGGAGATAATCGAAGTATAATGATTATTATGAATTTGTGCAGGTCCGCTTTTACTACAATAAAGTCCTGCATCGCGTCAACTCATGGCGCTACGCGGATTCCCCGGGCGGCAAGCAGCGTCTCAAGACCCGCCAGATTGTCCGCAAATTCGCCGACAACCTGCTGAACCGCGTCAAACTGAAGGGCCGCTTCCGGCGCCGCGGCAGCGAGTCCAGCGCCCCGCGGTAGACTTTAATTTTTGAAATTTCGATATTTTGATTTTATATAATTCAGCATATAATTTAGGTAGGATGATTTCGTATTGAATTTACATATTAATGAAGTATGTAATTTTAATATTCAACTAAAACTCAGAAAACTCTAATTATTCTCAAAAAAAGCATATTTAAAACTTAAAATAAGTACAATAAATTTTTAAACAAAATTTCAGTAATTTAATGTCATCTAATTCGATGTAATATGATTTACGGTAATTTAATGTTGAACTAATTTATTAATTTAAGTGTAATATTCGTTTAAAATTCAAAAAAAATTAGATTATTTGATAAAGCTTTTTCTGTTATTCAAACAGGCTGCTGCAGAAGGAGCTGCCGGCTTCGTACTTGGAGGAGCAGGCTGGCGCGGTGAGCGGGCGTCTGAACGCGGCGCTCCCCTCCGAAGTGCTGTCGATGATGCGGGCCATCCGCGTGTTCGGCCATCTGGACGAGGCCGTCTTCCTGGAGTTGTGCCAGCAGATGGCCTCGGTCACCATCGAGCCGGGTGATTTCCTCTTCCGCCCCGGCGATCCCGACGACTGCGTGTACATGGTGCAGCGCGGACGACTGCTGGTCTTCATCTACGACCAGGACACCAAACGAGAATTGCCGCTGAAGGAGGTCAAAACCGGTACGCCTGTCCGGAGATTTGCGCGGCGGCGGTTGATTTTTCTTAACACCGAGATTTATTTAAATAATTGAAAATTTAATTTCGATTTATTACAATAACAATTAAATAATAAACATTTTCTTTTTAAATAATAGAAATTCGAAATTAACTACAGAAATTCGATTTATTAATGGGTCTTCGATATTTTTGATTGAATTAATCACACAATTAACGCCTTATTTTAAGGGTTTATTGTTAAGAGGAGAACTGAATTTTATATGAAGGGATTTAACTTTATTAAGTTAAAATTTTAAGAATATAGAATATTTTATATTAATTTTAATGTTATCATTTAAATCGTGTACTTTGATTATTTAATTGATCCTTTACTGAAAAGCGCGTGCTTTTATTTTGTATTTTTGAGATTGATTTCCATGTAAAATGGACGAAAGTAATTTGTTTTTTTAAATTAAATTCAAGATTTATATGAATAATTTAATTTGTGATTAAAATTAACATAATATTGAACAGGGGAAAGTATTGCCAGCATGTTGAGTATCCTGGACGTGCTGTCCGGGCACCAGCACCCCTTCAAGACGGTGACGTGTCGCGCGATAGAAGAGAGCCTGGTGATCCGCATGCCGGTGACGGCGTTCGGCGGCGTGCTGGAGCGCAGTCCCGAGTCGTTGGTGCGCGTCGTGCAGCTGATTATGACGCGGCTGCAGCGCGTCACCTTCTCCGCGCTGCGCGATTATTTGGGCTTGACCCACGAACTGATGAAGTCCGACAAGCACGGCGGACTGACGCCGCTGGAGCCGGTACCGGCGGTACGCAATACCCCCGGAAACCTCGCTAACCAAGGTAAAATAATTAAATAAATTAGTGGAACAAATTATTAATGTTGCAGCGGTTCAGTTAAAAAACTGATATATCATAATGATTAATGTACAACTTAGAAAAAATAAATTGTACATTTTTAAAAAGTTATTTAAGTAATCTAATAGTTAAATTAAATTTAGTGGTTAATACAGATAAGAACAATAAAATTGGTTATAAGAAATTCGTGTTGAAATGTTTAGGGTACAGTAAAGAATTAGCTAAATTAAATTTGTTATTTAATAAAAATAAACTGCTGTTACAATAAGTTCGTAGGTGGAATTAATTAAACAATAAATCAGCCAAGATTAATTAAATGTTGACTGAAAACTAAAGCATGTGATAAATTTATTAATAAAATTATTTTGGTAATAAATAAGCGATTTTTAATCAGGTATTTAATAGAAAAATAAAATAAATATTTTATGGATGTAATAATTTATTAGCGGGTTTGAAAATTCACTTTTGAACAGCGCATATGACGCCTGCGCACGGTGTGCACGCGCAGAGCGTGGACGAGACGGGCAAGCACTTCCGCTCGCAGTCCATCGTCACGCTGCCCTGGAAGGTGTCCGTGCCGGTGCCCCTCTCCCCGCCGGCGACGACGGACGGCGCCGCCCCGCCCCCCTGGGCCTTCACCAGCGGCCGCCCACCGCTGCCGGTGCGCAGTCTGGACGACGATTTCGCCCGCAAGGTACGTTGGTTTGGGGTGCTGTCTTTGACATGTTTTGGCTTGTGGTGTGCTGTTGTGTCGTTTTAACCACTCTAACCCGGTGTCGGTTCTTGTTTTGTCCTGCAACAGCCTGAACGCGCTAACGTGGAGGGGGAAGTGGGCGACCGGGTAAAACAACTCCTGTAAATTAGTTCAGAGTTTTTTAATGACATTTAAATTATCCGGCGAATTTTTAACTGTCATCTACTGTAAATCGCATTTTAACCCGTTTTTAGGTGAATTTTTAATCACATTTATGGCGGTTTTTGGATAAAAATTATACCAGATTTATAACACGTTTTGAATCAGTTGTACCTGGAAATTCAAATCAAGTTTGAATAATTTTTAGATGAAATTTCGTGTGGATTTTAATCAGCTTATAGGTGAAATTTTAATTGAATTTTATGTTCTGTTAAATCTACTGTAAGCCATTTTTTTGATAAAATTCGGAATTAATGCGGAGTTTATTTTATAAGATTTCAATGGAATTGATTTTCCATTTTTCGTCAAAATTGGAACAAAATTCAAATCGATGTTTTGAAAAAATCCAAATCAGAACTAAGCCAATTTCTAGATGAAATTCAAGCGAATTTTGTGAAGTTCTATAGCTTTTGTGAAGTTCAAATAAAGTGGATGTATTTCAAACTCATTTATTTTTTGTGGAAAACTTTAATGAAATTTAAAATTCCTTCTTCTTAAATCAACTCACATGTCAAATGATCTTTCAGTTAAATTCCAGTTTTTACGGTAGATGCAATTTCAAGTGCAGTTACTTTATAAATCAAATTGAAATAAACTGTTTGCGGTTTTTCAAGTGAAACTAATTCTTAAATTTAGTTTAAATCAATTATGTGCTGGTCCTACGGCGCGCATCATCATGTGATTATTTTTCTGCAACAGTTGCAGTACTCGCTGAGCATCAAGGAGCCGGACAAGATGACGCCCTCCCGCCGGCCGTTGGGCCGCTCCGTCTCCGTGGTGGAGGAGGCCCATTTACCGGAAGACGACGACTTCGAGCGGGCCCGGCGGGATTTAGTGGAGCTGTTGGGCCTGAAGAGCGTCGCCGTGTTGGAGGACCGCATGGTGTACAAACGCGTCCCCTCGGGCATGTATCTAGTCCATGAATTCGACCAGGACAGCAGTCTGTACTACATCGTCTCCGGCTGTCTCAGTGTCTCGCAGAAATCATTGGACCGCACCGATAAGAACGCGCATCTCTTCGTGGCGGTCAAGGGGGAACTGGTCGGCACGTTGGCCGGTAAATTGGGGATTTTTATTTAATTTTTATGGGAAGGATTAATATTATTTTATTTTGTTATTATTTGTTTTTTATTGTGTTGCAGTGTTGACGGGAGAGCCGAGTATGTTTAATATCCGCGCCAAGACCGTCTCCCGAATTCTCATGATAACCAGGTAAAACACAGTTGATTTTATTATTTTGCGGATGAATTTTCTAAACGCTCTTTTTAAGGCAATTTTGGAAAATAAGAAATACGAAAGTATAAAGGCAATAAAATTAGAAATTAATTGCTTAAATAATGGAATTTTTTTCGAATTATTATTTTAAAATGAATAAAAAGTAAAAAATTAAAAATTTCCAAGTTTGAGGAGAAACTGCTGGGAAAAAACCGAGCGAAACAATGTGGAAGTTGCTACGAAAATAAAAGAAAAATTGCAAATTAGTGTAACTTTATGGGCTAAAAAGGATTCACTTCATAATTAAATTTTAAATACAGCTGGTTATGTTTTTCAGAGCGGATTATTTTGAGTTGCTGCGCGAGTATCCGCAGATCGCGTTAAGCACCGCGCACAGTTTCGTCAAGCGCATGACACCGTTCGTGCGGCAAATCGACTTTGCCCTGGACTGGGAACAGGTCAGACAAAAATACCGGATTGGTGATCTGTATTAGTGATTCTTGAACTGTAGTGATTAATAAAAATAAATCCTAAGACAAATATTTCTGACAAATACCTAAATACACCGGGAAAAAATACGGTACTTGTATTGATAATTTGATCATATTTATTCATGATTATCAGATTTTAATGATTATTAAAATAAGCAAGCCGAGGAAAATATATGCTGATTAAATGCAGTTTTCAGTTTCTACCGCAACACACAAGATAAAAGATATTTAATGATTTATTAATCATTATTAAAAATGAAGGAAATAAATTCTGTCAAATAAATTCAGTAATTTGTCTCATTATTACGTAATCATTATTGTCTCGTTATGAATTATTAATACCGTTTGGGCTGCAGGTGGAATCGGGTCACGCCATCTTCCGGCAGAACGACGAAGCGGACTGCGTGTACGTCATTCTGAACGGGCGGATGCGCGCCGTCGTCCGCAAGACGGACGGCAGCAAGGAGGCCACCGGGGAGTACGCCCGCGGGGATCTCGTCGGCCTGACGGAGGTGTCGGTGCACAAGCCGCGCATGACCACCGTCATCGCCGTCCGCGACTCGGAGATCGCCAAGATCCCCACCCACGTGTTGGAGTACATCAAACTCAAGTATCCCAAGGTGGTCACGCGGCTGATTCACATCCTGGGCGACCGCGTCTTCCACCAGATGCAGAGTAGATTAGCCGGCGCCCCCGTCGCCACGGTGACCGCCACCGGGGATCCGGCCATGGCGCCCTCCAACCTCACCACCGTACGTATTTTATTTTTGCATTTAAACGTTTATTTTATTTTTTGCAGTATTTAATTCGTTGGAATTTTTTTTGTAATTGTTATAATTCTTTCTTTTGATTTTCGTTTGTTTTATTTTCAATTTTTTAATTTTAATTTTTTTTACGTATTTAATTTGTGGGATTCTTTTGTTTATAATTATGGTTTTAAAGTTTTTTTGTACTCTTTAACAGTTCTTTTCGGTTTAATAAAAATTACGTAAGCAGCGGAAATTTGAACATTTGTTTTAATTTTTGCACTATTTCATTCACTGGATTTTTTTGTTTATAACTGTTCTAATTCTTTCTAAATTTAAACATTTATTTTATTTTTCTACAGTATTTAATTCGTGAGATCCTTCCTTTGATAACTATCGTTTTTTTTTGGTTTTTTTTCGTCTTTAGCAGTTTTTTCTGTTTTATAAAAGTTACTTAAGCGGCGGAAATTCTGTTTAATTTTTTCAGTTTCAGATTTATTTAAATTTTTTTACAGTGATTTTTCCACTTACTTTTTTCGTTGATATTTTCATCTATTTGTGAAAAAATATTTAAGAGAAGGAAGTTGTTATGTTTTTTTTAACGATTTTTTATTAATTTGAACGGCAGATACACCAGCCTATATTTTCGAGTTTTCATCCCTTTTTGTCGTTTTTATTAAATATTTTCAGAAATTGTTCTAGAATTTTTCTAGCTGTTATTTCGTGGGTTCTGCGGTGCATTAGCTGTTGAGTAATATTTAATCAATATTTCGATTTATTTTTCCCGTGTTTTTGCTCAGGTAGCGGTGTTGGCGGTGAACGGGGATGTGCCGCTGGACGCCTTCTGTCTGGAGCTGGACTGGTCGCTGCAGCAGCTGGGCACGACGCTGCGCCTGACCAGCCGCTTCGTGGAGCAGCTGCTGGGGGCGGCTGCCCTGGAGCCCGTCAATGAATACCGGTTAGCCGGCAGTTTGGCCGCATTAACCGTGACTGCCGGCTGCATAATTCGCATTATTTTGCGGATATAGGTTGGCGACGTGGCTGGGCATCCAGGAGGACTCGCACCGCATGGTGCTTTTCCAGTGCGACGAGAGCATGACCACCTGGACGCGCCAGAGTCTCCGCCAGGCCGACTGTATCCTCATCGTCGCCAACGGCGACAAACAGCCAACGGTACAGACGAAAAAATAAATAAGCATAAATAAATTACGTAGACTAAATTACACAGAATAAAATCATTATTAATAAATAAATCAATCAAATAAATCAGCAAAAATAAATTACCTAGAATAAGTTAAACCGAATGAAATAATTATGAATAAATAAAATAATTGAATTAATGAATGCAATAGAATAAATAAGCAGAATGAATGAAATCATTAGAAAGCGAAATAAAAATTTAATAAGAAATCACTGATTTCAAATCAGTAAATAAAATTGGTGTTATGGTACGAGTAATTAGTCTCGCAGCGCAGTCATTCTTGAACGCGTACTGGCTTTTGCTGAATAAAATAGAGAAAAAATAAGAAAAATTTAGCAAATTAACTGATGTGTAAACTATAAACAAATTAACTGATGTATAAACTATAAACAAATTAATTGATGTATAAACTATAAACAAATTAATTGATGTATAAACTATAAACAAATTAGCAGAATAAGAAGCAGAATAGTGAAATGTCAGCGTAAAACTTACTGCTGGTGCCTAAAGTTTCAGTGCATTTTTATAAGATTTTCGTAGTGTATTGGCTGCACAAGGGTTGGCTCAACTGTAGATCACTGATTTGCACTCATATTGACGTCAGCGTCGATGGTGTACTGTAATTAGTCTTTGAAAAAGATTTTTTATTCGACTGATTGAATAATTTATTCTCCGATATATTTTTGAAGGCAAATAAATGAGTAAATTTTAAATACAACTACTGAAATAAGTAAATAAATGTAACAGTCTTATTTTGTAAGCTAATAAATTTAACGTCTCGGGTGGATGTATTTTAGATTGGCAATTTGGAGAAGCAGCTGGATGTGATGGATCTGCGCGCCGAGAAGCGGCTGGTCCTGTTGCACCGGCCGGACGCGGTCATCCCGAAGAACACCGCCGACTGGCTGAATATTCGCGGTAATTTATTTTTCTAAATTATTTTTTTTCCCAATTTTTATTCGCTCGTTCGTCGTTTACCGAATTTTTTCTTAGGTTGGCTGTCGGCGCATCATCACATTAAATGTCCGAAACGCCTGTTCCTCCGGAAGCCGGCGACGTGGTTCGAGGAATACTACGAGCAGAAGCGCACGGCTATTCCGGACAAATTCTCGGATTTTTCGCGCTTAGCGCGCATTCTCATGGGCAAATCCATTGGATTGGTCTTGGGCGGGGGCGGGGCCAGGGGCGCTGCCCATGTCGGCGTTATTCGCGCCATGCTGGAGGCCGGGGTGCCCATCGACATGGTCGGCGGCACCAGTATCGGTAAATAATGAATTTTGGGGATTTTTTTAAAAATTTATTTGTTTAATTTCTTTTATTTTCCAATAATTTTCTGTTGCTGTTCTGTTTACATTTTATTTATTGTGTATTTGTTCAGTTTGTATTTTCAGTCTTTTTATTTTGCGTTTATTTTCGGTTGTTTGTTTGGTTTCTTATTCGTATCCTTTTTATGTATTTTCTGTTTAATTGTTTTAGTTATTTCTTGTTTAGTTTTGGTTTACTCGCCGTTTTATTTTTCTGATAATTTTTTATTTCCTTCGTATTTGTTTTCGTTTATATCATGTGTATTTTACACTTCTTTTGGGTTTATCAGTCTGGTTTGGGGATTCTTTTGATAGAAGTATACATATTTCTGTTTTATTTTTTTTTTTAATTTGTCTGAAATTTTAGCTAATTTTTTGCGGTGCTCAGGGTCGTTTATGGGAGCGTTGTGGTGCGAAGAGCGCAATCTGACCCGCTTCGTGCAGCGCGCCCGCGCCTGGTCGATGGGGATGATGTCGCTGTGGAAGCGCATCATCGACCTGACCTACCCCTACACCAGCATGTTCAAGGGCACCACCTTCAACGAGGCCATCGAGGCGACGTTCAAGGACCGCCAGATCGAGGATTTATGGATTCCGTATTTTAATATAACCACTGACATCACGGCGTCCGCCATGCGGGTGCACAAAGCCGGCAGTTTGTGGCGCTATGTCCGCGCCAGTATGTCGTTGTCGGGCTATCTGCCGCCGCTGTGTGATCCGGAGGACGGGCATCTGCTGCTGGATGGCGGTTATGTGAATAATCTCCCCGCTGATGTCATGCAACAGCAGGTACGAGAATGTAAATTATTTCAATAAAATTTCAAATTAATTTTGAAAAATTAAGGCGAATTGTCCAGTTTTTCCGATTTATTGTTAATATGGAAAAAATCGACAAATTATTTTTTGAACATTTATAAAGTTAAATTCAGTAGTTTCAAACATATTAACAAAAAACATTTCAACTGTTAATAAATTGGTGGAATAAATTTGGACAAATTCTTACTTAATTAAAACGGAAGATTTCCATAAAAATTTTCAGTTTTAATTAAGTAAGAATTTATTAAGAAATTTAATTAAGTAAGAAAATTTTTATGGAAATTTTCCCACTTCTGAGTGATACGAAATATACGACAAAATTGTGAATTCGATAGACAATATTCTGACGAAGAATTATTAAATGGGAGTAATTTTTCATAGGGTGTGAATTATATTGTGGCGGTGGATGTGGGGAGTCAGGACGATCATAACCTGACGAACTACGGCGACGAACTGTCCGGTTGGTGGCTGCTGTGGAAGAAGCTGAACCCCTTCGCCACGCCGGTGCGCGTGCCCAACATGGCCGAAGTGCAGACGCGGCTGGCCTTCGTCAGCTGTGTCCGCACGCTGGAAATGGTCAAGAAGTCCGACTACTGCGTCTACGTCCGGCCGCCCATCGAGAGCTTCAAGACCCTCGAGTTCAACAAATTCGATCTCATCGCCTCATTGGGGTAAACTTAAAACAAATATTGAAATAATTCCCGTCTTTTAATTTATCATTTGTATTTAAAGAATTATTTACCATTTTTATTAACCAAAAAAACAAAATATATGAAATATACCGGTAGTTTTTTTTAATTAGCTTTGTAAATGAATTCCATTTCAGCCAGTGATTTTTATTTATAAAACAGTCTGCTAAATAAGTTCATTAATTTTAAAATACAGCAATTTATTTTTTACAGAATGCCAAAAAACACCTTTTTATTTAATTACATTTGTTCTAATCTCGTCAGGTACAAAATAACCGAAAGTAGTTTTATTTACAAAATAAAATTTTAATTTTTAAGCCAGTTTTATTTTTTATTATTTATTTTTATTGGCGAAAGATCAGTTCGACATATTCAGAGTTACTGATTTGAACCAAACCAACTGCGGCGAATAAAACTGAAAAAGGTCAATGAATTTTTTTAGTACCAGTAATTGGTGTATTTCTTTAATTTATGTTTGAGTATGTAAATATTGGTAAATGAGGACGATAAAAATATGCTTGAAAATTATTTTTGCAACATTTTAATGAAATTTTTCGGCGCAGTTACGATTATGGGCGGAATTTCTTCGGGGAAGACAAGATCCGCTTAAAAGTGGAGGAGCTCTTCACCCGTGAAGTCCGGCGCTGTGCCGGCGTGGGCACGGTGCACTCGGTGAAGGAGACGGCGGAGCACGCGGCGGCCGGCGCCCTCCCCGGCTTCCAGTACAGCTTCACGGACCTCGCGCAGATCGTCTCCCAGATGAAGAGCAGCACGGCGTCTCTAAGCGAGAGCGGGGAGATGTCCTCCTCCAGCAAGGAGGAGGACGAGGAACTCGACGAAGTGGACGCGGAGGACGCCGCGGCAGAGGATACCGAGGAGGCCGAGGAACGGGCGTCGTCGGCCGGCGACGGTCTGGAGAAGACGGAGGAATAATTTGTACATAAAGCGATAATGGAATAGGACCGCGGTTCTATTTTGTTGGTTGACGGAACTCGGAATATAATGATTAATAGGAACAGACGCGGACATTGGTTCAGTTTTGTTCGTTGGCGGAATTCGGGTTGATGATTAACAGAAACAGACGGGTGGTATTCGTATTTTGGATTGCGGCGTTAGAGGTGAAATTGGAGCGTTGCAAGACGAATGTATATTTGTGATTTCGGGAGACCCATGACGTGATGCTACCAAAGAAAGTGAAGCCCTGCCTTTTCGTGGAGACGTGATGCAGTCTGCGTGTTTAGTGATCGCCGTGTGAATATGCGCTTGTGTGCTTTGTCCCGTGCAACGTTCAGACAGTTAAGTTATTTTTTTCGCAGTTTATTTTCTCATCGCAGTTTTCGTTGATTAAAGTTGCAGTGTGCGTTGTAATCGATTCATTATTTCGAACCACAGCAGCCAAAGTTGGCAAAGGTCATGAAATATTTGCACAATATTATAAAAGATATTTTTGGAAATTAGTTGCAGATTATTAATATTAGTATTATTATTATTAGTCAATTATTTGCTAAGAAAATCCCTGAACTGAAAATTTCAAGGACAAGAAATTCAGGACTTCTGATGCTTGAAGCAATTGCAACCGCTCAGTGCGGCAGCGTAATCTGAATTTTATCTTTAGAGTTATCCGAACATTCCCGTTCTTTCCCATTTTGATTTTCGTCACAAGAAATAACTTTCTCTGCACTGCTTCTCTTCAGACATTAAGATTAAATCACAAGAAACCATTCCAAGTTGTAAATATGCCGTTTTGAAACCAGACTGATGCCAAACCGACAAGCCACATATGTAAAAAATTGCGACGTAAATCGGACGTGAAATAGTGCGAACGTTAATTAACGCGATACTGCAAGATCGATAATTTGTGCGGAGACATAAAGCAAGGATTCACTAAGCTGAAATTAGCGAAGCGCAACGTCTACGGGTCGTCGAGTTGCAGGCGTTTATAGCAGATGAAATGGCGGGGCTCGTCGGCGGTGCATTCGGAGTCGGTGACGTCAGGGATTGCCGCGGTGATGCTGCGGCAGTTGGCCAGCCAGACCGCCGCGTCGCCGGGCAGAACGGCGCCGTTTTGCTGCATAACGCTGTGGATATACACCAGACTATTAGTCTGCTCCGTCGCCGGTTGGGCGCTCCACATCCGGCAGTAGTTGCGGCCTTCCACGAAACGCTGCACTCTGTACAAACACACCACCGTGTTTAGAAAATATTATTTATCGTTCAGGTATTTTCTCTTTAATTTTCTTTGCATTTTTCTCCTAAGAAACTAATTTAGAAATTATTTTTATATGCAGTATAGTCACATATTGAACTGTAGTTGCACACTTGCAACTCGTGGACCGGTGGACGTTACTGGAAAGGTCAAGTTCTCAGACATAAGAAAACCCGGTTCTATTCGAGAAAAAGCGCCCATGTTTTCTTCATCCAAAAGATGTCTTCAGGATGGTGTTTTTTGAATTTCAAAAGACCATAATGTAGTCCCATAGACCATGTATTTTAGACGTAAAAATGTATATGAAAACGGGCTCTATAAGTATACTGAAACATGCCGCTCGAAAGACGGCGTGTTGTGCTCCAACGATGTCTAAAGCACGTCAAAAAATTGCTTGCCGTAGAACCGGGAAACATAAGAAAACGCCGTTTGAGAAAACCAGCAGGAGGCGCTTCTCCGAAAATCATAGTATTTTTGACGACCAACCCGACCTGTTATTAGCCAGGAAGGAGAAGTAGTAGCACTTTTTCTCGCCCAACTTCACCCAGCCGTCCTCCGTGGGACACGCCCGATCTGAAAGTAGAGACGTGCAATTAATTACAATTATTTAGCAGTTAAATTAATTTTTAAGAACTATGCTATTGAATTTCTCGACGTGTAACTGATTCGATAGATGAATCAGGTTATATACGGCACTGACTGTCGGAGCTGGGATAGGCCAGCCGGATCTTCTTGGTGTCGACGGCGCTGAGGGCGGTGCGCTGTCCCATCACCTGCAGTCCACCGGGTGGCAGTTTATCCGGCAGCGGCTGGATGGTGAACTGCGTGGGGTCCTTGGCAAAGTCGTACTGGCCGTAGTGCATGATCGACTGGAAGTCGTACTCTTCCCCGAACGCCGTGATCTCCTCGGCGGAGTACTTGAGGAACTGGCTGCGATCGCCTAAATACTCACTATTTTCGGCTAAACATCACAAACAAGAAACCGGCATTCATACTCTCGGCAATGTTGTCCCAGTTGATCTGCACATACTGGTCCCTGTAGAAAAAAAGGGAGTAACACCGCATTTTGGCCGGCAAATGATTGGTCAACCGGTTCACCTGTCGGTGCGGGATTGTTCGTGGTAGAAACCTTAAAGAAACTGACGGTTACTTATAATTTCGTTGAACCGGAAAAAAACCTTACCGACGGTGTGCATTAGCTCGTGGTGGATGATCCCGACGGGTCGGCATTCTGATGCAAACATACAGTTGATTACGCTCAGCGCCGGGGAAGCGAGTTTTCTTACCGGGCATCTGCAGGCTGAGATATTGTCGGCCGTTCTGTTTGCCGGTATGCGACTGGCACCTGCATATCCAGACTTCAATCTTTTGTCGTTACTGCTGCTGCTGACGTCGTACTATATAGTGCTGGTGACGGAATAAACTGTACAGTAGCGATGTGTACGTAAAGTGACGGCTTTACTCGTACTTTTCGGCTATATTTTGTTTCTACACGGATGCGCCGTGTCTATATAAGTCCGTGAGTGGCAGTACTTTGGATCATCAGTTTTCTCATTCTGAGTTTTAGCAGTGCCGGAGTTACTATTACAATTTATCGTCGGAAATGCAGTTTCTTGCTTCGAAGTGGCGCGTCTAGGGTGGTGCGAGAGGAGCCATGGCTCCCCCGAACCCGGACGTAAAAAAAGAAGGGGGTACAGCAAATTTTTTTCCGGCGGGGGTCACCGAAAAAGCGAGAGAATACTCCCGGCCCCTTTGGTGTGAGTTCTCTGGCTCACTCTTTGAAACCCGCCTAGATTCGCCACTGTTGCTTCGCGTAGATTCTTGGGCTCAGCTATGCCCCATTGAGATTAGCTCATACTCTGCCGTTGACTAGGTCGGTAGGATAGATTATTACGGTAATTATTCCAATCGTACTGATCGCTCTGTCACTGGATGCTTACCCGATGCCGGGCCCGATGTAGACGTAGTCCGTCTCGGTTGTCTGCTCGACGAATACAATCCCGGTCTTGGCCGAGAAGGACTGCAGGGCCCGCCGCACTTTGCTGGCGTCATCCGGCACTGAAGCCCCCCAAATGTATCGCACCAGTCACAACATAGTGCGGACCGCCGCACTGCTACAGTTGATGGCTTACTGAAGTATTTGGACAGATGGAACGGCACCGTCCCCCGCGGCCACTTGCGCTGCTTGTCCTTGATGAAATTGGCGCTCTGCTTCGCCTGAATACACCAGAACGCACTTTGTGTATCTGGTCACGATGGTCAGCCGTGGAAATTTCCAATTATCATACCAGTTCGTCGGTGGTGGCGCTGCCGGTCACCGCCATATCGTAGCCCAGAATGTCGCCTTCGAAGCTGCTGCGGTCCTTCATCACTTGATCAGCCGGCACTGCAATAATAAACCGATACTGTTAAAGCATCTCAACTCCAATTGCTTATACAGCGCTTCGAAGGGGCAGCACAACCGAAGCCGGGGTCACGAAACTTTAAACCAGCCATGACCACGATTATTTCAATCGAGAAACACCGGATCACGGCTTGGCCAGGTCGCCGGTCTAATTGAGCAACAACGTCCCGTAAGAACGGAATAAGAACGAAAACTAAAACCAGGTTTAAAAACACATAGAATGGCCGGCTTCCACTAAATGTGCGCAGTCATGCTATACGCGCATGGTGAACCGCTCAGACAACGTTCATCTGCTGTAATTTTGTCCATACCGTGCACAACCTCATCGTTACACCCAGCATACTATGCGCAACACTTACGTCGCTCGGTGCCGATAAACTGGAACTCGGGATCGACTATCCCGACCGCGGCACTGGACGGTGGTGGCGTCGCGGCGGCGGCCATCGCATCCGGCGCGGTTGTCGCGGAGGCGGCAGTCCGATCCGCAGCGTTTACCACGGCGTTGTGCGCGTCGCATTCGGGTGATGTGCCGGGCGGCAGGAGGGCGCAGAAGGCCATATCGGCGCCGTGGAAGACGGCATCTGTTCAGACTTAAACCAGTCCGTGCATTCATGCTCAGCTAAATTTATTCTATTACAAGGATATACCGATGCGTTTGTCAGCGGCCACCATCCGCGCAGTCCCCACCACAATGTACAACCACCATCCCGGAACCATAATTCGATCACGTGACGAGGCGTCTGTCCTCGGGAATATGACGTCAGGGAGTAGCGCGGATCCCGGCGATGTGCAGCAGATGTTGGCTCGAAGTTGTGGCGGCACTGGCAGCCCCATATTAATCGAGACACTCTCCATAATTGAGCACGCATCGCAGCGCGCGTGTTTACCCCCGAGGCGGGCTGCTTATACGCACTCAATGTATTCAGTGCATTGTTGGTTAAATTAACTGTGAATGCATAGAGCTTCCGGCGCTGAGACGGGTGTATTGTATCAAAACCGTTCCCGACCTTCGTGACTGGTTTTTATTGGGGCTGTATAATACTGCATCACATGCCCGCCATCATCCATGTGCCACTAACGCGTGACTCATAAATTCAAGGTTGTAAACTTGTAATATTACTGCCAGTATAAAAAGACACGCCATAATACAGATAATTTGTATGAATCAGATGAATCAGCGTTGCCAGTGAAAATGACCGACAGATTGCTCCAGTTATGTTAAGTAAAGTTACGCGGTACATGGCACCGTAATTCCTGTACATGCAAAGAAACTTTCGCTTTTGCGCAGTCCGCTTAATGGCATTTTATAGACAGACGCTTTGTACACATGGGATTTTTGAAAGCCATTTTCAAAATTCAAAAAATGTCCCACCTTGATTCGTTGTAAAACTTTCTTCATATCTATTATGTGCGTTCATATGCAGAATTCGAAGACGACCAAAGAGACTTTTACTACAGTACAGATAAACCTGTTTGCGTTTTAATTTTTGGAATAGTACTGCGTCTAGTGTTTCGCAACGTTAACCGGATGTTGCGCCCACAAACGATTTTTACACCAAAGTATACATATGATTTGGCTACAGAATGTTATAAAATAATTGTATAAAAAGTGTTTGGGATCTGCGCAAAAGCAAACGTTTTCGTGCATGTACACGAATTTGGTACCATGTACCGGCACACTTCCCTTAAAATCGATGCAATTCACCATCCCAACTTGTTCACATTGATCAGTAACGAAACTGTACAAAACATGTACAAAATGCAGCTTTGTTAAAGGAAGATTCGATACATCGGGTCGGTTCTGGAGCGGATGATTAGAAAACTCGTTTAAGCATCTTCCACCGTGATGCGTTTATAGCAGATGAAATACTGTGGCGTGGACGTCACGCACTCGGCGTCCATGGCATTGGGTGAGCCGCGCGTGATGGTCTTGCAGTTGGCGATCCACACACGCTGCCCACTCTCTAACACGTCCTTGTGCTCCTCCATCACGCCGTGCACGAAGCGCATACTGTTCGGCTGCTCCGAGGCCGGCGCCGCGCTGCGCAGCCGGCAATAATTGCGTCCTTCCGCGAAACGAAAAACCCTAAAAAAGTCCGTTTAGACCGGTAAATTTAATTTCGCCAACGTTCTTTAATCGAACATACTTTTTCTTGGCGATGAAGGAGAAATAGTAGCACTTCTTCTCGCCTACTTGCATCCAACCCTCCTCGGTCGGACATTTACCTAAGTCCAGTAAGAAACATGTGTCTGGAATTCTTCGTTCATGAGCGATAATTACAAAGCGCATTTTTAAGCAATTTTAATTTCTGGTTGTCGTGCGTACTATCGAATTTGGGGTAGGCCAGTTTGATCTTGGTCAGGTCGATGGCGCTGAGGCCGTCGCGCTGGCCCATCTCCTGGACGGACATGCCGGGCGGCAGTTTGTCCGCTTTCGGGCGGATGGTGAAGACGCCGGTCTTCAGCGCAAAGTAGAACTGGCCGTAGTGCATCAGCGACCGAAAGTCGTACTCTTCCCCGAAAGCTGTCATCTCCTCCGCGCTGTACTTCTGGAACTGGCCCAGATTCTCTGTGAAATGCAGTAGCAGGGCGTAAATTATTAGCGGCAGTTTGCAATAAACAGTTACTTGTACAGAGTACAACATGAACCAGACTACGAAAGGACCTTGTAAGAACTGAACATCGTCTTACCTTGCCCGATGTTATCCCAGTTGATCTCTACGTACTTATCCCTAAGACAAGCGATATGAGTTTGATTACGCTAACTGAGTATTAGTGACGTAATATTAATTTTTCAATACTGTCGTACCTGTCGGTGCGCGATTGTTCATGGTAGAAACCTGCAAGGTAAGCAGAAGAATGACAGCGATACTGCAATTAGTAGCAGCACGAACAGGGAAGGGACCACAAAATGGTGACCTTGATCGACATGCCCTCACCGACAACGTGCATCAGCTCGTGGTGGATGAGACCGGCGTCTTTGCATTCTGTAGCAATAACAGATACAGCTGGTATAGAATATCCATTTATGGAAATCAACAACAGTTATACGAAAGGTCAGATGTACACGTACCCGGCATCTGTAGACTGAGCAGCTGCTCGCCACCTTGTCGACCGGTGTATGATTGGCACCTGACGCGCGAACGATGAACTTATTGCAGTGAAATGCAATTCGAACAGAATAGCCGAATTCAATATAAGTTTGTCAAGTTTATTACAACTGCCTTTAAACAAGCTTGTCCCGTTATTTCTAACGTTAAGGTACAGACATCACGTACTTAGCGCGAACTTTCGTCTACCACCATGACAATCTAATCCCCTTAATTGTTAAGGTAACTATGAAGGGGAAAAGGTAATATTTTATAATTTATATCGATAGTTTATGATTTGATTGATATCTGCCATGCATCGATCGTGGCAAAATCCAAATGCCTGTTACGCGTAAAAAGTATGACGCACGTGATGGAGTTGGATTTTAGCGTAACCCGTTATTTTGTAATTGTTGCTGTGTTAATATGCGTCAGAAATTACGGGATAAGCTTGGTGTTTGCTTTGTTAGACAATTTGTTGACACTATGCTTATAATGTAGTCAATCTACTACGTATTGCGGCACCTACCCGACGCCGGGTCCGATGTAGAGGTAGTCGGCCTCGGAAGAGCGCTCCTTGAACTGCACCCCCGTCTTGCCCGTGAAGGACTCCAGCGCCTCCCGCACCTTGGCCGTCTCCAGCGGCCCTGCAGCAAACAATAAGCATGCAATCTGAGAATGTTTCGTTATAAGCGCCGCGTCCTGATCCTAGTTCCGAATAAGTATATGCGAGTGTATAAGTTACGTAATTGACAACGGTGCCATCGCTAATGAGGTGTGATTTCGGCTCTATTGTGTCATTTGGAATGAGACGCTCCACAAGGTTAAGTATATGCGTCTATGGGAAAAACACCAGTGCAGTCCACATTTCCAAGTGTATATGCTCTTCTACTTGTTTTTTCCAAGAACAATCAAAGAGGACTTGTTCAGAACAAAAAGTACTACAAAAATAAACTAATCTTAACAATTTTAGCTGTATCAACAAAATGTCGCACACCATTTTCTACAAAAGTAAATGATGTCCCACGTTATAGCTCTTGCCATATAAACGTAGCCAGGGCGGCGAATTCGCTGTACTTGCATAGCTTTCGTTTACTCTTGTACAGAACCTGTGAAGTGTGAGCGTCATTAACTTGTCGTTACAACGACTGAGAAAAACGATTTATGGCAAGTTTTCAGCAACGACTTACAAATTATGTTGCACTTCTACTGCTTTTACTTTATAATCATACATTTACAACTTATGTATTTGCACTTTTCTACAATTTATCACTAACCTTTAAAATTTTGCATAGAACTAGTTTTGAAAAGTTTAAACGGATCTTTTGAGCATTGCAATTTGCAAGCAAAAAAAATAACGATGTCAATTTTGTAAAAACTTCAGCTCTTATTACTATTTGAAGATATACTGAGACGTTTGCACCGTGATCCAATATCAACAATTTCGCGGAAAGACGTTTTCCTTTATATCATAAAAAGTGTATAGTAGTACCTACTCTAGGACTAGGACTAACTACTAGTATTTTGTAAACATTATCTGAATTATTTACATATCCTGAAGATATTCCAGAAAGGCGCTCCCTATAACATCCTAAATAAACTTTCACAATAAGTATTTAGCGCGCGTTTTTAGAGAATCGCTTTTATAACTAAATTGGCTACTACAACCATTCCATAAGGTCAAGCAATTGTCGCCAGTCGGCCCAGTCCACAGGCTGTTTACAAGATTTTCTGAAACAGTAGTCGTAAGCACAATTCAAAAATATTTTCATTTTCACATTTTGCGTAGCATATAATTTCAACATTGAACTCTCAAACATATTTGCACCATGTCAGTGCAAAATCATGGTTAGATTACTTCCATATATATGGCATTTCAGTAATAAAAGTGTATAACTTTATTTAAATGTGTTATAGTAAGCGACATTAAAAGCAAAACGACATTAAACGACGAAAAAACAGACTGATTCCGAATGGAGTTCTGCATATGGCGGTATATGTCTCACGATATTCTCTCATTCCAAATGACAAGCGCTAGGCACGCTACGCCTCTTATACCCTCGGCACGCCTGATGGTACCGTTGCTAATTCGACTGCTTCGTTACGCACTATTAATCAGCCGCGGCTTGTATCGGATATCAGACGTCTGGCTGCCATCGTTGAAGTGTTGTTGTATTTTGTTGTGTCATGCAAGGTAATTAATAACACTGCTTTTCTTTTTGTGCCTTTTACCACTACCATATGTGCGTACCTTGTATACGAGTATGTACTTTTATATGCTATATATAAGATTGCCGAATATTGTGTACTTACGGAAGTACGAGGATAGTTTGAAGGGGACGACGCCCCGCGGCCACTTGCGGCTGTCGTCGGTGATAAAGTTCTTGCTTTGCTGTTGCTGCAACTCACAAACACACACACATGTAACCCTTCCGGCGACACAACACCGCTGACTCATGCTTTCCCAGCATAGTTTACATCGTAATGGGTTTTGTATGTGATTCGAGCACGCCGAACTAATTATTAATCGTTACACATCTACAATAAAATTTCTGCAAACAAACGACAGCATCCTATAAGACAAAGTCACAACGGCTTCATTAGTTTATCGAATATAAAGTCACAAGGCTTATTAGATGAAATGTTTTTATCTTTCTTAAGCCGTAAACGTTGATATATTTGGATACTGTACTGCTTTTTATAATTTTTATTATCTATTTTCTAAGTCAGAATCACTTGTGACTGAAAAAGAAAAAAATTTAAAAACAAAACAAATTCGCTGAATGTAACAGAAATAAAGCAATTATGTAAAACATAAGATTGTAAATAATGTGAAAATGTAAAAAATGTAAGGCATTAACGCGCAGCCGCGTACCAGCTGTTCCGTGGACTTCATGAGGACGGGATCGTATCCGAGTATGTCGCCTTCGAAGCTCTTGCTCGTCATCATCACTTGCTCAGCCGGCACTGCTCAATTAAAAAGCAATCAGTACCATAAAAATAACAAACAGTTGGTTTATGCAGCATTTCCGGTTCATGCATTTGTCATAATCTGGCAGAGCAGAACGTACATCTCTCGGTGCCGATGAAGTTAAACTGGGGATCAAGATCCGCCAGGGACGGTTCGCCGGGCGCCGTGGTCAGCGCCAGGTCCGGCGTCGGCGTCGTCGATGGATTAGACGCACCGGAAGTACTGGGAACAGCGGTTGACGGTGGTGCCGATGTTGTCGCGGCGGCTTTACCGCTGCATTCGGGAACGGTACCCTCGGGGATCATCTTGCACCAGTTCAGATCGGCGCCGTTGAAATCCCGGTCTGCAGAAAACACGTCGCTTTTTTACTAAATCAGTAACGCGGAGTTTGGCTACTTTGGCAGTCACATTTCGGGCCTTAACGTGGATCCGTTCTGATAACAATGCCAAACGCATAGTATTATTTACCGACGCCGCTGTTGGCTGTACATAGCTGTCGTCCTGCTAAAATAAGCGTGGTCAAATAAAGAACGCGTAGAAGAATTACGGAGAACATTTCTTCGCGAAAAACATTTTTCACACACTGTGCAAAACTCGAAGTGAGAAATGTACGACAAGCGAGCAAGCAACATTAAGTAAAGCGACCATGCTTTTACGATTGTTTGTATCGCTAAAGGTTCAACGTGCCCCCGAGGGAGACCGCCGACAACAAACACCGCATGCGCACATCGTTACTTATTGTCACCGGTCGCCTCGTGGCGGTAACTGTGGTGACTGCGCATTACCGGCCATTTATTACGGCTGTGCATTCATTCATTGACGATAACAGCACGCGCTTTGTCCCGGAAGTTTGTAGCCGCGATGTGCTCCGGCGTAAAACTGAATTGCGGATATGATTGTGACTGACAAAAATGCCTGTCTACCGGAAGTACGCAAAAAGTACGCATGCGCCACAAACAGTATTAATAAATAGAATAATTTCTTGGAACACCGCATTGAGACAGAGTTTCTAGTTGTACGCTGATACATGACGCTGCAAATTGTAATAACGACGCCGCGACGTCCCGGTGACCGGCAGAACTGGAGCACAGTACATTGAATCGTCGATGTCGTTCACGTTAGAAACGTTGACGCTACGTACAGAATCATCCAACGAACGAAAACGAAACGAAGACCTCAGCGGCGTGACCAGCCCCTCAGGCACGCGGCTACTTTAACCATGACGCCTGACCGGAAGTCAGTAGTTCCAGCACTTTTATCGTTATAATAAAAGTCACTTTACATGTGCTGTATTATTTTTTATTACAAATTTCTATTTTTTTTTGTTACTGTACTACGGTACATGTCCAGTGTAAGACCGTTTTTACTCTTTTTTTTGTACCGAACTTTTGTGTATTTTATTGGGAGACGAACTGCCTAAGCCGTTGTTAATTACGACGTAGAGCAGTTGTAGAAGAATCGTAGAATTATTTTTTGTGAGCCAAATACTGGGAGGAAATTTGTATGGTGGATTTGTTTTGCGTAGCAAACGTTTTTCCGATGCTAGAAGAATTAATGTAAATAATCTTTAATCACAGATTCACAACATATCAGGGCGCTACATTATATGAGCGCTTAGTTGACTAAACAGGGAACTGTGCACAGTTGTATTTTCAGTGGCTAGGTCACTCGACAGCGTTGGCATCTAGGCGTTTATAGCAGACAAAGTACTGTCCGGCCTCGGCGGTGCACTCGGCGTTGTCGTCGGCGGTGTTGGTGTTGCGCGCGATGGTCTTGCAGTTGGCGATCCAGACGGCGTCCTCCGGCTGCAAGACGCCGCTGCTCTCCATCACGCTGTATATGTACCGCAGACTGTTGGGCTGCTCCGTGGCCAACGCGGCGCTGTGCAGCCGGCAGTAATTGCGCGCTTCCGCGAACCGGGCGACCCTGGCAATTAAACGTTAAGAAAGCATAAGAAAACATAAGAAAACAAAAAAAAAATGTTGAAGTGATTTGTGTTGAATGAATCCTTTGACATAAGTTGCTATTCACAGAGTAACCAATAATAATTAAAGCTTCAACTAAATTATAACTTTTGAAATAGGTACCTTTGAAATCGTAATACGTAGTAATAAAAAATTATTAGCGTGATATTGCATAAATTATGCTAGAACAAATCTTTAAAATTATTTATTAGATTTCCTGTAAGTTAAAATTGTTGTTTTTGGTGGTTTCGTCAGCACGCACTTTTTGTCGGCTTGAAAAGAGAAGAAGTAGCACTTCTTGTCGCCCGGCTGCACCCAGCCCTTCTCCGTGGGACAGCGACCTAAAGGTCATCGTGAAATATATATGCGCCTTAACCGATCATTAAGTAAAGGAGAAATAGTGTACTGTCGAATTTCGGATAGGCCAGTTTGATTTTGATGACGTCGACGGCGCTGAGGGACACGCGTTGTCCCACCGCCTGGGTGGCGTTGGTGTCGTTGCTCCGCGGGCGGATGGTGAAGACGCCGGGATCCAGGGCGAAGTCGTACTGTCCAAAGTGCATCAGCGAGCGGTAGTCGTACTCTTCGCCAAACGCTGTTATCTCCGCGGCGGTATACTTTTGGAACTGTCCATGGTTTTCTGCGATACACAAACCTCCTCAGTGTGACCTCTTAGAGGGACTGATTAAGCAATGGCTCAGTCATTAATAATTTAATCAATAATGAATACCAACAGCGATGTTTTCCCAGTTGATCTCCACGTAGCGGTCGCTGTAATATGACGAACATATGTAAATGCCGGCATTTTCGTTATGTGATTGAATGGAGGCAGTCCCATGCCACATACCGGTCCGTTCGCGATTGCTCGTGGTAAAAGCCTGGAAGTAAAGAAGTCATATACTGCATTGATACACGCTCGTTATAATGATACCGGTACCATACTTCGACGGTTGGTAATGGTAGGTATTATACTTCGACTTCCTTCTTATTCCGGACATTTTCACAATATGAATTTACGTACCGAACACCAGAGACATGGCATTCTCCGCGTTAATTGTCCCTCAGAACAAAAACCTTTTAAAAATTGATTACGCGATAACTATACTCGAGATTGATAAAAAATTATCAAGTTTTCTAAGGTGCAGCAGTTAACGCGGAGAACAACGTGTCCGGCACGCGGATTTATACTGTGAATTGTGCGAAATGCAAAAGGCGAAATGCGAAACGTCTTTACATGAGAGAGAATTAAACGTTAAGGTACCCTTACCGACTGCATGCATGAGTTGGTGGTGTATTACACCGCTGCTTTTGCACGCTGCCAAAAAAAGAGCCTTCATATTATTATAGTCCGATAAATAATTATTAATTAATTAATAATCGAAGCGTACGCACCCGGCATCTGCAGACTGAGCAGCTGCTGGCCGCCGTGTTGACCGGTGAAGGACTGGCAGCTGTACAATATAATTACCAATTTAGCATAATCTAGACAGTATGCATATTATTCATGTTACTCTTCTAATTATGTATCTCAGTTATTACAAATCTATGCAGGCGATATTCTGTATATTGGCTGATGCCGAATAACAAGATTTTATAGGCCGTATAATGACCAGCCGGCATTCTGCGATGAATTAGCTTCATAACGGAAACGGTTGTTGCCGTATTTACATAAACAACCACCACCGTCAAACGTGCGTCTTCGCTGAACTACCGCGGTACGGAATGCAATTCTCCCGTGGGCGGTGTCAGGCAACGATGAATTATGGTCTCGTACTGGGTATTAATCAGCTGTGTTGCGATACACACACAACGTCTACGCACGTGCGCCATATGTTCCCAATTCCGGCTGAAACTCTTACTCGCGAAGTACACGTAGTCACCTACCCGATGCCGGGTCCGATGTACAGGTAGTCGGCCTCTACCGTCCGCACCTTGAACTGCACACCGGTCTTCCCGGTAAAGGTCTGCAGGGAGGCGCGCACCTGTTGCGCATCCAGAGGCCCTGCAGAATAACTTGCCTACAGTAACGGAAGTCCAGGGTGTAGCACCGAATGAGGCTTACGAAAATATGGCGACATGACGTAGACGACCGTCGCTTTGGGCCATTTCTTCTTGTCGTCGGTGATGAAGGTCTTGCTTTGCTGCTTCTATTAACGCACCCCAATGTAAATAATTTACTGGAAATTATGCGGGGTTCCTGGACGTACCAGTTGGTCGGTGGAGGGCGGAATGTTGGGATCATATCCCAGAATATCCCCTTCGAAGCTCCCGGCGGCCGACATAACGCGATCGGCCGGTACTACAGGCACACAACATTCGCTAATAAAATATCCGAGGGATGCACCCGGGTTCCCTGTACGTACGGGGTTCGTTGCCCAGACTGCGGAAGGCCGGGTCGATGATGTGCTCCGTGTCGGAGGGACGTTGCCGTGGCGGGGCCGGAGATAGTGGCGGTGGCTGTTCCGCGTCCGCCATCATCCCTGCGTCCGCCTCCTCCGTGCTGCTGGACGCGACGCCCGGCGTCGGTGTCGTTACGGGGATCGGTCTGCCCTTCCGGCGGCCCTGACAGCTGGGGAAGCTGTTCTCCGGGATGTACTTGCACCATTCCAGGTTGGCGCCGTTGATGAAGCGCGCATCTACCCGAACACATCCCAAATACTTTTAATAAGTATCACGGAACAAGTACAAACCGGGTACTCTGAAAAAAATTATAACAGAAACACTTCCTCAATGCTATCCTGATCGGGAATCGTACCCATTAATCAAGCACATCGCTGTTTTTATTTCTCGCACAGGTAACAGCCATCATATTGATCATAACGAAAAAGTGCAAGCGCGGGCACGCTACTTTATAGTCAAATTTTAAACATTGAAAAAACAACCAAAATCTCTATGCCCCTCTGGATTAAACGGTATTTAACACAGCTGTAGCGTTTCCTTTAATGACAGCCAAGTAAAAAACGTTGCTTAAGAAAAGCAATACAACGCGCTTCTCCAGTCAATTCATGAATTTTCTGGCCCATTAAATTACGCACGGCGGATAATCATTTCACCGTGGTTAATCCTTACCGACTTCCTTATTGGCCGCTGACCATTGCGCCTTGCAGGCGCACAGGACGAACACGATGACGGTCGCAGTCAGTGTCACCATTTTTCCGACCAAATTATCCGATGCTTAATGGATCACGTAAAAAATTGCTATGACTCGTCGAACAAGCTCGGTGTGAATACGGATATTATCGCAGGTGTAATTGTGTTCGATGTTTTATGGGGCGTCATTACCAGCAGCTTGATTATTTATTTATCCGCAAGCCATCTATCAATCTGAAAGATATCCCGACAACATGTTGTTTAACAGGTATTAATTTTAATTGCACGACGCGTTTACGACTTTTCGCCATGTGATACGTACGTGTCTCAAACTCGATCGTACGAGCTGTGTAGTACTGTGTACAGGCTCAATCGGATAATTATTTAACCGGCTTTCTGCTTCCTTTTCACTTTTTTGCTCTTTTTTGTGTGCCTTCAGAGAAACATTCTGTCCATTCAAAATTTCGCCGAAGCGGAAGTAGAGAAACGTATGTATCTGTACAAATTGTCATAATTATAGTACTAATTTTAGGGATGCACTGGAATTATTGGGATCCATCACCTTGTAGCAGATAAAGAAGCGCGTTGCATATCACGGATATAGACACTCGTGGTGGATATAATATTAATTCTGTCATGGACATGGACAAGTACGTATAGTCGTATACATATGTACGGATCAGGGGCTACAAAAGACCCCCGTCGACCATGTTATCTCTGTTTAAGCTAGATTGGACCACGTATTAATAATACGTGGTCGCTGACTGTCGCACGGAAAACGTCGCTGACTGTTATAATACGGTATTATAACAGTCAGCGACGTTTTCTGATCTGGAAACTGATTATTGTTTGTATGGATACAGTTTCTACAGCTTATGATATCTCCCGCTTGACCTCTACGTCTGGTAGAGATCCTGCAGTTGTAGATGGCAAACAAAACACCGAAGCTACACGCTGTACACGTATGTAACGGGAGATGGAACATCGAATAATAATAATGGCCCTCTTATTAATGATTGTTTTGAAAAACAGTACGTGTCACAACAGATGGCTAATCACACTCAGATAAATGGGAAAATAAGAACATGAACTACATACACGGTACACCAGAATATATGATCATAAAAATACATGCGTAACCTGTAATACATGCGTAAGCTGTTCAAGAGTCGAACCCAAAATTAAAAACGACAAGAGTGGCTGATGCAGCGATGGCCAAATTAAAGCAATAAAAGCGATGCAGCGACTTAACTATAGGTACAAGCCCGTTTCAAAACCTTCATCAGCCCGTTTCAGCGCCGGAACCATGACTGTCGACCCATACACCACTGCATTTGGACGAGAAAATGCCGGGTAATACGCGACAGCTTGGCCAGACTGGCCAGCTGTAAGTGCTCCACGCCGTCCACGCACCACTTCTTGCCGCGGTAATGCGCGGAAGGACGCGGATCGGCCGACTGCAGCGCGCACAGCATCTGCAAAACGTAATCACCGTGCAGTGCTGTTCAAGCCAGAAAACGACACTCACGACCTTTACATTTACAGCCTCGACCGCCACGAGGGCGACGGCGAAAAAAACTATTAGGAAATAAAAAACTTTAAAATTGCCTAAAAAAAGGAAAAACTAAGAAACCTAAAAAGTACTATTAAACCTAAGAAATAACCTAAAGAAAGAAAACCTAAACTTAGACTTAAGAACCGTAAGAAAGAGGTTTAGCAAAAACGCCAGCCGGAATTCTTGGCTGGTCGACGAATTTCCGTGAGCCAGCCCGGAGAACCTCAACCACATCCACCAAAACCAGGACAAAGTGTAAATCGTACCGTGCAGACGACGGTCCGTTTCTCATCTCCAATAAGGTTGAGCCAGATTAAGAGAGCGCGCAGCTCCTGCTCCTGCTCCGGCGGTGGCGGCAGCGCCGGCAGCGCCGAGTCCATCGCCTCCCACAGCGCTCTACGGAGTCGCCCACCCATCGGCAGGCGCGTGGTCGGCAGGTCCATCTCCACACTGACGCTTTTCTCCGTCCAGCCGTTGAGCCCTTTGCGAAGAAAACAGCAGCCGTGCAGGTGGACAGCGCAGCGGGCAAGCGGCCGCACGCGGCAATCCAATCCTCCAGCTGGTACCCACTGCGGCGGCCAATGTCCCGGAGGGGCGCCGGGTCCGCCTGGTGCAGGACGCATTCAGCATGGGCATCCCTCGTGGCGGCGCCGCCGTTAATCTGCAGGTCCCACTGGCAATGGTGCAGATGCAGGCTGCGCAGACGGATCCCCGGGCGGCGGTGCTGCGCCACGTAGTGGACCATCTGGCACAGCATCATCGTCTCCTGGATGGCCAGCGGGGAGTGGCGCTCGTAGGCCTGCACCACCAGGTCCTGCGTGTCCGCCTGCAGGCGGTGGTACAGCGTGGCCAAGGCCCGAAAGTGGTCGAAGCACCGCTGGGAGTCTGCGTAGTCCCCGACCCACAGACGGCCGCTCAGCTCCGGCTCATCCAGCGCCCGCTGCCACTCTCCGCAGACCGCGCGCAGCCCCATCTGCGTCACCGTGTCCAAGTGGGCAAACACTTGCCGCCACACCTTCATCGGCAGTGCCACTTCGTCGCAGGTGGCCGGGATCTCGTCCGACAGTGCCGACAGGCGTATCAGCTCCGCTTGGAAACTGGCCAGCGACACCTGCAAAACCGGCCGGTATATTATTATAATTATTGCAATTCAACAGCCAAACTCCATTAACGGAGATTTCAACAGGCTACTGAAAACTTCTGTTTGATCATTTTAAAGTTGTGTACTTTCTTGGTTTGATTTTGTGAGATAAAAGTTACCCACCGGGAAATTGCTTACCAGATAACGCAATCCGCGGGGATCATATCGTCCCGACTCTTCCAAATCCGGCTGGTAAATGTACTCCAGACGGCGCTCCACGAGCTCGACCACGTTCGCGTCACAGGGAAAGTGAAAGTCCCGCAGGGTATCATTATTCAAGCGCTTGATGAGCTCCGCGGCTTCTTCCGCGGACAGGGAGGGGAATGCATCGTCCAAGGCCAGACTGCGCTTGCCGAAGGTGTCGGAACGGACGTGACGCTGCGCTGCCAGGGCGGCTGTCTGCGGCCAACGGATGCGGGAAAGGGGAAGGAAATCCGTGCAGGGCCCTCCGCCGTCTGGACACACCCAGTGGACGATGGCCCCGTCGTACCGTCCCAGTGCCTGACCGCCGCCCAAGTTAACCGCTTCCCCCGCCAGCCACACCAACGCACCCACCGACATCGCCGGCACCAGCACTTCCACGGGAAGGCGCGCGAATTCGGTAGGGCATGGGCTCTCCAGTAAGGAGCTGGCCGGGTTGAGCAGGAGGCGTTCGAAGGGGAAGTACTCGCGTCGCTGATGGGGATAGAGCAGATCGACGAAGAGGCCGTTGTCCGCCAGGTCCACCACGCGTCCGTACCGCACTATCCCGCCGTCGTCCAGAACGTCCACGCTGTTAGCGTAGCACATGAGGCTGAGCATGGCGGAGGAGGTTTTCGTTAAGAAATGGAATAGGACAATTCGGGTTTCGGCGCAGTTATTCACCCGACTGAACAGCGGAGTTTTGGTCACTCAAACGTCCTTTTCTTTACAACTGCAGTGCAAAGATACTATCACAATTAAAAAAAAAACATAAAGCGCAATCAAATTATTAAGCATTAATTCATATTTTATACGGTAAAGAAAAACACTGTTTAATGTACCGTCAAATCTTGGAGCAGGTAAAGAACGGTCAAAGTCAAATTAAGCAAGCAGTTGTATTACGACAGCACGACATCAAGAAAAATTCAAAAGGAAGAAAATTCCGCAAGCCACTGTACAGTGATCACACACAATATTCTAACTGAATCAGCCAAAGATGGCTGCTTGTACACAGTCATGCAAATTTTTCATTTGATCCAGTGGCATTCGCAGCGAACGAAAATGCACCGGCGGCTAATACCGCCGTATTCAAACCGCCTTTTCCGAGAAAAAGGCGGGTTAAAGATTATCCTTTTATTGAAGAAGCTTTCAGTTTCGAACGCGATTCGGAAAGAGATGTACGGTAGTACGTACAGGCGTCATGTACAAGCACGTCTCGTAATTTTCAAATATCTGTACCTCTCGTTCAAGGTACAGCTGTAAATACGTGTTTTAATAGCGCGAAGTTTGCGCTATGAACGATTGCCACTACATTACGGATATCCAAATTTTTACAAAAGTGGTAGAACCGTAATTTGGTGTAAGAACGATTTTCATATTAAATGTGCATTCATGAGCAATATATAAGGTACATCGGTGCATCTTGCAGCTTTTGATACACCTGATTGCGATTAAACGTTTTGGAATTTTCTGACACCTAAGAAGTCCGTAACTCTCCATTCGGATGTTGCGCGCTCAAACAGTTTTCACGCCGATATAACCACACTTTTAAACTTAACAAGGGAACAATGTTTGCTCGCAGCATCTTGCTCTTAATAATCGCTATTGCTTTATCAGCCTTAATGTCTGTGCAACTACAGAATGCTTCCCCAAACCGTCAACTTCCACCAAAGCTTTGCGGTTATACTTAAAAAACCGTTAACACTCCTGTACATTCAACGGTATGTTCGCTTAAGAAGCATCATTGGGATCCATCTTCTTATAGCAGACAAAAAAGCGCGGCGCCTCATCGGCGATACACTCGGAGAACGCGGCGTCGCTGGTGGTGCTGGAGAGGGTCTTGCAGTTGACAATCCACACCAGATCCTTGGCCGTCACCTGGTTGGCGTGCTCGTCCATGATGCTGTGGATGTAGCGCAGACCGTTCTTGGCTTCGCTGGCCGGTGCGGCGTTGTACACGCGGCAATAATTCCGGGCTTCCACAAACTGCGACGCCCTGTTGTCAACCAAAGACAGTCGGTTTTATTTATGTATTAACCGACATAGTTTCTTAGATTTCTTAGGTTTCTTAGACACTTGCCTCTTCTTGGCGATGAAGGAGAAATAGTAGCACTTTTTCTCGCCTAATTTCAGCCAGCCAGGCTCCTCGGTGGGACATCTGTCTGGATAGATACTTATATATATCACGTGACAGAAATGTTAAATATTTTGTTTTTTATTCGACAATCACCCGATAATATTTTTTTCTTCGACATTTGGGTGTGAAACATTTTGAATTAAGTGATTTTTTACTGAAATAAATTTAAACTTGAAAAACATCTGCCGTCTGAAAAGAAAAATGTGCGGAAAACAAATTTATTCGCTTGCAACCTGAAACCGTCACACAAACGTAATATTTATACTCACCTTTAGAAGATTTCTGTACGAAGAATAGCCATGTACTTTCCATTAAATAATATTAATTTATTATATAACAATTTGTCAAATTATTGTCTTACAAAAATTAGTAAAAATATTTTTCTCAAATTTTGGATATCATTAATTTAATATACGTAAGTCATTTCAAAAACGCCCGCAGTTATTTGATGTACGAGTATATTCTAATATATCGACATATGTAGCCGAAAAAACATAATTCTCGCTTACTGTCCATTTTCGGGTAGGCCAGTTTCATCTTGAGCAGATCGACACGGCTCATGCCGTCGCGCTGGCCCATGATCTCCGGGACAACGCCGGGCGGCAGTTTGCCAGGGCGCGGCTGGATGGTGAAGACCTTGGGATCCTTGGCGAAATCGAACTTGCCATAGTGCAGGATGGAGCCGAAGTCGTACGGCTCACCAAAGGCCGTTATCTCCTGGGCGCTGTACTTTTGAAACTGCGGTACATTCTCTATAAAACAAACCGGCGGCCGTCGTTCCCACGGTCTGTACTGGTGGGAATTCGTGGCGCTGTGGTCACTTACCGGGCGCGATGTTGCTCCAGTTGATCTCCACATAATCATCTCTATCAACACGACATTTTTAGCTCGGTAAAATAAATTTCAATCACCTACACACCTGTCAGTGCGCGATTGTTCATGGTAAAAACCTAAAAGTAGCAAAAAGTACAAATACTTTTTCGGTGTGTGGAAAATTTAAAAGTGCAGTGCTCACCCATCAAATGCATCAGTTCGTGATGAATAATTCCTTCGCCTTTGCACCCTATTATATGCAACAAAGTTTTATAATAATTTTTATTCCCGTTGCGATAAATGGAAATTGTACCGGGGATCTGGAGACTCAATTGCTGTCGTCCGCCCTGCCTGCCGGTAAACGACTGGCATCTACAAAACATAAGATAACATTTTCTGCATAGGAAAAGCTGCATTATCAGTCCCTTTAGCGCGCGGCTACTTAAACAACGACAGCTGATGGAAGTCCGCGGTTGCCTTTCAAGCATTTCTTATTCAAATGGCAATAAAATTCGGTTAGGTGCGCGTTCGGCATACGCACCCGACTCCCGGTCCGATGTAAACATAATCCCCCTCTGTAGTCCGCTCCACGAACTGGATCCCAGTTTTGGCCGTGAAGGTCTCCAGTGCCTTCCTGATAGCGCTGCCATCCAGCGGACCTGCGGCCGACCTACGCACGTTAGCGTTACCATTCGCCGGCGGTGTGCAGTGGAACGACCGGACACTTACGGAAATAGGGCGACACCTTGATGGGAACGACGCCCTTGGGCCACTTCTTCGCCTCGTCCGTGATGAAGTTCTTACTCTGCTGCTTCTAAACCACGGACCGCGGATTAACCGAACGTACGTGATCAAATTAACCGATCACGTGATCAAATGTTGCAAATTTATTTACGAGGGTGTCGGTGCTCTCCATCATGCCGGGATCGTAGCCGAGGATGTCACCTTCGAAGCTGCCGGCGGCGGTCAAGACTTTATCCGGTGGCACTGTAAAACCAGCACAGTGTATAATCGCTAATCGCAGCGAAATTCGCGGAAACCGGCGTAGTTGCGGGACATTTGGCCGCGGGACAATTCGTCGTCTGACACTGATCGGCTGGAAATTTGTTTTCATGGACAGTTCATTTTTGTGGCCAATGGTCATATCACGACTCATGTAAGTTTTCGTAGCCATAAACCTTCCCCGAAATTTCCGCCTCTCAAAAGTCGGGCGAAGAAAATATCACGTAAACAAAACTGTAGCGCAACGAGGTGTTCCAAATAAATTGTCGTTTTGACGTAACAAGTGGGGTAGAAATGTCCCGCGACCACGGCTGCAACCTACACTGTGCCGTTCCGATAAAGTGGAACTCCGGGTCGACCACGGTAGGTACCGAGGGAGCGCTGGAAGCCCCGTCCTTGCACTCCGGGAACGTCCCTTCCGGGACCAACTTACACCACTCCATGTCCGCATTCTTAAACTCAGTGTCTGCAATCAGACAATCTTTCCACGTTTAAAACAGTCATTAATAATAACCCCTTTCTTCATACCGATGTCTCTGTCGGCTACCAATAACACTGCTAATATTCCAATAATCAGGGAAGGGTAAATAAACACGATTCTTGGCAGCATTTTCCACGGTCACGGGGCACGGAAAGACGCGCGACAGCGCAGCACGTCGCACAAACAGGGTCCACAATCTTGGCGCTGTGGCGGTCCAGTGCAAGTGAATGTATAAGGCAGTCCATGTTGACGAGGCTGGCTGCGGCAGCTGGCTTTGGAAGTGCTACACTGCGTGACTGTTTTCGCCTAAGGTAGTGCAGCTACAACTGCACGGCCCGGTGTTTGCGGAAAACTCTGCAGGATTAACGACATTCCTGCAATTAATCAATTAATCACCGGTGCATAATTGCCTAAGGGTGGAATATTACGCAGACATAATTACGTGTACAATACATTACGGTGCTTATACCCAGTTTTCGTTCATTTAAATGCCGGCGTACGGGTATCGGTTGATACTTGACAGTTGACACTGCTCATCAGAGTGATCAGACGATGCGTGCACAACTTGGACTGGTTTTCACTAATTTATTCCTAATGTTTGGAAGTTATGGTTTTGTGGCGAAAATCAAAAAGAAAAGAATGGGCATTCTCGAAAACGGTCAAGACAAAAACTCGCTTTACTCTGCCATTCCGAGCGGTTACAATTGCGTCAAGCACCGGAAGTCCCTGAATTTTCTTTCTTTTGAAATTTTCGGCTTAGAGAATTGTCGTGAAATATACGAGTATTATTATGTTAGGCAGATTTTTATACGAGCGCGGGCTGTTCACAAGGAAATCGCTCATGAGCCAGGGGTACTGGAACGATTCTATGCGCCTCCCGCACTTTGAGGTTTTGATTCCGTAACTTTCACAATATGAATTCGCGTGCCGGACACCAGAGGTATGGTATTCTCTACATTGTACATGTACACATTCGAAAACTTGATAACTATTAATTAATCTCGTATACAAGCCTGTATAAAAACAATGACTATCACGTAATCAATTTTTGAAGATATTTTCGTGTGGAAGAACGCAAGGAAACCCTGTCTCTGGTTCTCGCCTTCTCGGTATACGCAGATTCATAGGTCTTTATCACGCCTGCTTCGGTTGCCATATCGCACACCAGTCGCCGGTATGGTCGGCAGCGTCTTCCACTGAGCGCGACAAGCTAGTCGGGCTACAACGTAAAGCTCTGAAAACCATCACTGATAACAAGATGCCGGTTACTCCGGAACTGTATCAGACTTTGGGTATTCCTCAGATGTTCAACCGATGGCGTCAGAGCGATGCGGTGTGGTTGTTCAAGTTCTGGAACAAAGGCCAATTCCCACTTCCGGCCTACCTCCTGGACATGATCCAAGTAAAAGATAACACCACGCGCTACAACTTGCGGAAGCCGGCCCGGATTGATGTTGCGCGGGCAAAGAAAGTTATCGGAGGGTGGACTATGAAAATGCGACTACAGCGTCTTCTTGATAAAATTCTCGAAGCCAGTTCTGTACCTTTCAAATTTCTACTCAGATCTGATAATCTCTCCTAAATGTTTTTGTTAGCAGAAAATTGGTTTTGTTCGACCAGTCTTGAAGTCCCTTCGGGGTTGTCTGCTCTTGTGCCGTAATAATAATAATAATAATAATAATTGTGAAATCGTCCGGAACGCGAAAAACGTCGAAGTGTACTCGTACATATACCTACTTTGCACAGCTGATTGGGCCATGGTTATTCTCTTGTTTCTTTTTCCCATGTTTTCTTTCTTGCTGACACCGGCGAGAAGAAGCTTAATTAACCCGTTCCCAGACTGCATCGATATAAGTACATAATTAATAATGCAAAATGAAAGGTAGGTACTCTGTACATGGAATGTAATGTACTGTATGTAGAATGAACGTTAGTGCTGCAAGTATTTACGATCGTTAGTAAGAAATGTACATGTGTAACGGCAGATGTACAAGTATGAAGTAGTAGTGACAAAGATCTGCTTAGTTTGAATCTTATCAACTTTAAACGAAGCCAAATGAACAGCTTGACCGGCGGACTTCTCAACATCACCATAATTAAAATCAGACGCCCGGTACACGCAGCGATGCGATACACCATAGCCCATAGCCCATTGTCCGCCTCCACACACAACAACCAGGAGCTAACAATGGCGTTATTCATGGGTGGCTGCCACTGGCTGGTGAAATATCACGGCGGAATGGCCACAGTTGACTTGCGCACTAAGCAGATGATCCCAGCGTAAATAATAATAAATGGTCGAAAGGGGCTGGGAGCGTTTCTGCTCGGCCGGATAGTTGCTGTCCTTGCTGCCAGTGCGGATTACACAGATGGCTGATCCGATTGGGCCACGTTCATTAATTAAATCCACATTTTAAATTAACCGGAAGCGGACCACGACATGTGGCCGGTGATAGGCGATAGGGAAGTCGCCATCTGCGTGGGAAGAGAAGCTTTTATCAGACTTCCCTGTAAGCCGGCACGTGTGCGGTCTTATCGATGTTTTTGCTGTGTACTGAACAATTATCGGGTTGTCCATCGTATTAAATTGTAATCTGAAGCGGGTTTTGCTGGTCTTCGTTAAGTTCAGCGCTACGAATATTTCACCAGCCATTTCCATAAAAATCCGAAAATAATGCAGGAAAATTTGAAATCTGCAGTTCAAGTATCAGAAATACACGCACGGAAAAAGTATGTAAAAAATAAGAGTTTTTTTAAATATTAAATTCTATTTTTAAGCAAAAGGTTGAAAATTAATAAAATTCTTCTTTATTAGTTTTTTTTTAAATCTTTCTTTGTTATCGTTTTTAATTTATTTTTAAAATTGTGCAGTCATCGCTTTAAATGCGCTATTCTCTTTTTTTAATAGGAAATTCCTTTTTAAATCTCTTTTCAAATAATTTTCTGTGTTGGACTTATCCCTCTTTAAATTTTTTGAAATACAGTTAGTTTTGATTAGAAATTCTGTTTTCAACAGATCTCTCTCTTGACATGACGTGTTCTGGATAATTTGCCGGCTGGAGCCGTTGCCCGCAATATATGCACAAATAACTGTTATGACAGTGACAAGTGGTGATTGTTTCCCTAGCGCAAAGTACACTCCACCAGTCCAAGGCGATTAATTAACATGCACATTAGCAGTCAGTTGATCCGCGCTCATTAATGCCGGCACGTGGTGCACGTGTATTCAGGTCAAACAAAACAGCGGCCAGTCTGCTGCGGATTATACAGAGACCGGGACTGCAGTCGGCAGATGTCGTTTTAACGCGGCTAATGGATGCAGTCCGCCGAGTGTCCACTCAAGTGCAGCATGTGCTGGTTACGCAACGCGCTTTAGCGGCTTTAGCCACTGTCTGTCTGCCTCTCCATCAGACGGCGCAGTTTTTACGACGGGCTTTTATGGAGCGACGCAAGTTCAGCGCATGTGCCCGGTATTTGCATTCTTTTTACTGTAGTTTAATGGCTTTATGAGATTTTTGCGGGGACACCATTTTGTCTGCGCCCATTAATAAAAAGAATGTCAACAACCACAATTTTATGGACATGCGCATACATTGTCTCGTGCAGCGCCATAAAATGGTCGCCATCATTTTGCCTGATGGCTTGTTTGGCTCTCGCCGTCGGAACTATACATTCGGGGATATTAAAGCACAAATAGGAAGCTTTAAAGTGCAAAGCGCATCACGATGCAATCAGCGGTGCTTAACTCTATTTTGACCAGGCTTGGATTGTGCCCAGTGATCCGTTATCGTCGTCTTTCCTGGTTCAAGCAAATTAACTGCAGGTGTTTGGCTCCCAGTCTGCACTCTGCACAGTCTGTGTATAGGAATAGGACAATCACATCAAGATGAAAAGAGATGCTTGTCTTAAGATTATCGCCAGGCTGAATAAGGATTTTAAAGATGGATCGATAGCCCATATCGACCATCTGGCCTGCATTCTGACACAGCAGCGACGAGTAGCCTGTGGTCATTAGCAGCGTCCACACCAGAGCGACAGCTGATCAATGCACGCCACATGCTCGAGCTTTATAAATAGAAATCGGACATGAAGGCGCTCGATTAACACACTCATATCGCCACGGGGAAGCGGCAGACGGGAGACGGCCAGAATTAAGAAAGCCTTATCAAAGTTCCGTCTGTGTCGGTTGACCAGTCTGACGCTCAGTGAAACAGACAGTCTCTGTCTGACCAGATTGACGTCTCAGTACTGAGACGTCAGACTGGTCAGACAGACGCTGTCGCTGCACTAGTGAAGCGAAAGGGAGACAGACAGACTCTGTCTGGCCAGTAACAGTTTAACTCACATAGCGCTTGTCTGACCAGGCTGACGCTCCGAGTTAGGGGCATCCATAAATTACGTACGCAGAAAACCACGGTTTTTTCACCCCTCCCTCCCCCTTCGTAGCGGTCCGTCACGTTTTCTGGACCCCTCCCCCCCGGTTCGCTCAATCGTAATACAAGAGCTGATCGCCCCCTCCCCCCTGGGTTCGCCGGGGCCGTCACAGCTTGTCACATTTTTTGGACCCGTCCCTCCCTGGTTCGCTGCGTACGTAATTTATGGATCCCCCCTTAGTCTTTTCGGTTTTTAGTACTGTACTGACACCCTGCACTCGGAGAAAGTTTTTACTGTGCAGCCACGCGTACGTTGTACGACTGCGTTCACTGCTCGCATACACGGCTTGCAGCTGCATGCAGACTGCCGGCTATTGGCTGAACGCAATCGGCTTTAAATCCACCTGTCTACAGTACCGTGCTGCTCATACTGTAGAAAATTTCTCCAAGTGCAGGGTGTCAGTACAGTATTGAAATACACCTCGACACACCTCAACTTTCCATATTCTGACGGTCTTACTACTTTTTATTTTATTTTAGAATGTCATGTTAAAAAAAACTGCGGCCGATTATCAAAACTGATTAAAACAAAAATCAGTAAAGAATACAGTCTGACGCTTCGGAACTACTTGAAAATCCTCAAATCAATAGCCTTAAAAAATTAACCGGCAGAAAGAAGGAAGAAATACTTTTTGTTATGGATACGGCACAACAGAGAATGCTGAAAAAATAATTGCGATAATAGTAAAGCGAAAATGAATACTGGATAGCGGATAACTGGATTTGTTAGGATAGCGCAGTTTATATTAAATTTTATAGTATAATTATAAAGTAGCTAGTGAAAAAGACAGACTCTGTCTGACCAGTCTGACGCTGCCTGTACACAGCCGCTGTCTGACCAGTGTGACGCACAGCCGCACACACAGCCTTACGCCCACTCAGCCAATCAGCGCGCCAAGGCCACGCACGCGCCGCCTCCGCAATAGAACGTTCGCGTTCAACCCGTACGTACGTTTCGCTACATCAGCTGACTCATTGCAAGCGTTGCGGATATTTCAAGTGGCACTCGTTACCACGGCAGTCGCCAGCGAGTTCATGATTAATTTCATGATTCGTCTTGTAAGATCACGCTTTGCAGTAATTTTTTCCTCCTTGATGATACAGCGACGGTTGGATTGTTGTTGCGATGATGGTGGTTTCTTTGTCTACGGGTGAATATTGACACTGGGATCTTGTTGTTATAAATAGAGGATTACCCGGTTGACGCGGATCAGCGGCGAGAGCGGTGTGAGCGAGAAGCGCAGTGTGTGTGTTGGGTGAGTGTGTGATGTTTATGCACTGATTGCTGCAGCGTCTTGTGTAATGCAAATGCCCATCTGAATAGCCGCATTATCCGCATCTGTTGACTTGGCCTCCAACAGGCACCGGTCAATAACTCTGCCTGCATTTTTTTCCCCACTTAAAACCATCCGCCCAACTGTTTTTCCCTGTCTTCGCCTTTTTCTTTGGTTCAAAATTTGATTTTATTTATTTTTCAAAAAATTTAACTGTTGTATTTTCCTCCATTTATTTTGATTTATTTGAAATTAAAATTTATTAGCTTTGTCAACGCATTCGATTGTCTACAATTTAAATCTATTTTTCTGCAAATTTAATTGCATTCTTCTCCAAACCTTTCCGGCTAAATTATGATTTATTAACCATAAGAGCCATTTTGAAAATTTTTTTCTGGTTTTAATGAGTTTTAATTTTTATAAAATTTCATTTTATTTTCTTCTTCAAGAATTTTTGGCTTAAAATTCCGATTTATTATTTTAAGATTTATTTTCCGTATTTTCGTTTTATATTCAACAATTCTGTCGGCCGGTATGCGCTTTTATCGATTTCCTTTCGAATTCCGCAGTGATACGGAATTAAATGGAATAAATAATTTTTGTTTATTTTGAATTCCTCCCTAATCGGACAGAGCGCGGCCCCGCCGGCTGATTAAGGCTAAGCGAATGTTGGGAAAATTTCTGGTTTGGTTACTTTGGTATGTGAGGCGTTATCCCGGCACAATATTGATACAACGATAGCCACGCGTCGTCTTGAACGTGGTCCGATGTTTTGCTAGTGTCCCAACGCGGGTTGGGAGATGGGAACGATGTTAGTGTTTATTATCAGCGTGAAATGGTGTCGCTTGGAGTGGGACGAGAGTGGCTGTTTTCCTGCAGGCGTGACATGCGTGCGCGCCGCACAAGCACCTTTGCGCGGGCCACTTGGCTGCCTCGTCTTTCCAGTGATCGAAAATTCACTTAAAAAATTTACCTAAAATTCCCTCTGTGTATTTTTTATAATCTAATTTTATTAAAATTAAAATAGATTTAATATTCAATATCATAGAATTATTTTAATAAAAATAAGCACGAATATAATTACTAATAAATCATTTTTTTTTAAAACTTAAGTGATTTTTTGCCCATTTGACCAGCGCCCATTTAAGTAAGGCCCTTATAGTGATGGATTTATTAACACGCCAAGAAATGTATGCAGCACAACAAGCGACCGGTTTTTTTTACGCGACAACGTCGCAACTCGCAGGCGGTTAATTGTGATTTATTAGACACAGCGCTGGCGCAGGCATAAACTGCCGAAAGAATTAATTACCGCGTTTTTTATTGCTGTTGCACTCTATCAAAAAATGCCGAAGACGGGCATTCACGAAAATATGTCATAAAACCATTTATATCCATTTAACTGCTTCGCAAAAACGAAAAAACAGAATGTATGAATTTAATCAAATAATTTTCTGAATAATATCAACATACTTCACTAGAATGAATAGAAAATAATGATAAATATTTTCTTAAGCGATATAAAATCATTATAAATGTTAAGTTTAAGGCAAAAATAAGAACAGATATTTTTTTATGATTCGGGGAAAACTGAAAAATTATGTTTAATATTTCTTGAATGGTACAGATGCAAAATCTAGCGGAACAAAAATTTAAAAAATTATTCCTGAAGGATAAATAAATATTTTTTAATGGGAAAAAATAGAAAAATCATAATTTTGAGTGGTTGATTGGAATTGTGGACATGATTCGTGGGTAAACAAGCGACCGGCATGATCGGACGGCAAAGGACAGGTTGGGCTGCGCAATGTTCAAGGTGCCTCGCGCGGAGCACGGAAAATACACCGCTCGATTAATCAACTGCGTCAACGGAACCATACACGGTTCGCGTAAGAATTGCTCACACACAAAAAAACACACACACAGCACTAGTCAGAATAAGAATGGGCAATTAAGGCATAGCTGGCCATTTTGCCCATTAGTCACGCTAAAGGAATCATGTTTGTTCACACTGCTGCTGTGTTCGCTTCGGCTGCGATCCGACCGGAAACGGCGCAACACCAAGAATGCCTGTTTTTCCGTTACTGCGCATGATGGGCTTTTATTGAGAAAATGATGGGCAAGCCGGCTGCTGCTGGCGAATAGCGATCGGGATGGGAAACGATGTAAACGGGCCACTTTCCATCAAATGCCCATCATTTGCCGGTTGAATTGCCTGCGCGCTTTTATACAAACGGCCACTCTGCAGTAACGGCTTCTCTTGGCAGATAGCAAATAAACCTATTTTCTCCCCATCTGCCACCACTTGTTTGTACATGGCACTCTTCTATTCGGCTGACAGAATTTCTCCGCATGAAAAGCAATAAAAAATAGGATTTTCTGCATTTTCTTTCCATTTTTATTTTACGATTTTTCGTGTTTGACATTTTCCCGCATTATTTTTGCATTTTCTTATGTTTGTAATTTGTGTGATTAACTGTTCTTATTTTTTGATCAGAAATTTTCTGGTTATAATCTTACAAATATTTTCCCGGATTATTTTCGAAATGTGTTTAAATTATTTTGGAATTTATGCTTAAATTAAAAATTTAATGCGAGTACATTTTTCTTACATTTATAAGTTTTGCGAACAGCTATTTTTATTTTTTGGTCAGTAATTTTCTTCAGATTACTCAATTTATTTTTAATAAAATTTTCCCGGATTATTTTTCCAGTTATTTTTTTAATTATAAATTTTTATAATTTATTCTTAAAATAAAAATACGCGTAAATTTTCCTAATTTTTTTCTTGAGCGTTATTACATTGCTGTTTAATTGAGCGCGGTTAGAAACGTCAGGGTTAGTTAGTTTTTGCCTTTTGGAAAGTAGGTCTGTAGTGTGGTTTGGCGAAGTTCACGACGAAACAAAAGAGTTCGATTCGCAAAGTTTTCAAGCGGAAATGTTGCGTTGCCGACTGCACTGACTGTTGAGTGGATTTTGCGCGGCACACAGCAGATGCTGCGGCTGATTAGCTCCGTGTGGCACTGTCGCTGCTGCCGGTCGGCATTAGCGCATTAACGTGCTCTTTAACATGCCGCTAACTGTCCCATTTCCCGCAGCATTATTTTATGATGATTAATCGTGCCGGCCGTTCATAATCAGCAGTGCAGATCATCCTCAGCGTCTCACCAATCGTCTTCATACCGTTACAAACTGTCGTGTCTATGTCACGCCACATCCTCATTTTTTTCTTCATGTCACCGCTTTGTTTTCTGCGGTTTTGTTCGATTAAGGGAATCGCTGATTCGCAATTTATTACGCTACGGTGGACAGCCGCGCTATCGATCCAAATTAACAATCGACTTCCGTTGCGCGACGGAACCGGCGTTTTTTTTCCGAGATCTTAATCATTTCCGCTCGTTGCCGGCAAAAAATTCCCGGCATTTTCGTACCGCAGATTTAATTATCGGAAAATTTAAAGTGGCTTCATTCCAGCAATTTTATTGCTCGTTTAATATTTTAGAATAAAGTGTACTAAAATAGTTTTTAATAAAATTTATAATATCACACAACTAGCAATTTACTATCTGTCCAGTATATCAGCTATTAATTTTAATAATAAATTTTTTTTATTTGCTTACAATAATAATTATACAGAAATAATAATGAAATGTAAATTTAATGAAATTGAATTAAAACAAATATATTACAGACTGGGTTTAAATTTTGATTTAATTATTATTGCCAATAGATCGTTGTAATTTATCGAAAAATTTTGCGAAATTTAATTTCCCTCGGAAAATGCTGTATTTAACGGAATATTAGCTAATAAATCAGCACAATTTACCTTTGAATTTTTGCGGATTTTAATTTCCCTGGAAAAATGCTGTTTTTAACTGAATATAACCTAATAAATCAGTTTAATTAAATTACAAATTTTTGTAGATTATAAATTCCCCGGAAAAAATGCTGAAATCCGTGCAGACGCACCGGCTGTCCACGCCGGTGCTGACCAGCGCCCCCTGCGCCCCGGCCACCCCGCCGCGGCGCACGGTATCCCGCACCAGCTCTTCGTTATCCACCTCCACCTTCGGGCAGCGCCTGTCCTGCGCCCCCGACGACGCCTCCATCCTCTCCTTAGCCCTGACCACGGCGCCCCCTCCGCCCTTACCACCGCGACCCCCGACGCCCCGGGCGGTCGGCGGCATGCAGCCGGAGGATCCCCTGTACGAGGAGATCTATAGCGCGGTGCGGACGGAGAGCGCCGCGGGAAAACAGGAGGGAAAAGGTCATTCCCGGCGGGCGACGGTGCCGGTGACGCCGGCGGGAGTGGGGATGTGTCAGACGCCCGGTGGGCTGCCTGAGCCGCCGAAATTGCCGCCCGTCAGCGGAGTGCTTCACACTAAGGTTAGTAGACAAATCTACACACTGATTAAAATGAATTATAGCGCCTTTAAATAAGAAAAAATAAATCGTAAAAATTCAGAAAATAAAAAATCAAAAGTTGGTGCGGAAAATAATTTTTCTGTCGTTGGGAAATTTTTATCTGGTTGGAAATTTCCCTTTGCCTGTCAGGATTATAAACAGGAAAATTTTTTGTATTTTGTGGAATATTCAATTAAAATAAGTCAACGCAGATTTCAAATAAAAAAATCAATCAACGGCTAAAATATTTTAAAAACGAAGAAAATCTGAATCCGTGTGTAAAACAAATCTTCCGTTAGTGAAAACATTTTTCAGTTGTGCTCGAGATCTCGATAATTTTTTTTAGAATTATAGGGCATAAAAATCAAATGAAATAAAATTATTTTTATTCTTAAAAATTGAACGGGAAAAATTAAAATTACTCGTAAAACAGAATATTTGAGTGTCTTCATAGATTATAGATTGGCATAGTAAGCGCATCAATGAATTTTCTCCGCAATAATTACCGGTCACACCTTGTTCGGTTGATGCGTCCGGTGTGGGAAGAAGACAGCAGAAAAGGTGTGACCTTTTGTCTACATGACAATGAGTCAACCAGGGCTTTTCTCCGCTAATTATCTGCCTTCCGTGGCGGTCATTCCCACTGCTCTTCCTTCAACTGCCCGGTTAAAAGCCCGCATATGTTTAAAGACAAATTCACTGCAAATTCCGGCCTTTATCGGGCATTATCTTTAACCGGCTGATAGACGACAAATTGCTCCGGCATTTGCATAAATAATTAAGGCCGAAAGGTTATCTGTCACGACTGACGCATATACAGAGACAATAAACAGCCGCGGTCGGATTTTCATAATTTCGGGGACATTGTTGGGCGGAAAATGAAATGGTTGGCATGCTGCAGCGAGAGTTGTGTGATGCGGTCAACAGGAACTGCGCGGTTACCTCATCTCCATATCAATAGCGAATTACACGTCACTTGTCGTTGCCAGTTCGGCCGGAATTTCCCTACTCAGTCAGAATTCACTTGTCTGATTTCTATTTATTATTACGAATATTTCGGAAATAATTCAGAATTTGGCGGGTAATTTTGATTTTCTTAGTTCTGTATTTTAAAATGCTGGATATTCTTAATATGAGATTTATAATTTATATTTCAAAAACAATTTTGATCGAAAAAGATTATTAAAAAAATAATTTTTAATTTATTCAGTTTTTTTGATTTATTTTTATTTTGATTTATTCGATTTAATTAGCCTGCGTTTGACATAATAGTTGTTTTAATAAATATTTTAATAATTTTTAAATTATTTTAAAAAATAAGTTTGCCGTTCACTGTGGTTTTTAATTAATATTGGTTCGTTATCGTTTCATAATTTTACTTTACAGTATTTTTGAAAAAATCAGATTAATTGATTCGTTGACACTTTAATTTGTCTTTGCTTTTTAAGATTACTGCGATTTTTTAAAATTAATATTCTGTATCGTTTCCTGCTTTTTATTTTCTACAAAACATCAGATCTGTTTTTTTACTGGCTATTTTGGTATAATTTATTCGCCTTTTGCAAGTGTGATTTCTTATAAAGCAGGTCGGCGAGCCTCCCGCGCGCAACTGGTCGATGCCGGGCCGGATTTCGCGTTGAGCATTAGCGCATAATGTCTGACTAAATATGCAGATATTATCGGTGAGCAATGTAAAGCCGCACGCAAGGTAAACAGCGGACTGTCAGGGCACACAAAGCCAGCAAGCGGCATTAATATCGCGCCAGCGGGATTAATATCCGCCGTAAAAGTAAGCAGTGGTGAGTAAGTCTACTCCCGCTGCAGCTGATCATCATGTGCTGCGAATCTGCGATGCAACAAGTGTCCTCTACACTGTACAGTGTACAGTATACAGCCGGCACAACACCTGTCAGGGAAACACGCTGCCAATCTGCCGGTGCGCCTTTAATTACACTTTTTAAGCCACTCGCGAACGGTTGACCCGGCAATTTCTTCTCCCAAGTGTGATTGATGACGATTCTTCAACTAAACATTTTAGAGAAATTTTTAAACAATTGCCAGACATCATTTAAATCATTCTGGACTTATTTAATATTTTTTAAATGGTTTTTTCTGTTTTTACAATTTTTGAAAAATTACCAGAATTAATCTGAAATATTCCGTCATTAATTTATTATTTCCCTAAATGTTTTTCGCTTTCTTTAATTTTTAAAAATTGTCAGAATTAATTTGAAATATTCCGGAATTATTCTGAATATTTTTGAAAAATATTGTTTGTCTTTTGTAATTTTTGAAGAATTGGTTTTGGACTATTCTGTAATTCATTTAATATATCAATTTTAAAATACGTTTTGTTTCGGTGATTTTTAAAAAGTGCTAAAATTAATCTGACATATTTTGTACATATTTTAATCCATTTTTTAGAATTGTTTTGTTTCTAATAATTTTTTAAAACCTGTCAGAAGTAATTTAACTGTATTCTAAATATTTTTTTGCTTGCCGGAAATTACTAGCCGCTGGCGTTGAACGGATAAGTAGCTGTTGTAAAAGATTTTCCGTTTATTTGTTCTTGTCCTTTTGGGTCGGTTTTTCTTGCGCCGGGTATAAACTGTGTAATGTCAGCAGATCACGTTCGCGAAACTGTTTAACGCAAATAATCTTCAATGCTTGTCAAAGCAGAGTGCGCTCCTTTCCGTAAATATACGTTTTGCCGGTGTGAGTCGACGATGACTGTAGCGTTCTAAAAATACACCTTTAATAAACACAGAAATGCAGATACTTATTGCTTCTTTTTATTAATAATAATATTTCCTCGCAGAAAGCGATTTTCCCTGGCTTTTTATTTTTAATTTCGGCATTCAGTTTAGTCAGTTTAACCGAATATATAATTAACCAGCATTTTAAATATGCATTTAATGTTTAAAATTTAGTTTTATTTCTTCTCTAACATTTTATTTTACATATATATTATTTTTTATTTAATATTTACTAGTAATTGTTCATTATTTTTTAACATTATTTATTGCTTGAAATATTAGCAAAATTTAGTGTAATTATTCATAATAAATAATATTTAAATTTGAAAAATACACGGAGAATTTTATTATGCATTTAAATAATAGTCTGAAACGTTGAGTAATGTGCCAACACCTGCATTTAATTTTTACCGAATTGACACATTGCAACAGCGTCCATAATTAGTATAATCATGCCCAGTTGACCCGTTGTCAAAACTCCACCATAGCACTACACCTGAACGAAGTTAACCGGCATTGTGTTGGCACGCAGTGCGGCACCGCCTTATTTTAATTTGCGATTTCCATTTTACAACCCATCTACGTATATTTACGGCTGTCGACGGGAACCGGTTTTCGGTGGGTAAATAATCCGGCGAAAATGCGCGGTATAATGATGACCGCGTGGATAACAATATTATCGGCTGAAAAGACGGAACGGAATAATCGCTCCTTTTTCAGCACGGTTAGAAGCGGTGTCTCACGTTTCAGTGTTCCGGCAATCGCGGCGCGGGATCGTGTTTCCCGTTTTGCGGTTTGAAAAGGGGGGAAAATGCAGATAATAGGGCCGGGGCTCGCTTTACAACGCAGCGTGCGGATCATTGTGTGTCGCTGCATGTTTATAAATAAAACCACTACTTGTCGCCACAATCACCTCCAGACGCTGGCGGAGATTTGACATCTTGGAACCGGTTTATTGTCCGCGCCGTGTATTTCAAATTGCCCTTTTATTTAAAATTTATAAAATATTTTGAATTTTGTTTCCTATTTATCCAGATTTTTTTCACAAACTGTTAACAAATTAATTACAAATTGTTTTTATTCGGCTTCGGCCAGCATACATAATAAATCGCCTGCGCAGGTTTACACTAATTAAAAGCATCAAATTTTTAAACATTAAAAAAACATCCAAAATCGTTAGTGTCACGCATGATCTTGGGACGTGCGTTAAGTGAAATTAAATTACAAATTAAAATCAACGAAAAACGATTTAGAAATATCTTTGCTGATTTTTCTGCTATTTTCGTTTGTATTTATCCAGGTTTTTTCACAATTTGGATACCATAAAAATAGAAAGGAATAAAAAAGTTGAGAAATCTTCCACAAATTATCTGCTTTTTTTCCTTTAACATATTTTTGTCCAGATTTTTCTATTATAAAATGTAAACTATGTATGAAAGTGAGCAGAAAAAATAATAAATTTAAAAATCTTCATGATTTTTGCTGCTGGTTTGCTTTCAGATTTATCAAGATTTTTACTAAAAATTGTTTTGAATTAGAAGAACTTGGCCAGTTTTTCTTTTATGGTATTTTTGGTTTTATTTATCAAGATTTTTCACAATTTAAAAACAAACAAAATTCAGTAAAGAATTTGACCTTCGTAAATTTATCCGAATTTTTGTTTGTATATTTATCCAGAGTTTCAGTTTAAATGAACCATGACTGCATAGATAAACCAAAAATTGCCAAAAAATTATATAATTACAATAACTTATACAAACCGGCATTACATAATTTAAATTAGGGGAAAATTTTTATTATTCACGGTGTAATTGCAACATTGCATGTACAGCTGCACAATACGCAATCAAATTTCTTACGAAGACGTCGGACGCGACATTTGACACAGTGCTATAAGGAAATTGTTCGAAGCGGTCAAGCCTGCAATTTTAATGATCAGCGCGTTGTTGATTACTCCACAGTGGTGTGGCCAATAATCCACGGGTCCGCATGTAAAGTGCACATTCAGCACTGAGCGCGAGCGTCAAGGCGCGCTGTTATTGCGCCGCAATCACTGGTCATTACACGTGTTTTTATTAAAACGCCCAAATATAAAAAGCTGACATTCTCCAACCGGTGCACTTGAAATTATACACCGCGGACGGATTTATTTCGTCGTTTATTCAATGAACTTTTGATAAAAAAATTAAGGGGAATTTTTTCCAACGAATTTACAAGCGTCACCTGAAGGGTTCATCAAGAGCGACGAAAAAGGATTTTTCTTTTTTTTTCCAACACTTCCGAAATATTAAATTCATAAACAAAATTAATTGATAGACTAATTAAACAAATTATTTACTAAAAGAATTTCCTACTAATAAATAAGAGGTATTTTTATTTTAAAACGAAGTTATTGCTTAATCAAAATTAAAATAAAGCGGAATGACCAAAAATAAAGAAATTAAAATGAGAAATTGTATAGAATGAAAATTATTAAATTAAGGCATTTTCTCCCCAAAAATACAGGGAAAAAATATGAAATGGTACAAGGCTCATATATTTAAAAATAGAAATTAGATATAAAAAAATTAGAAATAAAATACTTGTCAAAAGTAAAATAATTATTGGTCTTTTAAGAAATAAAGGTAATTTTTCAATAATTATTTTGATTTATTAAAACGACTTTTCTATAAGAAATTATTGAAAAAATAACCAAACAACTCATTTTCCCAACTGAACAGAACCCGGCGGTCGTGCGCCCCTCAGCCTTCAAGCCCTTCGTCCGCCCGGACCCCGCCGCCACCCCCGCACCCCCGCCACCCCCCTCAGCCCGCCCCCGGCCAAACCCAGCGCCCCGGTGCGGCGCAGCACGCCCCGCAACCACGTCGGCAAATCCCTCTCGGACCCCTGCGGCCAGGCGACCCCCCTGGGGGGTTCGGCGCGCGGCCCGTCCTACCGGAAGCTGTCGGCGACGCACCGCTACACGCCCACCACGGCGCAGTCGCTGTACTATCCCAGCAGCAGCGACCAGTCGTCGGGCGGCAGTTACGGGTACGGAAGCGGCGGATGCTCCGACCAGAGCGTGGACAGCTGGTCCATGTACGGCGGGATGCACGGCGGGCATAAGGTCTACCGCGCCCGGATGATCCGTACCGAGTAAGTTAGAAAATAACATTGGAAAAATTCAATAAAAAAATGCAAAAATTCAATTTTTACCGGCTGTATTTTTTTTATTGAATTTTTCGTTTTATTTTCTGAGTTCTACCAGTTTCCTTAATTAATTTTATTTTTGTTTGTTTTTACCGCTTTTGAAGTTTTTGAAAGTTTTTTCCAATTTTTACCGGTTTCTTGATTTTGTTTTTATTTGTTTGTGCCGGTCATATTTTTTATTGAATTATTGTATTTTATTTTCTAATTTTTGCCGGTTTTCTCAATTTTGTTTTACCGGCCGATTTTTTAATTTGTTTTCTGTTTTTTTCCGGTTTGTTTTGAAGGTTTACCATTTGTTTTTAGTGAGGACGAAGTGTCCCTGTCGGATGACCCCTACCACGTGACCTCGACACCCAGTCCGAGTGATTCCGGGATCGCGGTGAACTACGAGAGTCTGCTGCGCGAGAAGGACAACGAGATCGCCGCGCTCCGCCGCACCATGGAGCTCAACGAGGGTGTCATCTTCAAAGTGCACGAGGAGAAAGAGGTAAACGCGGCGTGTCCGGTGCCGGTAATGTAACTCTAAGAAACCTAAGAAGCCCAAGAAAACTAAATAACCGGTCAGCTGCACTAAGAAAATCCAAGAAATCTTGAGAAACTCATTGAATCTGAGAAGCCTTACCAACATAAATCGCCCAAAAAATCTAAGAAAATCTAAAAAACATAAGGAAATTGGGGGATAAAACGGCTAGCAAGTAGCAACACTGCAAATTAGAAGAACATATTAAGTTAACAACCGGTCGGCCGTACTCAGAAATCTAAAAAACCTAAGAAATCTGAAAAATCTATGAAACCCAAGAAGCCTATGAAATTTAAGAGAAAAAAATAAGAATCCGGTTAGTAACGCTGATAAACCCAGAAAAACCGAGAACCTTGAAAAGCCTAAAATGCCGGTCAGCCATAATAAGAAATCTAAGAAACTTTAGAAATCTGATAAACCCAAGAAACCTAAGAAATCTAAGAAACCCAAGAAACCCAAGAAATCTAAGAAACCCAAGAAATCTGAGAAATCTAAGAAAATATACCAGTAACCGGCTTCTTGCAGGCGGCCTGGCGGAAACAGTTAGACAGCCTGCGCACCTCCCACGACACGCAGCTGCGCAGTGTCTCCTCCGAGCACGAGGCCAAAGTGGAGGAGGTCCTGCAGGCCAACGACGCGCTCCGCCAACACAACGTTCAGTTGCAGCAGCAGCTGCAGACGGCGCTGGAGGGCCGCGGCGCCCTGGAGGTCACCCGCGAGGACCTGGAGGCGCGGCTGAGTGAGGCGCAGGCGCGGTTGGACGAGGCCAGCTGGTTGGTGTGCGAGAAGGCCGGCCAGATCGCGCTGCTGAAGAAGCAGCGGCCCGCGGCGGCGGACCAGGCGCTGAGCCAGCAGGTGCTGCAGCTGCAGGGCCGGTTGGAGCAGGCGCAGAAGGAGGCGCTGCAGCGCAACGCGGAGCTGAAGGATCTCCGGCAGACGCTCAACTTCCTCTCCCAGCAACTGTACCAGGTATGTGCGAACAACACAGCGGCATTCAACGATGTTGGGTTGCTAATAATAAAAATTAAAAATAATAGAATTGGCGATTTCCGGTGTTTTATGCCTACTTACATTTCTTTTTCGCAAAATGTCAAAGAACCTTGGCAAAAATTAATCCAATTTTATGGTTATTGAAGCCACCTGATTTAGTGGTTTTATAATCTCCGCGAAAAGTTTTTCTCACAGTCGCAGCCGATGGGAAAATTTTCTTCGTTCGCTTTGTATGTTTTGTTTTAGAGAAAATCTCGTATTTTTAGAATCACAGAGTTAGTGTGACGTATGACTCATGTTATGATCAATAATAATATTATATTTAATATTAATTATAACATGCTTCATACGTCACAAGATAGTTACAGATTTACAGTACCTACGCGATCCAAAAACTAAATTATAATTTTAAAAAATCCAAATACATGTATTTTAAGCCCCGAGTAGTGTGAATTACAATACTTAATCAGCATCAAAACTATTTTCCGCAGTAAATAACAGGCGAGCTGAAGAACTGCATCAAGCGACCGAAAAGGATTTAAAAGTTAAACTAAAATAATTGCCCTTATATATATTTCGGCGATCGAATACCTGCTCCATTATTTAATATAACATGGAAAAAATAATTTCTCATAAACAAAACTAGGAAAATAAATGAATGAAAAATTTCCGCAGTAATTAACAGAAATTCTCTATAAAATGCAGGTACAGCAGAAGCTAGACTTGGCCAGCGGCGAACTGGAGGCCAAACAGGAGAAACGCGGCAGCCTCTCCGAGCCGCCGGAAGTCGACACTCTCCGCCGCGAACTGGCCGCATTGCGTCTCCAATACAGCGCCGAATCGCGGCGCATGGAAGACGAGCGACAGACGTGGGCGGTGGAGAAGGAGAAGGTGCTGTCGTACCAGCGCCAACTGCAGCTGACCTACCTGGACATCTACAAGCAGAAATGCCGGCTGGAATCCCAGCTGGACGACATGGGCAGCACGCTGCGCATCAACGAGTTGATCGAGCTGCCCAGCGAGGCCTCCCGCGAATCCGACTGCTGACCGTTAGATTTTGATTCCGGATTGTAATAACCGTTCTCCTGTTCTTCACAAAGAGTCTGTAGGCTTTTATTTTGTCCGTTGTCGGTATTTTTTTCGTAGGTTGTTGCTGGTTTAGAAAATGGGTTTTTGTAAATTGTATCGGTTGATTTTGCCCTTTATTGTACAGAATATGATATTAAAATGTTGAAAATTTGAAATTTGTGATTTTGTGGTTTTGACGCAAAATGTCTGAAAGTATCTATGACAAAGGTCACCAGTCTCCCCACACGCAATTAAACATCCTCGTGCCGAACATAACCGACAGATGGCACCAGTAAAAAATGGCAAAATAAAGTAAACAGCCAAGAAATAAACTAGTAAAAAATGTGCCAGATAACAGGAAGCAAATTAACAGAATATAAAAAGAAATCCCATTAACAAAAAATTCCAGGAAAAAATTAAGCAAATACAAAAAAAGTGTACACAATTATATATACTGAATACGTACTTATAAAAACAAGAAATATTCAGGAAACAGCGGAAAATTAAAATGAAAGAAAGAAGGTAGACGGAAAATAAACCTTACCATAAGGAAACCAGAAATTTCGATGGTATTCGCTTCCGAAACGCTTTTATTGCAAAACGATGAAAAACGATGGCATGCAGTTTTTCCGCTAATGATAAATGATACTCACTCGTACACACACACAAATAAATGTTTTGCAACTGTACAACTAGCAATATATTGGTAACTGTCAAGAAGTTTATTCCACTTTTTTATGTGCTGTTGCACAAAACTTAAATAAGCACAGTATGTATATAAGAAAAATAAGTAGTGCAGAGAAACGCAATGCGGAACACATAGAAATAACGTCACAAGTAATATATCATGGAGAAACAGCGAATTAAGAAGCAAGCCGTTTAATGCAGATCCTGCGCTTCATCGGGGAAGGAGCGGAAGAGATCGCGCATCTTGTCGATAGGCAGCGCCAGGAAGCCGGTGAGGCTCTGGAACGCTCCCTTATCGGGGGCGTCGGGATGCGGGCGTGTCGGCACCATCTTGCGGGTTTTCTCGTACTTCTTCCCGGCTTCCAGCAGTTCATCCCCGGAGAGGCCTTTGCGGATGACCTATCAAATCACATTATAAAAGCAACGCTACAATGGGGATTAAAATCAGGAAATCGGCCAGCTGGTCCGCGGTTTAAAATTGATAATAAAATCACACACCAATTAACGAATACGCAGGAAACGCGGGAATTTGTTTTAATTCCGGCTACCTTTAAATTAATTTGATTTTCAGGCATATTTTGAATTTTATTCGTGTAGATAAGTTTCATGAACGATTTTCAGGTCAGAAATTTGTTTTCGAAAAACTTCACTAAGCAGGAGCAAATTTTCCCACGGACAGCAATCGTGGGAAAAAAATTTCGCTGAGATAAATAAAACATTCTGGTGATCTGTGGATTACATTTTCCAAAATTTCTTAATGTTTCTATTCAGATACAATATTTTAGGACTATAAAAGCGGAAAACCGCCAGGCGGTCGGCAAATGAATAATTAAATCAACAAAAAATGTGCGCCACAGGAATATATTCAAATGCGCATAGCATCGCCAGCACCGGGTTCGAACAGAGAAGCGCTTGTCTGCGCAATATGCGTAAAAACGAAGCATCTGATTTTGAAAGCCTACACTTTCCATATATGATTGTAGGTCTTACGTCAAGATCGCCGTCCTGGCTTTCCTCCATGGCGATATGCTGCAGGAGCTCCTCCATCATCCGGTCGATCTGGGGGCGGGTCTCCGGCGTGACCTTTTTCCCGTCCAGCTGGCTGAGGGCCTCCTTGGTCTTCTGGTGGTCCTTCCGGGATTCGTCGGCCAGCGCTTTGGCTTGTCCGCCTAATTTGTCGAGAAGCGGGTACACCTCCAGCTCCTCGGCAGCGGCATGCTTGGCGATACTCCAGATCAACTGGTTCAGCCATTTATCCGCGTCCTCGCCCTGTGTGGCCTGCACGCGCTCGTACGCGTGCTTAATTTCCTGTCATAGCCGAATTTACTAACATTTAATTACTATAATAAAACTAATAAAATAAAAAATAAAAAATAAACAAAAAATAAATAAAAAAATAAACAAAAAAATAATATAAAGTAAATAAAATTTACTACGGACAACAAAACAAGAAAGTTCAGTGCAATACTTACCGAGTGATCGTCCAGAACACGCTGAATAACGTCAACCATGGCTAATGTTTATTATTCCAAATAAATTTCGTTGAAGTCGAAAACTCTGTAACGGCAGTTAAAGCAGATTAACGTATTACTGACTACTGCGACTTTTTTATGTACTGTTGCACGGTATACAGAGGTATGTTTTTGATGCCGGTACAGCGCTTCCGGGGTATACCTCTGCCCCTCCGAGCTCTTTCCGTTCAGGCGCGATCAACGGGGTTTTCCCACATAATCGCAGCGCTACAATTTGTTCAAGTGAAGCAACGGCTGCGGTAAATCCGCACAAGAAATAATTAAACACCGTCACCGATGCCGGTAAATGTGCGCTACGTGAGTATCCAGCTGCGAGCGATGCACGGCTACAAAACAAGGTATTTTACGTAAATACGTATACGGTACAGTGCATCATGTAACCGCCATTGGGTAGTTGAGTTGGCGGCCTGAAAATGACCATCAGTTAGTAAAGTTACGAAACTTTACTAAGAAAGAGACTTTAAGAAACTTTAAGAAACTTTCAGTTGGTTAAGAAACTTTCTGTTGAGAAATTTACGGTTTCACGGATTTAAGGATTTGGCCCGGTACATAGCACTAAATTCGTGTATATCTATGGTGGATCTACGGGAACTTTCGCTGTCGCGCACGCCCAAACACTTTTTTGCATTGCTTTATGGTATTTTGTAGCCGAAAGAATTGTATACGTAGTTGTGAAATCTGTTTGAGCGCGCAACATCCGGCTGCAGAGTTATGAGGGTACTTAACAAAATTCAAAAAAGTTTAAATGCATTTAGGTGTACCAAAAGTCTCATTATGGACCTATTTCCCGTTCAAATTTTGCACGTAAACGCACATACCCATGAAGATCGTTTTATCACCGATCCACTGCTCTAGCATGTTTTTCAAATTTTGAAATGAATTTCAAAATTTTAAAATTCATTTTGAAAATTCGAAAAAAATCGTAGAAGTCTGAATCCGTGTTAAAACAATCTTGATGGTTATGTGCATTTACGTGCAAAATTCGAAAGGGATCGGTCCAACACCGCAAAAAAGCGCTGTAAAATGCGCTGCCGCGCATGTAAACGTGCTTGCTACCATGTACAGGTCACTTCCGGTACATGGTATTTACCTACAGTATAAACAGTTGCCTACCGATGGCGGCTACAGAGGCTTTACGATAAAAACACTCATGAAACTTTTGTATTCTGTGCCAATCGACTCACCATGCATCGATCGATAACCCGTCTTGTGGCTGCTATATCTCACTCGTCTTCGACCCGAACGACGGCGCAAGCTACACTGTCTACGCATATCGGCTCGTCATAGTTTCTTGGAATTTTTCTGTTGTTATTGGTTGTCTCTCCTGAAAACATATAGATCAAAGCGCCCACACCAGCTCAGACGTGTGCATTCCGGTTTCCCCAGGCCAAGCACACTACGATACGGCTATTCTTACTTCCTTCTCAGCCGTTGTATGCTGCAGAGGGAAAAGAGTTTTCATATCGTGCTGCTCCATGTTACGCGGAGCAAATAATGTTTCGGGATGCGTTTGACGGATCGTGCAACGCTGACCGACCGTTGTGATCAGGATGACGAGACGTCCACTGGAGACAGACGGAGCCGTGGAGACGGTTACATGCTGGAAGAAACGGGAAAGCACTGGTTCGACTTATTATTTTTACTGGCAAGGACTTGTACCCCATAGCTTCTCCCGTATATTGCAGTGATCCGTTTTGCACCCGCGTCGGTCATCCAGAGGGTGCCCTGCGGCGCGGTGGCGGCGGGGGAAGATAGCCTCGGTACGCCGCTTCCTGGCTGGCTCGCGTGACCGTTTCCCTGCATAAAACCGAGAATTTTTGCAGGCGATGCTGCATCTGCAGCCGCCGCCTCCTGGCACACCGCCCCCACCGGTAGGTGGCAGTCTCAGTGCGACAGCGGCTACAGCAGCAGCCGTCCCTCCTTCTCCCCGCCCGGGGAGGACGATGCCGCGGTTGTGGCTCACCCCACGGCCAGTCCAGTGCAGATGTCCTCAGGTACGGATTAAGGGAAGTATTCCAGTACATGGTCCCACATTCGTGTATATCTGCGCGAAAACTTTCACCTTCGCGCACTCCCAGTTAAACACCTTTTTGATTTGTTCTAATGACATTCTGTAGCCAGATGATGTGTATACATTGGCGTGAAAACCGTTTGTGCGCGCAACATCGGGTTCGAGAATTATGGCTATCAGAAAATTCCAAAAGGTTTAAATGTAGTCGGATGTACCAAAAGTCTTGTTATGGGTGTCCTTTAAATTTTGCATATGCAACACATCTATATATGATGACCGGTTTACACCGAACCACGCTTCGGGCACTTTTTGAAATTTCAAAATAAAATTTAAAACTTTAAAAATTCATTTTAAAATTGTAAAAAAATGGTGCAAGTCTGGTTTGGTGTAGAAACGATGTCCATTGTTACGCGCATTTCTTATAGCCATAACTCCCGAACCGAATATTGCGCACACAGACGGTTTTCCCGCCAAATAAATAAATTATAAATATTTTCATATTGATACAAGAGTATCAATATGAAAAAGCGGAGAAGACCTGGATATATTGTGTTTGTGTTTGGAGATTCTTTGGAAAGCAAAATTTTTCGTACAACGTACATGTACAAGCTTGTCCGGTAATTTCCTACGTAAAGGTACAGCTAGCGCGAAGTTTGCGCATATAACGATGGCCACTTCACTACGTTTATGAAAATCTGTAAATGCGCTCCGCAGTTAGATTGTCGCTTACTGCACCAATCATTTTCTAGCCACCTTCGCCAGGCAGTTTCTCATAAAATTATATGGCGTGTACGAGGCCACCACCCAGCCAAATGCAAGTTACGTGTTTGAAAAGTGTGGTGTGGCGCGCCGTAGTGTGAAGTTTGGCGTAACACGCAAATTTGTGTAAATCGCTGTATGGATTCGTAAGAAATTACCGGACAAGCTTGTACACGAACTGATACCAAGTTCATGAACTGGTACAAGTACCGGCATCCTTTCTTTGCCAAGTTCAAGTGATTCTCTGTTCATAAAAAACGTCGGGCTGTGTATGCAGATGCCGCCGGCGGCCGGTCGGCGTCCGCCCAGCCCAACGGCCGCTCCGTGGTCCCCGTGAATACCGTCCATCTGCCGCGCTTCCTCGGCCGCTACTGGGATCTGAGCACCGCCCGCGGTGCGGCGCTGCAGCAGACGGCCGCCGCAGTGCAGAAAGCCTACATAACGGCCTTCGGCGACCAGTTACTCAAGTTCAATCGCTTCATGCTGGCGGCACTGCGGGACGGGGAAATACCGGTCAGTGCCACACCGACATCTTTGCACTCTCCACCGACAAGTTTAATTTGTCCCTTAATTATCGGTTTGCAGCATCAGCCTCAAATGAGCATCGAGCAGGCTGTGGAGATGATGCAGAAGTCGGTGGCGGTGGATATCGACCGGCTGCGCCGTTTCACGGCCCTGCTGCCGGGATTTGCGGGGCTCAGTCGGGCCGATCAGACGGCGCTGCTGACCGAGAAGTACTGGCTCTGCGAACTGGTGCGCAAAAAAAGCGATTCTTGATAAAACGAAACGAGTACGTACAGTGCCAGCATTAGGTGCGTTTTTGCAGCTTTCGCACTGCAAGTTCATCCACAAGGGCGAAATCTACACGTACTTCGCCGCCAGCGGCGACCGTGACCTGCACTGCGGACTGTACTGGCTGGACATCCTGGGCGTGGATGCGGATTTTATGCGCTTCATCTACGGCTTTGCCGGCGCCTTTAACGATATCGGTCTGACCCAGACGGAGATCTATCTGCTCCTGGCGACCGGCATTTTCCAACCAGGTACAACTGCAATTAAGGGAAGTGGCCTGGTACATGGTACCAAATTCGTGCACATGCACGAAAACTTTCACTTTCGCGCACTTCCAAACACTTTTTCGTGTTGGCGTGAATATTTTTTGTGCGCACAACATCTCCAAATACTGAGTTTCATACACAGTTTTCATTCACACCAATGTTTATAAATAATTTGCCTACAGAACATCTTACAAAATGGGGAAAGCGAAAATTCCCGTGCATGTACACGAATTGTAGTCTCTTCTACTGGGTCAATTATTTGTCCCCAGGGTCACAAATTCGATAATAACGGTATGATCACATGCCATGGTTGCTGTAGATGGGACGAGCGCGGCCGATAAGACTACCCTGTCTTTCCTGCACTCTCTGTACCTGGACGCCTTCTTCTACTCCCTCGGCACGCGCCTGCCGGTAGCCGAACGAGCGGTGGCCTACGAGAAAGTGGAGCGGACGATGCTGCAGTTCCCGCACATCTTCCGGGTGTCGGTGCTGTACGTCAACAGTATGAACCTCACTGGTGTACCTCTGCGACCGTCGTCCATTGAATTCCGCGAGTGCTTGGAGTGAGACCGCCACACCGCAGTCATCTCGGTGCAGCCGTCTTGGCGCTTCCTTGCTGTTCGGCGGAATTACGCTGCGATTGACCGCTACGCTGTTTTTATGCCGGAGCATGGCGCCTGGTTAGCCATGCGACAACGCTGGCTGAGCCGGCTTTTGGTCCATCACCAGATAAACGTGGAGGCCAGATATCGTCCGTAGGCGACCTAATTATTTTAGAATTACCTTACGAAAACCTCGGATACTTTATGCCACCGACAGCCAGTGCGATTTTCGCGCTAGTACTTCCCCCGTCGTTCTGTTGTTTTACTTCCTAAATCAATTTTTGACGTATTTGACTGAGATCTTGATAATCACGATAAAAGCAGTAAAAGAGCATAGTTATTGCAATTTTTGTTATTACTTGCAGCCAAATAATTTGATTATTTCCAGTTATTACCTTGTACACGATTGTACGATTGTACATTGCTGAGATATTATGGCGAATGATTGAATAAAAATGGAGAAAATAATCAAAACCCGTTGCATATATAACCAAATTGTGTATTATGTACTGCGTACATAAATACAACACAGCAAAGTGCACATATGATGCATATAATTTTGACCGCTGATGATTCTCAAGTCTCAACCAATATCATATTGATAAAATTTAAAAAATTGCCAATGTACAGTTGAACTTATGCACTTTATACACGGTTTGATTGTAAGTAAATCTTTTTAATATATCTATGTATTTCGATGTTTTTCCTATCCTGGAGATTCGGATAATTTAACTTCGCATTCCCGGCATCCCCGACACGAAATTCTCTACGCATTCCCAACATCCCCGATCGATACGAAATTCTCTACGTTTTTTCACATAAAAAATTGAATAATTTTTTATCACTCTCGTGTATAAGCGTGTACAGCGACAACAACTATCGCCCAATCAACTACAGACAAGTGGAACAACGCGGAGAATTCCGTGTCTCTGGTGCCGGGTATGCGTTGCTATACCACATAATTATATGTACAGCTAGTACAACCGTCCGGTTATTTGATAATATTATATTATCTATAATATGTACAATACAAGCTTGAAGCGTCCGAAGTACAATAAGTAGACTTGTGTTATTATTGTGGTTAGCCGGCAAACCCGCCTCCGGAAAAGCGGAAGGCGCAGCGCTTGTCTGACACATCAGCAGTTTTTATTCCCGCTGTAACACCGTACAGTACGCGCAGACAGAATGTGTTGAAAGGAATAGTGGGTGTGACGTGGCCCGATAAGAAAACGGCATTCGGCAGCCGATCGACCGGCCTAATCGATTTCCACCGTACTTTGTATAATCAGCTGTACAGATTATTCTCTACGCTCTACCAAAGCTTTTAACATATACTGCGAATGCACAGACAGCGCTGAAGCCCATACGCGGTACGCGTACTAGAGTAGCGCCAGACTTTTGCTAACGGAGCCCGAAATTAAATGTTGATGTCATCAGTTACCGAGCTTGTATATAATTATCAGACCATCATAATATAAAAATCATCCAGTAATAACTATACCCGAAACAACTGCCTTTCTTGCTGCGACAGTTTATTCCCGTTTGTATATATAGTATATATACGCCGTATATATACCGATACATGCGTATATATAAATCGCCGCGCTGATTATTATTATTATTGTTATTATTACTATTATTATTATCATGGCGGATCTGCTCACCGCGGAGGAATTCCAGCGCACACTCTCGGCCATCCACCGGCCGGCCCAGCCGCAGCAATTCCCGCTGCTGCAGCAAGCCATCGAGGACGCGGAGATCGGGAGTCGCGCGGAGCTGGCGCTGTTCCTGGCGAATGTCTACCACGACAGCGACGGTCTGCAGCGGCTGGCCGAGAAGGACAACGGGAAGGGGAAGGAGTTTGACGGGGGATACCGGTACTACGGGCGCGGCTACCTGCAGATCGCGCATATCTACAGCTACCGCGACGCGTCGGAGGCCGTCCTGGGCGATGAGCTGATCCTGGAGAAGCGGCCGGAGCGCGTGGAGAAGGAGCCGCAGCTGGCCTGGGATGTGGCGGCCTGGGTGTGGCGCGAACGGGTGAGAAAGACGGTAACGGTAGCGATAAGATGGGGGAATGGGTCTAGAGTAGTGCCGGCTGTGTCAACGGCAACGGCTGCGCCCAGTTCGCATTTGAATATTGTAGTGTGGCTGCCGTCGCGCGCGGTCGGCTTATGTTTTCTTAGGTTTTCTTATGTTTTCTTATATGTCTATGCCTGTCATGATCGGCGTGGTTTTGCACCGTATTGCTGCTTAATAGACTGAGTAAATTTTAAATTTGTTGTATATATATTTTTATTAGTATTACTTTTTCATAAATTATTTTATTTTTTATATATGTTTTCAGATTTTATTTTAATCTAGAAATTGTTTTTTGCAAATTTAAGACAGCGACTAGCCTTCGCTAGTGAGGAAGTTTTAAAACTGTTAACTTCAATTATTATAAATCGATGTCATAATTACGAGAAGACGCTTTACAAGTAACAAGAGAGATTCTTAAGAAATTTGATTATTTGTAACACAGTTTTCAGCTGCATCCTGAATCCGGCAGCATGTTAAGCGACATAATTTTTATTGTAATTTTTTGTTTCTCCTGTCCAAAGGTCACGTAGTTCCTGGTTGTGGCATAGATCTATTTTCCTGATAATTGTGCCGGTTTCGTGAGCCATTGAACCAGTGGACACAAACAAATTCTTCTAAGCGGCCGGTTTTAGTCTGGATGTTTCTGTGAACCGGCGAATTTAAAAATTAGACTATTCCATATTTCAGCAAATGCTCTGATGAACAACGATGAAAAAACGTTAGCAAAATATATGTACAGCATATCAGACGAATGCATTGTAGACATGAGTATTGTCACTGTAAAGGGAACCGCTCCCGTTACGTAACAGGAATATATGTGCAAATACGTGCATCCACCCGGAACATGCACTTGTGATGACATAACGGTAGTGTTTATGGATTGTATGCATATTGTTCCGGCTGTGTGGATACTATAGCTGTCCCGCAAATCCCTGCTGATGACGTAATGCTCAGCGGTGTCTGTGTGAAGGTGGCATATCAAGTTGCAGCTGACAATTTTTTAACAGATTAATATGCGTCACCGGGCGACAGGTGATGTTCAGGGTTGAAATGTGAGCAGTTTGCGGCTGTTTTATGAAATTAAATTGATTTGAAATGAAGGGAATTATCTTCATTTTTTAAGCAATTTTTTTGTAATAAAAATTCACAAGAAATTAAATGAAAAATCAATATTTGCTAATATATCGTGCTTTTCAACAGCTATTTCTTCCGTTAAATTTTAATAAATCGACACTTGGTTTGAGCAGTTCTAAAATTTACCAATAATAATTTTAAAACAGTTAAATTTTTCATTTCCGACCGTTACAAATTCTCGAAGCCCGGTTTATTCTGAAACGGAAGAAAATACTAGGAAAGTGCACCGCTTTAGGCTAGCACTATAAGACCGAAGCGAAGCTACTGCTAGAAACAGTAAAGGGAAACATAACCTAACGGGCTTCCTATTATTTCGTCCACCATTCATTTTGTCCATCATTCATTTTATCCACCATTCATTTTGTCCACCAATTACTTTGTCCACTAATTATTTACTCCTTTAAACTACAGAGAACCGTTTAAAGTTCAAACCGATGAATACCGTTAAAGCCGAAAAGAATTACTACCTAAGAAAACCTAGGGTAGAATTACCTAATGAATCTAAGAAATCCTAAGATAACCTAAAGCACAGTAATCGTTCTCACTTCTCAGCATAGTGTTGAGGGTTGCGAGGTGTTGTATATCGTTTAACCTAAACCACTGTAATCGTTTCAGCACAGAGTTAGCGTTTGCGTAGGTGCAGTAAAGTATAAATCGAACTCGGTAGTGTGCATCGAACTGTATGGTGGACATAATGTACAGTGGACAAAATGAATGGTGGACGAAATGAGTGGTGGACAAAATGAGTGGTGGACCAAATGAAGGGACACGACCCAACGAGGTCATACGTTCATATCTGCTTGCCAAGACTTTCGTACTAAGACTCACCATTCTGTATAATGTAAGTAATACAACAAAGTCCTTGAGTACGATATTGATTACAAGACTGTATGTGTTTCCATAACATTCGTATACTACAGATTAACGTTCATTACTCACCATTAGTACAAGATGCACGGAATATTAATGCCGCTTACTGCTAAAAGTACGAGTAAGTGACGCTTTTCTTTTAAGTGGAAACGTGCTTACCGAACTCTTTATACGTACTGCAAGTGATACGAGCAAGTTTTGGGCGCCAAATAAGAAAAAAGTTGCCCGCGATAGGGGCGTGGTCCCTCATTACAACCTTGCGGCAGAATGCCCTGTTACGCGTTTTCACGAGTTGCCGCTCAAGATTTGTCTGCTAACTGATTGACTAACAATGCAAACGTAGGTCAATAGATATCACAATGGACAGAGGTCATAAATACAACAAAGGTTACGGTTGCTACGACATCTCGTTTACCGTTCTGCAGTTTCTTAATGTCTGCGCCCCTGCCAATCCACTGTTTCTTAGCAGATAGAATTGAATCAAGCTGAATCTAGGAATTTGCTGGACTACATTCCCTTTTACTGTTCCGACTCCCTAGCTTAGCTTCGGTCTTATATGCTAGCATAGAACGGTGCTACTTCTATGTCAGTAATAAATGATACAGGAAAAAAGGATAGGGGTTGCTTTTTTGAATATAGAGGGTCTACTATCACTTCAGCTGCTAAATCAGTCAGCTGTGCGCTGTTTCTTGGTAGTTAGTCTAAGGACATTCTGTTAGTACCGTGTTTAGTAAAATTTGCTCTTAGGACTGACAAAACACGTTAGTAAGCACATTAGTGTTTTGGTTTAATGCGCGGTTACAGGTTCCCCTACGTTGTAGTGCCTAAATGTTATTGAGCGCCTAGCAGTCTCATCTAAGTGCCCCTAAGTGTCGGTCACGCCCTAACTACTTAGGGCGTGACCGACAACTTAGTGCGTGACCGACGTGCGTGACCGACGCACAAAAATTCCCGTTTTCTTGAACATAGAGGACCTTCGCTTCGCTTCGGTCGATAAAATTCATTAAAAAAAAACTACATCGATTTTATTTCCCGATTGCGTTGTTTTTTTATACTTGACACCAAACGAAATTAAATAAAATATTTCCAAATTTTATTAAATCGGAATTTACTATTTTTGATCAGTTTCTCCATCTGAAAATTATCTAGCTAATAATTTGATTTATCTAATTATTAATTTAATTATTAACTTAATAATAATTTATTTATATAATTATTAATTAATGAATTAATAGGCGTTGCCTTCTTTCTAAACATACCTAATAAATTCATTTAGATTTAGCAAAACAAATAATGAAAAATTTAAAAAAACTGATTAAAAAACTAAAAAATTTTTTTAAAAAATTGGAAAAATTAATTAAAAAACTGATTAATTGAAAATGTAATTTTGAACCGTAGGTGAAGCCGTACGGGACGGCCACCCTGGAGGACACGGTGCGCTCGCTGAACAGCGACGAGCTGGACGGCGATCGCAGCGCACTGCGGCGCCGGAAACAATTTCTGCGTGCCATCAACAAAGTCCTGCAGCCGACGGCGGATGCGGGCGAGGAGGCGTGTCCGGATGAGAACGACGAGTAGAAATTGGCCGTTTCCGGGCGGAAGTGTTCCTGATCGATGCCGGCAGTGGAAATATTCCCGCATCCGGCATTAAAAAAATTCCAAATTTTGTTGTTGAATTTCCCATAATTATTTCGCATATCCATACGCCGGCGCAGATTTGCACTACAGTTGTGTTTTATAATTAATCAATATTTTTACATATTCATTTTGCACTGATAACGGTAAATGATGGTACTGTTGTGCTTTATTTAAGCTATATGTACAGTGCACGCATATTTTAGCCGTTTTACTCGTACATATACAAATCACTGGCGTGAAAAATTTTAATGGTTTTATTTAATGGCTGCGGTAACTGTGCTTTTTTTGGCTTTTTTTTTGGGCGACGTACGTGTCTGTGCGATGCTTGATAAGGGAACAATAATGTCAGCGGTAATCTTGATTCGATAATTTTCGATTACATCGTCGATTACGCTTTTTTTATTGCAGAAAGGTCAGCCGGTCAGTGGCACGTATAATGAAATTCCTGAACTGTTTATATTCGATCATAAACATTTTCGAAGCTGTAGTGACTGGAAATCTGTCACTATTTCAAGATAATTCATTGCGAATGTTTAAACCGGCACAAAATCTGGAATAAAACCAATTGATAATTGTGCAAAATGTTCAATTTAAAATTTTCAATTATATAACACTGAACAATTCTAAATTACTAATTAGAGTAATTAAATATTGTCGACTTATTAACCGATTTTTTATGTCGTTTAAATCGACCGGAAAATATCTGTAAATCAGAAAGTACTGTTTTTTTCACTGCAGAATGGCGAATTGAATTTGTGACTGTTAGTGAATCCAGATTTAATTCTCCACGGCAAAATGAAAACACCAGGTTAATTAATTACAGGAAAAATAATTACTAAAATCGTCCATTGTACAGACGTACATGAGACTCAATTTGAGTCAGCAAAATAAATGCGTAAATATGTATTTAGCAAGACACAAGCAGCATGGATGATGTATCACAAAAGAATTACAAAATAACACCGCAAAAACACATTCCAACCGGAAACGGCAGCGGTTGCACGCGAAAAACTCACCCGTTAGAAAAACTGTTAAAAATCGGTGACACTAATTATTAAAAAAAAACAGAGAGAAATTGGAAGATAAATTCAGTGCTCTTTCATGGATTCCATCTGCGCTTTGACTTTCTCGATGAACCACTGCGCCGAATCCTGATCCTGTAAATAACACACACAACCGTCAAACAAATCACCGATAAAATATTCTTAGAAAAAATACTAAGAACAAGAGAAAAAATCGTATCAAAAAATTGTCAAAAATTAAAACATAGATATAAAAATAAATTAATAACTACACAAAGCAACACTTCAATAATTCCAGCTGCATAATAATAAATTAAATGGGCCATAAATTATAAATAATAATTAAAAATTATTACAAAGTTACTAATTCAATTTAAGAAAAGGACAGAAAAATAAATAAATCCAGAAAAAAGAAGAAACCTAAATATTCTGACATAATCGAAACAAACCGACACCTGCTATTTTTAAAATTTGGGTTATAAATTATTCCTTCATAAAATAAACAGAAAAAGCATCTAAAACAATTTCGATTCATTAAAATTAATAAAAAAAATAAAATAAAATTACGAATAATGTTTAATTACCCATTTAGTTGGAAAATAAATTACTGGTTGAATAAATATCATTTAATATAAGAAAGCGGAAATTATTTGTGTTATTAATGGTTGAATGCGTTGCGGTGAACGGCGCTGACCTCGACGAAGACGTAGCGCGGTTTGTCTTTGCGCTCGAGATGCAGGAGACCGCGCAGTCCCTTGCCTTCGGCCTCCACCACGGGGAACATGATGCCCTTCTCCGTCCACGTGGGCACGCCCACAAAGTTGTCCCATTCGTACATCCAGTGGATCGTGAAACGACCCTGCCAGAAAAAACAAACATCTTCAGTTAATGAGAAAAAGAGCAGCAAAATTCGGAAAAAATTCGAGATAATTCCCCAACAATCACAGAAAAAAACAGCGGAAATTTACAGGAAAAATCTATCACAATTTCAAGAAATACGGTAAAAAGAACGGAAAAATAATCAGGAAAATATTGACAAGCATCAGCAAAAACTCCACCAAAATTACGGAAAAATAGAAAGAAATCGCAGACAATTTGAAGAAAACCGAAGAAAAATCGAAAACAAATTCACAAAAAAACTGAAGGAAATGTACCATAACCCAGAAAAAAAAACGGAAAAAATTCCGATAAAAAATCCAACGCGACTAGAAAAAATTCCAAAAAATCTACACCACAGCTGAATATATTTTAGAAAGTTCACAAAAGAAACCGGTAAAAAATCGAAGACAATTTACAGAAAAATTGAAGGAAATGTACGAAAACACAGGAAAAAAATCGAACAAAATCCCGATAAAAAATCCAGCGTGACTAACCTGCAGGATATCGCCCTTCTCGAGGTACAGCAGCCGCTTCGTCGTCAGCATCAAGACGTAGCGGCGCTCGTGCGACGTAACGAGGTGCGTGACGTACTCGTCCTCCTTGAGCTCCTTCTTCTGCACGTCGCGGAAGAGGTAGGCGCCCTCGGCCTGGTGGAGATTGTAGGGGCGCACCAGGCCGTCGGGGGGGATGTGGCGGGTGGGGCGCAGGCGGATGGGGTCCACGTCGGAGGTGGTCAGCCGGCGCACCGCCTCCAAGGAGCCCGTCGCAAAGTCTACGACGCCCGCCACCGGCCGCACGACGACGCCGATCAATCCGCGGCCGATGCCCTTCATGAAGCCGGCCGCGCCTTCCTGCCGGGCGCCCTCCACCGGTCTAAGCACAAAATCAACCAATTTAATTTTTATTCCTTTTATCACGTAAAAAACGAAGATTTTTATCAGACATATTTTTCTTATTTTTATTTCCATTATAATCCCAGCACACATTATTTTGTTAAAATTTTTTATCAAGTAAAAAATGGGCTATTTTTATTAGAAATGTTTTTCTTGTATGTATGTATTTTATTATCATTATAACCTCAGCATAATTTATTTTGCAATGATTAAAAGCTGAATATTTTTATGAGAAATATTTTTCCTGAATTCCCAGAATATTTTATTTTCATTATAATCCCAGCAAAATTTATTGTGTTATTACTGTATGACATAAAACTTGGGATATTAAGTAGGTTGCGTTTTGCACGGCCAAAGGATTAACGGCAAAATTAACGACGGTTTTAGCGTTGTTAATTTAATGTTCCGTTGATTCGAATAAGAGGTTGCGTTATACACTGAACAATTTACTACCCCTAAAATTAACGGGAGGAATTGCTATCAACCAGTCTCCATTCATCATTTTGTTTACCAGCGTAAAGATAACGAAATGCAGATTTTTCATGTGATGTAAATACGTTAGAGAGAACTGCGGTTTAAGTTTCGCACAGACGTTATAAAGATCAGTCATTTCATTCTGAAATGCGTGAATTTTGAAAACTGGTGAATATGCAGTGATGCACAGTACACGCTACAAAGCTGTTACAGAAGTTAGAACATTTGGTTGCTGAATCAGCAAAGCATTCCTATCACTAACTGTGTTTTAGTTTTTACAATAATTTTCACATTTATGACAAAGTAAATTATTTTGCTTTCTAAATAGCTGGCAAAAAAATCACTGACAGAAGTTCAACTGTCAAGACTGGTACAATTTTCGAAATTTCGAGTCGAGTGGGCAACTCAGGATTGAATGCCCAGGCAGAAATTCACCGGGTAGACTGTCTCGCTTATGCAGTCTTCGTACTCAATGGTCCATGTGGGCCCAGTCGTTCATTACTGAATTTTAACGTCGTTATTAACGAAACGATACCCCTTCGTTTCGTTAATAACGACGGGTACTGCCGTTTAAACGTTCGTTAATTGTACCCCGTCGTTAATTCTATCGTCAATCGTACCCCTTCGTTGATACCGCAACCTGCTTATTGTTATTAGAAATATTTCTCTTGTATTACTGTAATTTTATTTTTATTATTCGATGAACCCGATTTCATCAAAAACAATAATAAAAATTCGTTGAGAAATAATTGCGGGTATAATTTAAATGATGCCTACTATAAAGGCGATTTTATTGGGATGAATAACGTCGCTACATACTTGGTGACGATGCCGGTGATGCCCTGCGTCAGTCCCTGGCCCAGCGCCTTGCCGCTCTGCAGCACCGCCCCCGGGAAGTCGGTGGGGGTGCGGTTGCGGTCGCGCTGCCGTTGCCGCTGGAATTTCTCGTCGAAGCTCACCGTGGCGATGGCCCGGCCCACGCTCCCCGTCAACTTCTCCGCTACAACCCAACACAACTCAATTATTACCGAATTATCCATAAATTTTCCAATTACTTAATATTATTTAAATCATTTAATATTTACTGCTAAAATTATTAATGAATATTTAAACGGTTTTTTTAGGGTAATTCAAAATTAACTTACCGGTGCCGAGAACGCCGCCCACCGATTTCCCCACCAGACTCTGGATGCCGCTGCTCAGCCCGGAAATAAACTCTTCCGGTCCCTCAATGGCACCCTCGTACCTATTCCACAAATAAAAAAAATCAATTTCCATTTATTACCAATTTACTGCCAATTTATCCCATAAAGTCCTGATTATTTCCACGATTTAATTCCCCGCAAAAAGCGGATAATTTCCGGAATTTTTGTTTTATCGATTACGTACGGTTCGTAGAAGAGATCCCGCACGCCGGAAGTCACACCGCGCACCAACCCGAAGGGATTCCCAATAATGTCCAGACCCAGCGCGATCGTATAAAATCTATTTAAAAATAATCACAAATTAAGGAATATTTAAATTAATTAAATTATATTTTTTAAATGATTATTATTTGATTTATTAATGGATTTATTGGTGACGTACTGTTTGAGGAGCTGGGAGACGTAGTGGCTCTGCAGCTGCTGCTGCATCTGCACGGAGGTGAAGCTCTTGTGCAGCCGCTCGAAGGTGGCCAGTTTGATGAGGACGTCGTTGACCTCCGTGGCCGTCACGCCCAGCGTCCGCAAAACAGCCCGGCGAACTCCGACTGCACGTTCAACGCCGACTGCTGCTCGCCTAGCGGGAAAAACAAAAAACAATTACTAACTTGTAAGTGCAGCAGCAAAATTGAGCAAATAGGTTGTGTTAAATCAGCAATTTATTACGTTCCTTCATTCGTCATTTGAGCCAGTACACTACGCAAATCACTACTCCAGCGCATATTTACACTAACTAAGATGACAAGTCACAGCAAATTACTTCTGACTGCAATACAGTGCTGAGTTGTGTAGAAATCAGGAAATGTTAAAAATAAAAACAACAGACATGGGAAACATCAAAATCGACGCACCAACCAAATAACAATTCGAACGACTAATCAAGAATTAACTGAAAAACATAAGAATTAACTTAAAAGCCATTCAAATGTGCTTTACTGGTAACTTGTAATTATAAATTTCGCACTAGAAAACATATAGGAAAACAACAAAATCGGAAAAGGAAACTCAACAAATGGAAAAGAAAAACACAAAATTAAATAAGAAAAAATAAAATCAAACAACTTTCAGAAAAAACGAAAAAGAAGAAAAATCCGGAAAAATATAGAAACCGGGGAAAAAATAAACAACGACCCAAGAATCCATTTAAAATCCATTTTTATGTGCTAGGAGGTTTATTAGTACTAAATCCAAGAATTAATCTAAGAATTAATCAAAAATTTCGCTGTGCTATATTTGGAAATAAAATTGAGAAAAATTCAGCACAAGAAAAATATAAAAAATATAAGAAAACATAAGAAAATACGAAGACGAAAAGCAAAAAAAAAAACATAAGAAAATCCAAGAAAAATACGAAAAAGAATAAAAGCAGAATAAAAAAACCTAAGAAAATCCAAGAAAAATACGAAAAAGTCAGGAAACATGAGAAAAATCAGAAAAGCGGGCGTGCTTACTGTCGGCGCCGGTCAGGGAGAAGCTGACATGGATCTTCAGCGGATGAATGACCAGATGGTCGAAGGGCAGCGGCGTCTCCGTGCCGACGCCCAGACTGACCGTCTCCGCCAGTCCCCGTCGCAACTCCGCCCCGTCCTGCTGGTGGAAGTTATCCAACATCTTCTGACGCGCCTTGAAGCCGCTCTCGCCCTCCGGCTGCAGAATGGCCAGGATGGAGTTGATCACGCCCTGGTCGGCGCGCACCTCCAGCTCCTGCACCAGCGCCTCCAACAGTTTGAACTGGGGAACTTTGCTGTGGGCGGTTTGGCGGATGATCAGGCTGCCTTCGATCAGCGGTTTGTGTCCGACACTCTCCGGTAACGGAACGGGGACCAGCAGGGTGGGGTACTGGGATAACGGGTTCGGGTTGTCGATTTGCACCTAATTAACAGTGCAATCTTGGTCAAACAATTAACTGAAAAAATTTTTAATTAAACGCCTTATTTTTCTGGTTTTTTCCGTTTACTAGTGGGAGAATAAACGGTTTATTTTTTGTCGAAAACAATTAACTAAATTAATTTCAAAATAAATATCTTATTTTTCTAATTTTCCCGCTTAATAATGTCAGAATAAACTGTTTATTTTTTTTTTGATAAATAAGCTGTTTATTATGAAACTGTCCACAATCAGCAATCAAATTAATTTCAAATAAACGGCATTTTTCTGTAAATAAATCGCTTACTGGCCTTACAACATCGGGAATAAAATCGGAAGATAATCGGCTTTTTGTTCACCAAGCTGAAATCAGTAACATTAATTAAGTAAATAATTAATGACATTTCGCTCAAAACAAATTAGAAACCAATTAACCATTATTACTGCAAAAGCCTAAATTTAAAAGAAATAATTTTTAAAATAGCACACATGAATATGAAATACGTAATTACGTACTGAAGAAAGAAACACTATAACGCACACCTTCACTACAACTGATAGTACCAAAACATTATTTTTCATAAAATTATCAAAAGAATTTCCCTCCGCAAATAAAGCAGCAAATATTGCCTGAATAAATGTAAATACTGCAGAAATTTCTGTTACAACAATTAAAATTAAATATTGCTTCTATTGATTATATTTAATATTATACCTTTTGCAGTTTGACATGCACTTGATACTGGCTGGCGGACATCTTGAAGCGGCACCAGAAGCCGTCCTCGTAGATGCGCTGCAGCTGGCGGTGGTGCGGTTTATTCATCATCATCTGCGTGAAGTCCACCTCCAGGTTAGCCTGCTCGATCTTCGTGGCGCCGTCAATGTGGATGTCGGCCTCGATGTTGGAGCGGTACTTCTGGAAGGCCTGCTCCAACTGGCGCGCCTCCGAGCCCTTGAAGGTGTGGAAGCGCTTGGAGGTGCTGCTCAGCTTCCGGTACTGCCAGATCGGCCCACTGCTCACAATCCCCGCATAAATAACCTTATAACAAAAATAAACAATATAAGTGCAATAACGGAAAATAAATGCCGAAAAAATAGCAACAAATACCAACAAATAATAAGGAGAAAATTAATGCTATGAAACAAAAATAAATCCTCATAAACAATACGAACACCAACAAAAATTACAGAAAAACGCTATGAAAAATATAATACACGATAAACAAACCTTTTAATAATATTAAACGATAATAACAAAAATGATTCAAAACAACCAGCAATGATTAATGAAAAAATAATAATGAGCCACAATAAATGCTGCTTATTCTAATAAATAGAAATAAAATAAATACTAATAGAGAAAATAAATCGCATCAATAATAACCAATAAATAAACTAGCCAATAAAATTGCAAATAAAACAGAAAATATAACTGCAAAATTAAGAGAGCAGTCAACAACAACTAAAATCGCAAATAAGACAGAATTAAATTGTAAAATTAATAAAAACAATAAATAAGACAACAAATAAAGTACCTCGTGTTTGGCGACGTTGTTGACCAGCGACACGCCGATCCCCTCCATACTGGCCACCACCTCCAGCGACGTGGCCTCCAGATCAACGGCCTGCTGCACCTTCAAGGCCAGATCCACATCCGCCGTGAACAGCAGAATCCGCTCGTTCTCGTAGTAGAAAGACACCCAGTAGAAGACGTCGGTGTCCACCGGGAGATTGCCGGAATCGTCCTGGTTGATGTCGGTGACCTGGGGGTTGTTGTCGCGGAACAACCACTCCAGTTTCTTCTCGTTGGACGGTTCGGGCCAGGCGAACAGCCGCTCCATCCCGGCTTGCACGGCGTCGAACTGCAGTTGACCTACTTGGCGGTAGTACACCGGGAAGGGGGTCAGGTTGACGAAGCGGTGGGTGGCGCGGCCGGGGTAGAAGGGCTGCAGGGTGGTCACGGCGTTGCACTCGCTCACCTAACCATTCAGTTCAATTTACACCCATAAAAAATAATTAAAGATAATTTAAAGAAGAAATACAACGTACTGTATTGAAAAAAATAATTAAAATTCGTTGTTTGATTAAAAATTCATAAATAAAATTACGGTGCAACAGTTAAAGTAAAATTTATCACAGCCGAGCCATAAAAATTTAAAGAAAACATTTTCTGTGGAAATCGAAAAAGTTTTATTTCGATTTTCGACATCTTGTTTAAAGTTTCGATAACATCCCATTCCAATTATAATGGGTACATGAACCGCATTTAAAACGGGTTCGGCTGACCTATGCAAACGCAAAAATTTCTGCTGAATTTCTAAAACAGCAAATATACGAGTACTATTTCTACCTGTCAAAACTAGTTTTTAAATTTCAGAATTATTCTTCTAGAGCTAGAAACTACATAATTTTCCCTTGATAATATTGTGAGAAAAATAAAAGAAAAATGTCCTTGTTATTTTTTCAAAAATAACACAGAAAATGCCTTTCTAATTTTTGGCAAAACAAATCCTTTTTAAATGCCAAAAACAGTTCTTCTACATTTTAAAATAATTCTCCAATTTCCAAATATTTTTTCTACACTCACAAAATAGTTTTCTTTAGACAATACTAATAAACCAACAACTTTCTTGCTAATTTTATGAAAGTACAAACAAGACCTTTTTACATGCTAAAACTATTATTATAAATTGCAAGAAAATTTCTTCCAAATTTCCAGCAGCTGTTCCCCGACTGACCTGCGTCTCGACATAAACCCCGCCAAACTCATTATTCAACCGCAGCAAATTATGCTGCAGCACGCCGTAACAGAACGCCGGCGTCTCCTCCACGGTTTTTATAAATTTTAAAACTCTAATTCCTAATAATTCTTTTTCATATTTTGAAATTAATTTTAGTTAGACAGTACCCGAGCAACGATAAAAACGGCAATTCCAGCGTTAATTTATAAAAGTACAAAGATAACTTGTTTAAAGTAGAAAAAATATTTCCGTAAACTGCAAAATAATTCTTACAAATTTCCAGAAATTCTTCCCAGACTGACCTGCGTCTCCACATAGATCCCACCAAACTCATTATTCAACCGCAGCAAATTATGCTGCAGGACGCCATAGCAGAAGGCCGGCGTCTCCTGCACGGTGTTCTGCACACGACACACCAGCTTATTATGCTCCGCACATCCCAACTCCTCATCGCCCTTTTCCGCCTCCTTCTCCTTGCGCATATCATTAAAGTACGGCCAGAAGGGGACCGTCGCCTTGGGCGGGATGTTGATCCACTGCGAGGCCTCGTGGTTCTCACGCACATCGATCCCGACGTCGCTGACGTTGCTCAGCACGTAGTACGGCGTGAAGACGACTGTTTTCGTGATGACCGTCGCGCTGGAGCGGATCTGCATGCCGATTTCGTAGGTCCGCTCGGCGCCCTTGCAGACCACCACACCGTTGCTGCCCACGGCGTCCGGGCTGAACTTCTTGGACCACTCGGCGTCTTCCACTTTAATGCCGATCTTCCGCTTCTCCTGCAATTTTTGGAATGAAATTTAAACAGCTTTGAAACGCCGTCGGAAGATGTAATTTAATTAAATTTATTAAAAGTTTTTGCTCAATAATTTATCGCGTTTAGCGTTCAAAAATAAATCACTGGATGAAATCAATGTTTTTTTTTGCAATCTGGTTTAAACCACGAGTCTGGTTTGAATTACCTTCAAATCTCAAGAATTAATTAGAATCAAATTTTTTGTTGTAAAAACCGTTTCGTTTATCTGTTTCGAACAGCTGTTTTAAAATTTAAAAATGAAACTAAAGAATTTTTGAAAATAATTTTCAAATTCCCAAAGAAGTCAAGGATTTAAGTCGGACATCAATTAATTAGAAAAATAGTTAAAATTACATTTCTCTATTTCCAAAAACAGCTAACCTTTTGCGAACAACCGTTTTAAGAGTTGGAATCGGAATTTTATAATTTCAAAAATAATTTCAAAATACCAAGGAATTAATTCTGAGATTAATTAATTTGAAATTAATTTGAATAAAAGCCGGTTTCCAGCAACAGTTGCTGTTTGAAAAATTCGTATATTAATTCCTATAACTGCGAGAAATATTTCACCAGTAACAAAAATTCAACAACTTTTTTTCAATTTAAAAACATCTTTTTCGGTTCACATTTTTCAAAATACCGCTTAAAAATGTCGAAGTTTACTTGGGAAATTGTAGGTTTTCATGCTCCTTACCTGTAAATTCCCATAGGACGTGGAATACAGCAGCGGCTGCGTAATGGTCCCCAGATGATCCTTCAACGGATCCCGATAGCTCAACAACAGCCCCGTCTTATTCAGCATCCAGAACGGCGAGTAGATCGTCAGGAAAATCGTCCCGTCCTCCTTCAGCGTGCGGATGCCCACCAGCACACTGTCGCGCTTGTCCGTGTCGCGGGTGTTGATGGTCTCGCCCTGGCAGATCAACGTACACGGCGTGAACTCCTCCGTCAACGACCCGACCAGAATCTCCCCGTCCCAGTCGTGGTCCATGTAGTTCTTTAAGCGGAAGAGGAGCCGGTGTTTGGACGGATGCACGGTGTACAGCGGTCGGCTGTTGCCGGCTTCGATGGGGACGTAGGTGTGCTCGATGGAGAGGGCGGGGTCCGCGGCGGCCTTCTCTAAACGCGCCAGGCGGGTTTCCTGCGCGTCCAGGTAGCCGATGCTCATATCGTACGGGAGGACATTCGCCACGGTGATCACGCTGCGTAAGAACACCTACAAAAATTTAAAATTGAAAAACATTTTCCTTTTCTATTTTCACGATTTCAAATCCCCAAAAAATGAGAAAAAAAACTAGCCTAAAATTAGAAAACAAAATAATCAGGAAAATTCCATGAAAATTCCTTTCCAAAAACGTGAATAAAAAGGGTTTTTATCCAACTGGCAAAAATCTTAATTCAAAACTGGCAAAAATCTGTAACTGTAAAACAGTTGTAAAACTGGCAAAAAACTAAAAACTACTAAAACAATTTCCTCTTGTGTTTTCACGATTTTCAAATCACAAAAAAATCGAAAATAAAAATCAACCTAAAATTACACAACAAAATAAATAGGAGAATTTAATGGAAAATTCCTTTCCAAAAACATGGATAAAAAGGTTTTCAACGAACTGGCAAAAATCTCCAGTCGTAAGTGTCACGAACGTAGTAAATGGGAGCTCAACAATGTTCGCAAAGGGCAAAAGCTGTTACCTTAATTCAAAAAGCGTATAAACGATATTTTCACACCTAGACTAATTTTTCAAAAAATGCATTAAAAAACTTTCCCTGGAAAACTGACGTAAACCTTACAGAATTCCAAAATAATTTGTTTTTAATTCAACTCCAAATCAGAAAGGTGATTTTTTCGACAAGGTGCAGAAACAGAATTTTTCCAGATTTCAAAAACCTGTTTTAACAAGTTACTTTATGAAAACTATAGTTTAAATTTTTCTAAACAGTAGAAACATTACGACAAATATACTTACTGTGCAACTTGTAAAGAAAACGCTGTTCTTGAATAATGTCACTATTTCGGGGTCAACCCGGCCATACCTGGTATTCGACGCTGTTGGGCGTGTACTTCTGGGTGTTCTCGTACTTGACGTGCTCGGAGCGGCAGAACATGACAAAGTACAGCGTGGAGTCGACGCCCAGCTTGGCCGGGTCGCACTGCATCATGTAGGTCTTCTCGGCGACGTCCAGCCGCAGAATCTCCCCGATGGGGATCTTCTTGGAGGCCTGGTACAGGTCGGAGTGCGCCGGTCGGCAGGATAACACCGCCTTCTCGTCGAACTGCACCGACCGGATGGGCATGAACACCGTCTGGTTCGGATCCACCACGCCCGTGTGATCCACCGAGGCGAATCCGCCCTGCAATTTTAAATGCTTCATTAATTTTTTATCTATTATAACTGTAATAATTCTGACGCTGCACTTTCTCGATTGGGTAATTTTTCTAATTTATGCTTAGTTTTCTAACAAAAAATGGCATGTAATTGCCTTGGCCTGCATTACTGGCTTGAAAACTCATGTGAGCATTTTTTTAAACTGTTATCTCACATACATTTTTGTAAAATTTAAAAACAATTTTTTTACCTAAGAAATAACATAAAAACGAAATAATAAAAGGGGATAATTTATCCGAAACACAGCAAATAAATTGATACAAAAAATGAAAATGCGCAGCAAATAAATAAATTAAATAATAAAAACTTGATACAAATTTTTTAAAGTCATTATGATATTAATTATTAATCTCAAGGATTATTAAATTTGGTAATAAGTTTTTATATATGCAACAATAATCAGCAGGTTTATAGCCACAAAAAATATATAATTAACTGCAAAATAATACAAATAAAGTAAATAAAACGAATGTAAAATACAAAAAAACCAACGAAAAATATTATAACATTCCAGTATTTCAGTATTATTAATATTATTCCTCTTTAACTGATTTTTTTTAGAAATTCACTATACCTGTAATTCCATGGGCATGAGGAGGTAGCTGGTGACGGTCATGGAGCTCTGCAGATGGATGGCCTTGTAGTTCGTCTCGGCCACCACGTCGACGATTAAGCGCAGAGGGCGCTGCACATCGTCGGCGTTCTGGATGAGGAAGAAGCGGCGTTCGGCTTTCAACAAACTGATCTCGATGCTGCGTCCGGCGACGATCAGCTTCATCTTCAGATCCGTCTCCGCGGTCGACTGGTGCAGGACGTTCTTGTGGAATCGGCGGATCTTCTTGTTCAAATAAATCTCGCGGCTGGCGCCGGATTTGACGGCGACGATGCCTTCCAAATCCTTGGTCACGTTCTCATCCACGCCGTATTGCAGTGGAGCAATAACCTAAAACATTTTTATAAACCAATTTAAAATGTTCTTAACATTTTACATAATTTGAAATAGGTCGGAGATAAATTCATAAAATTTTCGATTATTCCCAACTTTCTAAGAGTTCTAGATTATTTTAAGTACGTTCAGAATTGTTTTCCGTTCAAGGTCCAAAAAATTCCTCAGTTAATAAAAATACGGAAATAAATAGTAAATTACAAAGATAAGCAAAAAGAAACGCATAAAACTTCAGCACGAAATCTTAAAATAAAATTTCGAACTAATTTGATAAAATTTCCAAATGAGTCCGGAGATATAAATTCTCAAGAATTCCAGTTCACTTTAAAACGCGCCCGGAATAATTTCCAATTAATTTCCAAATAATTTCTTAATTATTAAAGAAACAGAAAATGAAATAATACAATTAAACTTGCAATTAAACGCAAAAAAGATGCCGACATAAAATCCAAAAATAAAATCTGATAATAGCCAACTATTCATCAGAAAAGAAAATTACCTGAATTTGCACGTCGAGTCCCAGATGGTTTTGTACGATATACGGCGCACTGCTGGACGCCTCCTGCAGCGGGAGATCCTTGTTGGTGGCCTCCAGGAAGGCGTCGACGACGCGTTTGATCAGCTCGACGGACGTCTTGGTCACAGTCAGCTGCAGCGGTTCCGTGGCTTTGATGCTCAACTGCAGCGCGGCGCTCTCCTGCATCACATCCGTCCCGATCGTGTTGGGGATGACGTCCTGCGCGCCCGGCCCGGGTGACGCCAGACTGTCTACGCTCTGCGCGCTGCCGCGGCGTTGCAGATTCATTCCCTAAACAATTCCAATTAAATTTCACCAGTTACTCTTGTAATTTATTTATTTCGTGGCTGAATTAAATATGAGTTATCAAACTAAATTCGAACCCAAACAAATTATCCCGATAAAATTTGCTCGAATTAATAAAAAAATTATTTAATTTAAAACAACATTATTTTTCCAAATTTCATTTTAACGAAATTAGTTTCACTGATTTTTCTGCCACCGTTTTATTTAGGGTTCGATTAACTTTCTGAATTATTTTTTAACATCTGTTTAACAACATTCAGGTCAAAACTGACATACAAAACAAACAAAACACTTGTTTTATTGTTTTATAGCTTTGTTTTATTTCAGAATTAATAATTTTATAACCAGCTTTATTGAAGTTTATTCACACAGTTTTTAACTTTAAGCTAAATGAAATTGGTAAAATCTTTCTGAATATTCGTAGCACAACAAAAAAAAATTGAAATAAATAAAAAAACTGATTCATAAAAAACTGTAAATAAATCTAAAAAATCTTAATCTTAAAAAACTGTAAAAAAATTTATTTGAAATAGAAAATATTTTAAAAAATTATGTATACATTTTTACAAATCGGGATCGTTCCAGTTAGTGGTGCTAACGTTGTATACCTGTTTGGCGGCGGTGCGGAGATCGGCAATACTGATATCATTCCTGACCATCTCCACCTGCACCTCCCACGACCGCTCCGTCTTCCCATCGTCAATCGGCTCGATAATCGGCTCCCACACATCATGCTTGGGATTGTACGAGCCCATCTCCAGAAACAATATCCCTTTGGCCTGCATCCGCGTCGTCCAATCCCTGACCGTCCCGAACGCTCTACACTCCAACAAAAACGCCGGGAAGTACCGATTGACCTCCCCAATCTCCACCACTACCATCACCGACGGCAGATCGAACATAAACACATCGCCCTGCTGCAGCTGGCGCTCCGTCTGCGCTTCCGTCTTCTCCAGGGCCGTCAGGATCTTATCCCCCGGGAGGTCCTCCTCGGGAGGCTGCAAGAACCAGTGGGTGTCGGCCTGGACGGGGGCGGGCTGCCAGAGGTCGGAGTAGACCCCGATGGGGTGCTGCGGGAAGTCGTCGGCGGCGTGGGAGGTGCCGAGGCTGGCCAGGGTGGTGCTGATGAGTTTGATGACGGCCGGGGTGATGATGATGGTCAGGTCGGTGCAGGTCAGGCCGATGTGCTGCCCGGCGTCCGTGGATTCTTTGTACTGCAGGGCGAGGTCCGCCGGGGAGATGATTTGTTGGGGGCTGGCCGCGCGGGATTTGTAGTGTGTGGCGAACATGCGGAAATTCTCCGCGGACGCCTTCAAAAGGAAAACGTACGATTCAAAATCAAGCGTTTATCAATTACTAATAATTTCAAATTAACTACAATAGCAAAATAATTTTAACATGATTCTGAAAACTCAGTTTCGATGCTAATTTGAAAAATAATTAATATAAATTAATATTCGGCTAATTCACAAGCATTTCGTAACAGTTCCAATGTAACGGCGTTACGGCATAATACTTTTCAGATGTTTTTCAAACAGTTTCGAAACAATTTTGACAAAATCCAAATAATTTCAAAGTAATTTTAAAATCATTAAAATAATACAAAATTGATTTAAATCACGCCAGATGTATTTCCAAATAGTTTTCAAACAGTTTCAACACAGCTGCGTATTAAATTTTAATATTTTCCAAATAGTTTCGCAATGATTTAAAATTAATTCCAAACAATCCTAAATAATTTTAGAATATTTCAAAGCAGTATTAAATAATTTCCGAATATTGCAATTTTTAAATACTTTCCAACTAAACTAACTGCAAAAATAATTTTAAAGTAAGCTATTTTAAAATCAGTTATAAGTTATTTTAAAATCATCGCAGGAAAAATTCAAATTAATTGGGAAAAATTTCGAATTATTTAGGAAAACGATTACCAATTAAATAAATATAAGACATTTTACATTAGGAAATCCAGCGTAAAATTGTACCTGGAAACTTTTGCCGATGCTGGTGATGCCCATATTCAGCTTGACATCCACGGACAGCAGCAGCACCTTGGAGTCGACATTCTTCGGATCCTCCACCAACAGAATCGTCGGACTGTTCACCGTGAAATTCACCGCGATGGTGCGTTCCAACGGCAGCTCCTTCTCGGGGGGTTTCGTGGCCGGCAGCACCGGTTTATTCTTCCTAACGGACTGCGGCGTCTTGGCGGCGGCTTCGTCGGCCTTCTCCTTGATTTTGGCGCGCACCGGCGCCTCCTGCCGGTGCGGACCGCTGCCGTCGGCGGCCTCGTGGTCGGGATTGCTGCTGTTGTTGATGGTGAAGAACTGGCCCACTTCCATGAAGAAATCCAGGATAATCACCACCTCGATCTGGGCGATCTGCGCGTCCACGCTCTGGTTGCCGTCCGAGTCCTGCCGCGCTTCGATTAGCGCTAACGGCGGCATCTGGAATAACAAAAAACAGTGGTGCAAAAACTGACTGTGAAAATACAAAGAGAAATTCAATTTCAAGCAAAATCGCCAAGTTAAATTTCAATTTTCACTATTTTTCTGAATTTCCCTATTATAAAAAAAAAAGAAAAATATTGCCGTGTTGACCCAGAACCTGGAAAACAAATTTGGCTTATTTAGTAAATGCTAATATATGATAAAAAATTAAAAATCATTAAAACTGCAAAATTAATATCCATTAATATAAAAATTTCCGGGCAATGCAAAAACTGGTGAAACCACATCGAAAAAAGCGTTAAAACTAAAGCAAAATTTCAAATGAATCAAACAGTCAACTACTAAAACAAAAAAAATTAATATAAATTAATATACAAATTACTAAATTAATTTTTAAAAAAACAATCCAAGAAATACGTTAAAAATTGCCTGCGAAAATCAAAATCATACAGTAAAATTCAGTAAAAAATTAGTTCCTGCTTACTTCTTTGTCCTTGCTACCGGCATTGCGCAGATACAGCAACCGACTGATGCGGTTCTCGAAATTCCCGCGGCAGTCCTGCACATTGAGATCCTGGAGGATGAGCTGGCCGGCGATGATCATATCCGGCATGATGCCGCCTTCCAGCCGGAAACCGGCCAATTCCAGGTACGCCAGCTTGTGCTCGGCGACGTCACCGCTCGCCGGGGCGGCCACCGACATCCGGCGGCCTTTTTCGGGAACGGCGCCGCGCCAATTCAGCGCCGCGCTGATCTTGTCCAGGGACACGGCGAATTTGAACCGCGGCACTTCCGGCTGGTCGCCGGTGGGTTCCGGCGTTTTCGGGTGCAGTGGATCCGCGGCGATGATTTCCGATTTACTCGGCGACGGCGGTGAGCCTAGAAAAACAGAAAAAAAATTTTACTTTAGGTTAGTTAAACAACTTTCATTTCAGTTACTCTAACTACAGTAATTCATAAAAAATTAATTCTTATTTTCTCTTAAGGCTTTCTTTAGTTAATCTGATTTCCTCTGTAAATTCCACAATTCTATTCAATCCTAAAATACATGATATTCTATTTCGATGTCAGGCTGTTTATTCTGTTTATTTTGAATTTCATTTCAGGCTTTTTTCGGTTAAGCTAACATCATTGTATAAGTTACTGTGAAATTTTTCTGTGAAACATTGGTAAAATAAAAAAATTGTATAAGCATTAATGATTTATTTTATTTATCGTGCAAGGTTCGTTTTGAATAAATCTTTATTTCCCATTAAATTCATTTATTTATTTTCACAAGAAGTCTGGAGAATTTAACTGCAGTCTATCGCTAGCTGACTTGTTTGACAATTCAAATGCCAAGTAAAGGCAGTACAAATTTTAACTAAAACCACACTTGCTTTTTATCAGTTCAACTCGGTTGTATAATTAATTCAAATATAAATTTTTATAATTTATTTTCCTACAATTCTATCGAAAAAATTTGATAATCACGACATACCAGCGGGCTGCGCGCTGTCGACACTGGACGGCTCGGGTGTGCCCAGGAACTGGGCGCGCTCATCACCGACATCCGTCAGCGGCTCCTCGGGAACACTGGCCAATTCCGGCGCCGGCAAATGCGAGGGATGCGGCGCCGTCGCCGGTTGTTTGCCTTTCGTGTAGTCTTCCGCAAAGTTCTGCGTGAACACATCCAGAATCACCTGGTAGTCCACGTTGCTCAGGTTAATCTGCAATAAATTCAAGTAAATAAATTCCCGTAAAGAAAACCGGAAAAAATGTTAATCCGACCTCGAAGGACGGCAGACTGCCGCTGGCGGTGATTTCCGGGATGGCGGCGTTCTGCTTGTAGCTTAAATTACGCTCCAGCGCCAGTTTGGTGGTGTCCGGTTGTTTAATGATGCTGAAGGTCTGACCGCCGCCCTTTGGCTTATAATCCTCCACACTGAACAACAATTTTATTTCAGTTGTATAATAATAATAACAATTAGTGACTTACATTTTTTATACAACAAATAATTATTTAATATTTTAATTAGTTAATTATTATTAAAGCTTAGTGATTTTGATTTTTTATAATAACTAAAAAATTAAATTACTGAATCACTATTAATGCTGAAGTCATTTGCTTCATGCTTACTCAATATTAATCATCGCAACTATCCCGCAGTCTAATTAAACCCGAGCTGTGGAGAAATAGTATGAATTCCTGTTTCATTGCATACCGGCAAGCGGCAATCAGTCAGACTAAAAAAACCAAATTCAAAAACTAACCGAAAAATAAATACTTTTTATTAGAATATTTTTAAATAAATTAAACAAATATTTTACATAAATGTTTTTAAATAAATATTCTTAAATAATTAAATATTTTATTAGAAAATAAAAATTCCACTGAAAGTAGCAAGAAGCGCTGCAGCATTTAGAAGATGAAGATTTCAACATATTCAACACCAACTAAAAAGTCGGTACCGCGTAAGCCCGGAAAATTACCTGTAAAACAAACTAAAATAAAAATAATAAAAAATTCAGTTGAAAACGATGAAAAATTCCAGTCTAAATTCACAGCGCAAATAATTTAAAATTCGCATTATGGCTACTGAACTAGCAGCGTAATCAAAATCAAAAACATTAATTTGCAACACAGGCTTACCGGTCGAAGGCGATGCTGGAGATGGAGACGGTGACCTTGTCGATGAGGGCGTCCTTCCCGTCGACGACATCGTTGGCGATGCGCAGACTGCCCAGATCGAAGATGAGCGCGTTGCCGCTCTTGGAGTTCTGCGGCAGGATGACGATGGGCGCCTTCAGATCCGCTTCGATCTTCAGGCGCGACGCTTGCTCGTAAATGTCGATGGCCGTCTGCTTGGTCTTTTCACCGGCGGCTTGCGCCGCACCGGCAAACTGGGCGACAATTCCCTATAGCAATAGAACGCTCAAATTTACAACTATTTCATAAAAATTTTATTTATTTTAATTTCTCTAAAAATAGCCGAATAACAACAAAACCCGTTGAATACATTACCAAATGTAATGTAACCAAAAAATCCAAGCATTCCCGAAATCAAAACCCATTGAAACAAAAAGAATTTATTCAATTTAATTTATATTATCTAAAAAGAGCCAACAAGTTCCGATACAGCAACAGTACCGATCAATGTAATATAATTTTAAAAAAATTTAAATTCAATATGATCTTCGAATTTAATCACTACAAACGTTAATTAATTTACATTCCCCAAGAAACCATTACCTGCAGGGATTCGGCAAAGCGTCCAATGTCCAGGAAAAAGTAGTTGAGGAAGACGAATTCGATGGCGCCGAGGGAGACCTCGATCTCCTGGCTGAAGAGGCCCTTCTCGCGCTGCACCTCCAGGGGCTCGTTGTGGATGACCACCTTGATGTCCAGCAGTTCTTGACCTTTCGTCTGCAGGATCATGGGCCACAGCGCCTCCTGGTCGGGATTCTCCAGCGTGATGGCCTTCAGCTTCGATTCCACCGTCATGGAGCTCTTCTTCTGCTGGAAGCCCACGTCCAGCCCTTCGATCACCGACCGGCACAGCGGCCCGTACGCGTCCGCCAGCGTAATCGTGATCATTTCGCCTACACCGTTGAAAATTCAATTTTAAATATTTTTGTTAAATAAACACCACATTTAATCCCGCGCAAATTAAATAGTCCAGTTTAAATTTCAGTAAACAATTCCTAGTATTTTCTATAAAAGAACACAAAATTACTACACAAAAACAAACTAGAATAATTAATTAATACACATCAATTATCAATTAATTATTCATCAATAGTCCAGAGTAGACAGGTTAAATATTTTCAAATTTACGCAGGCATTTTAGTAACTATTTCATAAAAAAAAATACTACACAAAACAAATGATGAACAGTTTCCTAATTTACACGACCACTATTTTTGAATTTATAAAAATCGTTCTAATATTTTCCAAAAACCGGAAACTGTTACAAGCAATAAAGTAACCTGAATATTTTCCAATTTTAGAAAACCACTAATTTAAATATTTCGAATTATTTAACTATTTCCAAATGTAAATAAATTGTGAAATACATGTATTTTTCAAAAAATATATGCAAAAAATACTGCGCAAAAATAAGACACAAATCAGCGCAGTAGTCAGTAGAGCAATTTTTGCGGTTACCGGTGGCATGCAGGGCGAAATGGATGAGTTTATCGTCGGAAATAAATCCTTCATCAGCGCTTGCGGCAGTCAGATCCGTTCCCATGTCCACCACTTCCGCCGCGGGCGTCTCAGCTGACGTCTCGGTGGCCGGCGGCGCGGGAGCGAAGAAGGAGGACAGCAAGCGCGGTCCAGCGGCCTGTGATTCAGCCACCACCGCGCTGACTTGCGAGCGCAATGTCGTGATAAAGCCGGCGATTTCCAGCAGCGACTGCTGATCGACTAGCACTTCCAGTCCCGACGCATTGGCGTCCAACCTATGAATTACGATTTCGTCACCACTTAACAGCACCCGAGTCGCGTGAAATGGGAAATTATGCAATAAAAATACTGCGAAAATAAATCACACAGACAATCAAATAAAAATTTTGGCCAAATTACTTGAATAAACAATTCTATAAAAAAAAAACACCGATTTCCCAATTACTTTACAACGTTCGTAATAATTCGTAATACGTTACCAAGCTTCTAAATAAATCACACCAACTTAAATTAATCCATCTGAATGTTTTTAATAAATTTCGTTGTTTTGTAAAAGTTTTGCATAAAAGTTTGGCAATTTTTAAAAAAATTATTCTGCATTCGAACGATAAAAAAAAATTATTTCGAATTACCGGTTTTCTAAATGCTTTACAAGTTTCGCAATAATTCAAAATAAACCAAACCAATTTCTAATTTACGACCTATTTTTCACAAAATTTTAAAATTATATTCTGGTCGAATGATCAGAAAATTAATTTAGAACTGTCGGAAAAACAACTGCAAAAACCGTAACTAAAACTACAGTATCAAGTACATGTATTTAAGTCCAGATAAAACAGAAAGCGAAGCAATAACAAATGAAATGGAAAAATAAATCATGCAAAATATTATACAATAATTGCAAATAAAGTTAATAAAAAATGCCCTACTTGGACAGTGTGCAGTTGTGTTTGGACTCGAAATCCGGGCTGAGCGAGCTGACACTGGTGTAGATCAGATACAGCACCCGGCTTTCCGCCGGCGCCGAACTACTGCGGTGCGCCTTGATGAGCCGTTTCGGCGTCGGACTGTCCTTCCCCGTGAACTCGATGAACATGTCGTTGAGGGCCGTGGTGGCCACCAGGTCGGAGGCGGTCATGGCCACGCCCTGCTCGAAGTGGAGGGCCGCCACGCGCATCAGCGGCGGCCGCTGCGAGTCGCTGTTGAGGATGGAGATGCTGATCTCCTCCACCTTCAGACTGAAGTCAATGATCACCACGTCCAGACTGGCGCCCTCCACTTCCGGCTGCTTCATGGCGAACAGCGTCTGCACTTGTTTCATGTCGCGATATTCCCTACAAGGAAAAAAACCAACCTTAAAAAATAATACAACAAAATCTAATTTTTCCAGTGACATCCCTACCTTTTCGTACGACAATAAATTATTAAAAAATCTATAACCGTCGGGGAAATAAGTATTATCAAAAATCAATTATTTTTCACGTTAATCGTTGAATCTTTAATGGCAAAAGCCCGGCAACCACTGCAGAACAAAAGAAGCTTGCTGATGATAAACAGTTAAACACTAATTTAAATTAATTAAAAATAAAACACTGAAAAGCAACCAAAATCGTAGTTCGAGAGCTTGATTTCACGATTACTGTTATCCAAATTCCTAAATAAATTATTTTGAATTATTTCGAAATTTTTTCACGATTTTACACCACTTTGCTTATCCAGAAAAAAATTCCGAAAGCAGATTTAAAAATATTTTTAAAATAAAAATAAACTGACCGGACGATATCTCTGGCTTTTTCGGAAAATTCCAAATTTCCGCTGTAGGACATATCGGGCAACGGAATGGTCAGTAACATTTTCAGCATCTTCAGCAGCCGCTTCTCGGAAATATCCACTTTCACCACCGGCAACTCACCAAAAATCCGGCCCAACGGCAGCATGGGATGATTACGGATTAAACAGTTCTAAAAATAAAATTAACCAATTAAAAATCAACAATAATTCCGGAAAATAATCAATAATAATTACACTTTCGTCAAAATTAAGCAGAAGGTTTGTTCAAATTATTTACCTGAAGTTCCAGTTTGCAGTTAATGGAATGCAGGATCTGTAGCGGCGACTTGTCATCCTTGCGGGCCCGCTGATAATCATCGCCTTCTTCCGCGAAAATAATGGATAAATCCTCGACAATTAGCTGGTATTTCTCGTAGGACTGCTCCTTGAGATCCTCGATGGAGGCGATATCGGGATTGACGTTGCCGCCCTTCTCCAGACTGGTCAGCTTCACCCGCCCGAAGTCCAGGACGACGCAGGAGGATCTGGCGAAGACGGCGCCGTACTCGGGAATGATCAGGTACGGCGCTTTCAGGTCCACATCGAAATCGGTGTAACGGTGGTGCTCCAGGATGTCCCGCACCGCCGCTACCGTCGATTCACGCAGCGCCTAAATTAAATAAATAAATTAAATAGAAATAAAATTCAAATTAAATAGGAAATAAAAATAATTATTAGAGCAAAATGTTTTCAATTTAATTCCAGAATTTTCGCGAAAATAAATGTTCTTCAAAACTTCGCAAAGCAAAACATATGTTCAACTGAAAATAACAATTAACTACCTATAGCAACACAATCGCTGAACTTAACCTAAAATTCAAAAGAAAGACTAACAGTAAATTAAATTAAAAATAAAAACAAAATTATCAATATGATTGCCGAAAACATACGTGTTGAATTTCTAAAAATAACAACCTACTTAAGCGGAAAATAACTGAGAATCAGCAGCCCATTGCGTAGAATGAAGTTCGCTGAATTAACTTTTAAAGACGGCAAAAATAAAATTAAACAAAGTCCTGCATATGAGCAAATAAATTATTCAGGGAGTGTAATAAATTAAATCTTTTTTGTGGCGGTTTTTACCTGTAAAGCAAGGATAGCCTGCGCCTGCAGCTGACGCAGCGCAATGGCTTCCGGGGGCTTGAAGAATTTGACGCAGGCGTTGACGGTCTCAGCGTCGTAAACCAACTGCAGTGGATCCACGAACAAATGCAGTCGGACGCCGAATTCCGAATCCAGCGGATTGGACTCGTACAATAACTGCATTAACGCCGGTGTTTCCTTCTCCGGCCGGGCGATCTCCACCGGCTTCTCATCCTCGCCGCCCTTATCCTTCAAAATAGCCGAAAACAGTGTTTCCATTTTTTAATAAATAATTTATTTTGTCATATATTTTCAGTAAAACTTAACTCCAAAATTTCTATCTATATTTTCTGAATTTATTTAGATAAGAAACTTAGTAATAAAGCAATTTTATAAAACAGCATAAAATAACTTTTAAAAAATACAGAAATACTTTTTTATAAGTTAGTTTTATTAATTAGTAGTGCAATATTTTCCGCACTTTGCCCAAGATGAGGAGATCCTTGACGACAGTCTTGAGGTAGATGCCGTTGGCGGTAGGTCGCTGCTCGAATTTGCCGCTGAAGCCGGTCAGTTGCAGTTTGGCCACACTGGTGCGCTCTCCCTCGTTCTCGTCGTCCGTCACGGCCACACTGGCCTCATCCACATCCCACAGCAGCCGCGTCGACACGTATTCCGCCGGGAAGCCGCCCGTCTCCTCCACGCCCTCCGCCAGGCCTAAGGCGGCGTGCAGCTTCGCCTTTTCTTCATCCGTCATGGCTTTCTTCAATCTAAACAGCAATAATGAAAGAATAAAGGCTAAAATAAATCCTCAAATAAATTTTAACCGGAAAATCTGACAAATTATAAAATAAATTATTAAAATCAACACAAAACAAACGACAAAAACATCGAAATACTTCTTCAACAAAAAAATAATTATAAAATAAACCGACAAAAAAAGTTCAAAGTAATATTTTGTTGAAAAAATCTGTTAAATAATTTCAGATATAAAATCATTAAACTAAGCATAAACAAAACAGCCAGAACAAAATGCAATACAATTAAAACATTTAATAATGTTCACACTCCATCAAATAAATTCGAAGCAAGTTTACTAAATAAAAATAATAAAAACGTTTCTTTTAAAAATTGCAAATTAAATTACCGGTGGCGGATGTCGTTTTCATCCAGCGCCTCTTCTTCGGCATGACCCCCGCCGGTCAGCCAGGACCACCAGGACACCTTCTTCTTGGCCTTGTTGACGTCGAACTGGGCCTGGTGACGCGCCAGAACAATGTTGAAGACGTCCAGCTTCTTCTCCAGCTCCTCCAGTTCCGTATCCTGGGCGGCCGACAGCTTCGTCGAGTTGATTTTGATGGAATACAGGTAGGAATACTGGCGCAGCAGGTCGCGGTGGGCCTTAATGGACTCCCAGGACCACTGGCGCAGACGCGGCTTCACGTCCACTTCCAGCACCGCCGACTGCGCGTACTTCCACCTGCGTCACACATTCCTATTAACTGCCGATTTTCTTAATCATTAATTTCTTATTTTCTTCAGATAAGCAGACCATATTTTTCTCTATTAATTAATCATTGTTATGTTCATTTTATTATGGAAAATGTCAAAGAAAAAAGAAAAAATACTAAATTTGTTATGGATTAGTTAGATACAGAATTTGTAATTTTTTTAACTTGAAAAGAACGAACAAAGAACTAAGTAATCAATTCAGACAACAAAATAGCTGAATTTTTTTACCATATGGGTTAATTAATCACTTCTGCTTCAATTGTTAATTTAATTACGAATAAATTCGAATAAACCAGCAATTCATGACGTGTCTGTTTTCTGCTAGACTTCATGATGGATTAATTCAGAACAAAATTCCAGAAAAATACTAATAACTGATGTATCAAGTTTGTCATCAAATATTACGGTTGCAAATTTTTGTTTGAATTAATTCGGGGAAAAAGGAGAAACTGACCAGTCCTTGGAGTTCTTATTGCCGATGGGATGCTGGGGAATGTCGAAGCCGCTGTAGCGGGATTTACTGTTTAGTCCCTCCATCTCCTCCAGGAACTCCAGCACCCCGGCGTACTGCTGGCGGGATAATTTCAAGTTAATGGTTTCCAGACCCATGTCTACCGTCAGTTTTGGCGCTCCGAAATTGCAGTCTTTGGACTCTGGTCGCGGGTTCAGCGCCAGACGCGAGGTGAAGAACACCGGCTCCAGTACTACAAAATCAACGTCATAAAATTTTGTAAAAAATCACAAAGAACACCTGTACCGTGGAACGCTTGAATCGCTGAGGGATCCGCTTTGGAAGTCTCAAAAAATTCCTTAAATCTTACCTGCAAAATAGAACAAATAACAATATTATCAAATTAATTCAAAACATTAATCCGCCTTCTTATGGTGAAAATTCAGTTGTACAACGTACGAGTATTTCATCTTTGGAAAGTCCGCTGAAAAGAGTCTTTTCCTTGGGTGAGCAATATGCTGAGAGATATTCCAACCGGAGTAGCTACAAAAAATGATAAAATAAAAAATGAATAATTTATTTCCATGAAAAAATGGCACGGCTGCGGCATACCTTATAAACCAGATGGCAAGCATCATCCAGGGTCTTGACGGAGAAATTTTCATCCGTACTCTGTGCAGAAACAGCGTATTAAAAATAATAATAATAAATACACTGCAAAAATAACACTGTTATTTTTCTTCATATTTTTTCAAAAAATATAAAATAATGCGCGGTAAAACGCGGAAAAATTCATGGAACCATTTCCACCGGCGTGGATAAGGAAGTGGCACCGGGAACAAAATCGGCTGACCTTGAACATGACGCTGCCCAGCGTGGCGCCGAAGCAGAAGCTGTCGTGGGCGTCGTTGGCGGTGCTCTCGTAGCGCACGTGGACATTCTTGATCTCCACCTGCAGATTAGCCACAATCCGCGCCACCAGCCGCTCCGTGAACGTCGTCTTCTTCTTCACTGCAATCCCCAGCACGAAAAACATCAGTGTAAATAAAATTACTATTATTATTAGAGGGTAAATGATAACTATAATATAAAATACAGTAAATAATGTCTACGCCGAGCACGGATAAAGCAGCACCGACCGGGTTCCTTGGATTTGGCTTCCTCCGCGTCCGTCTCCGATCCACCGACCAACTCCAGGTGACGCAGTTGGCGCTGTTTCTGCTCCCACTGTTTCCGCTCGGTTTTGGCTTTGTCGTATTCCGCTTCTACACAACACTGGCAACTTAAGAAAAGCCGCCACATATGACAACCGGGCACAAAAAAGTATGTCAATTAAAACAACAAATATATTCAAAATAAATGCAGTCTCACAAACTAACCGAAACAAATTAGCAAAAAATAAAAATGGGACGCTGATAACTGCTGCATTTAAAAACAGAAATTATACAAAAACAGGAGAATACAAAATTACAGCAACGTAAAACAGACATGCAAATTGCGAATATTAAAATTATAAAAAATAAAAAGCGACAAAAAATTAGAAAAACGACCACGAGAACCAAAACAGAAAATTCCGCTTCTTTATTACGACGCTGATGCCAACAAAAATAAAGATCATTTAAAAAGCCAAAAATTAGTATGATATTCGACCTGTTAGCCAAGCAACAACAGAAAAAAATAAGTAAAAACTTCAATTATTCAGAAATATCAGCAAATAATGTGGCTGAATTTTATTGAAAAGCTGCAATGTTTTTATTTAAAAAGGGGTAGATAAGACGAAAAACAAGTCTTCTATTTCCAAAACCGTTCAGGTTCTCACCGTCATTGGGAGCGGCCAGGAGCAGGACATCCTCGATGATAATGGAGATGGGATGCGTGTACAAATTCTTCCACGGGATCTCCACGCGCAATTTCCCTGCAAAATCACCATTTTCTCAGTCATTTTTACTGGGAGCTCCCGCGGACCCGTGTCCGTTGGATTCTGTACCCAAATATCCAAATTTGGTGCGAATGGGGTAATTTAGATCGTCCAACAGGGACTCCTTGGTCTGCAGTTCGCGCAGCTCCACATTTCCTGCAGCAACACAAAAAATGCAGCATTTTCAGCAAGTCGCAGCAAAGCGATGATTTCCTCGCTCACCGCTCCACACTGCCACGGAGAGCTGCTCGCGATCGAGATTCTCAATATAATCGCCGAGGAACGAGTTCAACACGTCCACCAGAATCCCTTCGAACACCATTTTCGCGTAGATCAACGGGAATCAGGAAAAGACGCAGAATGCAGCATTCCGCAGATCGACACGTTCAAACATGAATTTCATCCAAAGACCATGCACAGTTAGTTTGCAAGCACCATGCAAATACTTCTCCAGTTGTTGGAAAATTCACACAGAAAGGAAAAACATCATTGCAAATTAAGATTTTCAAATTGTAGCTAATTTGTTGAAGAGAAAGAAGGAAATGTTTGCGAAAAATGCAAAAATGACTGGTGTCACGGTGGAATTCCAGCACAGCTGACTCGTCCGGGATAATTCCGTTGCTGATTACGGCGTAAGTGGAATGCCCGACAGAGAACGCACCGCGTGCGCCGCGTTAATATGGCGGAAGCGTCTTGTTAAAGCCATTGCACGTGGATGCCTATCTGGGCGGTGGCGTCCTACGGCAGTATTGTTTGTTTCCGCTTAAATTCCCTGTGGCTAAAAAAACCGCGCTTATTTGTTGGCCGCGTTCGAACCGGTTTTCGTAAGCAAGCATCAGATTCAGAACGCTAACGCGAAAATCGGTTTCTAACAAACCTACGCACCTGTGTGTTTGTACTGTACTAGTACTTTGTAGCAGTTTTTCTGTAACTGTACGGTTCGTACCTAATTCTTACAAAAAGGACCAGTCTAACAAAAGTCAAAACACATTATTTTAATATACTGACAGTTTCCTCGTCCTAAACAAAGCCGTATATGGCATCTTTGGTGGCACAAGTCAACGAACTGAAAGGGTGCAGCGAGGCATGCGCCCCATTCTCCAAGAAATTTCCCAAAAGCTAGTGATTCATTTAAATAAATAAAATAGGAAGTATCCGCAATGCTCGACAACGCCAATGCACTAGTGAGTTCTGCAAAAGAAAAACAAATTTGAAGGAAAAATTAAAAATTTGCTATTTTCAGTTAAATTGCTACCGATTTTCGCAATATAACCGTTCTTTATAAAGTACAACTTAAAGCCGCCTGCAGACTCTGCAGTCTGCACTATTGGGAGAGCGGCACTGGTTCAGTATAGTTATACGAAGAACAAGGTATAGCACGCAGAAATATTCTCGGCGCTACTGCAGTCTATAGCGCTAATATTATTTATGTATCGCGTGGCATGATGTGGCATCCCGACTTAGCTATCAGTTAAGGCCAATGTCAAAGCGTTGTCGGGAGTGTTTAGCTTCGCCGGCTCTTCGACATGAGCTCACACTGGATCACAGTCATCAGTTTATATTGTTCACTAGGCGGTCGTTTGCATGCTGCCGCTTACAGGTGCATATCCCGCCTCCTGGAGACTATGGTTATTATCGACGGCAGTTTAAGTTTAAGTTTGTGCAACTTAAATCAGTAATCACATCATCGCCGCAGGTAGCCGGTTAACGCTTGCCGTGAGCTGTGACGCCTTACTGTGAGCTGTGCCGTGAGCTGTGAGCTGTGAGCCGTGAGCTGTGCGCCGTAAGCTGTGCTGGCTGTTCTGAAAATTATTAATTTAGATTACTAATTGACTTGCAATTAGCGCGTTCAGCGTTAAACCGCAAATGAGCGATTAGAATTAGAATTCCTTTGACACGCCCACACATAGTTTACCGGTTATTGTAGTGCATCACTATGTACTCGTATATCCCTAAGCTTGCGCACCACCGGCGGAAAGAAATAAAACAACGGTGAACCAATGCGAGAAGTGGCCGCCCATCTTTTTTCCTTCCTGGCCGAAATTGCTCGCATTTTGAGTCATAAGGTTCGAATGCTGGCTGACTGGAACACCATTCGGCTTTAAGAATAATAATTTTAAAGCCGGTAATCCAGAAATATCTAGGACTTTTTGTTTCTGCACAGCTACGTTACCGTTTGCTTTGAACTAATAAAGCAAATTTAATTTTTACTCCAGTTAAATAGTTTTTCATAAGTCGCACCGTTGCATATTCGTTTGGAGATACAGGATGGATGTTGGGAATATCATGAACAACGCTGTTGGAACTGTTATAGGTACTTGTAGTAAGTAACAGTTACTAAATTTCTATATCTGACCGTAATACACTTGTAATTGTGGTTGCAAATTTGCAGTAGACATCATACAATACTAAATTCGATGTACTAACGTGCTGTAGTTCTCTTGGACAAATTTATGCCCGTTCGGAATAATTTCACCCTTTTCAGTAAATAGGTCTTGAATATCGTACTATTAAGAAAACCATGGAATACTGTATGTACGCTTAAGACCTTTACATATTCATCGTCTAGGTGTGGCAGTTATTCTCGGGGCTGCTACTGAACTGCTCGGACCGACGCATGGTTGGTGGGTGGCCGGTGGATTGCTTGCAGCGTTTACTATTGGCGGAGGACTGGCTTATTATTACCAGATTCGTAAAAATCGCAATCGTAGAGAAATGCGACAGGTGGTGAGTAACTTCAACGATTTATTTTGCTATTTTTACCCGGTTGGATGTGCTGTAATTTTTGGGAATTATCTGTACGCCACGTGGCCTACGTTTACGTTTTATTTGTGTTGTTTGCGGTACTTGTTGCATTAATTTTGAAAAACATATTTTTCTTGCGGTGTACAGGATGTGGAACAAGGTCAGCAGATTCCTCTGGATGCGCCATGAACACCCTTTCGGCAATGCCTGCGAAATTCCACACCGCTAAATAACGGATCGATTGTTTCACATTTCTGCACAACGAAATTACCATAATCAATATGGACCAATTTTGTAGCAATAAATACAAAGCAAACCCGAGTTACAGAAATGAAAGCGTAAATCAAACTACATAAAAGTTTACAGTAACAAAAGAACAACCATGTCTTCAGTCGCATTAAAAGACGAAGGAGCCCTTGCAACAATTACTCGTACAGTCGTACTCGTAGGCTCATGTGTATATCTTCCGTAAAGCAACGGGAGAGAAACAATATTCCTTGGTGCCTTACTTCGTAAAATAAAAATGAATTCGATTTTTCCATTAATACAACACGGTTCTTCAGTTAATCCGGAAGTTTCCGACCTTCCATGTATCAGTTTACACAAAGCGAGCCACGGACTTCCACGGTAAAGTTTAATCAATAGTCCGTAAAGATAGACAAGGTATCCGCGTTTGATCACAGGAATACTTCCGACGCTTGAAACTCTGCTAAATGGGCACCGAGTGCGGATTAATTTCTTTAGCCTCCGGTGGTGGGATAGCGGCGACAGCCTGCAAATCGCGGTACGTAAGTTCGTGTATGAACATATTAATCAAGAACATACTGTCATCATACTAACGATTAAACTAAATCTAATCAAAATCAAAATCATAATATGTCCAATTATCTTATCAACAACTAGACTATAAATGCAGACACATGCTAAATGAGTTTGTTTTTATCTAGAGGTGGAGTGACGGTGGACTGGGACCTGCACTTCTGGAGGAAATCGACCGCGAAGTACAGCGTAGCCGGCTACGATAAGTCGATAACTGTCTCATGTCGAGTTTTAAGGCTTTTTTTTAACGACAGCGCGAATGCATAACTTTCTTCTTTCAAAAGGAAAAAATGTTTATACTGTATTGTTTACGCTAAGCGGTAAGCCAAACATTACTTGAATACATTTTTTCGGCATCAACCGGCACACATACCAAGTAATCCCGTAAAGTTTTACACTGATTTTTAATTCAATTTAATTGCAATCAGAGCAGGTAGTCCATTTCCGGCTAGGTTGACAGTCTGGCATGGGATTTTAAACCTGGCTGAATATCAAGCTTAAGAATCAATGTCGGTAGATTAGCATCCAGTAACCAAGAATTTAGAAAAAACTGGCAGATAACAAAGCAGCTTCGGGCAGATAACAAAGCAGCTTAAAATTATCTTAACAACAGTTACAACGCTACTTAAAATAATCAAATTATTTTAAAACTTGTTTTAAATTTTGGCAAATTATTATTACACATTTCATAGTTTTCGTTTTTTAAAAATTAATATGAGATAATGGTATTTTGCCAGAAGCTTCTGTTATTAATGGTAATACAGCTTATACAAGCGATATGACAAAATTATTCTGTCCGCAAGATGGCCGGTTTCAATCGTCCCACATTAGGCTGATTGCAGGTTGCTTGAAATTAATCGTTCGCTCCACAATGTTCATTAGCTTACTGGGTACGACGGCATGGCACTTACCTATTCCCGCTCCAGCTGCATGCGTACAAGATATCCTCCTGCTTGATCGTAATACCGAACCGCTCGCTGTGACCGCAAAATATTTCAGTAGACGAAGTTCAATCCTGGGGAAAATTAGCAGGGTGATATCCAATTGTACAAAATTGGCACACAATCGTTTTCATTTCTTCCAAGCACTTCTAGAAGTGCGCAGTGTATTTTTCTGTGTATTTTTATGTATGCGTCGCGCAAATTTTACTGCAATCGTTGTAAATTACTGATGGAAATTATTTAACAAACCCGGAAACGCTGTACAATAACGTTCCAACTTGGCTAATTAAGATAAGATTGCCATAACACAATAATCATTGCCATAACACACATGCATTTTTGTTCTCCTGTAAGTGAACAACCACTGTACACATCTTTCCCGTTCACGTATCACGCTTATCGGTGCTTATAGAGACTGTCATATGGCTACACTTACTTACGATGTGACTTTTGAGCATACCGGTACGTATATAAATCCGGCTGCGCGAAAGGTCACCGCGGGGCATTCGGTGGTGGGACAAATCGTCATAGACAGTTGGCCCTGAGGACTGACTATTCGTCGTGAGACATATACCGGCATAACATATTTTGGTATTAAGGACATTTCGTCTAAATGTAAGGACAAATCGTTTTTGTAGCAAATGGTCATAGTATGAGCGTTCGCTGACATAAGGCACTCCCAAATTTTTTTGCTCCCAAAAGTCGCGCGGTCAGAAGGTCACATTTCGAAAGGTCACCGAGGCAACGACGCGTCACAAAACGAATTATCGCTGCGACGAAATAAGAGCGGCGAAATGTCCCACGGCAAAATATCCCGTGACCAATTGGGCTGTCACGATACGTCCCTTGTTCACTAAAGTATACATGAAAACAATGGTACAAAGAGTTGGCTTGATGTCACCGTGTTGATGACCTCCTGCGACCGCTGAACTCGTTCTTGACGGCTCAAGTGTAGCATCTCCTTATTCATTTACTGTGTCTCTCGATGCCTAGAAGTTCCGTTCACTCCCATGATAAAAACGATACAACGCCCACTTCGTTAAAAATAAGAAACGATGTAAAGTTTTTGAGTCATAGAAAAACAACAAAAAGGCTGAAAAGCATCTTCATTAGTAATAATATGCGGTGCTTGCACGATTATTTATCGAAATCATTATCATACCCGAAAAGTTAATTCAGAAATTCCCGATGAAAACGCACACTTTAAATGCAACGTACCACGTTACCCACGGAAGCATAAGTTAACTATGTGTACGAGTATTAGTTAAGTACTGTAACTGTATAACGAGTGAAAATAAAATAATGGTTTGCTGAAACGCCCATGTTCCACCGTTTGTCGAATCGCCCTACCACTTGCGTAAAATGTATAGACTAAAAAATACAATAAGCTAGCCTTTGTGAAGTTTAAGCCATTGCGTACTATTGTTGTCGAATCGCCCTCTGAACCGCCGTCACAACCGGACCAAATAAAGTGTGCAGTTCATTCGTTTTGAATTTCTAGTTAGGGTTTCACAGAGCAATCTGCAGGATTTTGGTGCCAGAGAACGGGAAACATCTTCACTCCGCAAATGCTGCACTTTAAACTAAGTCTTTATTTTTACATAGTTGTCCAAATTTTCCACCGAAGAACTGCATTTTTAAACATTTCTAGCTTGCTGTTCACTGGCTACTTCGATGACCACCGAAACATTTAACGATTTCTTGTGTGGTTTTATGAAATTCTTGACATTTCATATACAATGTATACCTAGTTTTATTGTTACAGTAGCACCATAGAGACAGCGGTATTGTTCGTTGTACTCTATGACAGCACCTTGCTGGCACACCCAACGCTGACATCCGTATGACTCCGGGAAAGCGCTGACAAGTCTGACGAGTGAAGAGCGTTTTGGCCACGCCCGATGCTTGCCCGCTAATGACGTGAGTGCACCGGACAATTCATCAGTCAATCAGAATCTAGCTTTAAAGATGGTTTCTAGCAGCTCTCACCAGACGAGCGAACCGGTTCTGATGACTTGACAGAAGGTTAATAGTGCACTATCGGATCGATCCGGTCAGCAGAAAATCGTCAAGTTTTCGGTCAACCATACGAGTATAAGTACTGGTCAGCAAATTGTCGATCTGTCTTCAGGACCATATTCTCTTTGCAATAGTTACAGTACATGTATTTGTATAATTATTATGTTACTGTATTTTGGTGTTTATAAAGCTTACGCTTTCAGTTTCTATCCTGCGTCGACTTGTTACCGTTCAAAAGGTTAGCAAGTCGAGGCATCCGGCGGACGTTAGGGCCTTTGAGCCGTCCAGTTAAAACGTCCGTCCCCGCAAATATTTTCCCTACCAGTGCTTTTTGCATTTCCGATCCTAAGCAAGAGGGACGAGTGTGAATTCATATCCGGATGTTTTTGCCTGACCGGAATTCGTTGCCGGAAGTTTCTGCCACGGTTACATCGGCTACACCATTGTAATTTCGGTCAGCCGATCTGACGCTCCGGCGGTAAGAAGATAATGTCCTGCGTTATATACAGTGTAGGAATAAAAGGACGCATAACCTGACCCACAGCATTCCGAACGCAAGCGGCGCGTACAACTCGTGGTCAGTTGAAAATTAATAATATCCGGTTCTTCTTACGTAGCTGGCAATTTGATCGGTGCATACTGCATTGGCGCGCATACGTTAAAACCGCGTAGCCACTGCCACTGCCGCCGGAAGCGATGACTACCTGCAGTTTAAAGTCCAGACAGAGCTTTGGAATAAATTGCACTACTGTTTACTGTTAACCTCTACTAGTGGAGAGCGAATTGCTGTTATCGCTCATTACTCATCAGTAAATCATTGCCGGCAACCCTGAGCTAGTCGTGGGAGTTGATAAGCTTACCGTAAGTACTCACAATACTCGTAACGGATCGATTGTTTTGGTTCTTTGCTGAAATTGCTGTATCGTTCCGTACGTCTATAAATGTCACCGTATTCATACAGTTCCCGTTATATATACAAGAGATTAAAAAATATTCTTAAATTTACACTCTTGTGGATACCGGGAGGTTTCGCCGGTGTTGGCCAGCAAATTTCTAACAAATCTTAACTGTAAATTGATGCTGATTTTCTAGGCCATGTTTGTTTACGGTGATCACAAGCATTCCGTGTGCGCGTGTGTAGTACACGCGTGGAACGCCGTGGATGTGCTGATCGACGGACGGCTCCATCACGGCCGCGTCATCAACGTGGCGGAGACAGGGCTGATCATTGATTTCCAATGCCCTGCAGGGCGCTCGCAACTGATCGAGTACGGGACCATTTTTCGCTGTGACGACCAGAACGGCCCGCCACACAGCGCGCAGGTCCTGCTGCGCCGTCATCCCGACGGCGCCTGGATCTGGTATCCGGGAAGAGTCGTCCCCGTCGGCAGTTGCTGGCATGGCGACTATGAGTTGGTGCAAGTGCAGCGGCACTACGGCACCGTCACCGAGCTGCTCCCCCGGGAGCGGATACGCGAGACCCCCTCGGAAGCGGATTTGCGCGAGCGGCGTGTGGAGGTGGGGGATTTTGTCGTCCGCTCGAGTCCGCTGCCCGTCGCGCATATGTTCAGCGCATCCCTGCCGTTCGGACGGATCTTCGACGATGAATTCAGTCGTCGCCATAAGGTGTTGTTGACGGCCGTCCTCGGCCGTGAGATATTTTATCTGCAGCGACAAAACAGTTCTCCACTGACCATCCAGCAGGTGGCGGACATTTGTCGTACGGCGAGAACGATCGACCAATCGCGGCCAACGCTTTCATCACGAGAGGTTGTCGTTGACACCCGCATGCGGCTGCCCACTGAGTTGTTGGTGGAGATCTTCCAGTCGCTGGACTCCATCCACCGAGTCCGTTGTCGGCGTGTCTGTCTACTGTGGAACATTCTTCTCACCACGGAAGCACACTTCCCGGATGTCTGGGTGTCCGGCAGCGACGAAACACACGGCATGTACGGGGTGGTGGCATGTTTGCTGAAATGCCTTACCAGCGCCCCCAAGGTGGTGCTGCTGAGCAGATTGCCGCTGCAGGACAGCCGACAACTGTCCGCCCCTATCCGCTACATCTTGCAACCCCATCGCCTGCCAGTGCTGGTGTTGTACGACTGCGCTTTCAGCGAAGCGCTGGATCGTATCAAGGAGGTGGTAGGTAGCGCGACGGAACTGAACGCGCATTGTGCACGCGACAAAGTGGTGTGGAAGAATTAATGTCGTTTGTCGGATGGCAGTCTGACAGTGCTGATACCGCGGCACTCCTTCCGCGTCCAGTCGCGCCTGCAATTGGAAAAGGAGATGTGGGATGTGGTGGAGCGGAATCTGGTACTGCAGAAGACGCTGGATCGGCAGGCCGTGGCGGACTGCATCGCTGCATGCGTTCTGCGCCTGCAGAGAGATCGGTATGATGAGCAAGCTCAACTGATTTCAAGAGTAAGTCCGTACTTCTGTGGTCATGGGTATCCTACCATTTCGGCCGCATGACACTTCGGCTGCCTGATTCTTCGGCCGAACTTTTTTTCTTATGTTATTCTTAGGTTTTCTTAGGTTTCTTATATATATGTTTTCTTACGGTCGAAATGAAGGGCGGCCGAACTGTCAGGGAGCCGGTCATGGTATCAGACTGTCAGTCAGTGCATGAGACGTGGGCGACGAAAGTGACCAGTGAATGCTTGCAGGCTCTTAACCGCTATCAGAGTGTTGATCCCCGCGACTCCACCCACTACTGTGGTCGGGGATGGACGGCGTCCAATATCTCCGCTTTGGACGTTAAGCAGCTGACTACACTGACGACGGCGTATTTAAACGAACACGTTGTCAAGCTGTAAGAGGTGACCTGACCTCTTCCGAGATCCACAATTGCACCAGTTGTCTCAAATTGTGAAGTGAATTTTAATAGTTCTGAGAAAAGCAGATTGTGTGAAGAATTAAAAAAAATACTTAAGAAACTCTGGCTCGATTTAGAAGCGTTATCTTACCAAGCTAAGCATTATCGCAAGAAAATGTGCGAGCCATCCGGTTAACTACAGCATCACATATGTACGTACAAGCTTGTACTCGTAAAGCTCGAAAAAAACTGTTACCAGTAATTAATGTACAATCTAAGTAGCACAAGCTGCACAACTACCGGTGACATTTTGCTTGATTTCTTGTCAAAGAGAAAAACTGCTCACACACGCGGGCACGTCGCACTACGCCCTCGCTTTTCCTTCCTACGCCCCCTCGAAACGGTTATGTGATAACACTACCCGAAGTAATTTGTTGTAGTTGTAATTTGTACAATTTCTCGTATTTATTCGGTACTTTCAAGTTTTCAACGAGTGTTAATTCCGCGCAGGTGTATTGTTTCGTGTATAGGTTTTCGCCAAATGAAGCAAAATAAAATCTGTACACATTGGTACAATTTTAGATCCTGACAAGCACATTTTATTTGTGAAATATCTGTACAGTGCACGGGATACAACAAAGTATAGAAGTATCAAGCACACGTACATGGCAGCATGGGTTGCAGTTAGGAACAACTCATGTAATTACTAACAGGCGTAACGTGTCGATGTGCCGGTACATGGTACGAGATTTAAGTACAAGCACAAGAACTCTTACTTTCGCGTACTTTAAAGCGCTTTTCACGTCGTTTTTACATCGTTGTACATTGTGTACCAAAATTCTCATTATGGACCAGTCGTCCCCCGATCTTGCATATGAAGGCCGTTTCTACAGGTAGTAGCCACAATGATTTTTACAGTTGAAAAAAAAACAATTAAAAACTGTTTCACATTTTAAAAAAATTGTGGAATTTTCGAACAATTTGTTATGGTCGCCGATTCGCAGTACACTTACGCTCCGGCTTGAGGATACATAGGACCAGCGGTGACCTTTTCGTTTAGCTTTTGTCGACAGGTAAATTACTCAGTACATCATCGCAATTCGTTTTGCTTTATATTCTGCTGTTCTAATTGTTAAGAAATTAATGATTGCGATGGTCTATCATTTATGATCGGGCAGAACTGCCGAAGCAATGCAATCGCCTGCTTTCAACAACAGTATGTAATGTACATGTATCTGTACGAGTACATAGCCGAGAGTATCTTTACAGAGCGCTGTAAGTTTTGTCGGTACAAAAAGCTCGCATGCGGAATCGCCAAGTAAGAAACCATACCATTGTTTTAGCGACCCCCTTGAGTGAAAAACGATAATTAATTTGATGTACTCAATTTTATAATATTTTCATAGTACCGAAACGAAACCAGAGTTCACCGTTTTCCCCAGATTCTAAAGCTAAGAAAACTAACGCGCTTAATATTAACCTAACGTGTATTCACTGTATTCAGCTTAAAAGCATGGAAAAGATTGCATTGCACCATAAAAACGATTTCCCCACCATGCAGCGGGTGAATTATACCGGTGAAATTGCAAGGGAGACCGGTTAACAGTGAAACTCCGATCCTGCACCGCATTCTGTTTAATTTAAAAGTAACTTATTTTAAAAGTTAAATTTATATGGCTTTTCCCATGACGCGATTACGTATACGCCGATCTCCCCCAGCGAACCGAAAAGAAGAAGTTATGTATACAAATAACCCCGCTACAAGACGATGTATAATAAATTGACAAAAATTTAAGAAAAACTGAAATTGACGAAAAATTTCGTGAAAATTTACTACACGCACTATCGTAGCGCGTACTAGGTATTAGTAGCCCGAATAAATAGCTTTACTTTCTCTAATAATTAAAATATTACTGTTGTGTCTTATCATTGGGAACATGCAAAACTGCGCAAGCATGCCGGTACGTTAGTTGTACGTTGCCTTTAATAGCGGATACAAGCGCATGTACGATACTGCGCTGATAGAAAATCTCGCTGGATAGTACAGTACTGTATAATGGCTTTGTCAGTCCTTGAGACGATGGTATATGAAACGTACGTAATGGATCGATGTTCTTTACTGTACATGTTGCCAACCACACTTCCATTCTACGCATGTTCGTTCCTCCTCGACCTTGTCGCAGCGTCTTTCTTGATTAATGTCTAATTTCATTAGCTGTAATTTCTTCACAGCATCTCCGCGATTTCTCTCCTTATTCATCCTACTAACATGAGCCGGTAAACACCGGTGGATCGCGCCGTCTCCGCGTTATGCCGGAAGTCCCGACGCGTCTGGGCCGGACGCCGGCTCGCGCTCCGCGACTGCCGCGCGGTTGGCAGCTGCCCAACGGACGTTACCTGGCCTTCCCGGTGGTGGTGGACCCCTTCGGGAATCGCTTTTACCGCTGGCAGTGCGTCATCGCTTTGGCCGTGCTCTACAATGTCTTCGTTATTCCCGGCCGGATGGCCTTCCAACAACTGCGCGAGCCCCATCTGGACACCATGTGGATGGCGCTGGATTATATCTGCGATGGGATTTATTTGATTGATATTGTCGTGCATCTGTATCTCGGTACGTAATGACCGGCAAATGCGGTCCTGACGTGCAAACCAATTGGTAGTTATTTTTAAAATGTTGCATTAAAATTAGCTAGCGTTTAATGAATTCGTTTTAGGCATCAGTTGGAAGTCTTATTTAATTTTACCAGTACTTTAATAAGGGGTTGTCATATGATTTGATTATGTTAATTTAAAATTTATGTTTATTGACTTACAATGTGCACATTATGCGCAGACAGATTAACACATCAGAGAGCTTTAGTTGTTTGGTGAAAGTATATTAAAGTTGCTGCGGTTAAAACGTTAAAGCTCGTAGCTGAATTAGAGCAATTAGACCTTAATCGTTTTTAGTAATGTACTTTTCGTGCCATTGCAGTCTTATAATATTAGTGTCGTTATTAATTTTTACATTGGCTTGCGCTTTTTGTCATTTCGATGACCTGTTAAGAAAAATTGCATTTAATGCTAAAGGTCAAGCTTTCTTACGCAGCGCTGAGAATTGTTTTGTTTAGTAGCACTGCAAAGATATTGAGGCTTGTATAACCCTTAGCAAAACGTAAAAGCACGATTTATACTGGATTTGTTCCTCTTTGTGCTTAATAATAATTACATTACTTTATTGATTTTTGTCCGGTATTACATCGTAAAAGTAAACAATGTATAATAGATAACCGTCGTGTTTGCATGTCAGTAAAGTCAGGCCCATTGTGTCTCCGTTGGTCTAATGGAAATGCCCATCTTGTATAAACTGCCTGGTTTCTTCCAGTGCAGCAAAAGGGATTAGTTTGTAAAGAGCTGGTCCGATAACATTATTAGATGCGATCTTATTGCGCGCGCCACAATGTCAATTGCTTCCTGCACCCTCCTCAACCGGCTTAAACCGCTTCAACAGCCCTACAATCCTGACCATCTTAACAATCTATCCATTTGTTTGCTTTACTCAATTACCGCTCTCCAGACGGAAGTTATTGATTTTTTTATTACACTTATACCGTTTTTTCTCCACGCAAAAAATGCAGCCGTATTTAGTTTAATTCGTTTGATAAATCGGATTAATTTACGGAAAGTGAACAGCATATGAAAACTGAGTGCATGCAATAACGAAACAATCCTTAAGAGAAACATACTCGAAATAAATCGTATGAATTTCATTTTATCAAGAGAACTAATAGAAAACTAAGAAGAATTGCAAATCAGTCAAATGCGTAAAATTTTGCATAGCGCAATTGAAAGTTATTAAAATGTCAGCGTATATGAAAATTAATAATTCAATTGAGAAAAAAATCCCGAATACTTAAATTAAATCGTTTTTATTTTACAGTATCTGGAGAAATCTATGAAAGCGATGTAGATAATTCAGAAATTAACATGCACAAAACTTACATTTTGAAAACGGTTTGGATATCCGGAATTAATGTTTTAACGATGGCGCATCTGGAATAATCACAGAAGAATTAAAATACGTACAGAAGGTACATACATAATTAAATAAAAAACAGAAAAACCACATAAAAATTTGTTTTAAAATAATTTATAAAAAATACGACCAATAATTAATAATAAAAATTCCGAAGTTTTTATAATAATTTTACATTATCAGAAGTCTAATAAATCTAAGAAAGCAGTACAATTCAGGAGTTGCAGTATACAAAATTTATATATGCCGTATGCAGTCTTTTCCCAGGAAGCTTGGTAGTAAGAAACCGCGTAAACATCGTTAATGCCGGGAATACAGTGTGATTTATTAATGGTGTTGTTGACGGCGGCGAAGCGGAAAAGAGCTGCGCGCGGGTGTTTACAGCGGCATGCGCCGCGTCGTTAGGGTAATCAGTGTGGAATAACGGTATAATTGTGCGGGATCGCTGTGGGCAGCTATGCGGTGGCTGCTGCTGTTTTCCCGGCATCCATTCCCACATGAGAAATAACCCTGCGACCGGATATGTCTTGGGAATGCGCACTGCGTGCCGATGATGATCCGATTAGTAATTAGACGGAGGGAGGGAAAGAGAGGGAGACACTACCCGGGAATCAGCCGCAACCCATTACTTAATCTCATCCCGGATAAGACAGGGAAAACAGCAGCGCAGTGCCAACAACAGTAGGAAGGCCACGCGCCGCTGGCAACCGCGCAGGAAATTAAACTGATGCACAGTTGCAGCTGACAGTTGGAATAATACCTGTCGCACGGATGAACGGGTCCCGGCTTTGTTGCGGCCTCTGACAGATTTAGCGCCGCAATTAATTCGCAGCCGGCGGCGACAGGGATACCCGCTAGCACGTGACCTTTACTCAGCACTTTCCAACGGGTTTCCGCGCAGGAATTTGAATTACCGGAACGCGCGCCTTTTCCATTAGTGATATTAATGGTTGACCTTTACCAATCTGTTGCTTATATAAGGCTATTTAGCAACACGATAAACAGCTATATTTATATTGCTGAATAATAATAATAAATTAACAAGGTTGCAAGCGCTGGTAAACTACTTGATAGTTAAAATTTAAACATTAAAACGAACAATCAACATCACACCAGCATAAGGGCCGTGAGCGGCAGCAGGCTGAAGTCAAAAAAGTGCAAAAATACGGCTTCCTCTCAGGACGAAATGAGTTCGCTGCTGTTAGATTCGAAACTTTTGGTAGTTCTGGTTTATCAGCAAAGAAACTGGTCAAAGAAGTCGGAAAGAGGGTTGAGTTACAAACAGGCGAGATTCGCAGCCACGAGTTTTAAGCGGTTTGAAAGCGGTTCGCGTTTTTAAAACAGAGCATTTCTTTAGCAATTCAAGGAGGAAATGCCGCTTTTGTTATTGGTACTGTAGAAAATGTTGTTTTTTTTAAGTGTAACTAAGCCTTGCTATTGTTATCGCTGTATTGGAAATAAATTACTGTACTGTATTCTATCAGCATCTCCGGCTACCCTTGATTTTCTCAGGGTATGGTAATAAAAAAACAATAATTTGTTCATTTAAGTAATAAGACAGCAATTTAAAAAAATGTAATAAATAATTATAAATAATAAAAAAATGTGTTACATAAATGTACTGTATTGAATATTAACTAAAAACAAAAATAAAATAAATAAATGTAAATTATATACTAAGCAATAATATAAATAAATATGAACATGTATTTATAACGCGGGGCCGTATGGGCGCCACGCGTATCCTCGACAGCGAACAGCGGTGAACCCTTATGAGGCTTTAATGCCGAATCTAATGCGCACCGTGGCGCAGCAACACCAGACTAATGAGGAAGGATCCTGCAGCCAGTGCAACTGTGCTGCAGGTCCGTCAAAACAGCGCAGTAATGTGCGGGGTGGAAATCCCCAAAAACAGCGAATAGCTACTCAGGAGGGCGGGGCGTCCCGCCCTTACACCCCTTTTGCAGGCATCGCTACGTCCTCGGAGCGAAATCTCCCAGGATTCGGAGGATCCGCACCCCACGCCGGTTCGGCTTGGGTTCCGGGTCAGTTCGGTCCGGTCGGCTCGAATCCGGTTCGGCTCGGGTTGGGTGGCGGGTCAGTTCGGTCCGGTTCGGTCCGAGGTCAGCCGTCTGGGTCAACGCATTGTCGCGCCAAATCCAGGGTCCAACCCGGAAATTGGTAAATTCCGTCGTTTCTTCAGCAGGGGAAAGGTCACGTTCTGGAGAAATTTGGGCAAGGGTTTGGGGTCTATGTGGCCCGTGACCCCTGTAAAAAAACAAAGCACGCAAATCCGCGGTGAAATCCACTGCTCCGTCCGGGGGGAGGTCGCCGTCCCAGGAAGTTCGGGCAGTGTTATGGTGGGGGAATTCTTCGGCGTGATGCTGGTGGTCGATCCGTGCCGTTGGGATCGGAGTTAGTGCTGCTGTTGGCGGTGTATCCGTTCTGGTTTCCCGCTGGTCCGGGTCGCGTTCGCCGTCGGCATCGCAGGAGGCAATTCTCGCTCCACGGCATCGCAGGAGGCGTTTCTCGCTCCGCGGCATCTCCGTCCAGTTTGGGAGGCATCCGTCGCGGGGAGGCGTCCATCTCCGTCAGTTGGGAGAGTATCCATCACGTTCCGCGTGGGGGGGGGGGGTGGGAATGTAGCTCCACACCCCGGGGTTAAATGGGGTTCATAACTCAGAGGTACTGCGGGCGCGACGAGCGCGCGCAGTTGGAAACGATAGCCAGATCTGCTACCATATAACGCGGGGCCGTATGGGCGCCACGCGTATCCTCGACAGCGAACAGCGGTGAACCCTTATGAGGCTTTAATGCCGAATCTAATGCGCACCGTGGCGCAGCAACACCAGACTAATGAGGAAGGATCCTGCAGCCAGTGCAACTGTGCTGCAGGTCCGTCAAAACAGCGCAGTAATGTGCGGGGTGGAAATCACCAAAAACAGCGAATAGCTACTCAGGAGGGCGGGGCGTCCCGCCCTTACATATTAATGAATAAAATCACTATTAACAAAATATTGTTATCCCAATTTTGTGATGCAGGGATTCCGCGGAAAGGCAATCCGGCATCCGATCTGCGCATCTCGCGGCGGGAATACTTCCGCAGCACGATGTTCAAGCTGGACGTGATCAGTATCCTCCCCACCGACGTCTTTTACACCCTGCTGGGCACCCACTTCGCGGCGCTGCGTCTCAACCGGATCTTGCGCATGCACCGCATCCACCACCTCATCGAGCGCACCCGCATCCACTTCGCCCAGGGGTTCTATTTTGGCTTCTTCCAGGTGGTCATGTACGCCATCATCTTCATCCACTTCAACGGATGCCTGTATTACGCGCTCAATTATGGGCAAGGCTTTGGGTAAATAAAGTTTCTCAGATTTCTTAGGTTTCTTAGATGTCATAGGTTTTCTTAAATAGGTTTCTCAGATGTCTTAGCATGAGTTGTGTTTGTGCGCAGCTACGATATAAATTAGCGTATCAAGGTATCCAAAATTTCTTAGATTTCTTGGGTTTCTTTAGTAAGTTTCTTAGTCTCCTTTATGTGACGTTTATAGGAACCGGTTACATAGGGCGTACGTTTATCTTAGATTTGTCAGGTTTCTTAGATCCCTTATTGTGACCTTCTGCGCAGCAGGGAACTTAAGTAGTATGTATCTTAGATTTTTTTGGTTTCTTACAATCACATTTTTATTGTGACCTTTTGCACAGTTATGATGAGTGGACCTTCCCGGTATTCACCAACATGACCAACCCGGTGACGAACGAAAGTATGGCGCAGGAAGGCAACTTCCTCAACCTGTATCTCCGCAGCTTCCAGTGGGCCATTGTCGTGCTGGCCCAGGACGTGGACGGCTTGATCTACGCCAACGTCATCGAGTGCCTGCTGCGCATCTTCGTCACGATCGAGGGCATGATGCTATTGGGCGCAGGCATCGCCATCGCCGAGCATCTGCTGGCCTCCAAGAACCGGCATCTTGAAGCCTACCAACGCCGGCTGGACGCCGTGAAGCGGTATATGGTGCTGCGACCGGTGGATAAGGCCATGCGGAAGAGGGTTCTGGGCTGGTTTAATTACGTCTGGGAACAGAAACTTTTCTCTGATGAACAGACTGATTTAGAGGTACTGTCGCCGATACTGCGGCTGGCCATTGCCAAAGCGGCGCATATGGATACCTTTCAGGTAACAACGCTGCATTTCTGCTGGCTTGATTTTCGAAAGTACTGGTTAGTTGATATTCCACTAGCGGCGCTGGTCAGTATTAAAACGTCACACGTTATTTCTAGCGCGTAAAACTTTTCCGCGGATGCGAGCCCCAAGCCTTAGAAGAACTTATCATGCGGCTGCAGCTACAATTCTACTGCCCCGGCGACCTGGTCTTCCGCAAGGGCGACCACGCCAACGAGATGTACATCGTCCGCTCCGGACTCCTCCAAGTGGTCAGCGAAGACGGGAAAGAAGTGTACGCCTCGCTCTCACAAGGCAGCGTTTTCGGGGAAGTATCCCTCCTAGGCGGACTGACCCGCTCCGAGCAGAAGCGCACCAACACCGTCCGGAGCCAATCCTACTCGGAGCTCTTTACCCTCTCCAACCAAGACTTCCATGAAGTGTTGGAGAACTATCCGCTGGCTAAGCAGGCGGTGTTGTCGCGCAGCCGGCCCGTTCGAACCGACGGCTCCCCGACAGAAGAGTTACCGCCGGCACGCACCGAGGCGGAGTCCCTGGAGACGCGGGTGGAGAAGCTGACGGGGAGGACGCCGCTGCTGCTGCACGAGATCAACGCGGCTATTGTGAGAATGGCCTCCGAGAACAACAGGCTCAAGAAGACCCTGCACCGGCTAGAGAAACTGGATAAAGTCCATGACTTTCGCTATTCTAGCGGCTAATCAGGCTAGTGTTGTTTCCACAAGTTTCTTCTAGGATATAATTTTGACGTTGATGCGGCAGTATTGAAACAATTGTATTTTTATGAACTGTTCTTGAGCAGACGAATATTGTCTAAGCGGATCACCATGTTGAGGCTGTGTGATATAACCAGGCAGCTACCAGGAACGTAGCTTGACTGCGCACAATTTACCGAACCTGGCAAAGCTGCCTCCGAACTTGATTTTGGTTGGTTATTTTTTCGTTCGTCACGGACGATGTAACTTAAAATTAGGCCTGCAATTTAGCCGCACAGTGATCTGATGTATCTCGATTCTGGTAATCGTAATCACAGCCGATTCGCGTGACCTTGCATCCTTTTCTAACCTGTACAGTTCTCTGCTATCTCGAAGTGCTGAATAAGCAATTCGAAGCTGACAAACGTTTTAATATGGACAAACAAACTATTGATAACGAAATTATTACTACAGTAAATGACTGTAGACTGGCAAGACGCGGCGGATCGATGTTAGCAGAATAAAGCACAAACTGCGGCACTGAAAAAGGCAGTTATACGAGTACGGAGTACATGTGTATGAAGAACTTGCACTAGGAAAAATTTGATACAAACTAGGAAAAAGGGGCTGTATAAATCTGTCAATTACTTTGGACGTGGGATTTAGTCTTGTCGCGAAGAACAGCCAACACTGCAAAGGATCGCTGTTGCGTTAACACTACTGGGTATTTCCGCTCGCAGATCATCCTGCTGGCCAGTTCTTCAGGAAGCCATCCACGTGCTCCGTGATAGAGTCGGATTGTCGTCCGTTGAGCGTCCAGCAGATGTTGCGGGCTTCCTCCAGGAAACCCTTTCCCAGCGCCAAGTCGGAGCGTAAGGCATGCTGCTCATGCGCCGCCAACTGGAACAAGGCCTGCGCGGCGCGCACCAAGACTTTTACGTTGCTGATGGTATTTCGGGAAGCAGGCCCTGAAAGGAAACGCCAGCACTATTATTTTATTCATGCATTTGTTTTTATTAATAATAATTATTCTTCAAGTTATTGTCATATGATAAAGAAAGTTTGAAGAGTAAATTTGGAAAATCCGGCACTGAAAGATGAAAAAAGGTCAGTGTTATCAGTTCTGCACTAACCCAGTTACTGCACGAGCAAGCATGCATTAACCCAATTACTGTACGAACAAGCGGTGCTTTACTATGATTCAGTACCGGCGATTTGGGCGCATCGGATTTAATGCTTCTTAGAATTCTCAGCGTGACTTTTATATGTGTGCATAGTTCCGGCTTAGTTAAGAGCGTTCATCTCGGACTTCTACGATTTCTGAATATGACCTTTTTGCCGGCAGCGACCACTTAAAGTACGCCGTCTGTCTTATATTTCCTAGGTTTCTTTGATTCTCTTAAGATCTGCATTTATTTCTTAAGGTCCCACTGGACGCTGTTTGTGGATATTGTAATTCATTTTCTAAGCGGCGGATCGACTGACTGGTCGACTTGAGCTCTATATGGTACTTAATACTTTTCGATGCAGAGTACGGCTGCTTTTCATCCACTGCCATCGTTTGCTGGTCACCTACCGTGCGCAGGCCGCAAAGTCCTTCAGCAGAGCCCAGGCTTCGGCGAAGCGGTCTCCTTCCATATAGCGACCGGCGACGCGCCAACCGCACACCAACCGGAAATGCGCGTCCGGATGTAGAATCCCGGCGGCGTCAAGATCCTTTAACAGCTGCTCTTCGTCAGCCGCATTCCGGCTCTTCCCTTCCTCATCCAGCTCCTCGTGGCGCGCCATGAATCCGCGCAGCTGCTCGAGGCGGTCGGCCACGACGGCACCGCACTCGGGGCACGGTTGGCGAGCGCGGCGGTCGCTAGGAATACGCTGACTGCAGCCCTGCGTGCTACAGCGCAGCGGATTCATCTCGCCTTCCTGAAAAACGCATCATATAGATGTTTTTACGGAATATGGGAATTTCGATGTTGGACCAACCTTTTCGTCGCTGCACTGCGCGCAACGACAATGGCGACAGTGTGTCAGCCAATACACATGCAGCCGCTTTGCCCGGCTGCTCATTAAGACACCACCGTTCCAGTAATCGTAGCGCAGCTGAAACAAACCAAAACCGGCTGAAATAGAATCTCATTTCATAATAAATGCATGATATTGTTAATATGATTTTACTACTATTTTAATTTTTAGTTAACGATTTCCTCTGACAATTAACCTTATTTCGGCGTCTTAGACTTCTATCGCTGTAAAAGTGGCCGCTGCCAGTCCACCACCACCAGGCTGTTTTTCTGGAATCACCACAGAATTCAATTTTTCTGTGAGAAATAAAAGGAACTAATCTCATACAACATTTTGAAGGCAATGTCGCAATTTTAGAGAAACTTTTAAAATTGTTTTTAAAAAACTTTTTCATAGATTAATAATTACAATAAATAAGCGAAATTCTACATGATTATATGGCTAATAATCACAGATGTTCATAACTTGTGGACATATATGGTTACGGCCGGTGATTACGTCAATAAATAAGTACAAATCATTTGGCTAAATAATGTCATAAAGCGATGCAAAAAGGTGTTTGGGAGTACGCGAAAGTGAACGTTTTCATGCATGTACCCGAATTTGATACCATGCATCGGGACATTTCCCAAAAAATTCCCATTACTGAGAAATAACAAAAAAACGGTGATTTATAAAAATTTTCACAGGCAGTACCCCAGTTCTAGCGAAAGCATTTTAATTCATAATATTGTTTTACAAATTTTAACGACAAATTAAATTTACAAAAGGAAATTTAATAAATATAAAACGAATTTTTAAAAATTGTGAAAGTTTTCACAAGCGCCGCTGGGTGAATTCTGGATGCAATTATGTGATGACGGATATACAAGCTTGTCCGGTAATTTCTGACGAATCAGTACAGCGAATCACACAAATTCGCTGTTACGCCCAACTTCGCATTACGGCGCCCGCCACGCCACACTGTTTAAACACGTAACTTGCACTTGGCTGGCGGGTGGCTCGGTACACGCCATATAATTTTATGAGAATAATAGTAACTGCCTGGCGGAAGGTGGCTAGAAGTGGTCGGTGCAGTAAGCGACAATCTGACTGCGGAGCGCACTTAGACAGTTCGATAAACGAAGTGAAGTGGCCATCGGTATAAGCGCAAACTTCGCGCTAGCTGTACCTTTACGTAGGAAATTACCGGACAAGCTTGTACACATAACGTGGCTTACATCAGCCCATGTGGTAAAGTTGGCGATGGGCTCCAGCGCACGGACGTGTAACCGACGGTCGGCCAGGTTGAAGTGGAGACGGGCATTGGCGTCCCAGCACACCGGCGTCATGGCGCGGTGCGGCGCCGCCGGGAAGAGGCCGGCCCCGAAGGGCACCGGGTCGTCGTCCTGTCCCAGAGCAAAGGCGTGGAAGAGAATGCGCCGGTATATGACATTGGTCTCCGACATCTGATCGGCCATCGCGGCGCGATTGGCGGGACCGCCGAATCCGGTCATTATGTTCCGCAGGGTCTGTTGCGACGGCTGCAATCTGCACACGCAAAAATAAGGCTATAAGTCTACTACGATATCCGCTATGTTTTTTTGGCAGATTTGTTATTTTTGGCAAATTGGCAGTGCGCGCTAATCGGTACCATGCTCTTTTTGCCAGTTTGCCTTTTCTTTCATCCCGGCAGTGAAACTGAATGAATGGCCAAACACGTAACAGAAAGCGCGCGATTATAGACATTGATAAAAAAATTAAAAAAAAATTGATAAAAAGATAAAAAAAAATTGACATTGATAAAAAAATGCGATTATAGACACTGATAAAAAAGGCAGGATTATAGATATTGATAAAAAAATTTATTTACGCTGATCAAATTTTATAAATCGACAGTTCGAAACGGTATAGTTAATATTATAATGCAAGCTGCTGTTTTTCGCCCAATATCTACGTAGGCGAAATCGAATTACTCTTTCCATGCAGCACATTTGTTTAACACCAAATTGTTGCAATTTAGTTAAAAAACAGTTTAATTAATTAATACAGCAATTTTCTTTTTCATATATTTTTTAAAAATTTATGCGAATTTCATGATTAAAAGCGATACTCGTGTCATAATTTCAAGCACGCGTTATTTTTCATAAATTTAATAGCAGTTAAACAGTGGAATAATAGCAGTTTAAATTCAGTTAATCAGTGGAATATAATTTTTCTTGTTGTGATTGGGGTGTATCTGTTGCGGATGATTGTTTCATTGTTTTCAGTCGAATCTGTGTATTTACTACTGATCCCCGAATTTTCAAACACTTACAGAGTACTATTACTAACATCTGCTATTTTTGTTAAATTATTTCAAGAAGTTTTACTTACTCGATGCGATATTGATCAAAGTTGGCGTCGTAGGGCAGCAGGGCGGTTAGCGTGTCCATGGCCGTCATGGGCGGAGCGCCGGCGGTGAATGCCGTTCGTTGGAAAGGCTGTTAAGAACAGCGAACGTTGCAACGGAACTTTGCGAATTACAAACAGTTCCATTACTCGTATATAGGGAGGAAAACCATATCAGTCGAACCAATAAAAAAAACTGCTGCCGTCAGGGCCCGTCACCCGGCTGGAGTGTGACCTTACGGCAATACATATGGTTAATTATATCAGGCGCGGTACATAAGCACCATGTTTATCCACAACGTAAAACTCCAGCCGGCTGACGGCAGCAGTACAGGGGTATGGTTCGAGCAGACTGCTTTTCCCCCCTATATACAGGGTAAGGGCAACTTAGACTATTAAGTATATACGTACGCTGTGGCGCAGAACAATCTTCACCAGGAGGAAGGAGATGGTCCCGCAGCCGAAATCCCGGCACCCGCGCACACGGCAGTCATGGTCCGGGCTCGGTGTCCTTTGCCCGGGAATCCGCGGCCATTCTGCGCAGCCACGGACACTCCAGCTTGTGATCGCGCTTCCAACCCGCTCGCTACGATCGCCAGATTGCAGATAACTACTCACTACCTCTGGCTACGCTACTACGTCTTAATTTTTTAAAGCGCACAACATTCAGGTCTTGTGTTTTCGTTAATATGATGTGATTGATTCCGTATTGGACTGGAACAGTATGTATGATGACACGACAATCCAATTTAGTGGCTGACTAAAATACTTTATGCAACGTTTTGCAGGTACCGTAGCTGGTTGTCGCAGTCAGCCATACTGCCATAGTACTCCGCTATGAAGCCTTGTCTTACTTGGCACGTGGTGTCGCAGTAACGGTAAAACTGGCAGACACTGCAGCGCTGCAGGTCCTCCGTCTTGCGCTCCGAAAAACAGTTGGCACAGCGCGTCTCATGGGCGCTCCAGTGGAAAGACCACACCCATGGTTCCGCTTTGACGATGAGGTCGCCGGCCGCCAGACTGCGGCGCTGGAAAGGATCGGGCAGAGCGGCGGTGGCAGCCATGTCAATACGCTCAATGGATGACTAGCAGCGTAAGCAAACCCTCTCAACTTTGCAACGAAACTGAGCAGCAAACGTGAAAGCTGGAACAAGCAGCGATACAGTATGTGACTGAATAATGTGAAGCCGTAAAAGTATTTGTACTGCAATATTGTGACTCCAGTCGTCAGTACGTCTATAAATAATCTGCACAAAACATAACGTACAGAAAATACAACCAAGAATCTATGCGTTGCTAAGTGCGACAAAACAGTTGCAGGCGAACACTGCCCAGGTACTTGCATGCACGTTGTATAGAAGCAGATACATCAATACGTACAAACCAAAACAATCCAGAAGCGAAGCATCACGTTGAAAGCATTAATTTTATGTTTCAGCACAGAAACACAGCATGGTAATGCGGTCTGTGTATTAAGAAGTAGGAGCTGTTACACCCTTTTTCAACTTGTACAGTCATTTGCTTTCCTGAAGCGCAGAATAAGGAATTGGAACTGACATGCTTAAACTGTATCGTAAGGACGCATACTCCATCACTTGCACTAAGAGATCGCTGCCAACGCGCTGCCATCCTTCGGGATGGGGTACCAGCCCGTCGCCAGAGTGCATGGACAGCCGTGACCGCTGCCAGGGTTACCGGTGGGAAGTGATCGTTCAAAGCGTTCGTTAAGGGGCTGGCCATTTGCATTTTGCCATCGCTGCAGGGCAGATTAGGTTTCGGAATAATGATCGGCAGTTTGTTGATGCCCAATTCATGCGCATGCCATGTCATAGGCAGTATCCACGCCGCTCTGGCGCTCATACCCGACGAAAGGGTCGCGCCGTACATGGTTCATATATTCACATTCATATATTCATATTCATAGGAGAATAAGGAGATATGCTATTCTGCTCTAATAAGATATCCCACATGTATCGACCAACAAGCTCAAGAAAACCCTGCACCGGCTGAAGAAACTAGATAACGTCTATTACTTCCGCTATTCCAGTGGCTAATCAGGCTGTCGGCTTTTCCACAGGTTGCTTCTGATTGATTTGACGTTCATGCGGCGCAGCGGCAGTATGGAAACAGTTTTTATTTATTTTACACTATATGCAGTACTTCTATTAAAGCGGATGAATGTTGTCCAAGCGGTTCTCCATGTTGTGGCTACTTGCTCTAACCAGATTACAATGAGCGCAGCCTGACTACGAATGTACGAACATTTTTCGGATAATGGCCATACTGCTCCGATAACCTGACTCAAATATTGGTTCTTCTTTCCTAGATACGGGTACGGAAGTTCTAAATTAAAGTACGCCTGGGATCTGACGGACTACACAGTGAATTACAATAGCGATCTGACTACACTGGTGTTTCTCGATTCTCGCAGTCGTAACTCGTAGTCATAGCTGGTTTCGAGACCTTGCAACATGCTCCAAGCCGAACAGTTTTTTGCCCTCTCGAAGCGCTGAACAACCAATTCGAGTTTGCCATGCTATGACAGCATCGTTTTAATGTGGATGAACCGATCATTCACATAATCATGAGATACTAGAACTAAACTGAAGATCTTTCCGGCAAGATGCGGTTAACTTTGAAATTTAGCACGAAAATGCGGTACAGACAGGAGCAATTACACATACTACGTCTACGGTCTACACTACATAATAATATGCGATATGCCTAAGAAGTACGAAGATACGAAACAAATATTCGATACAAAATGGAATAAAGTGACTGAATACAAAATATGAGTAAAATTCTTTGGACACGAAGTTCTGGTCTTCAACGGAAGAACAAACCAACGCTGCTTTAGTATCGCTCCCCGCGTTACAGCTGCTAGCCGTTGTCGACCGCGTATAACAATACGGGCCAGTTCTTGAGAAAACCATCCAAGTGCTGCGTTGTGGGGCCGGCCTGCCGCCCGTTAAGTATCCAGCCAATGTCGCGTGCCTCCTCTAAGAAGCCCTTGCCCAGAGCTAAATCGGAGCGCAGGGGATGCTGCTCATGCGCCGCCCACTGGAATAACATCATCGCGGCTCGCAACACGACCGCCATGCGCTGATGATGATATCGCGGGAACCACGCGCTGAATGAAAACATAAACAACTTTTTTTTATGGATAATTAGATGTCCTTATCCAACATCTGAATTTATTATTATTCGATAATGAATAAATACTATGGTTTCTTGTTAATATTTTATTAATTGTGGCAATTTTTAAAAATATTATTAGTAATTTAAAATTAATTATTATCAATATTTAATAATAAATATAAAATACTTAATATATTTATTAATATTATCATTAATATTTGTATATTTAATTTAATATTTATCATTATTTATTTAATATTAAATCAAGTGAAGAAAACACAAGAAACTTAAGGCAGATAAAAAATCGGGAGAGCAAACTGGCAAAATACACCACACTGAAGTTCTCGAAACAGTTTGAGCAATTAACTGCTTACCGTGCGCAAACCGCAAAATCCTGTAGCAGGGCCCACGCTTCCGCGCAGCGCCCTTCTTCGGCGTAGCGACCAGCAACGCGCCAACCGCACACCAGCCGGAAGTGTGCATCGGGCTGCAGAATACAGGCAGCGTCGAGCTCCTTCAGTAGCCGCACCTCATCGTCGGTCGCCTTGCCGGTCGGGACCTCCGACTCCAGCTCCTGATGGCGCTCCATGAATTCGCGTAAAAGAGCCAGTCGGTCGGCCACGACGGCACCGCACTGGGGGCACGGTTGGCTGGCCCGCTGGTCGCTGGGAATGCGCTGACTGCAGCCCTGGGTGCTGCAGCGCAATGCGTTCATTTCGCCTTCCTAAAAGACGGTAGGATGTCAATTTTCTCATCTCCGTTTTGCCAATTTGCTTACCGATGTATTGCTGATTTGCACAATTTGTTGACCGACAAATTACAGACTGCATTGCCCGACAGCTCAGTTGTGCTACAAACTTGCTGTCCGTCTTAAATCTTGCAAATATGCCACTGACCGGACAGCTTTGTGGTAGCTACGCTACACACAGTGATATGCAGTGTGTGCCGCGAGGCATGTTACGAGATCAGTGCTCGCATGTTCTAGATGTTGCAAGTAGCGAGTTATGTGACCAGTGAGCAAGCGTTATGCAAGCAGTGAGCTTGCAGGTTTTGTGCCAGCTCTGAGTTTTTCGCGCGCATATAAAGCGCGATGTGTTTAGAGCGGCTGTGAAGCGGTGTTGAGCCAGTTGTCAATAAATGTAGCAAGCGCCTTGTTGCCGGTATGTATAGCATAGGTGTTATAGGCGAGTCGCCCACAGCTTGCTTATCCTGAAGTGGAGTGAAGTCTGATTCCTGTTCTTAGCTTCTGACAGTTTTTTCTAACCTTTCGTACTCGTAGTGTTCTCTTGGATTTCTTGGATTGCTTAGTTTTTTCAGATTCCTTAGGTCTTTCTGAGACTTTCTTAGGTTCCTAGGTTTTCTTAGGCTAGCGGTCAAGAAAATCGTCGGCCAGCAAAACCCATCGAAAGCGGTGAGAAAAAAATCGCTGGAATTTGTGTACGTGAAAGACCGGTGCTTCTGCATTACACCCGGTCCAGCAACCCATTCCCACTTTGTTTGTTTTGTGAAAATTTGTGAGGTTTGTGCTTCGACATTCATAAACGAAAGTTTCTACTATGAAAAGTAATCAGTTTTTAGAAATTCAGAAAACTGCAAACACTTGTTGAATACTATACGGAAGCGCGTGCTTAAAGTGAGCCGAATATGAGAAAAATCGGAGTACACGCGTATATATAGAAACGTCAACGGAAGTAACTAACCTTTTCGTCGCTGCACTGTCCACAGCGGCAATGGCGAAAATGTAGAAGCCGAAATAACTGCAGCCGCTTTGTCCGGCTGCCCATTAGGAAATTGCCGCTCCAGTAGTCGTAGCGCAACTGAAATAAATTAAATTGGATTTTCAACAAAACTAAGGTTTATAAGAAGTAAAGAAATTTTTCAAATATACAGCTGACACTCTGGCTGTTTGACGGGATTACAAGCATTTGGTGATGAATTACAAGATTATGGCATTTGTGATTTTAGGGCAGTTGTAACTTAAGAGAGATTTGGTTGTTGTAATTATGGTAATTGTGTTCATATTACAAAATTCGCAATGTGACTGGTTTGTGCTGGTAAATAGGTGTGATTAGGCATAATTCCTGCTTACATTGGTCCACGCGGTGAAATTGGCGATGGGCTCTATAGCGCGCACGTGCAAGCGGCGTTCGGCCCGGTCAAAGTTGAGGATGACATTGGCGTTCCAGCAGACCGGCGTCATGGCGCGGTGCGGCGCCGCCGGGAAGAGGGCGGCCCCGTAGGGCGGCGCGCCGCCCTCGTTGAGACCGTAGGCGTGGAAGAGGACGCGGCGGTACAGCGGCAGGTTGTCCGTGAACTGGCTGGTCACGGCGGCGCGGTTGGCGGGGCTGCCAAGGCTGGTCATGATGTTGTGCAGGGTCGGCGATGACGGCTGCATCCTGCATCGGGGAAACACACGACATACGTCCGTTAGCAATATAATTACTCTCCTACTGTATTTCCACGTTATTCGCATTCCGGAAATTTTCAAAATATGGATTCCCGTACCGGACACTAGAGGCAGGGTATTCTCCCGCGGTTCCATTTGACAAAAACTTTCACAAAATTTATTACGCGATAATTAGCGTTTTTACACAAAATTTTACACGAGATTTAATAAAAACATTACCAAGTGTTCTAATGTGAAGCAAAGCAGAGAAACCGTGCTTCGGATGTCTGGTACGCGAATCCTTATTATGAAAATGTCCGGAATGCGAAACGTCAAAGTATTCAGCTTAAGCTCGATGGATATACAGTTCTTACGAGGCTACTGGAAAATGTTATTCGTTAGTGGCAAAAAAATGACTAATTTCCGAAAACAATTAATGCGGTGCTATTCTTGAGAGCTGCTATTCATGCCAGATTTATTTAGGTCAAAATGTCGCTGTGGTATAATTGTAAACATCAGCTCGTCGGCCTATTCCTGCCTGCGGTTAATGTAATCCGACAAAAGTCGATAAATCGATGCGGCATTGTTGCTAATATCAGCAATTTATGCCCGGTTTATTAAATCAAAATTTATTTGTTTGTCGAGGCATAGTTACGTACCAAAACACTAACAAGCAAATATCAGCTATTAGTGCAAAATCCAGTTAGAAAAAACTGATTGCGTGCTAGCTGTGGTGCAATCTGGAATACAAGCTGGAAGCTGCTTTGCTAAATTAATTTAATTAGAGAAAATTTACTTAATCGGCATTGATTATTAGTGCCAAGTGGTACGCGACAACCAACTATTTCTGCCAAACTTATTGCGCCGAACGTCAATTACTTACTCGATGCGATATTGATCATAGTTAGCGTCATAGGGCAGCAGGATGGTCAGTGTCTCCAGAGCCGACATGGGCGGGGCGCCGGCCGTGAATGCCCTTCGGAGGGCCAGCTGCAACAGCAGTGCACGGTGTTTAATTAATAGCAAAAGTTTTTACGGGCAATGGAAGCCCGCATAGACGTACGTTGTGGCGCAGTTTGATTTTCGCCAGGAGGAAGGAGATGGTGGCGCAGCCGAACTCCCGGCATCCGCGCACACTACAGTCATGATCCTCCTCGGCGTCCACGGCCATCACGTACTGGGTCATCCCGCGCACTTGCTTACACTCCAGTTTGTGGTCCCGTTTCCAGCCCGCTCGCTGCAATCGGCCGATTAGGAAATCATGTGTAATATCTAGTTCATCGTTTACCTGATTATTTGTCTTTAATATGCAATTTACTTTGTCTAGCTATCGGCTTAAGCTAACAATTTGTTTATGAATTTTCCTCATGTGCATTTCAGTCGTGATTTTTGTACGAGTACTTCGATGGATTACTGATTTTATTAAAAACACCATGACCTTTTACTCAATTACTTACTCAGTATTTTCATACAAAACAAACATTAAGCAAATTTATAAATTCGTGAATTAGTCGCAGGAGTTCGCTATCGCGCACTCTGAATCAAATTACAGCACTGCTTTAAGACATTATGGAGCATTCTTATACATAAGCGTGAAATCCGTTTGCGCGCGCAGCACCCGCTTGGGCTATTTTGGCAGCAACGAGATTCCAAAAAGAAATGCATTTAAATGTACGAAAAGCCTTATTATGGACCAAGCGTTTATAAGATCGTTTACACCGAACCACGACTCTAGCATTTTTTTAAAAATTAGAACAAATTCCAAAATTTATTCCAAAATCTGAACAAATCGTCCGGCGTAGAAACGACTTTAACAGCTATGTAAGAGGAGAATCCTCTTGTACACACAGCAGCCGCCCATCCGCCGCCTACCTGGTTGACTCAAGCTCAAGCACAAATATCTTGATCTTCGCCAACAGCGGCGATGGCACAGTGGCTGTGCTACGTGGATCACACACTCGGTAGCCAGCGGTTCGATTCCGCTCCATCGCCATTTTTCGGAATTTCCTCAACAGACAGGATCTTCATCTGACCGCCCTCCCTCGCTGAGATCACTACGGACAGCTAACTTATGGCTGCCTCTGTGATAGCTACATCCGTTTACCGCGAAATTTGGAGATAATCAGACTGTTGGTACACCTCAATGCCTTCAAAACTTTTTGAAAACTTTTTTTCGCCATAACGGATTTCACCCGCCTGTATGCACAGAATGAATGTGGCTACAGAATGTCAGAAAGCAATGCTAAAATGTGTTCCGGAGTGCGCGACAGCGAACATTTTCGAGCATACGCGAAATTGGTTTTTCCGGGTCCTTCGAGTGCTGTACCGATACAACTCTCAGCATACTGGTATTACTTGCAGTTATTCAGCGATGCAGTAATACCTATCATAATGACGCTTGTCTTACTTAACAGCTAGCGTCGCAATAGCGGTAGAAATGACAGCCACTGCAGAGCTGCAGATCCTCCGTCTTGCGCTCCGTAAAGCAGTTGGCACAGCGCGTCTGATGGGCGCTCCAGTGGAAGGACCATACCCAGGGCTCCGCTTTGACGATGAGGTCGCCGGCCGCCAGACTGCGGCACTGGAAGGGATCGGAGAGAGCCGCGGTGGACGCCATGGCAACAGCACACGATCAACACTGTTAAAGGTAAAACACACTGGCACTCACGGCGTGGGATCTGTAAAAGTACGATATTTATCGTGCTTCATGCTCTGGAAATCATGGCAGTCCTGCAGCCTGTTCTGTACAGTAATACTATAACACATAGTACAGTCATCGGGACTACCAGATTATGGGGACTACGCCACTACTACCAATAATGGAAGGTATGAAAGTTGAACGATGCAGTGCAAAAGTCCGCCATTGGCTGTCAACAACTCCACTCTCCAGCCTACGCATCTCGACAGTTTGGGCGAAATAATGAGCAAGCATTGTATACAGGATACTTCTGGGAATCCGGAAATTAAAGAGAAACTTACCGCTTAGGCACCGATAACTTGGCCAAGGAGAAATTCTTCGGTGAGATGGCGAATCTGCGATAAGAAAATCATTACAAGGGCCTAGACTTCGACAAAAGAACGAACGAGAACCTGACAAGTGAGTAGTGAGTGAATCGCAGCGCTAACTACTCACTGCGTGTTCACTGCTGAGGCTATATGGCGTACCAAACACCTCACCCCCCGTAGAATGTAAAAAGTAAAACTTAAAAAAAACACAAAACAGTAAAACTCAAAAACGTAGAACGTAAAACACAAAACGTAAAACTTGAAAACGTAAAACTTAAAAGCTCAAAACACTAAAACTTAAAACTCAGAACTCAGAATCGTAAACTCACATCTTAAGTCTTACAACTGTAAACCATGAAATGTGAAGCGGTGTTTTCGTGGACTTGGAAAATTTTTCACTTTCAGAGTTCAGTTATGATCTGTTCGGCTCACCAAACAGCTACTGTGAAAAATTTTCAAAGTCCACGAAAACACCGATTCACATTTCATGGTTTACAGTTGTAAGACTTAAGATGTGAGTTTACGATTCTGAGTTTTAAGTTTTGGTGCTTTGTGTTTTACGTTTCACGTTTTTAAGTTTTACGTTTTGTATTTTACGTTCTACGTTTTTGAGTTAAGTTTTACGTTTTGTGGTTTATGTTTTACGTTCTACGGGGTGAGGTGTTTGGTACGCCATAAGGCTAGTGCAAGAAGATGGCATAGCGTACAGTACGTAAAGCATGCGGGCTACAGTACACATCCGCACTCGGTGTACAGCGTACAATACGTGTACAGTACGTGCTAAGTTCACTAGGCGCGTTGCGCTGGACAGTGTGGAGCATAAAACTAGCGGTGGTTGCGAACCACATTATTGCACGAGCGCGAGCGCCAGTACCACTGGGAAATGGTATTGGGGTTGTGGAATTGGAAAAGCGTGACGCACGCTCTTCGTGGCGTCAGACAAATTTTATGCTCTTGACGAAGACTTATTGCAGCACCTCGCGCTTCGCGCTCGGTGCAAATTAATATTATAGGAGTTCAGGAGCATGAGACCGAAATTTTACGAAATACACGTAATGTAGTTTGTATTGTTTCCATAAGAATAAATTTTATGAGCGAGTGAGAAGTTTTACTGTCTAGGACGGCTCGTCGCTCGGTCAAGTTGTGATACACACGAGGTATTTTACATTCTGATTAAGAGAATCGAGAATTGATTGAATCGTTGCTGTAAAAAATATCGCTGCTGCAACATTTACGGGCTGATAATTGTTGGCAACCTGGCAATGTTCTGGCAGCGTGCTGGAAAGCTAATACGCTAAAGTGTTTTCCAACGTGAGCTAATCAAGAGATCCCTTTATTCAAATGACGTTTTTTTTGCATTTTTCACTACGAATACTGATGAAGGGATATTTCCATAAAGCTATGAGCTATATCCACAGCTTTCTCGTACCTTGGTGTTTGATATATTTGAGAATGCTGCGTGCCGCCGGTATTCTAGCACAGGTCTCCCTGTTCCTTCAAGCGATAATAATGATTTTTTAAGTGCTGAGTTTAATTTTGACTGCCCCGTTATGTAACGTACCGGTGTAAGTACCAACATGATTGTCTTGCAACGTTTACGAAACAACGAAAATGTAGGTATAGCAAGCTGTCTCAAAGCATCAACAAATTATGTTATACATGTTGCAGAAAATGTCGTTTTCACACTAGAAAAAAGCATTGAAAAGCTCACATAGTATAATTACGATTTACTGATCCTTCGTTGACTCCGAGATTATCAATTTTTACGAATGTAATTCTTGTTTTGCACCGGATTATGTTCTAAGTTAAAATGCATCAGCCATGCAACAGCGACTAGTTACTGATTAATTTTCCCGGCAGAGGATATTCAGGCAGTTTGGCGTGGAGGGTCACCATACTCTGACGCAGACTTCCCATGGCGGCCCGCAGCGCTGCTGTATCCCGGCCGCCGAACGAGACAATCTTGTCGGTAATATATTGCAAGGGATCCAGCAGTTCAGCCGTATTAATCATCTTCTCCATGGTATTGCTCAGTGAATGGCCCGCATCGAACAGACCAGACAAGTACAACACAATCTGCTTGACCTTTGTGTTGATCTCCACTAAAGCGTGCAGTTTCGTCCGCATATCGCTGATCTCGCGTTCCAGGCTTTGTTTCTTCTGCTGCTGTTGCGCTTTGGTCTGTTGCCGTTGGTTCACCGTATTCTGAGCCGCGTTGACCACTGCCTGCTGTTGCGCCACACGCTGCTCTTGATGGCGTACATTCTCCTCGGCACGGCGCACTGCGTCACGGGCGCCATCGACCGCTCCACCGATTTTACAAGGTACGTTAACGATGTTTCGAGTTTCCTTAGCGACGTTCTGTGCACCACGCTGGAGTTCGTTTCCAACGTTTCGTGCCCCGATCCCGATTTCCCTAGCAATATTTTGGAATCCTTTCCCGATTTCCTTGAAAATGTTGCGTTTGTGCAGTGACCGTTTCGATTTCCAGATGCAGTTTTGGGCTCTGTCCAGATTCTGCTGCTGGGATTGCAGGTTGATGTGGGCGTGGTGGAGGCTGGCTCGTTCATTACCCAGCTTGACTTGGGCGTCATGTAAAGCGCTGGTTTGTTGACTGAGATCGGCAGCGGCGGCGGCAATTTGCCGGTCGGTTTCATTCATCGCGTTCTCCAGCTGTTGCCGCTCCAGAGTCTTACGGATGATGCGCTGATCTTGTTGTTGCTTGAGTTCTTCCGAAGCAGCTCGCATTGGCTCCAGTGTCGTGTAGAAGCGTTGGAACTGGATTTTGCTGTTCGATAAAAGTCGTTCGGCTTCCGCTGGTTGGGTGGGAACTTTGGCATCTGCGAGTGGCTTGAGAGCATCGTTAGCCAAAATGCGGATTGCATTCTCGTACGGTGTGGCGAATCTGGACCAGAAACCGTCGATATCATTGTTGTCGGCTGCAAATGAGAACGAGATTAACCACATTGCTTACAACAGTTGACGCTTTTACGGAAAATGAATTTTCTGTCCGGTTCAATAGGTACGTTGACAAAAAATGCCATTTATTATGTGCTTATCATTAATACGCGGAATGTTTTTAATGAGTTTTACATGGCGATAGAACAGTACTCGTATAGATGACAGTAAGATTTATGTGCGCTGTGCGCTTGTGTATGTTCGTAATAAACAAACCTGTTATGTGCGGCGGAAACAGGAACATGCTGATAATAGTCGCCATAATAGTAAGGTGTACGGTATCACCACTACCCCGCATGTTGTAGCTTTATGGATAATGTGAGAATAAAAATTCAATTACGGTATATGTATTACCGCCAAAACTCGTAACCGTGGTTGTGTAGGACTTTTAGTCGACTAACAAAAGTCAATATCTTATTGCCGCTTACTGCAATTATAGCTTCTTAAATACTTTGCGTTTCGCAAACGCATTCTTGCTTCGTACGATAAGAGGTCACTATGAAGACTTCCTGTTGGCACTCAACAAAACAACCTTTGCATGTGTGGAAAACATCCTATTCAAAGGTCGCATGCCAAGGAAATAATTTGATAACCACATGAGCTAAGTTGCTAACATACGACGTATGTTAGATCATGTGGTTATCGTTAACATCGCCAATGCGACCCTACGTGGGCTAGACGGTGTGTTTCTGCTTTTTCCCACGATATCTGGGCCCGATCAACCATCCGTTTGACGCATGCACTAGTAAATTTACCTTGGATATACAGAGCTTGTTGCGATTGTTAAATTTCTCATGGCGAATCTAGAGATTTTTTCTTGTTTTGATATTTGTCGTAAGATTTCGTATAATATCCGACCGTCTGAACTTGTTGATGCTGTAGTGTACTTCGATTGCAGGAAAAGTTCTGATGTTTTGTGGACCGATGTATAAAAAAAACTTATTAAGGGGCAGTATGCGCTACGTGCAGTGCAATGATACGTAACTCAGTATTCAGTAGTAAATTTGCACATAATAAAATAACGTGGAAGGGTTGCTTGTGCACAGATACGAGTTTTAAGACTAACAAATTGAATTAAGACATACAGTAACCTCAACCTGTGAATGCGCTCGTAAAACAGTATGGCTTTCTTTTTAATTTCCGAAAAATGTTATGTTTACTCCTGGCGACCTGGCTTAAAGAAAATGGTCCGGTACTTAGCGTCAAAAATGGGATACATACACTCAAACGTTCGCTTTCGCGCAGTTCGAATTGTTGTATTACTCTATATCATTCTAGAGCTAAATGATTTTTATACATTGTTCTGAGAACCGTTTGCGCTCGCGACATCTGGTTGACGAGATTTGGCGTACTAAAATGGGTGAAAAGTAAATGCATTGTAACATTGTTGTTGCACCAGAAGTCTGGCTGTTACCCGATCTTCTTGAAACTCTGCTGAAAAAGTAGAAACTTTTTTTCGGTCGTCGTTGCCCGGCAGTGGGTAACGCCAACGGCGTTGCATCGAATAAATAATATACTCGTATTAAACTAAAGTGCGCCCGCATTTCACTTCACCGGGGGTCAGCAAATTTATAGTTAATCTTTTATTATTTCTTTCTACCACCCAATCCACAAAATTACACCACGAATATTTGAATTTAGGTTTATTTTTATCAGTTTTAGGATTGTAGTTATTTGTACGAGTAGTGCATGATTAAGTTATTGGAACCTCCACACATATGCAGCCACTGCTTTTCATTTTTTTCATTTAAGAAATCACTGCCATAATCAAGGTAAGTCCGGAATAGGAACATGCTTCATGTATAGCATGCGGTTAATAACTGAGATAACTGAGTGCTAGTCTTGTGACCTTTTTAGGAAAATTCCTACGGTATGATAGTGCATAGTCCATGGTGTAAATGGAATCTGTTCAATGCACGAACTTCGTGAAAATTTCCGGCAGACGGACAGCGAATTTCGCGAGCTATAACCGGATATACATTATCGAAAACGTCGATCTATCTTGATTGCATTAGCACGGAAATCCTTGAAGGAAGTAACACATTTGAACTCTAGGTAGGCTTTTTGGATAGTTACAGACTGCAGCAGTGCATATAAGTGATACACATAACTGTAATCGGCACCGTTATTCTAGCGTTATTATAACTGAATGGTTACCGGCAATTTACAAACACGAAAATGAAGGCCGCTAGTATAAGTATTTTAGTGTTTGCGTTATATGCGGCGTCAAACTGTGCGATTGCGTTCACTGATAGCAGCGCATCGGAGAGCGGAATTTGCTCAGTATACGATCCTTCTGGTCAGTGGCATGCTACAGTTTTATTCTGCACATAATGTACAAAATACAGGCAATTTTAGTAGATTAATTCAGCATGAAATATTCAGCTTCAGCATTAGACAAATAATTTTTTAAACCTGACGGTGACGTTAACTTTAAAATACCTACATAAAATTCCTGCTCAAAGAAAGCACTAAACAAATACTCCTGTTGCAGAAAGCAAGGAACTGATACTAAGCAAAGATGAGCTCAACGCCACTTTCGCATTAATGTCCATTCACCATCCATGGGAGAAGTTTTTCATAGCCGCTCCGGCTGCCATCGCACTCCTTGGCCAGTTGACAGTTTTGGGAGGTCAGAAGGACTTTCGCATCAATGACCGGCCACCGAAGGGTGACTTCAAACTAATTCGCAATCCAGAGTCATTTCGTGCAACAATGGCACAGGTACGGTAAATTTTGAGAAACCGTTTTTTTGCACCCATTACAGCTACGATCATGCTACATATGATATGAATTCCGTACAGAGCATGCATTAGTAAAGTAGTAGTGCCGGCACATTCGAAAAGTTATTTTTACGTAATTCTCGTGTACAGATAGTTTGTTCGCTCTGTGTATAATTAAAATCTGTAATCATCTTTAAACTTAATTACCTGAGAAACTGCAGCAGAAGCAATAGTACTCGTGTTGCGTATGCAGAGTGCCGCATTAGCAACCACGTTTTAATAATTCTAAACAGGTGAGCCACGATGGTTGGAACAGCTTCAGCGTCGCCCACCGCAATATGGACATGATCCAGCTGAACATGCTGGCCATTCCGCGACGCGTTCAGACCGTCGTCAAGATCATGCAGAAGTTTTCACCGGCAATGATCCAGCGCATGCTACCGATTTCCCTCAACGGAATAAAAGAGATCAGCCAACTGTGTGTGACCTTATCCAGAGACACGGAAGGGGAATTTCGGAAGGTCATGGCGCTGTTACAGGAAGTGGTCGAGGCTACACAGAGCAGCCGCGGTTTGTATGACGAAAAGGAGCAGCAGTCCATCGCAGAATATAATGCATCCCTGGTGCAACGGGACCATTTCGAAAAGAAGCAACAAGCGTATCGTCTGAACCAAGCCGAGATTAATAGAAAGGTAAACCAGCGGGAAGTTAGCTCAACGTAGTGCTGGTACTAATTATGATAACGTCACGCAGACTGTACAGATAAGAGTCCAGATAAGAGTACTGTACAGAGTCTGTACTTATAAGTTATAATAACGATGCGCAGATTGTACTTAGCAGAAAACGATGTACAAGCCCATCCGGAAACAAGAGCCTAAGTGTACCCGCGAAGTAAAGGGGCTGCGTAAAGTAACGTAGAATAATTACCTTAGTGTAGTGGTTACAGATAACTTTATTAACAAAGTTTATTAACATTACAAAAATCTACCACCAATACCAGGTGTGAAAGGCACTTCTTTAATGTTGAAGTCATCTCTTTAATTTTTTGCTCTTGTGCTGCCAAAGCTGCAATTTGGTAGTGGCGAAATGTGTTGTAGTTTGTCCAATGGCTAGCCAACGCTTTTTAATTTTCCCGCTTGCACATGCTCTTGTTTCCGGATGAGCTCGTACAATGTAGGACAAAATGGTCGCCTGCTCACATATCCACACTCAGTACGCATACAGCGTAGTGAACTGTACGATTAAAAGCTGAAATATCCGACTATCGTACGCTGTACCGCCGTCACTACTACCGCGCCCATGCGTACGGATAACTGGGTATGGGAGTATGCGACATTTAGTCCTACAGTGTCCTACATTTAGTTCTACATTGTACCAAGTTCGTGCCGTCAACAGTGCCCAAAGTGAAACGTTATTTTGTTATAATTATTGTACCAGTGGTCCAGTGTACGCCCACCATGCACACCACGAAAACCGAAGGCAATCAGTGTGTGGGCATGTTACTTATGTGCTCTTTGTATGAGCTCAGACTCATTTTCCGTCAGCATAAGTAAAGGTGAATTTTACAGGTTAATGAGTATGAGCAGCGTTATAAGCACGCACTGGATTCGATTCCCACCGGATGGACAAAGGTCAAAATGGAAATCACCAAGGCCGTGGTAGGCGCCGTTGCTAGCGTCATCAGGGCCGTTCCCTCGATGTTAGGTGATGTCACCTCGGTGTTAAGACCACGTGGCGTCGTCAACAGCGCCGATGCAGCCGCCCACGGCGCCCAGACGGGGACTGCCAAAAAATCAGATGTGGAAACGGCTCTGGAACGAAGCACGCTGGGTCAGCAAGCGTATCTTCTGATCGGAATCCTGGATAAACTTGCAGCAGACTTGACGGGGAATGATACGAATTTCAACGACCTTGCATCCCAACTCAACGTCATCGGACGCTTGATGCCGCATTTAACCGTCGATCCGGCATTTACGGTCTTCAGCAGCCTGTTCAACCGGGTTAAAAATATCATCCAGCGGCTTGTTGACCTCACGTCGGGGCTACAGAGGGAGCAGTTTGAGGCAGCCAAGCAGTCCATAGCTAGCGAAGTTAACAATATCAAATCGCAGGTCGAACCGCTGATAAATGCGAGAAATCCCAAGACTGGTCCTGCGGCGCCCAGCGTAGACGGGCAGATCAGCGGAGCAGACGAGCTGGCTCAGGTAAGTTGTGTATTATTTGTATTATTGTAAAGTGATATTTGTTTATTAGTTATGGATCAGAAGAATTCTTATACCCGCGGTTATTAAAACGGTTTTAATTCAAGTATTAAATAGAGTAGATGTTATAAAAGTTTAACGCACAGCGGAAGAAATACTGAACTCGTTTAATATGGTGCTCGTTTAATTATGGTGCTGCTTAAGAATGCTTAGCTTCAATACAAAGCGATTTTAAATTAAAGCCTTTTTAAAAAATGAAGCGGATTATTGCTTCGTTCAGTGAAATTCCGCCTTGATCACGGATAGCGTGCCCAACCACATGCACATTCTTCGGTTGATGGTAATGGTGCCGTAGTTCGGGTTATCAATCGCAGGTACACGGCCCTTGTACAGTGTACAAAGGCAAGTAAGCACGTGCAACATCGTCGCAGTACCATATATGGGAGGCATCACATGTGTAAAGGTCAGGCGTGCCGCAAACCCGCACTCCGGATACGTACGTAATTACGCGATCGATGTACCTATGCTGTCGTGAATTTAAAAAAACTGGAGTGTATTTCCCTTCAGGTAAATTCGGAGATTGTAACTGCAGGATTTAATTCAATTTTTTCTAGATTAATGCGTTTAGATTCACAAAATTATGGGTGTTGAAAAATATTATTGTTATCAGGCTAACTCTTACCAACAATGGATGAGATATCATCAGCAGCGAGCCGATCAGAATTTCCAGGACCTTATGAAGAATCACGACATGCTAGCGGAGGTTATGGTTAAGATGGCGCGACTCAATGTGGACCGGATCGAGTTTGCCGAAATCCTGGCGATCATCCGTGAAAGTGTGGTCATACTGGGACAAATCCAGACCCACTGGAGCAAATTGACGGAATTCTTCGCCGCCATGGCCGTCCGCACGGAATTCGCTGCCAACCAGACCATTAATCCGTTTCTGCAGAATGTGCACGGTTTACTGCAAGAATCGAATACGACGATGGAAGATCGTGACCTGGTTATGCAGCTAATTCTGCAGCCGTTGGTGCGTGATATTCAGATGGCGGCGCACTTCATTCACGCTGTCAGCAAAACCTACGTCCAAGTGTCCTCAGCCTACATCATGGATCAGCTGGCCGGTATGGCCGGTCTGTCGGTCCTGCCAGCCGGGCAACGCCAATCGAAAATACAGGAGCTGCTGACAAAAAGCAAGGATGCCGAGCAGGCTATCTTCCAGATGGCACGCGAGAAACGCCTGGCGTATACTAATCAGGTCGCTTTGCTGGCTCAGGGGCAATGCTGAAACCGCTGCCTTTTATCAGACGTTGGGCTTGTGACCTTTACAAGCTATATTTTAGTCGTATCTTTTCCGGTCATCGGCTGAATTTTTTTAAAGCGCAGTTTGTGTTGCTAGTTTATTCTGCAGCGTGAATTTATGAGATAATTTTGACAAACGTTGCTGTTTCAGTTTTTTGGTTTTTAGAAAATGCAGTTTCTACTATAAAAATTAAAAATAAATAACGTATATCATAGTGTTTTGCCTTTGGGCGATAACAAGCAGTATGTACCGACTGAAATATAATGATCTTGACAAGGCCATCAAATTTTTCTTCGGTAGTGCTAACGAAAACTAAGATGAAGGCAGATGTCGAACCGATATTGTGATTCCAGTTTTTGTCGTCCGCCTTGAGTGAACCATGTCCCGTTCGAGAAGACAAGGGGGAGAACCATGTCTCGTTGCCAGGAGGAGAATCAGTTAAATTAAACTGATTTCCCGGTGACGCGATGCTGGACCGACGAATTTACAGCTTCGTTTATTCCGCAGAACAGGGATCGTAGTCGTATGAGCAGGTTGTTGATTGTAATTTATAATCTGTAGCCTATAACAAATCTTGCTCGATCTGGTCTTTCTTCCCCAGACAGGATTTAGAGGCACTAACGCGAATAGACGTGGCTGCGATTAGTAATGCACTCAGAAACCTAATTGTTCGGCATGCACTGCATTAACTTATCATGAGCGAGGGCAGCAACAGGACGAACAGGATGATACAGGATACACGAACAGATGCCCATTTTAAAAAAAAATTTTTCCGAGCGTTAATAAGCATTGAGGTGCATCAAAAGGAAATGCACAGTGCACACACACGAGACAATCTTCAATTAAACGCGATATGGTTGGTCGATAACAACGAAAGCGCCTGCTGCCCTGTGTTGGCGATGATGTTTGCAACTGGGAAGCGGAAAAATATGAAAGCGCAAGCTCGGAATGCGAGCATTGTTGACCTTTAGAAAATACCAACTTCTCGGCTGATCCACATTTCCTGCAAGCATTTCTGAAACGCCAAACTTTAAAGAGCATTCCCACTTAAATTACAAATAAATTATCAAGCTTAACATGTACAATATAGGTTTATATAGATGTATGTATTCAGATTCATTATTCAGATTCCGTCCCTTAATGCTACGTACCAGTTACATCAGAGCGAAGAATTAGAAAAGATTGCCCAAAACCAGTATTACAATCTGAAAGAAAAAACTCCCGGATAGGTATAGTAATCACTTGCTTCAAAGCACACATTCTGTTACCTGTGTCAGTAATCCGCGTTTTCCTATAGCTGCAGGGCAACCGCAGTACCTGCATTCCGGTTCTGAATAGACAGTGCAAAGTTACAGAAATTCCATAGTCGAATTTAATTCCATTGATTACATAACCACTTGTCAATTACTCTTTGTGCATCATTATGTAAAAACTGCCAAAGGCTACATAATCACTTTCGTTGTTGCTCGGAAAATGAAAGAGCACATAAATATATTGCTCATGACAACTTTCACACAAGGAAATAAGTCTCGCACACGAACACGCTCGTGAATTCCTCTTTATAGAAGTAAAACAACTAGATTTCGGCAAAAATGTTGAGAGCCGTGATTATGGTGTGCTTTGCCGCTATGGCGGCCGCCCAGCAGCAGTTTGTGTGGGATTTATTGAAGCCGGCGCAGTATGCGGCGCAAGTACAGGCGCTACTGGCCAACCGCGACGGCAACCAGTATCCTACCTACAGCGCCATTCCGCAGACCGGATTCAACTGTGCCAGTAAGAAACAGCCGGGATTCTATGCCGACACGGAAGCCCAGTGTCAGGTCTTTCACCGCTGCGACGTCAACGGCAACCAGACCAGTTATCTGTGCGTTAACAGCACCGTCTTCAATCAAGTGACTCTCGTCTGCGATTATTTCTTCAATGTCGACTGCCAAAAGTAAGATAAGCCTTTTCTGTTTATCTATAATAAAAATATTTTTTGCAATACTTTTTGTTAACCGGCTGGCTGCAAATAAATAAATTTTATTTCACAAGTATATCAAGCGCATTGTTTTTCCCCATAATCAGTTCTGCTTTTGCACGCATTTGCGCGTGTTTTATTTAGAGAATTATTACTACAAGAAACGGTTTATTTCAACAGGTTTGCTTCGTACGAGAATTTCGCTAACGCCCGGTTGTACACCGATCAGCCTCTCTTCGACACTCCGCCCAATGACTACGTACCACCTGGAGTGGGAGCCCCTCAAATTTTAGCTGCTCAGCCGGCTGCGCCCCGCACCGCTCCTAAAAAGGCCGCGGCGAGCGGAAAAAAGGGAATGACTGGGAAGATGACCTGATCTCTAGTAAGACATCCGAGCCAAAAAGAAGCAGTTGCAATTGGCTTTATAAGCCATAAAGAGCAGTTGCAATTGGACCGGGAAGGACATATTCAGGATTAATAAAACAACCAGTGCAGCGTTATTTATTGCTATTTTGATTGATAGTGCATGTAAAAGTACCGGTAATTACACTGCATTTCAAAATGATGTTTGCGCAGGAAAAATCTGTTTTTTTTTCGTCATCCGCGTCGTCAGCAAAAAGTATAGTTTCATCTGCTGTGGTAAAGATAGGTGTGGGCCGTGTGGCCAAACAAAAACTGAAAGAGCACTTACACATTGTAGTTACCACATACAAGATACGAGTACAATAACTACTGGCATAGTTGTACTTGCCCCAACGGAGCTGCACTTTATTGCATTTCCACGTGCGAATGCAGTTTCTGTAACGCGCGCCACCGGCAGCAAATTTCAAGCAGATCTTTTGGTACTTGTACAACATCGTGCAGTCCACCTGCCGTGGTTGCCATGCGTTCAGAAAAAAACCTCTGTAAAATTATTATGGTCGACAATGTCGCCTGTCGGAATTCCTTTGTAGCCCAGGCATTTCCGGCGGAAACTGAATTTGACGCAGCCGGTTAGTCCTGTTGGCACTTCATGTAGGTTCCCTGTCAGTTATGCAACGGTTCGGTTTTTCGGTTTATTACGTACTGATCACCTGTGGGCTGTGGCCACTGGTCTGCAGCTCATGTTGAATTTATGCGAACATTACTCGTATCGCAGATCCATTCGCTGTATTGGTTAAATATAGAAGTAGTGAGACCTTTACGTATTACTATTTTACATAACAACAGTACATCCATAAGCAATAACAGAACAATTACTCCCGTAGTTGTAAACGGTTGAAAAGTTGTTGAGATGAAAAGTGCCCAGCTGGAAGCGAACGGAATTGATACGCGATTTGTAAGTGTTTTTGCTCCACCCCGCGGCGACATGCGAACATCCACCTTTGCTCGTACTGGAACTTACAAGGAAATGTCGGAGAAGATTTTGTACCCTGAAATTTGACCGTCTAATGCATTCTTGCGGGAATGGTTTAGTGATCTATCCTGACCGTTTCCTTACTATCCTTCCTTTTCTACACAATGTACTGTGTATCCGTTAGCACCAAAATCCTGAATGTATCCCAGCCTTAGAATATCAGAATATCAGCGGGTTTTTTTGGGATCGCCACTGCCCGAGTCAAACCTTACGTGCCCTAGCTTTTTTGTGTGTGTCAGTATCTCTCTTTGTCTTCTTCATCCACATTGGTTGATTATAATTTCAAATTGCGTGGTTGTTAATTTTCACTCACACATCGTTTTGCTTATTTATTGACTATCTTGTTGTATCGTCCACTGCCATAGATGGGCATAGACGAAGACATTAAGCTCCAAATCATCATCCTCATTCATTCTGACTGCACTGATACTTACCATTAGCAGTTAGCACTAGTATCTACGCTGTACACGTGATCTGTTATACAGTGGACACGACCAGCGCCATGCTTGTTTATCAAAACAATGTATCAGCGTGGAACGCCGTGGACGTCCTCGTGGACGGACTGCTACAGTACGGCAAGGTGATCAGCGTGGCGGACGGCGGCCTAATTATTGATTTCGAATGCGCCTCACAGCGCTCGCAGTTCGCCCCGTACGAGCACATCTTCTACAGTAGCTCCTGGGGACCGCGCACAGAGAACATGCAGGTGCTGCTGCGCCCCCACCCCGACCGTCCCTGGATGTGGTATCCAGGGAAAGTCATCCCTCTCGGATTGCAGTACTATACTAACGCTGAATATGTGGAAGTGCAGCTACCATACGGTACTGTCAGGGAGCTGGTATCCGCCGCTCAAGTGCGCCCAACACCCACCAACAGGATGCTGCGGGAGCGACGCGTGGAAACAGGGGAGTTTGTTATCCGTGGCTGCCCGCTTCCCGCTACCTTTGGGGCAGATCGGACACCACTCCTGCTGGAGATCTTCATGCGCGAATTGAATCACCGACAGCAGGTCGTGTGCACGACGCTGCTCGGCCAGACGCTTCATTATCTGCAGTGTCGGACCGCCGTTCCTCTGGTAGCTGGTCAAGTGGTAAAATAATTACAGTATTAGCAACTCATATTGTACAATTAGACCTACGCTAATAAGACAGTTGTATACTGTGCAAGCCGGTCCGGATGATAAGCACGATTAAATACAGCGAAATATACAAACCCTCGATAGTCCATACTCGTACGCATTACGCCAAACGGTTTAAGGGAAGTGGCCCGGTACATGGTACCGAATTCGTGTCGTGAACATGCACCGAACCTTTCACTTTCGCGCACTCCCAAACACATTTTTGTTTCGGTTTATGGCATTCTGTAGCCAGATGACTTGTATACACTGGCGTGAAAACCGTTTGTGCGCGCAACATCCGGTTCGGGAGTTATGGCTGCTCGAAAATTCCAAAAAGTTTAAATGCACTCAGGTGTACCAAAAGTCTCATTATGGACCGATCTCCTTCAAATTTTGCACGTAAATGCACATAGCCATGAATATCATTTTTACACCGATCCAGATTTCCATGATTTTTTCAAATTTTAAAATGAATTTTAAAAATCTTAAAATTCATTTTAAAATTTCAAAAAAATCATGGAAATCTGGATCGGTGTAAAAACGATCTTCATGGTTATGTGCATTTACCTGCAAAATTTGAAGGAGATCGGTCCATAATGAGACTTTTGGTACACTTGAATGCATTTATTTATTTTTTTTTCGAACAGCCATAACTCCCGAACCGGATGCTGGGCGCGCAAACGGTTTTCAGGACAGTGTATACAACTCATTTGGCCACAGAATGTCATAAAACAAGAGGAAAAATGGTTTGGGAGTGCGCGAAAGAGATAGATTTCGTGCATGTACACGATTTGGTACCATGTACCGGGCCACTTCCCTTAAGCGCGTAACATTCATTTGGCTGGCGCATGTGCACGCCATATAAATGTTAATATTTTAATAAGCCAATAGTAATTGGCAGACGGAAGGTGGCTAGAAAACAGTCGGTACAGTAAAGAACAATCCAACCGCAGGGCGCATGTTAGCCTTGTGGTGAACGTAGTGTAGCGGCCATCGTGCTCAGCGCTAACATCGCGCGCCTTATATGGGCCAATGTCAAAACGACGGCGGAATTTTCAGCCGGCGGAATTTTTTTGTGGTCAAAACGCAGGCGGAAATTCGCTAGGTCAAACTGCCGGCGGAATTTTCGTAACTTTTTAATTTCATTTACTGTGCATATTTAAAAACAATTTTGCAAGAAAAATGTATCTTACATAGATTCGGGCGCCCCGTTATCAGTATAAGCCTCTTTATCGGGCCGCATATATGTATGTACAGTCTGTATGTACAGTATGTATGGGCGTTGTTGCGCCGGGAGTTTGCACAGAACACGCGAACAAGTTCAAGAGAATACCTGAGCCGCGCAAACGAGACAAACAAGGTGTTCGACAATGGCACTGCGGCGATGACATTGAGGTGTGATCTAGTCTGATCCCTGTGGAGCCTTTCCTGGGAAGACTCACAACTTTTCTGAATATAGACTGGCACAGCCAACCCAGAGTCGGTCCCAGACGAAGAACCTCTACGCACAGAGATCTCGTGGTCAAACTGCCGGCGAATTAGCTGATTGGTGTTCGAGCATGTACGTATGTTCTTTCATGGCTGTTATTCAGCTGGGTAGAATAAAGTCTGTCGCTTTAGTATTTCGGGCAGAGGGATTGCTTCTTGTTTTTTTTTGCTGCAAAAAGATACGATATTCTGCCATTCTGGTCACCGCGTTCGGGCCAGAAACTGGAGAGCGGGATCGGAGCGCCGCACATTTAATTTTCGTGAAATCCTCCACCAGCTATCTCGAAAATGAATTTCCCACCAACGCTCCAAGAACGAATCCGACTCAAGCTTGCTTCTACTGTAGAAGGATTATACATACCTTAGCAACATTGAACACCTAAATCAGCATGTTTTGTTGCAGCCTGTCATGCAGCAAAAAAATTTCAGCAAAACTGATCAAAAATTGAACAAAAAGCCGAAATTTTTTCGAAAAGTGAATCGAGTGTATTGCTTTCCCATTGCGTGCACCATGGAAACTGCATTTTTTTGTTGATAATATCTGTATAGATCGTTTTCTACAAGAAACTGAAATATCACATAAGGGTAATAAACGACACAAAATTTTGTAGTTCAAAAGCTGGGCGATAATACATTACCGCACGATTTCAGTTAGCACAGTTTTTCTCACAAGTTTTCCAAAAAAAATTTTTCGCTTTCAGTAGCCAATAAAATTTGTGATCGAACCAATCTAAAAACGTTGTTGTACGACAATTGGTTCACGGGCAGCAAAACAAAAACTGAGATCACCGCCATTTTGTTGGGCCATCCGGTACATAGAATGTCCAACCTGTATTTACTGCATGAATTAGTTTACCAATAAGTTGGTTTTGTATCAACCTGTGATTTCCGTAAAAAATGCATGTTCGGGAAATTCCGTCGGCAGTTTGACCAAGAGAATTTCCGCCGGCGTTTTGACCACACAAAATTTCCGCCGGCGAAAAATTCCGCCGTCGTTTTGACAACAAAAAATTTCCGCCGGCAGAAAATTTCGCCGTCGTTTTGACATTGGCCCATTATAGGCATTCGATGTAACGATAAGTACCTTTGGCTTTACCTGTCCAATCTCCGGACTGGCTTGTACAGTAATACTGGACGTTCAATTTGAAAATGTCGCTGCAGTACAGCGTTGCACTGTATCCGGGTGCGGCTGCAATGTAGCCCAAGCATGCATCTTTGGAGAAAAGGGCGGTTGGTATGTAGACAGAGTGCTATTTCCCTTGGCTGTGTACTGTAGTAAACTAAGTGTGAGTACTGTAGTAAACTATGCGTGAATGATTTACCGTACTTTGCACAGAATGTTTATTATTATTATTATTTTTATTACATCAAGAGCAGACAACCCGATAAACGGGACTTCAACGTCTGGTCGGTACAAAAGTAAACAACGTCAGCATATACAGATCAACCATTCGGAGAGCAAACTTGAAAAAACCCACACCATCAACACTGAGTATCTGCATATTAACTTTTTGTATGCGCTCAAAAATGTCCTTTAAACGCATAGCCAACGTGCCTTCTCCGATCTCCTTCTTCGCTGAGGCTTCGATTCTCTTTGGCTTACGAAGATTATACCGCGCTGTGATATCCGTGAAGTCAATCATTTCGACCATGTACTGCGGAGGACGGTACGCTTCGTGGTTGTAGATCTTGTACAACCATACTGCTTCGGACTGCTTCCAACGGTCGTACACCGGCAGGATGCACAGTTTCTGATACAGCTCGGGTGTAACCCGCTCCTTGTAATCAGAAATCGCCCGCAGTGCTTTCCGCTGTGCTTTAGCCAGTTTGCCGCGCAAAGCCAAAGATGCCGGTGACCACGTATCCGACCCGTAGTCGAAGTGTGGCTGCACACAAGTTCTGTCTGTCGCCTGATTAATGCATTGCTGAACATGTAAACCGAGCCGTTTTCGAAACAACTAGCCTAATAAAGCTATCGCAAAGTACGGCTGTGTTTTTCAATAAAACTGCAAATTGGCCGTATTCTTGATTGGCTGCAGCCGAATCAGTATGTCATGTGGGTGCTTGCAGGAAGCCGCTTACACTAGGACGCGGACGGACAGCGAAGGTGGCTGGTTAGCATGGCTCTCACGCCCATCGCGACTGCTACTTAGAGCCCTGCACGAGCAGCAAAAGTGTTGCTCAACTCGCTCGTTTCTGCGTTTTTAAACTTCCTGCTCGCTCAGCTCGCTCGCGCCCAAACCGCCGCTCGCTCAACTCGCTTGTTTTCCAATTTTCTTTGCTTCCGCTCGCTCAACTCGCTCGTAATTTTATTTTGGCAAATCGGCTCGCTCGTGAGATCGGCAAAAATTTACGTATCAATTTTTTTGCACGAATTAGTTATACCAAACGGTTCACCAACACAAAAATTCAGTAAGTGTAACTGGATGTTCAGAGACAATTACTTATATCTCCATACTGGTAGTCGTTTCATTACAGTTTTTCATTTTTTCGCTAATACATTTCTCTAATTTTCAACTGGATGTAGTTTTCTTAATTTAGCCTGAAATAAATGCATATAATGGAACGCTAAAAAATTAAAATGCACCTTTCTTAGGAAGCATTCAACTGATTCATAAACCCGTCAAATAATGCTTTTGTTATCTACGAGTACAAAATATCAAAAGTTAGTCTGGAGTCCCAACCGGTCTAGGAAAGTTAGAAATCACTTCGCGCGAAGCGCGAAGGTGACGGTGGTTTAAGACCTTTTTCAGGTCGGTCAATGTAATTTTGTACTAGAAACTTCTCCAGTTCGCAGAATATCAGCCTGTAGGCTCGCGATCGCTCGCACCTGACCATCCCGCTCGTTCGGCTCGCTCGCAATTTTTTTTCTATTGCTCAGCTCGTTCGCAAATTCGCAAAACGACGCCTGCTCGCTCGAAGTGCTCGCGAGCGCCGAGCGCTCGTGAGCCGAGCCGAGCGGCTCGGCTCGTGCAGGGCTCTACGGCTGAGTGCTACTCCGTCAAAGAGGAATTATCAATCACAGCATACAAACGGCTGCGGAGAGCAGCGATGGTGATGGTAATGCGAGCTTGGCGTTGCCAGTTGAGCTGCTGGTGGAGATCTTCCAGACACTCGATTCGATCGGGCGCGTCCGTTGCCGGCGGGTGTGTACAGTGTGGAACAGCCTCCTGACAACCCCTGCGTACTTCCCCGATGTGCGCGTTTCCGGTGGGCACGCCGAATACGACACGGAGTCGGGCGGCATGTACTGGTTGGTTGCATCTTTACTGCATCTTGCATCTTTCAAATGCCCCAGCCGGGCCACCCAGCTGGTCATTCTGGCCCATGTAGATTGGTACAGCCGCGAGATGGACTTGTCTGCACTGATCCATGGTGTTCGGAGCGTGTCCACCATGGCGTTAGGGCTAGTGCTTTACAAGGCGGATTTCGGTGGGAGAATGGATCTGATGGCAGAGATAACACAGCTCATGGCGGCGTTGGTCCGGGAATTTTCGTCAACGTATGGAAAGATTGTGTGGAAACACTGCCGTGTCCATGCTGACAGGCTACAGGCTGTAATGGAGCACTCGTTCAGTATCGCGTTGATGAAGCGGGACATGCAGGAGATTACGGCGGAGATGTGGGATATTTTCGAAAGCAGTCTAATTCTCAAAAACCGCTGGATCGGCCGGCATTGTCACGGTGGATTGCAGATCGCGTGGCGCACTCTGCAATGCAAGACGTGGAATTGATTTTCCAGGTAATAGAAGTTTGCTCTTTTTCTCTGCTGCAATGTCAGTACTCAATAAGATCAGCCGGATGACGGGCACTGGCTATATTAAACGATGCGTATCTCAACGGGATTTGCTTATTCAGCGCTTTCAGGGAGTAAATGACTGTTCAGGTTGGAAAAGGATGAAAGGTCACCAGTTAGCTATGAATACGATTACCAGAATCGAGAAATACCAGTTCACTTCATGCGGCCGGATCGCAAGCATTATTTTTTAGAACGTCCCGTACAAACAAAAAATGAATGAAAACAGAAATTAGGTTTGAAATAAAGTGGGTAGCTTCCGATAAATGACCGCAGTTAGGCTGCGCTCACGGAAAGCTTAATTGTCAGAACCGATAGTTACAGCCCTGTGAACCGCTTAGACAACATTCATTCGCTTTACTACAACTTGTATGTCAGGAACTGTCCAACTGCCAGAGTGTGGACCCCCGCCAATCCACGCATTACCGCAATCAGCAGTGGACATTGTCCAGTATAGGCGCTCTGGATGTCAACAGATTGACCACACTCACAGTGGCGGCATTGAGCGAAAAAATGGATCCAGTCTCTCGGGGACAGCCATCAGCATCAACTGCGTACATCATCAGCACTCTTTTGCAATCGGCGTTGTTGGTAGAGTCGTAGACTCTGTTAGTTTGGCTCGTGCAGGCATCAAGGACCCTTTGAAATTGCCGTTGCCTACGAAAACAGCGTGGTTTCTGTTTTGATTCGTTGCGGCTCTGTTTCGTCAATAACTATGGGCAATGTCGGGATGCTAAAAAGTAAGCGCTTCGTTTTTAGTCTGTACCGCGCCAATCAGCGCTTTTCTTTTCGAACCCAGCTCCGGCGATTTATGCGCATTGGTTGTGCTCCTTTTTAATTTTGTGGATTTTGATAGTAAGATAGTAATTTTGATAGTAATTTCTAACCGCGTTCTGACTAGCTCAATTTGCACTTTTTGAGATCTACCTACACTGTACGTTTGCCGTAGTGCAGTACAGCTGTATGTGTGCATTAATTTACAATCAAATCCATTACTCAGTTAATTAAGCCGCCTGAGGGCACTCTCAGGTAGCAGTGGCACTGATACAGTAGCTTTATTTATGCATACTCATGGTTAACGTGGAAATCACAAGGTGCAGTTATAATTTATGCGACACCAACGTCGCCATATCCGTTACATCGCCAATCGGTATACTTAACACATTCAGGTAAATAACAAAAGAGAGGAAACAACAAAACACACCGAACATCATCGTCGTTAATTCACCTGGCCGAACGCGCCAGCCTGTCCCCAGAAATTGGTCCCGTGACGGCCGCCGGTCCCGGTGCTGGCCGCGAACTGGTTGGCCTTGTTGAAGGAGCTGGCCATGGCCGGCTGGCCGGGACGGTCGTTCTTCAGGGCGATATTGACGCCGGTCTGGGTGCCGACACTCTTCGGTCCCGACTGGCCGCCCTGCGCGAACGACTGCCCGATGTCGCCGGCGTTGGTGCCGAAGTTGGCCACGTTGTCAAAGGTGTCGGTGTTGGTGCCCAGCGGGCCTTTAATGGTGATGGCGCTGGACAGGCCTTGGGAGTTCTTCAGGGAGGGGTTGTTGCCCATCGTGGCCAGGACGTTGTTGCTAATGGACTGGGAGGAGGAGACGCCCGTATCACGGTTAACGGTCACGGTTGGCTTTTTGATTCCACTGGCGATCCCGGCTTCAATGGGATTCACATTGCCTGCTGTAATCAGCAGTAATTTCTTAACTTGCGCTCTGTTATTTTATGTCAGTAAACTTGACGCAATTAATGACGTACGTATTTAAATTTGAGCCTTTTATGACAAAATACTTGAAAGTATTTTAGAAAATTAACTATTAAGCGTATTAAAATAAAATACATAAAAGTTATGTTACTTCCATGCGCCCCGAAAGCTAGCATAATTTATTGTGCGCCCCAAATGTCCGGTAGGACCAGTAAAAAATAAAATCAAAGATCGGTGTACTGAGATGGGACCAAAACTATAGAAAATCGCAGGGCTCTCAGTACTTTTATAACATCAGTTATAAAAGAAAAGTATTGTATTTTATATTGCATTATTTACAGATACAATATTGAAACTGCTTAATAAAAAAGCACACGCGTCATTTTGACGCGCACTGCGCAAACAAGCGCTTCCCTGTTCGAACCCGGTGCTGGCAGTTTCTGCGCACTGGATGTATTCCTGTTGCACACTGTTTGTTGATTTTATTATTAAATTTTCGCTCCGTTGCCCGACTAGGCGATTTCCCGTATTTCTGTCCTACGTTGGATGGGCGTGCTGCATATATATATAATACAGTACAAATTTAATAATATTATTCTTATTATTAAAATATTTACAGCCAGATTTAAGTCCCAAGCTACCGGAAAATGGGCTAGCGGCTCTGATTCGAATTAGTAAATATATATTGCTAAAAACACTATTAATTTTCAGTATTAAATTGCTAATATTCCGAATAATAATTGCAATGCCAAGAGATATACTCAAATGCGACAAACAACTTACCGCCCCAAACAAATGAGGGAAAGGAGCTGCATAGACCGACAGCGGTCAGAGCGATAAAGACAGATAGATACATGGCTGTATAGTTAAACGACCGAAAAAGCTGACCACTGCAAAATTCACTCGGGATCAAAGGAAGCAGAATTGAATACGTAATCTACTGTGCAGCAACGCGCTTTATTATGGCAAGAACATCAAGTGTCTGTTTTTTTACTGCACAACACACGGCCCGGTAGAGCGAAATTCTCGACGCAGACGGAACTGACTTTCCAGTCAACCTGTCCATTAATTCAGAGGAAACCCCGCTAATGAGCCGCAACATGTCCCGCGGGCACATGTTGCGCATGCTAATCGAATCCGGTTTACACTGAACCGTCCGCTGATTATTATTACCGACAGGAAACGCTCAGCGGTGTTTCAGCTTAATAATGTTATTACCGATGCTTAATCAGAAAGCAACGCTTCGCTGATTGTTTGCAGTTTTTGTTGATGACAATGGTGTGTAGAAACGAGAAGCGAGAAAGTGTTGCAGAGAAATTAATGACTAGGTTGTACATCGTACTGTACGCGTACATAATCAGCGTTCATGTGCGGTAAAAAAGCAGTACAATAATAAAGCGAAATGCGGTATAAGAAATGCACGGTAAAAGCCGGCTGCCGCGTAAATATGAGAAACTGTTGTCGTTGTCACGTGCTGCGCTGTGTCGCTAGGACGTTTAACGCCATTCGTTGCCGAAGAAAGCCTTGAATTCGAACGGCTCCGCCCCGTCGATGACGCGTGTGATGGGCGTGTTGGGAGAATATTTTTCTTGTTTAAGGAATTCCTGCAATAAAAATCAATAAGGATAAGAATACAAATGTAAATAATATTGTTGGAACAAAATTTAAATTTTAATATGGAAAATAAATGATAACAATTTATAAATAACAATCTATAAAAAAACATAAATTTTGAAATTTCAAACAAATGCAGAAGTACTAATTTGGAAAAAATTAATAATATAAATTTATAAAAAAAATACCAGGCAAATCAAATAACTAAAAATCCCCGTGTTAGAAATACGGTATAAAATATGATAAATGCACAAATAATAAATAAAATTTGGTTCTTTTGTAGTTGCATGTTTCAGTTTCGAATTAATTCACAGTGATTACGTGCCTGTGCCCAGTTCATGGATGATTCGCGTTCGCGGTCGGTGGCGCCCTTGCCCACCCACACCCAGATGCCGCCGACGCCCTTACCGGCATCCAGAATAAAGCAATCCTGTTCAGAAGAATATGAACGCTTTTAATTTTCTTAATTACGTCGATCGGTAAGCTCAAGAAAAATAGCACCAGTGGTGCCGCACCACTCACACTGGAGTTCAGATCGGTTTTGAGGGGTTTCTCGGCTTTCAGTTGCTTGATCTCCACCTTGCCGCTGGCGTCGGTGACCCTGTATCAGTCTCAGTTAAGCTTTCTATTGCTGCACTAAAAACTGATAAAGCCTCCACAAACGTGCTTGAAAAGGCGCTGTAATTTTCCGGACGTTTCCTCTGACCATTTCTCATCCTGCATGAACTCCTTGTGGGCCTTCAGTTTCTTCTTGTTCAGCGGTAAGAATTTCTCGAACAGCTTCATCACAAAGAGAATCAGAAACGGTTGACATGGGATAGTTTCTTCAACGTAAGGTACCTCAAGAGTTTTTCCCGTCAGCTGTTCTATTTCTTTACCGTCATCTATAAAAAAAATTACAAATATTGAAGTTCAGAAATAACTGCATAAAACGTCACAAATTAGGAAAAAAAGGAGCGGCGTACCGACACGGACCACCGCCTCGCCCGGCTGGTCCTTGAAGAGCTGCGCGATGTTGGTGGCCTCGAAGGCCTCCTTGCGGTTGGCGTTCTTGCCGATGTAAATGAAGATGCGCTCGCCGGCGTCCAGGACGAACGCGTCACCGTCGTTCATGCGCTCCCAGGTGATCTCGCGAATCTAAACGGTATTGGCATGATATTGACCTTTACGATCTTGTGATAAGGATGAGGCATACTTCGCGAGCAATGGGTGTCTTGGCGCCCTTAATTATGAAGAGCCGCGGACGGAATCCGTCGTCGGCCACTTTCAGACCTGTGGCCACGCCTCCTTTGAGATACCTGCCACCCGATAAAATTAGTAGACGTCAGCATATATTAAAGGTCGCAATGTTAATGCTATTACTGCAAAACGGTTCCTACGGTTTCCTAATTAGATTTCTTAGGTTTTTTTAGACTCCTTAATTAAATTTTCTTTCGCTTGGTTGACACGCTCAGTGTAATGCGACACACGTGCGTAAAGGTCAACACTGATTTTACCGAATGCCCTTGGGGAAGTAGCTGATAAAGCGCAGCGACTCAAAACCCTGCACTTCTCGGTGCTGCACCGGCATGTCGCCGAAGGCCATGTCCAGCTCCACCGTCTTGTACGCCGCCGTTGCTCGCTCGTCCTGCAGCGTTACTGTTAGCTGTCATGTCTTAATATCAACTTCACCGTGCTCGCTCGGTGCGCTGCATACGAGCTTCGTACCACTGAACAGTTTTCGCCCAACCTGTAAACAGAATTAATGGTCATACAACGAACACGCTTTGGGACATCACAGGTTTGTTAAATTTAATTTCGAGGTGCTCACCAGAAGTGAATGTGGATCTCCGCGGTCCGTTGGAATTTGGCGGGCTGCAATAACAAGAAAGAGTTGACGGTTTGTTTATAGAAAAAAATGCTCTATTTGACTTTTTTTCGTTGCCGGTTAATTAACGGTTGGATGCTTTGTGATGAAACAGCTAGTTTTTAAATTGCATAAGGCACATAAAGAGTGCTTGCAACTACTTCATTTTGGACGAGTTTGGCGTTCGATTGTGATTAAACGACTGTCGCAGCAAGGCACGAGTGCGGACGCGGCCAATCCTGCCTGATCGAATCACCACCGGATGCATGACAATTCGAAACAAACGACTGACGAGAACTTCCTTGCACCGGCATTTCCCGGAAAGCGTGAGCCGCCGAAAGGGCACCTTTTCTGTTGGAAACGGTTTGTCAGTCATGCATCCCCGCAACATGACGAAATATGAGTGCGGACGGGCCAATTTTAGCTCGTAGACACAACATGCGTGCAGTGGTGACTGGTGAGCAGGGAAACTGCGGACAGGATGCGGGGCCTGCGATAACTCATGCAGGCAGCATCCGTTGCGCTCCGTCATGTCGTCGTGGGCGCTGATTAATGGGCCAGACGCTGCAGCGCGGCAGGACGTTAATTTTCGCTTGGTAAAAACGACGATAAGCAGAGCACGGATTTAAAAATACCATTTTCAGCACACACGATGTCGTCCATACCAAAGCCAGCTTTTTATATGCACAGAAGAAACTGTATCTACGACTAGGCGACAAGAAAATTTCTGCGGCCATTAATAAGCTTAATTAATCTACGTTGTAATTTATTTATGTAAAAAAATTATGGTGCTGGTTTTATTTGTATGGAAGCACTATTTTTTATTTATATTTGTCAGGCTTTTATTTATAAGAATGTACCCAATTTTATCTACTTTAGCACAATATTATGTTGTATTAATACAGTTTTATTCTTCGGAAATAACTAAAATAACTAAAATTACAAATAAAAATACAGTATAAATAAAATATTTTATTTATAAATAAAGTTTATTACTTTTTTGGCGTTTATAGCGCGCTGACGAAGGCAACATTTTGTAGGGCATGCGATCGTATGTGTGCTGATATGGATGCGATGTAAACATTTGGCTAGCAGTGTGTACATTTCCGCTCATCGTTTGCACATGCTAAAAATATCATTATGCCAATCAATAACTCATATTCACATTCTCCGCCACAGTTATCCTCTCCGGCCCCTCCATGTTTCGGCATTCCATTAGCACGTACAGTACATGCCATCAATATCGGTTATGTTATTACCCACGACCAAAATGCCGGCAACGTGACTGACCCGTCGTTAATTAAATTTAAAGAGAAACCAAATTCCTTCCATATTACAGCCTCTACTTTTACATGCTTCTTTATTTGCAGCTTACTTAACTTGCTTACTAAATCTTTACCAAAATCGTAATTAACATTTTGCCGAGTTTGACAATAAATAAGATTGCTAGAATTTCATACTTTATCATATGTTTTAAATCGGCAAAGGCCGGCGTAATTATACTGTAAGTACGCCTGCGCAAAGGTGCTCTAATCTAATTGTAAATGAGGATATTAAACACTGTACCTTGATGTTCATTCCACCTTGCTCGCGTGAGTTGGTTGCCTGTACGATCAAACTGTTTACCGATTTAACAGGTGCTGTGTACATATAGCCACACTTTTCCGTTTACCGAGAAAACGATGTACGCATCCCCGGCATAGAAATCCCCGTATTTCTCCCGTGGAAGCGGCACCACCGCCAATTTCTATAACGAACATAATCACCATATCACAACTGTTTTTCTTCATGTCAAATAAAATAGCAGTTAAAAACTTGCAAACACATGTAGCAAAATCGAAAAGCGTAAAATATTTTCATCAATGCGACAAGAAAATTAATTAGTGCGAATGAGTGGTTTACCTCGACCCGCCAGATGTAGAAGCCGGTCATATCCTTGGGAATTTTGGCGAATTCCGGGTCGATCTTCGTATCACGCTCGCGGTTGCTCATAGTGCCGGTTTAGTTAGAAAAAAAATGAAACTAAATTTACAATTAAGTTGGATAAAATGTTGGTTTAACAAAATCGCGAAGGTCGGACGAAACACGGTTCAGTAGAAACAGCGTGCAGCGGAATTGGCTGCCTGGGTGGTGTGAGGAATGAATAACTGTGTAAATGTCAAGTGGATTAGCTTTCCCAAGATCCGATTTCCACTGCTTCCGAATACTCCGCTTGTATGCACCGTGAACGTGTTAGTCAGCCGGTGCATCATCTGCCGCAGCGGAAGCAAACCGAACTCTGTACTTGCTTACGTTGGTTATATGGCGCGAATGTGCAGCCATTAGCGGCACCACCGGGGAACCGGCCCCACCCCCGGGTACACACGGCCTGCGACCCCGGGACGCAGTCGCGTTTAACAAGGCCGCTTTTGTTGACATGGCATTCAGCGCACGGCGCGAGTGCTGATTGATGGCAGGCAAAGTCCGCGACTAATTTTAGGCTGGTGCGGATTAGCCGGGCCGCTGAATGGTAATGGCATTTTATGGCGGTGAAGGGTATATAGGCATAATTCGGCAATTATGCCGGAAAAGTGCCGGGATTATGGCCGATGGATTTATGGGCCGGAATAACGCCTGATCAAGTTCCGTGCCTGGATTACTTTACACAATGCAACACGTTGGAAAAAACTAACGTTAAATACATCGTTACTTATATATTCACTGTGATACAGATATATTTTTCGTATATATAGGGGGAAAAATGTGTCTAGCCGAACCAATCCCTTGTATTTCTGATGTAAGCCAGCTGGTGGTTTACGTTGTGGCTTGACAGTGTTTTATGTAAAGCGCTGCCATTAAGATTGCAGGTACTGATAACAGGTAAGCAGCACTCGTACAACTGCAGGTAAACAGGCTAAAACTGTGTTATAGCCCGGACCTGCCTGGTGCAGCTAATACCACATGTACCGTCAATGCCGCACAGCCTGAATAGCAGCGCTTTACATAAAACGCTGTGCAGCCACAACGTAAACCACCAGCTGGCTTACATCAGAAGTACAAGGGACTGGTTCGGCTAGACACATTTTTCCCCTTATATACGCAAATTTTCATATATAGGAGTATACAAGAAAAAATCTACATAAGTACGGTGTGCCAAGTATTGTACTGTGTTTGAAATGCACTGTGTTTGTTTGTTTGTATGTGCCTTAAGTCGAAACGGCACTTTTTTACAAGTATGTTAAAGAAAGTTATCGGAGGGTCAACTATGGAAATGCGGCTAGAGCGTCTTCTGGATAAAATTCTTGCTGTTAATCTTAAAATTCTCGAAGCTAGTTCTGTACCTTATTTTAAATTTATACTCAGATCTGTTAATCTCTCCTAAATGTTTTTTTTTTAACATTAACAGAAAATTATTTTGTTCGACCAGACCTGAAGTCCCTTCGGGGTTGTCTGCTCTTGTGCTGTAATAATAATAATAATAATGTGTCTGTACGCTGAGCCGCTGTGGCTGTGTAATCAGTGTAAAACAATAATTATTAGAATTTTACTTTTTGAGAAAACCTGGGCTGGGTTGTACCGCCAGTCTAAACGAAAGGTTTTACACATATGTCGAGCGCAGTCTGTCCGAGAAAATACTGTTACGCAATGCCAGTTAACAATTTAAAAGAATTTTAATTTTATCAGCAAATACTTCCACTCACCTGGTGGGATGTCTGCACCCAGATGTAGTTTGACTACCCTAGGAGTAATGTATCGAAATATTGTATACGCTCCACGACTGGCCTTTTCCAGTGTCGGTTAGTTAACGTACAGACGTCTACAGTATCGTTCATGAATAATATTTCTAATTACAATTGTTGCTTCTTGTTTCCTGCTTTCTTTCCGGATGATTACCGCTTCTAGTTTTTTTTCCAAAATCGATACTCGATAGAAACCGGATTGTAATTAGCATGAAAAACGCTGATAAAAAAATATGTCTCATCGGAGCTGGTGTTTTGCATCGAATGTTGGCCATAATTCTTTGCGCAGTGGCAACAAAACCGCGCTGTAGCGTCAATAATTATTTATTTTTGCCAACTTTACCGACGGTATCAAAATTTCGATACTCTACTTACCGCGTTCGTTTCTACAATGCCGTGTTCTATCCTCTTCGTCGGGTTTATTGTGGCCATTGCCGGTTGGAGCAGCTGCTGGGCCGACTTTCCCAACTGGGGGCAGAGTGAGTGCCTTGCTGTAATTCGGTGTACAAATTGCCTTATTAAATCTGTGATAAATGGTGATTATATTTTACTAGAAGAACGGATATTCTCCTACTGTATTTCAAAACATGGTCCACTTTTTTATTTGATTTTTTATATTTGGTTTTAAATTACCAAAGCCGGGTATCAAAGGAAGGTGAATTTAAGTCTGAAAATTGGTATTTCCGAACAGATCTGTGCACTTAGTTTTAACTAATTATTTTGGCGCGAGTTATTTTCGAGTTATCGAGTTAAACACATAACTTTGTAGCGTAACTTGAAAACACGTAATTAACGTGACTCTAGCGTAACTCGCACAAATCTGCATATAATGGTAGCGTAACTAGCGGTATATAACCCGAAACTCCGTTTACTTGCATGAATAGTGTAACTCGCAGGCTCCCTGTAACTCGTAACTTTGACGGTGGGTAAATTTTCCGTAACTGCACAGGTCGTTTTCCTAGAATAAAACAATAAACCTGTTAATGCGCATGTCATATCGCAGATAACGCCTTCAATGGTGGCGCAAACGGCGGCATGTCTAACTGGCAGCCGCTGTCGCCTAACATCATGGACGACCGGCTGCGGAATAATCCCTGGCTAAACAAGGCCCAAGGTAGCCGCCAGACACCGGCTATTCACGGCGCTCCACCGGCTGCCCACAGCGCTCCTTCTGCTGCTTCCAACCGGCCGCCACAGTGCCCGGTCTGCCACTGTCCCGCCTCCAACGCCGGCACTGGCACCAACGCCAAGAGCGCTGCTGTCAAGCCGCCGGCGAAGAAAGACAATCCCCGCCCATCGGCCACGCCCGCTCCCGTCAAAAAGAACAACCAGGCAGCCGGCAACAAAGGCAAGGGCAAGGCCTAAGCAAACGCTGTCCAGCTTGGAGCCTGGTCAATTTAACCGTTACTGTAGGCTGTTGTCATTGGTGCAATATTTTGAGAGCGTTGGAAATTTTAAGGCTTTATCTGGTGATTTCAAAATGCTGGGGTGTTTAAGCGTTTAATGGCTCACTAACAAATTAAAATGCAAACAAGCTTATCCAGGTTATCCTCCGGTGGTCTTGAAACTTTGCCGTAAAAGGCGAATAACACCAAGGACTGCGTTAAGTAAGGTGCGGTTACTGCGGTTACTCCACTCCAGCACTTAAGATATGCCGCCAGATTTATCAGCTGTTGATTCTCGTTTTCCGACAATATTACGGTTCACCATGGTCACATGGTGTATCGCTTTTTGCATCATAAACCTTAACACAGACATGTTTACCACCACAGACATAATTACATTCGACTGCTAAGAGCCAAGAGGCATGCTGCACGTCTGCACCAACGCATCGGGAATGCCGAAGGCATTTGCTTTCGCGTACCGGTTTCCGTGTCTAGACCAATACAGTAACCTGTTATAACACACTCTATAATTCCCACCTAAAACATATACACCTTCATCAACCACAGCCAATGTCAATGCAGATCATGATTTCTGCAAATTTTCTAAAGAAGTCCAGACGTATGTTAGCGTATTGAAACGATGCTCTTAGAGCATCTCAATTGGAACTGATTTTCACCGCTTCGAGGGAGCTTGCGTTTGTTCGGGTGGGAAAAAGATGCGAGGTCACGAAGCAGCTACGATTACGATTACCAGAAGCGAGCAACACCCGATCATTGTGCAGCCAGGTCGCTGGTGTAATTTTTATTAGAACGTCCCGTGCGAGCGAAAGAAGAAAGAAAACTAAATCTAATTTAGAAATGGAATGGGCAACTTCAACTTATTTAAAGATTCGGGTTCATCCGGGTTTCAATCCCTTTAGGTAATCATGCACTACTCGCGTAATACGTGTGGTGCACTGGATCATTATCCGAGGCGTAACGTGGCAGAGCTGTATGCGAATATGATACTTTCGTATTATCTTTAGTGTGGATCGCTGGCACTGAACCACACTACACCTGGATTCAAGGACGATGGCCTAGTTGTGACAAATAGGCCGTCTCCAACGGTGACAGCCAACTGTCCGTCAGACGCAGGCCACTGCGTCGTTGTGCCAGATCCAGCAGTTGATAGGAACGGTAACTGCGTGTGACGTTGGCAATAGGCACGAACTTAACGTTTCCTCTTTCACGCTCCCAAGGGTCGGTAGTATAATTTCCACAGGTCAGCGCGTCGGGCAGTACATAGAGATAGTTCATGCCTGGCTCCGGGTAGGCTAGACGCGTTGGCTGCTGATACCACGCCCACACACTGCTCATGCTAGCGCAGTCGCACTCCCCATCGTGCAAACACAACGGATTGTATCCCAGTCGCAGGTATGGTCGCCCGTCCGGTGCAGATATACTTGCCAGAAGGTCATCGCTGATACTCGTCAGCTGGTTGTCATCAAGATACAATGTCTCCAGACGGGACAGGGCAAAGTAGCGGCTAAAAAAAATTTCGCGGATTCCGTCGTTCTCCAGAGAAATATGCTGAAAAAAAAATAAACACCTTTAGTTCCCTGGCTTTATAGACAAATGTCTGCATTTTCTGTTGACACGAAACGGGTACCCTAGAGTGCGGCAGGGGACAGTTTTAGGCATAGAAATCGCAGAGGCCCGGCAAAGTAATTTGGTACTTCCACCCGGGCCAAACTGAACTGTTCAAAACATTTAGTAAACAATTAAAACCTTACAGTGAAGTAAAAAAAGAAAATTTTCGAAAGCTTCTCAAACCTTTGATGTGACAGGTTTGGGTAAACATTGAAAAACCATTTGTCTCTAGAGTGACAAGCGCGTAGTCATGCTCCGAAGTAAATCGTACCGTTAAGCTGACAGCCACTGGCTTCCATATTGACCAATCCACGTGCGAAATGCTGTTTTCGGCGATCCAGACGCGACTTAGCTGCGGCATGCGTCCCGGCAGCGGATTTAATGCGCCAAAAGCGTCAACGGCGATGTTCGCCATGCGGTTGCGCTGTAAGTTAAGAATCTGCAGCCGTTCGAAACCGGCTAAGGTGTCGCGTGTCAGTACCGGCAAATAAATATCATACAGGTCCAGCATGGTTAATCTGCCTTTGACGTTACTCAAAAAGCGGTTAACGGGGAACGGTTGATCATCTGGGGCCACCCAGATGCTGAACAGCCGAACGGTGTGCAAACGCGGCCGGGACGGAAGCGGCAGGAAAGTGCTAAGTAAACAGCTGCGATCGCATTGCTTCTTATCCGCCATATCTCCAATGGACAAATCCGTAATGTTGTCGGCGATCTGACTGACATTGTAGCTGGACGCTGTGGCGCAGCTGCAGGACGTTAACGCGGAGTCGGCGCTGCAGGCCGGCAGAACGTAACTGGAACAAGCATCACGAGAACTGGAGCAGCCGTAGCAGCCCTCAGCAAAAGCCAACGCGATGTCCACATTAGAAAACGCAGCGTACACTGCTAGTGTTAGCAACTGGAAACCATACATTGTAATGGGAGTGACGTTGACAGTTAGTCTCTACAGCGCGTCTACTGATAATCGCAATACGGATGCGGCAACGCGAACATGCAGCGCTGAGCATGCCTGATGATGCGGAAGTTAGCCGAAAGCGATAATTTATACACATCAGATTTCTATTAAACCGGAACGCGACCTCGGTGCCGACGCGTATAAGTTGCCCGAAAAAACATTCATCGGTTTTAGTCAGCTGGTTTGGTGATTGACTTGTTTCTGCTAGCTTTGCAGTTCACACACAATGCAAGGCGTCAAACTGCGTCAAACTCCAACAATTAATTATGATTTATAAGCAGTTATGAATTTTATGAGTGGCTAGTACGTAGCTACTTTTATGTAGCAGCGAAGACAATTATGGAAGTTTTGAGGGCTAATTTGTGTAATCCAGTTAACCCAGATATTGTACTAGCGATAGCCTTGCTTCTTTTCGGCAGACGTTCCGATGTAGGCATGATTTTTTAATGTTTTTCGATTTCTGCCGGTTTTCAAACTCTCATTAACAAGCAACGGCACGGCAGGAACTAAACTGGCATTACGATGAAGTTAAGTTGTTAGCAGACGTATAAGTTATCGCATGCATGATCTTCCCTTTAAACTCCTTCCCACCAACGGCCGTCAAACTCTTCTGTGAGGTGACATTAAACTGCATCGTCATCACCCACACGCTGATCTCGCCCAGGTCCCGCAGCTTCCGCATCAACGCTTTCAGGACCAGCTGGTAGAATCCACGTTGCCGGTACGCCGGATTAACGTATCCCGTTGCCAGAATTCCTTCCGATCGGTACAAGCAGTACGCTAACGGCTCAGTTGTCCCTTGGACGAAGAGCGCCGCGTTCGGGAAGCCCTGCTCAATCATGTAGCGGAGACTTTTCTCGTTGTTCTCCGTGTTACCGTAACTGCGCTCGCGGGCAATCTTGGTCACGTGCTCGACGCCCAAGCTCCCCAGGCAAAAACCGGGCGGGACCGAGTGTCTTCGTTAACAAACCGTTGCGTAAAACAAACAGACAAAATTATCTTTGCATACAGTGCTAATTAGTCAATGAATAAATGTACGAAATTATGTACGAAATCATGCAATAATTCCGAATTGTTTACCAGAAAAAAAAGGCTTTTGCTTTATGACTGCGAAATTATGGAAAAGCTCACTCTAAATCGAGATTCGGCAAGTCCAGAGCGTAAGCTATTTTTCCCGGCGGGAACCCTTCTTGGACAACGAGATGGTCAAAGCGACCACCATGAAAACCTTGTCCGTCTTCTAAGAGGACAAGATGCTCGGGTTCCGTAATATCTGTTAACACAGCAGATCAGTTATGCACCGACACTTAGAGAAAGCGTCGAATGCATTGTTTATTAGGAGAACCTTCGAAAAGGATGTCATTGGTCCAGTCCAGCGTATCTGGGCATCCGTAGAGCATTTTCCTCAGCACACTGGCATCTTTAGAATATATCAGTACGTCGTAGCCGTTCTTCAGCGGAACGTAATCTTTCCGGTCGTTCCGCGGTCGGCAGATACACACGGCGAAATCCGGAAAAGCGTCGACCACGAATTCTATTCCGGGCCAGGCGAATTTTCCGCGGACAGTGTTGCGTATCATGTGATAAATCTAAGGGTATACAATGCTAAACTTGATATCGCGACAGGATGTGAGTCTCTTACCGACAGACTGCGCGGGAAATCCGCTTCTAGCGTGGGGAGAATTTCGATCAGCTGCTCTTTCATTAGGACTAACATTTTGCCTGCAAAATGAAATAACAAGTAACGTAATAAATCTACGGGCCGGAAAGAAAGTGGGCGAAGTTGTGGTGATACCAGCGCTTCTTTTCGACAAACTTTTACATGCTGATGCGGATGACTGTACCGGCAAGTGCTGTATGCGAGCGTAACGGCAGACACATCAAACGCTTACTAATCACTGAATTTCACCGGAATGATAAAATGAAAGGTACTCGTATCAAGGTTGATTACTAGACAAGACTGCGGATAATGCGCTGTAAAGTGTTTGTTATACGCAACTGTCAGTTACTGTAGTACCGCGAAGCGTTAATTACTGATAAAGCCTACATACGCTAAGCGCTTAGTGGCATTCAAGTTCCAAAATTAATAATTCACTTCGAAATTTTCGGCAGCCTTCGAAATTTACGGACCTTATGGAGACGGTACTAAAAAGCTAGTGGAAACCGTTGGAAACGGTATAGCGACTTCAACTGGCCAAAAGCGGGCGAAAGAGTTTTTTAAACAGCGAATATTGATAAAACCCTTTATGCACTACGTTTGCGCCACAATGTGTTTGCGCCCAACGTTCACTAAGGGAAAAAGATTAACTTTTATTTCCACCATGACAGCTGCACTCCCGACAACTGTGCCGCCTTCCCACAGTTGCATCAACTTATATAATCGTACCACATCAATATGCTCATATTCGCATACAGCCACAAAGCTAGAAAAACACATGCACCAATCCCATCACTGTGTTTCCCATTAGTCACAGATGCAGGTCTCATTCATCCTGCCTCCTCATTATTCCCACTCGACCAGCGGTCAGATCTTACACAGATAAGGAAAAATTCCGGTAAAGACATAAATGTCTTCACACACATATGGCCATAAATATCTTCACACAGATATGGTCATAATAATACTCGTATTAATGAGGATGCAAACCATGCACATGGACAATTAATCAAAGCCACGATAGCCGCCGTCCACTTGTCAACACCACGGCCGTAACAATATCTATGCAAATACAACGGGGAAACGCGATTTGTGTAATGGGTACCATCCCCGATTAGGAAAGCATAGAGGAAGTGTTTCTTTTGTAAATGCCGTTTTGTTCTGGTGCATAGTTTGTACTCGTACCATGATACTTATTAAAGGTTTAACTACCATATTTCACTAGGAAAGAGCACTCGCTTTTTTCGGGCACGGCATGACCGAAGCGTAGCAGGAACATGTGTCTAAATTACAATAGTTTGGGCTGAGCCTCTAATGGTAAAGCAATTTAAGCTGTTTTCAACAGAGCAGCACTACCAAATTACCGATGTAATCGGGACGCTCTCTTAGAAGTTAGAACGTATCTGTTGTTGTTATGTTAAAGGTTACACATTTGCCCGGGTCACATAATGTGACCCGCCTGCTTGTTGTGTTATTCGGGTGATCGTGTTGTCTAATAAATCACAATGATCCTTGGAAAACATACAGTATAAAATCCTTAACCACGATGGAGTTCAACTATTGGCCGGCGTGTAGATAATAACGTGCATGGGGTGACCCTTAAACTCTTTCCCGCCCACGGCCGCCATACTCTGCTGCGAGGTAGTGTTAAACCGCATCGTATTCACCCACACATTGATCTCGCCCATGTCTCGCAGTGTCCGCAGCAGCGCTTTCAGCACCAACTGGTAGAAGCCGCGTTTTCGGTACGCCGGATCAACGTATCCCGCTCCCAGGGCACCTTCCGGCCGGTACACGCAGTGCGCTATAGGCTCATTTTGTCCGTCGACGAACAGCGCCGCGGTGAGGAAGCCGTGTTCAATTAAGTAGCGCAGGTGCTTCTCGGTATTCTCTGGGTTACCGAGACTACGTTCGCGGGCGATTTGGGCTACGTGTTCTACGCCCAAACTTCCCAGGCGAAAACCGGGTGGGACGGAGCACCTGTATTAACAGGAGAAGTATGGATAAAAATGCAAGAAACATTTTAGCGTATAAGATAAAATATTAAGAAAAAAACACTGGGATGAAAAATGGATTGGAATTTATTAAAACATGCTTATTGTTAGCTCATACTACGGTGGTTTATCCATTCGTCTGCCTATACGACTTAGCGAAATAAACACCCACCATACAAATTTGGGAACGTGAAAAATAGGCAGCTTCTATAACAGCTATAAAAGTTTTAATTCCGGGCAGAAAAGTATTTAGTGAAAGCCTTCCTTATGGAAAAGACATTGAAGAACATACTCCAAATTGAGATTTGGCAAGTCAAAAGAGTAGGCTACTTTTCCCGGCGGGAATCCGTCGCGGACGACGAGATGGTCAAAGCTGCCACCACGGAAACCTTGGCCGTCTTCTAAGAGTACGAGATACTCAGGTTCCATAATATCTGTCAACAGAGCAGATCAGCTGTGCGTCGACACAACAGAAGCGTCGAATAGACCTTCGAAAAGGATCTCGTTGGTCCAGTCCAGCGTGTTTGGGCATTCAAACAGTATTTTCCTCAGAACATTTGCGTCTTTGGAGTAGATCAGCACATCGTAAATGTTTATCAGCGGTACGTAGTCTTTCCGGTCGTCCCTCGGTCGACAGATGCATACGGAAAAATCGGGAAAAGCGTCCACCACGAATTCCATTCCGGGCCAGGCGAATTTGCCGCGGACGGTGTTGCGTACCATGTGGTAAATCTATCGTGATTGCGATGTTTTACTTGATAAAGTGACAGAATATCAGCTGTATCTATTACCGATAGACTGCGCGGGAAATCCCCTTCCAGTGTGGGAAGGATGTCGGTCAGCTGCCCTTTCGTTAGGATCAGCATTTTACCGGCACGATGGATCCACCCACTTTAAAACGGGTTGAGAACGGAATGCTGCGCTGATCAGTTGCGAACTTTTAAGTACATACACTGTACACGCTACAGCATTCACCAGCTGTTACCAAAAATTAATAGGTATGTGAGCTGTGTGCGCACCGGCAAGGAATATATGCTTACTAATCGTTTCCGTCATGCGCTGGAGTCTCTCGAAGGCTTGTTAAAGTGAAACTGCAAAAGTACTAATGCTGTTCATGCAGGTTATTATGGGCGGCTGCCAAAATTAATCAGTACAGTGAAGTACGACGTGCCGATAACGCTGGCTTGGGTAGTTGTACCTTGTACGTGCTAGACTCTTGTCTCCACGTGAAAGACTTGGTTGGAACGGCAGGAAAAACCGGTTTACAGGATTGTCGGAAACCTTAATCGTGTAACATACCAATGCCATTCAGTCAAACAATATAACGACGCTAAAGTACAGCAATGATTTCTACCGGGAAAAAGGATAGCGCATTTAAGTGCAATTGCACCACGCCGACATATTCATATTAAATTTAAGATCTTATTAGGCATGCATACGCGTTGTTAGTGAGAATCTTTGGTTTAAGTTATCAGAGGTATTGTTTAATGCAAGCACAGTCGTCTTAATACAAAGCGGAAACGCTGTGTCTCCAGTTCAGTAAAGTAGCAAATGCATTACTGAGTGTATTATTGTACGGCAGGCAGGTAACCCATTGAAAGCTAGGATCGAATCTAGCGTGGGATTTTAAACCTGGCTAAATGACAGACAACAGTATGAATTTAGAGCAAAAGCCATTAATACAAGAGAATTACTAAGAAAAGGAAGGCAGTCAGGCAATGGTAACATGCTTCAGTGCATTGCGAAAAACAGCAAGCGAACTGCTACTAAGAATGTCGTTTCCGGCTTCGGTTAGCCGGTTTCTGATGTTGTTCAGTCTCCACGCCAACGTAGACTTCCCATTAACATTAGGAAAAACAGCGAGTCAGTTTTCGGTGAAAAGAATTCTTAGCATTTGCACGAAAAGTCGATTATTTCGGTGACCATAAGCAGACAGCAGCCACCGACAGACTGCAACATAAATTAACCAATCTTCGGAGACTATGTCAGTCAATGGTACAAATAACCGATCTTTAGTGCGACACCTATCTGGCAACACTACCAAGTTGAAATTCTAAAAAAATCCCAGAAACCAGTAGTACAGTTTGTAACTACCGTCTGTAGATCTGCAGCACCACAAAATAAAGGATTGTTGTGGCTTTATAGATATATCTATAGTAAATGAATGTAAGCTAACGAATCAGCGATATGCACATCGATTGCCTAACAAAGATTACTGAATTCGGCGTCGAGCATTCGTTGTTGCTTATATAGAATTGTAAAGCCATCCTCTCCGCGCCCTTTCCAGTCACCTATGCTTCGTCATCCACGTCCTTTACATGTAAGATGCTGACAGTTTCTCGTTTTTCTTCCCCATATCTCGACACAAGTGCATGGTGTTCCCGCATTTGTCGCTTTGCTGATACCAGCTTTCCCGCTGAGCTGGAAATCGTTTTCCACGGAAGAATTCCCCATAGCCGGTACCCCAGCTGATTTAGCCGTCTGCTTGTTGGTATCCATCCTCGTTATCCACGCAAAGTATCCCCTGAAAACGATCGACAGTGTCGGCACCTGCAGGCGCTCGGGCAACAGGAATTCGGTCAGTGAGAAGAGGAGGAACATCCAACTACCTGCCTAACGGATAAGCCATAGGCTGTCCTGGACCAGATTGTCTAGCTGAGAACATGCGCACGAATATTTCCCGCCGAGGTCCGCTGCGTGGGTGTCTCGCTATCGGTTGATTCCTACTGTGAATCTTCAGCAATGGATGTGCTGTTACTTTCCGGGATTCCACTGATACCTTCCTTTGCAGTTGAGTTGATGCGATGTGTCCCGTCGAACAGACGAACAAATTACGCGCAGCAAAGCGCAAAAAAGATACCAAAACAAATCTGCCTAATTAATTTTTGGTGGCCACTCATTACTCTACATATCCCAATCTTGAAATCCGTATTCATTACCTTTCGTTCGGTGCACTATCTTCTCGAGCACTACTTTTGACTATCATTCGGCACTGCCTTACCTGCAAGCACGACCTTTTATAAATTGTTTCACATCATAGTTATTTCCTGAACTGCTGTTTTCTTGTTAAAAGCTTTATTGCTGCTTAAATAAAAGCATCATCAGCAGTATACAAAGTATAATCGAATTCTCTTGCGTTAGTGACTCTCGGCACCCGTGTGCCGTTCGCTAGGTTTGGATACATGTTTTCCGCATGATGTGGTCGGTTCACATAGACACACCTTTTCATATGCTACTCACAGATCATCGGATCTCGATCTGTACAAGTATAGTTTAGGAGTCGAATTTCGACGTTGTTTAATAGCAGAAATGTTCAGTAATGGGCGTTTTACAGTGTTTAGAACACAGTACGTATAACCATAGCATTTCAGTCATTTCTGGATGACCAATTATTAAAAAGTGTACCCGTCTCACCACCAAAACACTTCGTTACATAGGTAATTTGCATGTGATATTTTCGTACTGCGAAGGATGTATTAATGTCATCAAACTGTCAAAGTCCGAAAAAACTGCTATTTACCTACAAGCAGAAACAGGAACTGGCATTCTTATGTGATCCGACTGCATGTATGACTACCTGTATGCGTAACTGTATGCTGTATGCATGCGATTCTTAGCGTTCGGCAATCGTTATGGCGAATGTAATACAAATCGGCCGTATCTCCGCCATACAGATCTAAAACACAGTCCGCAAAATATACTAAGCGACTGAAAGGCACCGCTATAAAACGAATTATCGTCCGGATAGGCCTCGGGGATGCCACGGTTTCTTGCCAACATCCGCATAATTACAACAAGAAAAGCGTTCATTTTACTGTCTCTTGCAGATTTCGTTAAGATTAATTATTGTTACGCTGAATCACAGCAATAATGCGTCTCTTACTGCTGTAGCACAGCTGCACTTGAAGTTGAGTCAGCACTCTCGGATTATTACAACATCAGCACATCTCCAAGAAAAGCTAATGCATCTGCCTAAAGCGATTTTCAACAGAGTAGCGGTGATTAGAAAGCCGCCCTGAAAGTTGTTGTTATTAATCTTCATCGTTGTTGTGCATGGAACGATGTGCAAAACCTGCCATGTCCAGCTATTCAGTCTTTCAAGGAATTTCAGCGAAGATTTAGTGGTCACGTTAAACGAGCGAGAACTCCGTTGCAACTTTGTCAGATTCGTCGGTGGAATCAGTACTTATGCTTTCGTCAGTGAATGTGCTTACGTGCGCAGTTCTTCTGGCACTGTTGCACTCCTCCGCTGGCAAAAGCAAAGGTAAGAGTCCCAAAAAAAGATTAGCTCTGGCGTTGAGATGCATGCATATTTTCGAAACTTAGTAGCAAGGAATCCGTAATGATTACTGTGACGCTTTTTTTGAATAGATGGTGACGAATTCAACAGTGACAGTGACGGTGTTATCTCCCCGCTACCTGACTTCAACACGGAACCGATGACCCGCGACCAGTGCGAGCTGCAGTTCACCGCCCACTGCGGCGTGCGCACCAACATCGGCAACTCGTTGGCCTGCGCCCAGAACCACGGCCTGGCCATTAACTGCAGCGATGCAGCGCCCATCGAGGAAGTGCACAAATTAGCGCTGGCCCTGTCGCAACCGCCCCTGAAAGCGGTCTCTATCAGTCTGAACGACGGACCGCAGATATCCTTCGACAGCCTGGCACCGGTCCGCCGACAGACCGTGGTCTTTCACCTGCGCAACTGTCGCTCCTCGCGCGCCACGAAGAAGCTGGCCCAGCTGCGAATGCCGCATCTGCTGGAGTTCGGCGCGCATGACTGCCGCTCGTTGGACGTGCGACGAGCGGACTTTTGGCCGTCGATCAAGCTGCGCCTGATCCAGTTCGTCAACTGCACACTGGAGTCCCTCGAAACCGGCACCTTCGCGGACTTGCCCGGACTGCGGCTGCTTTCGCTGGAGCGCGGATTCAGTCAAATGGAGCTCTTCCCGGAAGACGTGCAAGCGTATTTGATGCGGTTGCACTGCGGCGGCGAGTTTGAGCCGTTGCGGCGTTGGTGGCGCGTCAACGGCTTGTTGCAGCAAGCGACGGAAGGTTCAGTCTATCGCATCGAGTACGATTCGTGGAAGAACGAAGACATGAGCAAAAGCGACGTTTTTCTGCCGATCGACTGTGCCGCGACGCCATTTCCCAACGGATCGGCTTCGGTCGACTTTACGATGGAAGTTTTTTCCGTTAACGAAGGCCTCCGTGAGTTTCTTGCCAATTGATTTTGACCTTTTTTTTCTAATCATTACGGCTTCATGATTGCTTCAGGCCCAGGACTTGGAGATCGCCCTTTCAACTGGACTGAAATCGTCGACGAATTCCCGACGTTTTCGACTGAGCCGGTGACGGAGACCGAATGCCAGATATTGTCAATTGCCAAATGTTATTACCTACAGCGCAGACCACTCCGTAGTTGCAAGAATTATCCATTCACGCCCGAAAAGGTCGAAGGACAACCGGAACCTGACTGCAGTGGCGCTGCACAGAAGCGCGAAATGCGAGAGCTGGCACTTGGGATGGCCAAGCAACGACTGCGACCAACAGAGTTGGTAATCGGTCAGGAATGGAATATCACGTCCGCCGACTTAGCGCCAATTCGGAGGACAATAGTCGTCTTCGACGTCGGCGGATGCACGGGGAGTCGTGCGACGCAGACGGCCGACGAGCTCCGGCTGAGCAGTCTGCTGCACTTTGGTATAATGGAGTGCAGCGATCAGGTTGTGCAACGGAGTGATTTCCAGCGCTTACCGAAACTGCGGGAAATATTGTTCAGCAACACTACGTTGCGTAGTCTGGAATTCGACGCGTTCGGCGCTCTGCCTGACCTGCGTCTGCTGGTGCCGGAGTTTGATTTCTTTTACATGAACGGTTCCGACTATTCCGACGCTGTAACTGAAAATTTGGATTTGCCTCCGCGGATCGTCGACTACGTGTGGCGACTGCACTGCGGCTGCGATTTCGCATGGTTCCGGCAATGGTGGACGAATAACACGCGGCTCTTGCACGGTCAGC